ACTGGTGGTGTGTCTATGTGAACGATGACAAACTCACATAAATGCAAATTGGATGATTTATTTTATATTATTCAGCGGAATTCATTGTCTTTATGTGTGCACTAGAGTTTTCTTGATGGAGTGATGGGTGGATTTTATCTTGGGTGGGTAAATAGAACAATGAATATTGCAGAGTTTAGTTTAGTTTTGAAGTCAGAAAAATATCAAGCTGTGTGGAAGAAGGAGTGGTTGTACCATATCTTTATTATTGTTCTTTTGGCGGAAATGTGACTATTGAGAGAGTTCAGAAAATTTGCCCCTTGCGACGATTTGAATTAATTTAAATTTCATTTGTCATTCAGGTGTGAATGGGAAAAGTGAATTTCCCTCAGCGTTGTATATTCAATGTGTTTGGCATGTCTTCGTGGTGGAAGAATGAGCAATGTATGCAAAATTTGGTGAATCTGCTGAGATGAGATGAAAATTTTGACGAGAAATTCCTCTTCGCAAATCTGCAATTGACCTGAATTTTCACGAAATTAGATTTTGACGATTTCACCGTCCTATCACCTCTAATTTTGAGAGAGTGGCTGAAGATTTTCACATGAAATTTTCCATCTTACCCAATATAATTTATCTCAACGGTGTTGTGAATCATCATTACAATTTCAATTTCATTTTCACATTGTGTAACCTTTCTGAACTCTGTGTGCCGACAGTGAAATAAAAATTCTTTGTAGACATTTTATTTTATAAGGGGTCAACAGAGGGAGAGAGAGAGAGGGGGGGGGGGAAAGAAAATGATATAAAATTCTATTAGTCGTATAAGAGGCGAAAGTGAAAATGTCAATTAAAGAGAGTTTCTACAAATGTGGAAAAAGTCATGATAGATGACCGAGAAAGTTTACTCCAGCACTACATATAGCATCTATCATTTGTCTATTGTGTTCATTTCTTGATGGAATACATAGTGCTGGAGGTTAATCATTTTCTTGTGTACGTGTGCATAAATTTTTCTGAACATGTGAAAGAAAGGTACGCTGAGCATTTCTTTTCACACATGCTCTGCAATTATCTGCAATAATGAGATGAAAAATCATGTGGCGGAGAGTCCCTTTTTTCGCCAAGTGCCTAATGCCAATTTATTCACATGGAAAACCATGCAGTGTGTGCTCAGTCAAGTGCGCAAGATGAACTAGAATGACCATGTAAGAAGTGTATGCTCCGAAAGGGAAGAACGAATTGCACCAGCAGACAGAGCATGATCACTGGCTATTGTCGGTAGTGCGCGGCGTCTGAAGGAATGATTGTATGAATGAGCCTCTCTTCTGGTATGAAGCTGAAATCCAGATCTGTAATTAATTGCACCTCTTCGATGCCACATACGCGCCATGATAGAGAAAAAGGCCTTTGGATATGTTTCGGTTCATGGATTGCCGATGATGATGATGATGACTGTGTGTTGATGAAAAGAAAAGAACGATGATGAATTTTGCGCAGAACAGTGTGTGGATGAGAGGGAAGTGAAGCAGAGAAATTTTTGCATTGTTGGAGCTTACAAGAAGTTGGCTTGAATGTCTATCAAAGTGTAGAGTAATTTATTTGGCCATTATTATCTTCTCTAAATGGCCTAAAAGAAGGAGAAAATTCATCCATTCTATAAGCGTGAAGACAATGAGTGAAATTGTATTTTATGTAAATTTCATAGGCCAAAATCGATTGTGTGTAGCTGAGAGTTGGAAATGTTTTATTAATGGTAAAAATGTATTCTGACTTTGACGTGGTTTCCATGGTAAGAAATGGTGAAACGAGTCAGGAGACGATTGAGCGGAAGAGCGTGATATTGGAAAATATTCCTCTGCAGAGGGAACATCCTGTATTTGCTGCCATGGGCGAGCGGAAAAATCAAAAATCGAATAGGAAAATCTAACTGAGTGTTGTGCTACATTAGGGATTTATTGAGTGGTCGTCTGTCTGTGACGTGATGGGAATTAAATCAAATTTCAATCTTTCTCTCTCTTCCATCACTTCGTCTAATCTGGTGATACGTAAATATGTTTTGCCAATAGCGATAAACAGATTAACATTCTGTGTGCAAAACTTTCCACAAAATTCAATCGTCGACCATATATTGTTTTAAATTCATATTACATTTATTTGAACACTTTATTTAAATTTCATGACGTTTTAAATTGTTTCATTCAGCAATATCTCGTCAAAATAATAATATACGTCAATGGCAAAAAGCGTAAAATTATTTTAATTGCTCAACACCTGCACTTCAGTCGCGCGTATCTCAATATTTTTTTGAAATTTTCATCTTATGCTTCACTCTCATCCACGTCTCTTCGATAAATTCGTGTGAAATTATTTAAAAATGAGCTGTGCTTGGTATGAAAACATATTGAGTAAATATTTATAGAAGCAGCTGAGGAACAATTGTGACGATGTTTTTAAGATCCATATTATGTGTGGTATAATGTTGTTTCAGAAGTCATTTACTTTTGATAACCACCCGATCTTCCTTTCAGTGCAGCAAAAGGTTTATGAAGAAGAAGAAAAAAAAGCGTAGGCGCAAAGAGAAAGAAACAAGCATTGAAAAACATTCCACTTGAAGTCTTGTCTTTTGTTGAATTTTACGCACAGTGAATGGCGGAATGTAAATATTTAAACCATGAATATTTTCTGTAAGATGATCTTTTACATGAATGGGACACTTGTCAAGGACCAAACAACTTGACTTGCTGAGTTTGCGATGATATCAGCTAATTTTGCCTGGGCTCTTGAGCATTCCTGTAAATTGAATTCACCATTAGTAATTATGATTTCGCAACAAGAGAATACATTTTGCAGAATTTTGTCATTGTTCAACTTAGATCTACATTCTCCAAAAAACTGTATAATTGTTATAATAAAAAAAAAGAGAAGTGAAAGAGAATAATCTTATAATGAAGTGCTTGCGTGGGTAAAATTCCAGTGTTATTGATGTGTTTATGTGTGTAACTTTTTTTTGTTTCTAATTATATCAAGGTAAATGGTGTAATTAGGGGGAAAAACTTGAGAAATTCCACTTACACATGAAGAGAAATGTATGCATGATGTATTTTCTTGATGGAACTACTCACCAGTACTTCTAGATTCCACCTCTATATAGAAATAGTTGCTTTACCGAGTGTAAAAATTGAAGAAGAAAAAAATCCTATTTGCACTGTACATGATAGAATATAGGAAAAGAATGAGCGCAAGAGAAAGAGACATATAATCACTGCGATATTAAAATAAAAACGCGGATATTTTTCCTGTTCTGCTAAAGGTGAAAAAGGTGTGTGCATGCATATGAATTTGGCACAGCAATAATAGCAATGTTTTGCATGCAAATCACTCGATTCCTCAATGGTTGAGCATTATAGTGGAGGTTAAATTGTAATAGAGCGAAAGTTTGCGATTTCACGAAATGATCATAGAATTGTGAGAATGATCACAAAAGGTAGTATAATAATTTGGTTGAAATTAGAGGTGGGGAAAATGTGCGCACTTTCCATGCAATTATGAAATAATAATTTTCAAATAGAATATTCCACATAAAATTGATGGGAATTGTGCAGTTGTTCGAAAGTGCGTATTTAAATAGCTAATTCTGTTTTATTTTGTTATACTAATAACAATTAGTAATCATGTCACGCCTTTTCGTGACGTAAATAAAGTTTATTGTGATTCAACATTATGTACAAACATATTATGAAAAGTGCGAGAATGAGAGAAGTGTGAAACATTTTGCATTCCACTGAGGACTTCTTCGCTATTTCTCCACCATCGTTGGTGTTTCACTAGCACTTCATATCCTCTTAAGAAAATTAATAATTTTGCTGAGTAAATAGTGAAAATGACTGAGTCGTGCTCAGGTATGAAAAAAATCAAAATGAAATTCCTCAGATATGCCCTGATATCTCTCAGAGCACCTTTTATTTACCCTCCTCAAGAGGCACAATTGTATTTTTTTTTTTGCTCTCCTCTCTTCTGTGGAGAGTAGAAGCATTACGGTCAGGTAACAATGTCCCACTTGTGAATGTGCTTAATTTCTGATAAGACTCTCAGAGGAATTTTATCTGAGAATTAAAACGACATGAAAAAATATCAATGACACTTCATAAATTCCTTTCTTGTGAAATTATATCACTATTTTTTCCAATCGGTGCTTTGGAAATTTTCTCTTTGGTCAAATATATAATTCTTTTCTCATCCATGAGCCAGAGTTTTGGGCCGAAGAGATTCGCTAACGCTAAAAAAATATGGCAAAGAATTATGTGGAGAAAAAAAGTTGAGACACGCATTTTTACCTTTGGCTTTTTGTACAGACGACAAAAAGAAACATTGGAGGGGCTTAGTTATTTACGCACCTTAATTTTGTGAAATTGTGTAGAGATGTGAGTTGAATCTCTGACAGTGTGTGAGTATTGGATGTATTTTTTAACAGTACAGTGTCTGGCGAAAATTTCCATTTTAAATTGGCTGTTTTATGGGGGGAAGTTTCACTGGATGTTTGTCGATTTAGATACATAAAATAACGATCGTTTGACTAAATGTCTTATTTGTCAGTGGTGCTGCTGAGAGAGTATCTCAGGTGCATTTTGCATTTTACCTGCCTTCATTGCTTTACGACGAAAGGAGTTTTCGAGACATTGACTGATCATGAAAGGCAAGAACTGTAAAATAAAACACACACTTTCAAGCGTATGCTCGTCTCCAAGAGTGTATGCTATATGGTTGTCATTCGCGCTGTGTGACTCAGAGTGAAGTTTCTGAACTGGCCTCACCTCAGTTGTGGCCGGAGCTTGTTTCATTCCGGATCAGTTGTTGGCTTCTCGGTTGTTTAGTTGGGTGTTCTGAGTGAGAGACAATAGTGGTATATGGAGGCGCGAATAAGATAAAAAAAAGAAATACTCTTTTGCCATACTATAATTGCTGAAAAAAGAGTCACCTACACAGTGAGCTTTATTCTGGATATAGTGAGGAATTCCTTATTTGCCACGGAGCGTTTATGCAAATCAAGTGGGATATGAATTTGTGAGTGAATGCTAAATGTGGGTGAAAACTTTGAAATATCACCGTGAAGATTGACCACCTTCCCTTAACATTTTTTCACTGGGCTGCTCATGTTGGAGTCCATGGTGTATGTAGCGTTTCATCTTCTTCAGTGAATATCTTCTCATTCTACTTATTTGGGAGGCAAGAAGAAGAAGAAGAAGAAGAGGAGCAAAAAAAACCATCAAGTTGTGTATGAATGAATGTTAATGGTTTTCTGACACGACACCAGATCCATTCATTGGGACCAGGCCAGAGTGTAGTATTTTGGGTGGGAGAGAGAGAAAGAGATTCAGTGTTGGTGTTATTGTGTTGTTTACTGCAGCAAATACTGCAGGGCAACACTGGGACTGAGGGTGAGCTCTCCTTGTGCACAGGTCCGGGATCGACAGTGTTGTGTGCATTTCACAGAGCGCCACGGGGTGGCAGCTGTCAGGGAGCAATTAGTCAAAGTCAGGAGAGCCACGTGTTGAAAATCAGTGGAGTGTACTTAGAATGACGGGATTTGAGAGTGATTAAACATGTGGCGAGACATTAGTGCGACGGCTATTCAGGCGCCCCTGGGCACCTATCAGCAGTACCCAGCATCTGGAGCGCCGGCAGCTGGGCCCGGAGTTAATCGCTGGAACGTGCCTGGTCAGCGATCGTCATACTCGCTGCCCCATCCGGCTCATGCCAGCAGTAATATGCGGTGGCAGCACTTTGATGGGCCATCATCACACACGCTGGCCCACTCGCCATCCTTCCAGCACATCCCCACGGCCCACGGGCCCATGGCGGACGGGGGGCGCCAGAGCAAGGCCCGGCCGGCCTCCATGTACGACACCCCTCAGTCACAGTCCAGCTACCTGCCGAGCTTCCTTCTGCCCGGCCTCACAAAGGCGAGCAAGGCTGCCAAAAATTATCATCATCATCATCAGCAGGTCGGAATGCACCATGGCCAGCAGCATTTGCGTCAGGGACCCGGGGAATTGGTAAGAACTTCCTCTGACCTACTCTGCCCGCGGATGGGCGAATCGCCCAGTGAGAGAGAGAGAGAGAGAGCGATGGAATTATTACCTAATGACTCGGTCGATGTTGCACAAGACTTGGTCAAGAGTCTCATTGCATCTGCTAATTTATGTGCATACCATCGATTTTCATTTAAAGATGGATAAAATGTCAGTCAAGTCTCTGATATACATACACTCACGTCCATAGGACGATTAATTACAAACGTTTGACACCGTGGAAGGAGGTGGAAATTGGAAATGGGCGGAAATGAGAATTCAGCTGATGTTGACAGGAGAGTGTTTGTTTTCAAAGAGAATCTCCCATGGGATGTTGTAATTTTTCTGTGTGTGGACATTTTCGCTGCAATCTGGCTGATTGTAGATGAATATCGCGTCATCGTGATTTTTAATTATAATTCTTACAAGTTATATAAAATATAACATCTCAATGAATATCAAAGTCATCTATTGAGCAGTATAATAGATGGGTGAGCTGCAAAGATGTCGGTACTCGATCGATTGTATTGGGGTTCTCAATGCTGCCTCGGTGTGTGTCTCCATGGGTAGATGGTGAGGAAAAGATACGCGATGGAGTGTGTTGTGAAACCTCACAAATAACTACGGGTTTCACTTCTTTCACGTTGTAAGCAACACAAAAACGCCAAACATCCACTGCACTTTTCAATGCATTCACGTACATATAATATTTTTGTAGGTATGGAGAGTGTGGAGAGACGGAGAGAGAGAGAGAGACTGTTATTTTCTTGCGGCAGCGAAATAAACTGCTGAAATTGTTTGGCTCTCGAGTTCCCCTGTTGTAGAGCGATGAAAGTGACTTGGGGGTTATGACGAGGAGTCTCATATATACAAATATTGGGGGAGTTGTGTTGAGAGTAATGGAGAAGCAGTGTTACTGTCGCAGGATTGAAATTACTTCCGCACCATTTTCAATTAAACACCGTGACTTTCATGTCATTTCCATTCAATATTTCTCTCACTACATGGCTTCTCTTTTGCCACAGTTTTCCCTGCGCTTATATTGTAAAGCTGAGAAAGTGATGCTCTGACTTTGGAAACCTTTGTGTATGTTGGATGTTATGGAAAAACTCCACTATGTGCGCACTCTTTTGCATTCACTCGTGCCTCATTTGCTCTTTCCAACTATATTCTCAACATCACATTTTCTAGGTGAGAATCTGTGTGCTATTTTGTAGGCAATTTTACTCTTATGCTATTTCATGGTCAACTTCTTTTGTGTGTCGCGCCGAGAAATGCTGCTGACTTCTGTGATTTTGCCTACCATGTAGCATTTTTTCTCTCAATTTGTATCGACAATCACAATTATTATTGTGTGATAAATGCCAATGCGAGGGTTCACTCGTCAATTCCTCTTTATTCGCGATGCAGTGAGCGAGCAAATATATTGTGAGAAAGAAGTGAAAGAGGGACACATCTGTGAATCGATGTTACTGACATATTTGATGACAGAGTGGCATAAAAATGAAGAAATAACACCTACATGAATTGTCAATAGTTCACTGCTAGATCTGCGATGTGTGCGATAGAAAAAAGGCGGTTTGGCGTATATAAATCTGAAGAAAATCAATTGCCACAGAATCCAACGCTGTGCGTCTCTTCGTGGAATCGCTTTTCTGCAGCTGAGAGTGGAATCGTGTGTAGTATATGGTTCTAAAATGAGTTATTTGCCATGGCTGGGAGGATAACACAGTCATGCTAATTTGCGCTGCCGGCAGAGGAGCATAATCAACTGGATGTGACAGAGTGTTGCTGTTGCTTCGACCTCCCTTGGGTGGGCAGAATTCCTCCGTGGCGCAGCAGAAGAAGTGTGGCAGAACCTATATAATCGTGGCATTATGATTCGCTGGAAGACAAATCAAGGACGTTCCGCTCAGTTGGAATTGAATTTGTGTCATGACACTGGGTGTTTTCTCGAGAGTCGCAAATCGGATTTACTCGATTAATTATCTCTCCATTTTAATTGTGTGAAAAATTTCACGCTTGATAAGTCTCAATATTTGTGCACACATTCGCTGTGTGACTTTTAAAATTCAATTGCAAGCCTCACGAGTGACTCCAACAGATGCTTTTGTCCTTAACAAGCTTTTCATCCGACCAAACAATCTGAATTCCAATTAAACTCCAAGTATTTGTTCAGTGTGCTATATACACTTCATTATCCAGTATTTGCCTATAATTTTTTCGGGCTCCAAATTGCATGCGGTAATCATAAAATTATCTGGAATACAAATGAGAGTAATTTTGTCGCTCCTGCGGTATTAATCCTAATAAAGCGCAAATGTATAACTTTCCAAACAAACACAAATCCAACTGAATCGCGACAACTTCTGGCCAAAATTGTAATTGCATTTCACATGGGTTTTTGGAAAGTTTCGCTGGTTAGCACCGTAATGTATATTGCCGACTGATGACACAATTGGTGTGAAACTAATTAATTTTGTCGCGAAATTTGCCCCTAATCTGTGGTTGTATGTCAATCGAAAATTCGTTGAGCTGATATCTCGTATTCTCTGAACGCATTTCTGACAATTGACATGTGCTTCATTACGGGGCTTTTGTAATGAATGCGACAGTCGCGCGCAAAATGTAGCCCAGGCCAGAAACTCCATCGATATCATTTTGGCTTCTTTTGGTCTTCTTTGGCATTTCTGAATTTTTTAACGCTGAGTCAGTAATTTGATTGAGATCGACCTTGTGATTGCAGGCCTCCATTGGGGTCTGAGTGCGATTTATTTTGTATTTTGCCGTTGAAACCGCAAAGCATTTCAACCGCATCGACGATAATTACACGGGCACGCATACACGTATGCGCCACATATGAAATTTATTATCAAATGAACCATAAAAAATAGTTCATTTTGTTCGATTTGTGCCTTCCTTCCGAATGACAATATAATTGCGGATGCGATTGCAATTGAAATTGTTTCAAAGTCATGACGCAAAACACTTTCTAAATAAATTGATGTTACGAATATTTGTACAAAATGAAAATTAATTTTTCAATGTCTGCCCATTCATTATGCTTTTAAAGTGGATGGTTTTTTTTATGATTTTAATGGATTGCGCACATTCTTTCTATTGAATTAAACTTCTTCTCATTTCCTCCGACGCGCCAAAGCAATCTTTCTTTTATATATTATTTCAAATTCAGAGAGTCTATTTTGGAAAGGAAAAGGGGGAAGCAGTCATTTGTTACAGACCGATTTTACATTCAATCTTGAGGCATTTGAACCTTTATAGACAATTGTAGATTTTCAAGAAGGAAAAAAACAGTCTACGAGATCTTGTATTTCAATTTGATATTGGCAAATTAATTGTTGGCGCTTTGTACATGAATTGGAGAGAGAAAGTGTATTATTTCGAGTAAAACTGCAATATTGCCAGTGAATTGGGCAAATGGTAATTGCGTGAATCACGGGATAATAGGATTTCTCTATGCAACATTGTGGAGATTATGATCAAATTTGATGGAAAATCTAATTTAATAGCTGATGTTGGAAATTTTGTGCAAAATCATGGAGCATTTCCATCGCAAATCCCCACAGTCTTAATGGCAAGATAATTGGTTTTAGATACTTTGAGGAAGTTTTGGATGAAATTAAAAGGATCGCCCGGGATTAATATTCTGGGTGTGTTGCCAATAATTCCCATATTAAATGACGAAAACACCGACCTTCGCACTTAATCCTTCGCTTCAGATCCTTCATAAATTAATTAAGTGGATATCTCTTTTGGGCTCAATCGATAAGTATTGCTGGAAATCGGCCAGTAGACGGCAAACACATTGCGATGTTGCACTGCTAATGGTATTACACAACTCATCGCAAGTACACTAAATAAAATATCATGTTTAGTTGGCAACGATATTTGCCGGTTTGTCGCGACTTTGGTGTGAGGGTTTTCTCTTGGAATGCGCCTCTGGATCGATGGTGAGTCCAAATGGCGAACAGGTGCTTTAAAGCCTCGCTTTGTGAGTTACATAAAATTTATGGTGTTTGCGACTTGAAAACACAAATTCCAATGATTTTATAATGCTCCGGGCGTCTATCGGTTTGAATATATGTACAATTTTAGAGATATCGAGATTGATGAAATCATAAATCGATGCTATTGAGATGCTGATTTCACCCTCATTGGGGAATTTATCACTTTCTTCTTTGACACGTATATTTTTTTTTCTTGATACGCTCTAACCTCCATGAATGGCAATTTTTCTTGCAAAAGCTTTGCCATTTTCTCACAATTACTTAATTTCTCATTCATCTCGACATATATGTAGTGATATTTTCATTTGAATGAAATTCTCTCAGAGTGACTTCATTAGATGTTATGCAATTTTGTATTTTGAGGCACAGCCACATTATTGTCGGAGCCTCCCAAAGAGTAATTGTTACTGAGTGTGTATTTGTTGGGCGAAAAAGCTCATCACAATTATGATGGTCTTCGCCTTTTTTTTTCTCCTTTTGACTCTCTGTCAAAAGCGTATTTACTCTCTTCAGGGTGTTTGAATGTTAGATAATCACAAATTCCGAGGCTCGTTATTATGATTTTCGTAAGTCTAATTTTTTTCTCAGCACACCGCGTCGTCACTTAAATTGGTAATGATGAGAATTCAATTGTGTGAAATGACTCTATTGACGGTGGTGGACGATTTAGTGTCCACATATGGTGTGATTGTGTGTCGCAATGCAAATCGTCGTCACTGCCCACGTCTCGAGCGTGCCACAAAATAATTATTGAAATTGAGAAATAATACATATTCGTTAGACGCCAGAGAAGCAAAAAAAAATCCACTTAAGGTTAAGTCTGTTGTATTGGTGTTGTGTGTGCACGTAGAATAAGTCAATTTCTCAATAAGAGCACGGGATATAAATTGCAGAAATTGGTTCATATTTGGAGTCCAACAAATAACAAATAATATGTTTTGATCGTGTAGCTAAAGTGCATATTGGATATGGCTTTTTAGCTGCTTCCAATCCATGCGGAGACTCCTCTGTGTGTGAATAAAAGAAGAAAGTGTGGTTCCAGACAGCAAACTCAATGGAATGACTAATTGAATCGTGACTCCGAGACTTTGCCTTCTCGACTGAGGAGAGACTGATGGGAAAATGCGATTGTCTGCACTACCATATCTTACTTATGCCATCGAGAAATTTCATGAGGGGACACACGGAATTGTTAAATTTCTCAAAAGACATGCTGAGGAGAAGAAAAAAGAGTTGTAACAAATAGGAAATCCACTGTGAATACTAAAGTGATAATATGATAATGAGTTGATGTCGTGTGGTGGAATTTTTTTTTGAGTGAAATTCCCCTGAAAATGGATCAATTGGAAGATTAATTTGAGGTCAATACTGCGATCTGGAGTTGGGCAGGGAAACTTTTCTCGTTTGGCGTCTTTTTTTTACGCTCTGCACTTTCCCTTGTGTGTATTACAACAGAATATAATATGGAATAAATTTCACAGCATGACGAGTCAATATGCTGTCAAAGTTTAAATGCTAAATTGAAAAAGTTACCCAATTTTTTGTTGTGTTGAAATATCAGGACTTAAAAGTGTGCAGCTGATGCACAATACCTTCGAAATTGTTTTTTATGACCGGGTGTTTCTGCTTTGTGTAAGTTTTTCTGCATTGTTTGTTACTATCACCGGAAAAAATATACACACAAGGGTGAGTTTTCACCTGATAAAATTTCCACCTATTTTTAAATTTGGTAGTCGTGCTTCCTGTCAACGGGGAGAGGCAGAGGATATTCCTGGTGTTGTTTTGAATGCGGTGTATTTATAAAGCTCAGAGTTCAAAGACCTCATATGCTATTCATGTGTGACATAAATTTTTCCTCAGGTTCATGAATATAGTGGTGTTGTCTCTATGCGGCCGTGCTCAAGTGGGGGAGACGGGTGTGTGTGGTGTATTTTGAAACAGCATAATCCTTAGTTTCTATTCCCCGCTCTGGAGAGACTAGAGAACAGGGAGCACAGCCCGATGTACGCATTCTTCCCCATCAGTCTGGAATATAATGGAAATGTGCGGGCAACCCTGCGGTTGAGTGGAGAAGTGGAGCAAAATATATGCATGGGGATGTTTTTTGGGGTGGAGGATGAGGCTCGGCTCTCCAGAGAATTTAAATGTGCTCCCAAAAATTGCACAGGGAATAATAAAATAGGGATTTCTTCACTGATGATGGTATGTTTCACTTTCATCATCGCCCCATATTTCCATTTAACCCATTGGCGGTCGGGTGGGAAGCATAAGTATTTCGCCTTGTGGCTGAGAATACATAATGTGGTGACATTTGAAGAAACAGAGGGCAAAATGGGGATCATCCTACGGAACCACATCCGTGGCCTTATCCTACATATTACAATAATAATAATAAAAAATTGGAAGAAATATTGTCTAGATTGCCTGAGCAAGAGAGCATAATGGTTGACTATATGTTGCGTTGGAGGCGCTGAAAAGGCAAATTCCTTTTAATATCGCCATAAAAGTCAGGCAAAACACGGGAAGTCAGGGGAGACAGGAACTCAACAGTATGTTCTTAACAGCCATATTGATTTATGAGTCGGCAAATATTTATTGTGAGCTCAAAAAAAACGAATTATCATCACTGCGGAAGAATAATAAAAAATCCAACAAGGCAAATTCTCATATTCAAGTGTGTCATCTACAATGCCACTATTAGCAGTGCTACGAAAGCCGCAGACCTTTTCTTCTGCATGTTTGTGGAAAAAAATATTTTTGCTTTTAATTCAACCGTGTTTTTTGTGAAATGTCATGTTTTTCCTATATTGCTTGACTGTAAACATTCAGTGGAAATTTGCATTATATGCTCAAGAGTGTGGAGCGAGAGTAAGACGATATCTTGCCGAAGAATCAGAGGAACTGTTATTATTTTCATAATGAGAAATAAATGCCAGAAAATGTCACATATAGATATTAGAATTTATCCATAAATGGCAACGTTAAGGGGGCGAATGTGATGAGAAAAAAAATATAAATTATTTTAGGAAACTTTTATGGGAAAATGAGAGACAATAAAGGTCTTTATGATTTCTCAGTGAAGCCATCTGTCATTTAGAATGAAAATAAAACGGTGTCTGGACTTCTTTAGTCGCTACGACAATTAATTTTCACACGTCTCTCACCTGGTCATTCCACCAGTCGCGCACTATCTTATCAGAAATACCAGCGCGAACTTTGAGGGAAAAACAGTGGAATAAAATTGTGTGACTTTTGCCTGATACGGCATGGTATCGGTGTATATACAATTTTGAGTGAGAGAGCAATTGAAAGTTATTTGATGAATTCACTGTTTCGCAAGGCTTTTGATTAATTACTATTGTTTGGACGGTGCGACGGTGAAGGTTGCCTTTTTCTGACAGTGAGAAAGAGTGATTTAATCATTTTCCAGTGACTGATTCATTTATTTGTTCGGTAAATCCACATTAAATCATCAAGAATGGGTATTTTGGTTCAGGTATATTGAGATTTTACACCTCTATCAATATTGTTAAATTCGCGAAATGCGTGGATAAAGTACTTAGCAAGTAGGAAGTAATTTATTAGTGGTTGTGAGAGGTTTTCGAGGAATGTAAAGTGGTGGAATTTGGCAAAAAATAAGTGCGATTATTATTGAAAATGTTCTGTTGAACGCAATTGAGTGTATTTCAGCTGTTAAAGACTAAAGGCTTTGATAAGATACGACGTGTGGGTGGCTTTTATGGGGTGTTTCTCTGCAATACATTCTTTCAGATCGTGAGTAAGCAATAGAGAAGTCATTTTCATATGGTCTTTTGTGAATTATAAAGGTTTCTCTGGCGCTTTATTGTGTCGCCTAGAGATAAAAAATTGCTGGTGTTCTTGGTCAGAGTCTTGAGAGACAGCCTCAGGCCAGCACGATATGGGTTTGACAGGGGATTGAGTCTCAATTTTTCCTTCCTTCGCCATTATACTTTAAAGCCACCGGAGTGGCTTTCTCAGCAAGGCAATATTATGAAATTGTGATGAGGTTTCCTGAACTCCTTCATTAATGAGTCTTACCACGAATTTTGGCCGAAAGCGCAAACATTCGTTTTTCAATTTATTTTATCTTTTTTTTTGGAATTGTGAAGTGAAATTGAATTCGTCGCTTTACTTGTTTTTGTGCTTTAGTTGAGAGTCCTAAAGTAACATATGCCATTTTACCATTTCTGTCAATTCGCCAGATCTCGAAAATTGCTAACGCTTTTTCGATGTCAACCAGTCGGTAGAATGAGTTTTTGAAAGCTCAGTAAAACTATTTCATTCCTTTTTACTCTTCATATTGGATGTCATTTGGAATAGAGTTGAAAGTTTACATATGCCGCTGTTATGAAGCCATCAAATCTAAAATGAATACTTGCCGATATAATATGTGGAATGCAGGGTATGAGGATTGACATATAGGAAGAGGGTAGTTGAAGTATTTCAAGGAAAGGGTAATAAATCCAATTCCACGAAACATTCGATGAAATAATGATTTTTCCAGGAGTTCAAGTATTGAAAACATACTATCTATTGGATGTTTATTTATTTAACATATTCGCTTGTTTGTTTATAAATACCGTGATGATTAATATTGATTTTCTCTGTCTCCTTGCAGAAAGTGGATCCGGAACTGATTTTCACAAAACAAGAGAGAATCGGAAAGGGATCCTTTGGGGAGGTGTTCAAAGGCATTGATAATCGAACACAGCAGGTAAAAAGGGATTCATCACTATAGCATTGTCAGGTCTATTAATAACCTGTTTAATGCAAAATCAATGTTGAATGAAAGGGAAGATGAGGGACAGCAACAGCGGCAGTGGAGTAATTGAAGATGAAATACTTTCAGGTTGTCGCCATAAAGATAATTGATTTGGAGGAGGCCGAAGATGAGATCGAAGACATCCAGCAGGAAATTATGGTGCTGTCGCAGTGCGACTCCCCATTCGTCACTAAATACTATGGATCCTATCTCAAGGTTTGTCTCATTCTCGTTAATTGACAGTTGCTGTATCAGAGATTGTCAGATTATTGACCGAAGAATACGGCAATGTTGATGTCTTTCTTGTTTCCTCCTTTTCAACTTTTCAAAGACAACGAAAGGAAAAAAAAAACTGGCGAGTCTCTCAAAAATATATTGCCTCGCAATATCCTTTCAATCACATTTCCATGAATACTTTATAAGGAGTGTGTGTGTGTGGAGCCTAGAGTGTGAGCGAGAGATAAAGGAGAAGGAAATATCTTTATATAGTGCCAAGTGGCTGAAGATTTTTCATCTTCCCCGGGAATACCACAGTATAAATCGCATAAAGTAGGGCTCCTCTTCGCCCCTCGCCTTGGGCATGTTGTGTGATTTATCTGTGACTTTCAATTGGTGGCAGAATCGCGTGAATCAAATAAAAATAAATATTGCACTGGGTTGAGGTGGAAGAGAAAGAGAATGTTTGTGATGAGCAAATAAAGAAGGGAGCACAACTGTGAAACAATCACTTGGTGGGTCAATTTGCATAAACAATCTGCTCTTTTTTTCCATACTCCTCACCATCATACCAATATTAGCCTCTCTTCCATGCCACTGTCTCACTCACTCGCGGAAAATGCATATATGCAACAGAGGCATCATCGCGGCACAGAGAGAGAGAGATTGGAACAATGTGTAATTAAATAGAATGTGTCTTTTGTTCCTAATAAGCACATATTTCTTCATTAGAATATCATCCGATGTTTTTACGGTTTGTGCACGAGATTGTGCCGCAGCTTTAAACTGATTAATGAGCATGTGAGGACTCATCTTTTGAGCATTTTGCCATATTGTTTGACCATAATTTGCGAAATGTGAACAAGGATGATTGCACATTTGAAAGTTTTCTCTCACTCTGTGTGCACGTCTCTCACGTGAATCGCATGCAATGCTCCATGATGCAATGGTCCGCAGATCTCGCAGAATTTTGAGCCAATTATTTTTTGACAGTGCTCTCGCGTATAGCCAACTTTCTAACAGCCGCCTCAATGTGGAAACTCCATTCAGTGAAAATGCCTGTGATGCAGAATAAATCTCAGATTCACTCTGTGCGATTTAGTTTAGTTAAATTGACAGTCTGGCATTTGATGATAACATGAAGAAATTATTAAGGGCAAGGGCAATTCGTTGTGAATTGAATTGAGTGGTGTTTTCTTTGCGATGTGTAGTACAAATGTGCAAATAATCTCAATGGAATTCTCACTAAACAACATTGAACCATAAATCTCTGTCGCACTCGCAAGAAGAGAGCGATTGCTGAGGAAATCACCAAATGACTCAGTTTAGAGGTGAGGTCTCTGTCGCATTGGTGGGGGGGGAAGGGAATTTGTTTAACTTCTTATTCACTCCCAGAAGGAGTGCTCGATGTGCTCAAATTGGCAAGTTATTGGAGTGTGAAGGGGGGCGAGGTGATATGAAAACATTATGGGTAAATCGCGTCTTTCTGCAGAGATATCTTATCAAGAAAACACCACTTGAGCAGCAAGAATTCCGATTAGATTTCTCTACTACACAGCGCTCAAATGACGTTCGTGCAGAAGTTTGTGTGATGAGAAGAGGCAGAAATGCACGGGAATTGTCGTCAGAGTTGGCAGAGAGAGAGAATTAAAAATAACAGAATTCCAGTGAGGCATACAAAAGGCGGGCGGAATAAGAGCGAAAACGGTAAATGCGATGATAAAATTGAAATTAATCAAGGTGGTGGCCAATCTCTTTCCGCACAGAAGTCAATATTCTCTGCAACGCATGTACATACAATCAGCGAATTTTATTTTAATTACCCACAATCGACGGGGACGAATAATATTGCAATAAATTCGAGAACTCAGACCCTTAAATTTTATTGCGTTTATTCCAAATTGAAAAATTCCCACTGCGTATAGCATTTTTAATTACATCGCTGAGGTGTTATTTTTAAATAAACCCATTTGGTATTTGGAATTGAATATTGATTGTGGCACAAGATGCGGAGGATGTTCAATATTGGCAGTGGAATTGTCGGGCAAGGCTATTAAAAGGATACACAAAACGTGTCGAATAGTTTCGAAGAGTGCACAGTGTGTTGGGATTGATTAAAAATTGCAGTTGGAGCGAATGCGCTCGCGAGGAGGGAATTTCTTGATTGCCATATTGTTCATGCTGGATGAATTGTGATGAAAATATATTGCAAATTCATCAATAGACCTCATGTTTAATTCAACAGAGGAGCAGAACTGAGAAAGAGAAAGGAAAAACTTATAATATCAATCTCTCGCATTGTGACTAATCCAATAAGTGTTTAACTTTCGAGCGGAAAGCATTTCCATATAGATAGATTTCAGTATAATGTGGGAATAGAAGTAAACTTGTGAAGACGTTGAAAGAGTCAGAGATTTGCCATGTAACTTAAAGGCGTTTTATTGATTTTAGTCAATCAAACACACAACGTGAAACTGGATCAATTTGTAAACTCTAAAAATAGGCAAAATATTTGGCTGCTGAGATAAGCTTTGCAATTTTTTTTCTTCCTCCCACACACTCGATTGAGTATTATTGAATTTGACTAACAAACTGCCGTTGACATTGACCTCCCTTTATATTGCGAGAGAAATACACTCTGGGTGTTGAGAGATGAAAAAAAAGGTGTACATGAGCACAGTGTGGAAAAAGAGAAATATTTAAACAGATGAGTTGAAAAAAAAATACGCCCGGGAGGTGAATTTGAATAAAAATTCACTACATTTTAGGCACACACGGAGTTTGTCATGTATGAAGGTTCTGGGTTGAGTTTGAATATGCGTGGAACAATGGCAGAAATTGTGAGCCATTCAGTAAAATTCATAGCTGGTGACCACGGCGATATTAAAAACCGTTTGACGATTCCCTCTTGTTGTTCCAAAACCTCCCGCATCCGCGTTCAACATGTCGAATCATTAGCGTACGTGGAGAATTATTAAAATGCTGCTGGTGTTTCTGGGGCGGTATTGTTCCACGGTCAGGAAGGAAAAAAAATTTACCCGCACAGAGCTTTTTGTGTCGTCGCAGTCCGTCTTTGGAATATGAATTGGTTGATTGATAGTGGATCAAGAGCGCGAGTGAGTCAAGATGAGTCACACACATGCAAACCGTACTTTAATCTTAACAGTAACATGAAGTGCTTCGAAGGAAGAGGCAAAATGTGTCTTTTCTTACATATTATATGGCTTTTTAATCCTCGGGTGCGGGATGAGACGTGCAACGTGGAGGAAAGTAATCGTGTCTGCATTGTCAAGTGGGAGAACATTGGAAGTAACTTGCTGAGAAAAGCCCCTTTTCACATCCTCCATAGGCAATTTTCATTGGGGGATTTTGGCGGTTGGGCGGATGAGACAATTTTGGCAGAGAGTGGAATAAATTTTTGGCTATGGCGGAATATTTTAATTGCCTCTTTCCCGCCCTGGAGAGAGTGTATGGCAATAGGAAAAGTTTTATTTTCACAATGTCGAGCGGACCACAGCATAAAGTTCTCTGAGGCAATGTATGGTTTTGCGGATGATATAAATTTGTACATGGTTGCAACAATTTGAGCGCCAACATAAAATGTTTAGGTGATAATTTTCGGGGAGGAACAAGGCCAGATGAGAAGAATTAAAGCATTAGATCCTATAAAGTGGAATTTACTGGATTGGGATGATAAAGGCTCTGAGTAAATTTACTGTTGAATTGGCGAAAAGAGAGAGAGAAAAAGAGGAGAAATAGTGTGTGGAGAGGCAAGATGAGGTGTGAGTCATGGCAGAAATTAAGAAGAGTCTCATTAAAAGCACTGCATTGAGTTCATTTACTGAAGCAATTAGCAAAGAGAGACCAAATAATGTCTCAACTTTCCTATGTGAATAATCACACTGGAGACTCTGTTCCTTCGGCGTTTAATTAATAAAGACACGAGGGCAGAGGGGCGGGAAGTGGTGGTGCACACAAAGTGAGTGGCGATGAGTGTGTCAATTGAATGTTAGAATTGAATTTCAATTGATATCCTAGACAATTCCATAGCGGCAAAAGTGGAAAACTTTCTGTATGATTTGGTGAGAGGTTCTCCGGAAGTTTTCATGGTATTTGGGGGCTGTACAGTAAGAGTGTACTTTAAACTTCTTGCAAAGTACACACATATTGAATTTGTCTCTGGGATCTTGAAGATGGTGAGAATGGAGTGTGTGTGTCTGGGCGAGAGGGTTGCGTCTATTGTTGAGAAGACCTTTCCTGAGGTGATGATCACAATTGTAAGGTGGATTCTTGATATATCTTCACCGTTGAGAGTTTGCCACTGACACTGAGCTTTGTCTCTCAATTTTCACTCTATGGCCACATTGAGATTACTCGAATGGGGATAGCAATAAATTGCTGTGCGAGGATGAGAATGAAAATGATAAATTATACGTGTAATGGAGATGCCACTGAAATTAGTTAATTTGTACAATGTCAGAAGGGTGTTTTCCTCCACTCAGACCAGCAGAAGTATCCATCTTTCTATTTTTCTTTGATACTCAGATCAATTATTGCAACTCTTGTATTTGTTCTGTGTTTTTCTTGTGAAGAATCATTTTGCAGTTTTAACCTCACGCCAAGAAATGTCTGACTTCAGACTTCGTGTCTGTATAGTTTAGCCAAGGAGTGGGAGAAAGAGAGAGAGAGAGAGAGAGACTTTTTGAGGGGGATGAGTGAAAATTGTGTGTATGGAAAATGCCCAGTGAGGACGACGAATGAGAGTTGCGTTGGAGAAGTTGAAAGGCAGGAAAAGCAACAAGAAAATGCCATTAAACTTTTTAAATTAACATTGTTTCGTGCGTTTGTGTCAACACAGGAGAAGAGCACTGTGGAAAAGCACACACTTCAGACAATTTAATCTCTGAAACTATCTTTCTCAATTTGCCTCCAGGGCACGAAGCTATGGATCATCATGGAGTATTTGGGCGGTGGTTCAGCCCTGGATCTCATGAAGGCGGGCTCCTTCGAGGAGATGCACATCGCCATCATTCTGCGTGAGGTGCTGAAGGGTCTGGACTATCTGCACTCGGAGCGGAAGCTGCATCGTGACATCAAGGCGGCGAATGTGCTGCTGAGCGAAATGGGCGACGTGAAGCTGGCGGACTTTGGCGTGGCGGGTCAGCTGACAAACACCACGTCGAAGCGCAACACATTCGTCGGCACGCCGTTCTGGATGGCGCCAGAAGTGATAAAACAATCAATGTACGACTCTAAAGCGGATATCTGGTCATTAGGTATAACGGCCATTGAGCTAGCCAAGGGAGAGCCGCCCAATTCGGAGCTGCATCCAATGAGGGTGCTCTTCCTCATACCCAAGAACAATCCACCGCAGCTTACAGGAAACTACACGAAGCCCTTCAAGGAGTTCGTCGAGGCGTGTCTCAATAAGGATCCGGAGAATGTGAGTGACTAATGATTTTCCACCTCGACTTTTATGTAAAATCACGGGGATTTTATTTATTTATTTATTGTTCAAATCCCTTCCGCAGAGGCCGACTGCCAAGGAGTTACTTAAGTTTGCTTTTATCAAGAAGGCCAAGAAGAATTCTTACCTCATTGACCTAATTGACCGGTATAAGAAGTGGAAGTCGCAGAAGGGCGAAGAGAGTGAGACGGAATCGGAAAATTCAGATTCGTAAGTGAAAAACAGTTGAAATGAAGGGTGGGAAATGGGCTTTAATAATATATTTGTGGCAATTTGTGCCTGTTTTCTCGCTTACCAGGGAGGAATCAAAGCCAGACAGTGACTTAGATGAACCCTGGATTATGACGGTGAAGGGACTGCATAATTACAATAATTTCAAGAGTCCGCCGCCAGCTCTAGTCGAGGACACTGTGTCAGTGCCGCTGATCCACAATGGAGCCAATAATTCGCCATCTAGGGATTCTAATTTAAATCTGTATAAATTAAATCAAGTGAGTGTGTTTTGCGCCCTCCTCTGGCGGCTGCCAATTAATCACTCTCTGGGTCTTTGCTCGCGCAGACACGGCCATCGTCAGCAACCAGCCAGCAGCAGCAAGTTGGGGACAACCGGAAGGAGCGCGACAGGGGTGAAATGCAATTGACTCAAGTACAACAATCGACCACGACGGCGTCCGCCACGACTCCCGCCAGTGTTCAGGTGAAGGAGAAGCAGGAGAACCACCACAGTCCGCAGAAGGAGGCGCCGGCGAGGGAGCAGCTCGACTGGGAGTCACGTGAACGGGAGAAAGAGGCCAAAGAGTTGCGTGACAACAGGAGGTCGTCCAAGGAGGTGAGTTTCTCCCTTCCCACTTCTTCCCTTGGTATTTCTTATGCAACTGGATAATTCTGTGCTCTGTGCAGATACACTTGAGTGATCGCAATCACGAGCAGTTGGTGACGCAGCAGGAGGACAAGCGAGTGAGCTTGCGGCGCGATCGCGAGGCGAAAGAGGCTGTGTCCGGAGGCACGGGTGCCACATCACCGACATCTGTGGCCGTATCGACGGCATCCTCATCGTCTCCCACCATCCACAGCAATGCGGCGAATGGCAATGCGACTGGCAACAGTATTAATCCCATCACGAGCGTGGCAAAGCCTGGGAATCGTGTGAATAGTTCGTGTCTCAATAACTTTATCTCACCACTCTTGTCTGAAGTGAGTGCAATCCGATGCTCTTTCTCCTCTCGCACATTACTCTAAATTGCTCTGGATTTAACACATGTGCGCGCTTCTTTCGTTCGCAGTTGCAGCGAAAGTATCACTACTCGAGTCAAAATCCGTCGGCGATGGACGTGGTGGATCTGAGGGCGGCATTTGAGCTGGCCGAGCGCACCTGTCCCGGCGTGAGTGATCTGTTCGTGAAGGAAATCATCCACAAGCTGGTCCCTGGCTTCTCGGAGACGCGAATCAATACGCTTATGGACAAAGTTACGAGGTGAGTGGCACACGTTTTGCGGGTAGAATTTGCCACTTGGGAGCAATATTGTCTAACAAATTCTCCTCTTTATCTTCCTTTGGTAATGCTCTTTGGGCGCCCAATGGACCATCTCTCTTGACAACGGTGAGCAGAGAGAGGAAATAATAGAAAATGAATCCGCACTGCAGATTCACTGTAGAAAATAGTTAAGTATGAATGGAATTTATTGTTATACATGTAAACTTTTATTGCTGCTAAAACAGAGAGAGAGAGAGAGAAAGAGAAACATGGTGACGATGATGATGGTGAAAAACAAAAATATTTAAAAAGAAAAAAAAGAAGGATTATTTAGATGAGATGCAGTGAACCACAGATGAATTGTGGAGGAGTTTTGTGAAAAATCTTTTTCTTCGCCTCGTGAGAGAGAGATGTATTTGAGGTGAAAAAGAGGAACCTAGAATTTTTTGTGTGGTGAAGAGATAAAAGGCAATTGCAGAGACTATATATATATATATATATTTTATTGTTAAAAAGAGTAAAAAAAAATATTTTGTTTGATGAAAAGTAGTAGAAGAAAAAAAGAGTCGTCAAATGAGGAAAACCTTCCAGTAATGCAGAAACTATATTATTGAGACATAGAGAGAGAAAGTGGAAATATTTCTAATTATTTTATTGATTGTTTTTATTAGTTACTACAAATACTAGTAGAGAAAGAGGGGAGAAAATGAGGAAAAGCGACAAAATGAGAAGAAAAAATTGTAACATTTGCGCGCAGAGAAGTGAAGAAGTGGATTTTCTTCATAAACTAGTTTTATTGCTATATCACATGCAGACAAGAAAAAAAAAGAGTTATTATTGTACATAATTTCCCTCCCTTTCTTTTGAGAATGATAATGTTCTATATACTTTTTTTTGCTTTAACTATTTATTCAATCCTCCAGATTTATTTTACAAGGAGCGTAATAATTTGTATATATAGAGAGAAGAAAGTGGCGAGTTCAGCTCCATTTTCAGTGCAAATTTTCTCCTCATTTTTGCCATTTGAGCGCCATGTACATTCCCTAAATTATTGGTCCACAAACACTCTGCGGGGGCTCTTTTGGGGAGTGTCACGTGCACAGCGTGTGTGAAAATTTGCCCGTGAAAGTTGAGGAAAGGGACAAGTTAATGTTTTTTGAATAAGAGTGAAAAATACAAAAAAAAAATATTGTGTCTTGGTTTTCTTGCAAGAAAGTTGATGTGACAATTTTTCGGGTGTGCAATTTCGCGATGATGATGAAGAGAATAAGACAAATACCGTAGTTGTTTAATTGACCCTTTTTAGAGGATGGTTTTTTGATTCAAATTGGACTTCAATGTGACAATAGAGTTTATTACTTGATAAAAAAGAAGTAGAATTGATGAGAGGCGGGATTGAATCAATTTTTCTCAAGAATTATGCGAGACAGACATTATTACATAAATTGCATCTTCCATGAAATTCAATTGAAGTGAGAGAGAGAGAGAGAGAGATGTGAAGAAGGAAAAGAGACATACGATGAAAAAATTTAACAAGTTGTATATGAGTAAATGGTGAAAATATTGTGTATTAAAATTGACTGATTATAACAAGATGATGAAAATAAGAGCTTTTAACTCCGTGTAATATTTGATGAGGACAGATAAATTTACATGTATAATTTAATAACTTGAGTTCCTGGACACAAATCTAAACACACATATTTTAAGTTTACTATCTTAGATGAAAGTGACGCGAAACAACATTACATTTTGCAGTTTGATAGCAGTCAAAAAAAGATGGAGAAAGAGAACATGGAAAATTAACATGTGGTAGAAAGTGTTGTAAATTGTTTTCCCCTGACCCTAAAAATTGTTGGTTTGTAGTTAGAATCGAAAAGATAAATTATGAAGAGACAGAAGAGGATAAAGTGAGAAAACAAGAGAAAAAAAAACACATTAAGCTAATAGTTTAAATTGCATATAAATTAAGAATAAAACAATTATTTTAATATAAACAACTTGTCTTTCAAATTTCGCCTGCTGTGTCATTGTCCGATATTACGAGCGGTAGTCTCGGTAGTCTCCAGGGTGTGTGCCTCCGCTAAGTGCAATATCCAAGGATTGTCTCGACTCTGTCCTTTGCGCGCAATCCAAAAACGAGTCCACTTTTCAGACACATAATTTTCTTTATTTTGAATTACACAATAATTTTAAATTTTTCAGCTTCTCTAGCTGTAAATATTTTCCTTTTTCTCTGCAATCTCTGCAAGCCATTCCTATTTGCCGGTTCATTTCTTTTTTTGTTATTGTGAATGTGACTGAAGTTATTTCGGTCTAACGTAGCATCTAAAGCTTTCTGGAAGATTTATTTGCAATTTGTAACCATTTCTATTTAAATATGTTAAATATGGACTCTATAATCTCATGTTGTCAACGATGCAAATGCGCGCGGCTCTCAAAAATGTTTCCAATACATTAATCTTTTGTTCACTTATTTCATTCTGGAATATGATATGACGGGCTTAGAGATAACGCCTTCCTTGTCATGCAATCTCTAAAATATTTTTAGAAAATAAGAGAATTTTGTGTGTGTCGTGTGTGTGTGGCCACTTTAAAAAGGAGTGTTGGTATATTATTTAGTTGTAAAAGTCTTTGGCTTCATGCTGTTATTTTTTCAACTCATTCATTATACACGTTCTCCCGCTCCTTCTCCTCCTCCTCCTCCTCCTCAATTCATCTCTTCAGAGATCCACCATTTCCTTCGAGTCGTCCCCGTAGCGATCCCTTCTGCAGACAGAGAGTGAGAGAGAAATTCATTACAGAACACTTCCGTGTTGAGATTAAAGCAATCTACAGACTAACCTCTTGTTGCGATAGCGCATAATCACAAGAAAGACGATGGCATTGATGATGAAGAGGCCGGCAATGATGAAAGATGGAATTAGGATATCTGCGAAAATTACAGAGAATCATCAATTTGCCTGCACAATCCACAGCCACTCCGCACAAACCCACCGTAAACCATGTCAGCGCTGTCAACCATGCTGCTAGGCGCTTCTCTTCGCACGTTGTAGGGCAACACAAGTCCACTCCCGATCGTCTCGGCCTTATCTGAAAGAGCCAGATGAGTGGCATTAGTCTTCCTCTGGTCAGCAGATTTCCCACTGTGGATGAATTTTCGGGTTTGCTGACCCAAATCAATTGACTCTCTCGCTCTCGCTTTCACTGTTTGCCTTCTCATGCGACAACCACACGATAAATCGCCCCAAACCTTGTAGAATTAGAGCTCAGAACAGATGCAGGCAAAAACGTTCTTTATCAACTCACACACAACATGAATAAATAAAAAGAGGGAAAAATATGGAGAGTTTGGCATCAAAACGAACGAACGCCAAGAGCTAATAACCTGAGCACCATAAATAAATGATAGCAATGTATAAAACACACTTCCAGCGAATTGGCAGCTCTATACGTTATGCGATAACAATTATCAACGTTCACTCTTGCAGGGAATTTGTACGCTGAAGCACAAATATTAAGGATTGCTACAATTTCATGTACAAACGCGTGTTCACAGCAATCAAGCGCATTTCTTGGAAATCCACTGTGTGCAAAGTCCCAACTTTGACTCTGTATTTTTTTCACCATTTCCCCAAAGATTTGAATAAATAAAAGAAAATATCCTGACTTGTCGTGACTGAAGCTCTTTCGCTTGTGCTCGTCATGGCAAACAATTTGTCTTTTCAATTAAAAATTAAAATGTGCCTCTCTGCCAGTGGCAAAAGCTCGTAAGTGCCATCATCACGTCCAGGCTCCTGCGACGGAGAGAGCATCACTGGCAAGGCACCATATAAATTATTCTGTAGTATCAATTGGCTTAGAGCTTAATTGAAAAATTGGAGCTTCTTTGCCCATCTCGTTTTGCCCTCCTGCGCGTCTGCGGACGACAGTAAAGTCAAAGTTTATCTCCCGGCGATAAAAAAGAACAACCTTCATGAGTGAGAAAAGTACCTGCAAGGAAAAAGCAGGAAAAATGTGCGTCGCATGGAGTGAAAATTGTGAATAAAGAAGAGCCATCGTAAATTCCTCCTCGCAATTTCCCTCTTTTTTCTTCTTTTGCCCCCCATGTAACAACTCGAACAAACTCTAATGAGGAGTGTCTTTAAATGACACGTAGAATAGTGCAAGGTTCTTTTTTCTCTTCATCCTCTCGAGGGCCAGAGCAAAGTATTTCTGCAGAAGAGACACATTAAATCCCCATTTTCAGTCACTCTTCCGCCCCCATTCGCGCCTCAAATTAGCTCTTGAGCGCTAAAAAGGCAGTCACGAGAGTAATTTATACTATTTCACCACACTTCACTTCATTCCCATGCCCAGCACTCAGTCGCGGCAATTCCATCGATTTCACGGCAAGCGAGAGAGCGAAAGAGCCAAAATATCCCACAGGAATATTGACAGGAATAGAAATAGCAAAAAAAAGCTCACTGATAAGAAAACACACACTTTTGAGACTCCTGAGAAATTGAAAAACGTGCTCTCAAGCGCGAGAGGTTATTTTTCTTTATACATCTCGCACGCACTCAAGCGTGGCGCGTCTTCTTAGCAATGGAAAGTCAATATATATTGAGCTTAAATCCTGCTCACCCACGGACAAGTGTATATCGACAATTGAACTCTCCTGACCCTTCTCTTCTCTATTCACCCTCGCACTTTCCACCCCCTTTCTCGAGGCAGACGCCGAAATAGATAGGGACACTCACCAATGCAGTCCGGCAGTGAGTCGTTCCACGTGTGACGCTCCGTGCACTTCAAGACGCGACTGTGAACAGCTGTGTCGGGAAATACGAGGCCCAACGACGGATCACAGATGAATTGCGCCACCTCTTCGCTCCTCTCAACCAGACGGACATTCGGTGGGGTGTCAGGAGTGAGACAGCCAACAGCTGAAATGGGAGAAAAGCAGCGCACAATCTTCAGTTTCTCTCTCGCGCCAACGCTTTCCCATTGAGCGATAGAAGAGGCGCACTTCACAGTCTTCGTGCTGATATTTTACGCGTAGTGAATCACTGTCAATCTTATAAGCTACATTACTTAATCTATCTGACTTAAGCACAAAAACCCATCGAAATAAGTAATCAATAAGAGCTTTTTACAATTGGGGTTTCCTTTCCACTCAAGTCAAATTTACTTACAAACCCTCTTGGAGTAATAAAATCACTCTATCTCTCGACTTTTCATGGGTGAGAGAGAGAAAACACTCTTCCCTGAATGAAAAGCGAGAGAAGAGTATCTCTGCAAGACTGTTCCCATCTAGTGGAAACTAGAGCAACTCACCAGTGTAGTGAAACAGCACACCTCTTTTGGGATAAGCCAGCTTACTCGTGGATTTCACGTTGATCTGCAAATAACGACTCATCTTAGGATCACACTCTATCATTTCATTCGTCACACTCACCTCAATCTGATTGGAGTGACTTATCAGGAGTCTGGGACGGAGGATTTCTGTACAACTGCTAAACAGGACACGATTGAGGCTCGAATCCGTGACCGTGATGTAATCTCGACAGGGATTATCGACTGAAAGAACCCCAAAGAGAGTGGATAAATTAGCGTGGGATAGAGAATGGATGTCCTGTCTTGTAGCATTACCTCTCAGGGAGATGTCCACCAATGTTAGGCGAATCCTCTGTCCCTCCGGGGCCGTTATCGTCCACTTGCAGTCACACTCGCCTACATAGAACTTCGGGTAACCAGGAGTTACGACAAACCCATGCAGAAGTGGACTCCGCAAAGCGGTCCTCTGGACGCTATAAAGGACAAAGAAGAAAGGTAAATCTTGTAATCCGAACCCCACACAAATACCTCCTCTTCTCACCTCTTGTATTTCCTCCTGCCCTTGTTCCTGTAGCCCGTGATGTAGTCGTACTCGTCGAAGTAATAATCGTCCTCTTCCTCCTCGCTGTCCTCGAGTCCATCCTTTGTCTCATAACTGCTAATTATCACAGATTTTTCTCTCGTATCCATCTCTGTGGCGTTCTCCCGCACGCCCGATAGCACAGTGGACTCCACTTCACTGAAATCCTCCCCCAGCAGAATGGAGCCCTCAGTGGCCACTCCTCTGGTCAGGATGTCCCACAATTCTGGCCTTGTGCCACCGACAGATTCGCCATTCTCCGTCACTTCGGTCGACGGCATCCGTGTTCCCTCCGCGTCAATTCCATAATCTACTCTAGTGCCTAAGCTATCCCTAATTGTACTATTCATCTGACCATAAGCAGAAGTTGTCTCGACTAGATTGGTCTCCAAGTGTTCCTCTCCATCTTGTCCCACGTCCACGCGCTCGTCAATCTCTTCAGGGTCCTCGATAGTCGGTGGTTCTGTCGTTTTGTCACCTCCTTCGTCCTTTCTAAAGTAAAACTCATCACCTATCTTCTCAATGTCGTTAAATTCGTCCATATCCTTCGGCAATATCTTCAATTTTCGAAAATCCTGCAAATAAACAAAAAAAACAAACACCGCTCAATTCAATTGATTTGAACTGCAATAAATTCTCATCATTCCCCAAGCGCTATTCAATTTAATTTAATCATCGCTAATTGAATCAACATCACATCCAGCAAATGGCACTCCAATTACTCTTCAGCTACTCTCCCTTCAAATCTAAATGACGTGTGTTGGGTGTAATTAATGCCTCGCGGAGAAAGAACAAAGCTCTGATGAAGCACACGTAATTGAAAACCCAGCAGTGTTATACCTGGGAATAAATGCGGTGCTTCCGAGCCTCGTTGGGCGACAGTGTGGCTGGTACTTCTTTGAGAATCTTCAAATTGGTGAACTGATGGAACTGCTGATCGAGTGAGATTCTCGCCTCAGCAACGGGCTCGCCCTTCGTCTCCTGATCCTTCCCATCGCTCGTGTGGATTTCATTGCCAATGGCCAAGTGCTCGCCACAATATCTAGTCACGCGGAAATCTGTAGTGAAGAACAGAGAGAAGAGACTTTGTTAAATTCACTGAAATTCTATATCCAAAGTCACTCAACGAAAACATATCTTTCTCACTGAAATCGACACTTTTCTACATCTCAATCCTCTCTCGCTCGCCTGATGACAGTCGATACAAAAATATTAAATTATGAGTCGTGGAAGAGGAAGAGAAAAGTCTTAGTTAAACACACACACTTCTTGCGTCTCTCCCTCCGCAGTCAGGCATCGATTTTCCCATCAAATTCATGGCCAAGTTGAATAGACAACGTCTGAGACGCCGCGGAGAAAAGAAAACATGTACATAAATCCCACCCAGAGAACAGAGGGAGAGACGACTAGCTAATCCAACAAAAACTGGGTTAAGAACATTTCTCTATGAATATATTAATATCAAGTGAAGCATATTTCAAGCATTTCTTCCCTCGCGACTCTTCCTTTTACTCTAGATTCAGTGTGAAAAAAGGAGGGCACGAATGAGCGATTCATAGTTTTAATAACACGATGGATTCACTTCTTTACTTTAGCAATTCCACTTCTTGCTATTTACATTTCATCTCCCCCCATTGAATGTAAGAGCTGAGTCAACATGAACTGTAGGTCGCAAACGTGACGAAATTGCAACAATGCCAAAATTATTCTCCATCCCTCAGAGACTCCGCATAAAAACCATCCATCCAGCTGTTCGATTCTGCATTAATATTTTCACCACCATCATCAATTTTTTTTCTCCCGCCCCTTCCTGGTCGAATCCCAGCCAAGGAACAAGTTGAAATTGCTTTCGCCTCCATCTCGGGAGTTGCTCAGCAATGAAAATAATGCAGTCAAATGCGTGGTGTCAATTAAATGAAGCCTCCGACAACACCTTCATTAGCACGACACATCAATTCAATGTGCGCTGAAAGGCAGCAGGAAAACAACCCCAGTCTTCCGATAGTCATTCCCAAATGTTTGGCACGTGGCAGTCAGTTTTTGGTCATGTTCCTCGAGCGAGGAGAGAGAGAGAGGGTGAATTTCTTCAGGCGGGGCACGCCAGGAAAAATCGATTGAGATCAGAAAACACCCTCATTCATCATCTACGCCTAGCACACAAATCGATGCACGATCGATTCGTGACTGAGGACAATGAAAGTGAAATCCCAAATCGTCTCTGCAATCATCTGCCAACTCCGGAGATCTGTGTGCGGTGCATTGTACACTCAGGGGTGAAGTTTTGCAAAGTCTGGGAAAATTAACATCAAGTGACTCCCTTTTAGGCTCATGGGAAGTCTGCCACAATTAGAGAAATACGCCAGAAACAGACACGGCGAATTCTTGTAAATCTCTTTGTCTCCCAACCCACTCTGCTCCTTCCTTAACTACAAATTAACGCCTGCAAATGTAACCTTACACCACATACAAGTTGAGTCTAATGTCATTTTACACCCTCTCCCAATATCTTTATGGCTGTTACAACCAGAAAGGGAGGTGAAATTTGTGATATGGCTTTCTATTTCAATCCTATCCTCACCATGGGGAAGGACTCATAAATTACATCCCGCATCAACTAATTACCACAAAATTAATTGTTTGCCAATTTAACGGCTTAGCGTGGTTTCTTCCCAATTCCAGAGCAGAAAAATTCGCAAGAGTTCCACTTGTAAAATTCAGAACACTATCGATTTTGCCGTAATAATTCGGATGTTGAACTACATTCTGTGTGAACCATGCGCGCAACGCCAACATATGGCGAAATTTAGTCAAAACACTACTACTCTCTGTGCACTCTCTCTTCCTTATGTCAGCCGAAAAACTTCTCCCCGCGCCGTTCTACTGAGCAGCAATTGGTCTTTGATCGGGAGAACTAATTTCGACCATATGCATCGAATTGTACTGTATTTGAAAACAATTTGACGCCAGAGATCTCTATCTGAAGCCACATTGAGTGCGTGAAATACAAATTAATCCCTCACAGTTAAACCACCACTGGCCTAATCTACGTTGGAAATCTCTGACATTTGCATCATTCAGATCGATATGAGGGCTTTGAATGCGGACAGCGATTTATTCACGTGAATAGTCTCAAAACTGTTGCAAATGGGGTAGTGGAAATACATAGCATGAATTGTGATATCTTCCGCCCTGACCCAGTAAGTCCCAACTAAGTCTTCTGACCTCAATTCGCACCATCGCCGGTGATTTGCATAATCATTTGCAGAAAACACATGAAGCCATACAGAATGTTCCTCCACCGTGGAGAGTCTCATCTCTGTCCTGATTTGCAAAATGCCTCGCAACACTCCATCAAATTGCAATAGGAAATATAGAGAGATGTGAATTTAGAGCCCATCACACGACCAACTCCCCACTTTAACGTCTATCTATCACCACTAACAACTTCCCATGTGAAATTTCATGCCCATTTATGCTAAATGGGAGTAAATTCATCCACCCACGAGCTCTAAGCGTTCCTCCGCGTCATGCATGAGAGACGGCAGAACCAACTGTCCTGCACTAAAATTGAGGGGGTAATTGAGTTGAATTTTTGATCGTTTCACGAAATTAACAGATATAAACACATCTGCCCCAAAGAACTATTTAATCTTGTTAACTATCAATCACGTGCGGCATCGAAAATGGTCGGCAATAAAATTCTTGCCGCGTGTGGGAAAAGCATTAAAAGATAATTACAGAGGATTCTTCATCATTTTTTTTTTTGTTCTCCTCTCCTTCTCTCACTGACAATTATATTGCCCAATATCATCTCGTTTTCAGTGTGAGAAATGGACTCTGAGTTGAACCAAGAAAGCCCTTTCTTTCTAGTCCAAATGAGTATCCAATTGACTTCCAACTTTATGTGGCATAAATAGTCTTCCATCTAAGAAACCAGCACAAAAAAAATCTATTCTTACTTCTCAAGGATATCTGAAGAAATTTATAGAGTCAATATGATGCTCATCAAACAATAAAATTGTTTATTATTACGTGAATGGGGGGAAGGAACATTGTGAAAACACGCAATTTCCTCGCATTTTCCCTTCTCGCAAAAATCACCACACAAACGACTCTCAGACCGTTGTAAAAAAGACGCGTAAACAGAAGGAAGGAATTGTATTAAATGACGGAAATTGATCAGTATCGCAGGAAAAAATGAGAAAGGACAAGCAGCGGCAACTGAAAGGTCATTCTGATGGTAATGGGGATTGTAAACGGAAAAAGTTGTCCGTTTTATTTCACTTACAGCCGCTCTCACACTCCCAAAACCTCTACGACTAAGCTATATCTTAATTAGGACACAAATTAGAAGTGAAAGCGGAGAGAGGAATGAAATACTCACCATCCATGCAAGCGTATTTTATCCTCACGATTCCACTGTCCCAAATAAGACGATAGGGATGATCGACGGCAAAGACGAAACTGCAGTGATTCCTTCCGGAGCATCTGCAAAGGGAGAAAAGACACTCTCAATTAGACACACTCAAAATATTTTCGGTGATAAATGAATGGAGAAGGTCTCACTCATTTATCACAATCATCTTCATTGGACACATTTCCATTTTCGAGCTAATTCTACAATATTCATCAGCATTGCGAGAAATTGGAGGAAGTCCAAATTTAGTCTTTTAATTGATGTTACCATGGTTCATGATTAATTTTATGCCATACACGAAAATTATAATTTTATCTTGATTTGTTTCCTCCGCCCAACCTAGGCAATCTATTAATCTAAGCACCGCTTTAGGACGATTTAGAAATTAAATTGGATTCTCCATTTCCGGACACTCACTAGGCAGCAGAGAGAGAACTAAAACATCCAGAAGCAATATTGCTTTCCAATTTCCTGCGCCTCTCGCTCACTTTCAATGCCTTCTCGCCATGTGCATCGTCCAAACGCACCTCCAAATTCGATCCGCCCAATCGTAATCGTAAAACGGGAATCATTTTCCCGGGGACGAGGATATTGGCAAAGAGGAGGAGGATCAGACATGTGACTTTTGCCCTCACGTGCCTTGGGTTTTCCAAAAACCACCACATATTCTGAATAATGCAATGAAAAACCGTACAAAAGGAGGGATTCTCTGTACGTTTCTTTCACCAGTCGGCGCAAGAATGCTCAGTCATTTCATGTTGGAGGGTCATAAATATGAATTCAGGGGATGTGAATAGGTTTCAATCGAACATCCTCACAATCTCCTCAATTCCCGCCTTCGATTCAGATCAATAGCCAAAAATCTCGGCTTTGTGAGCGGCATAAAAATAGACACGTTATCCAGAGGAATGAGATCCAGATATTGCGAGATTGAGCGCACAACTGTCAATTTAATTTTCAGTCACCCACACCACTAAATGATGGATCATTTCAATAAATCATAACTCTTTTTGCCATTGAGCAATTCTTTTCAGCTCTTTTTCTGGCCTTCCCACACGGCTGATGCTTGTAAATAAGAAGAAGCTCTTTAGAATGTATTTATTTAAGACCTTCTTCATCTTCTACACTCCCCCTTTCCCAAAATCTCACCAAACATCTGGCTCTTTCATCCTCAATCACACATCTTCGGCTGCCGCATCTTGTCCCACAGAAAAGCGGTGTAAAAAATGAGTTTAATGAGAAATATTTGAAAAGTGAGTGAACGCGGAAAAAAATCGCTACAAGACTCCCACACGTAAAAATAAATCAAATAAACAAATGCTCCGCATTCTCATGAGTCAATTCCTTCTTCCTAAACGCCCAAAGTGATTTTCAACTCGATTATCTCATGTGTGAGCGATGGTAATTAGTGAGGTGGTTGGATATGTTCCTCTTCTTGTTCACTGAAAAATTTTTCTTAAAAATAGACCACGCGCGAGAGCACTCGAGTATGTACCACGATGACAAGGGGCCTTTAATATGCTCCAACGACTCTGGGCCTCTTGTAAATATTTACACTTGAGGAATTCTCTCCGAAAGGATCTCTTCCAAGAAATTCCCATGTTTCACCTTTTACAAGAATCACACAAATAGAACGTTGGAATATGTTTTGGCAATGAACAACTTATGGGAATTATGTAATGATCGCGGTCGCAATTTGGTTCTTTTCATCATAACTTTGCTCACATATAATGAGAATTGCATAAGCATCTTATAAATATATTTTGCCACATTCTGACATTAAATCCATCAAGACAAGATCACTCAAGAGAGACCTCCAAACTTGATCTCCTTCTGTGCGCGCTGTTTTTCCGCCGCCCGCGAAAGAGTGTGTTTTTGTAACCCAAATCTCTCACCCACCCAAACCACATTATTAGTCAAATGACCACATAAATTCATCGCTAATGCTGTACCACAATCACATTCAGACCATTTATTATGCGGGAAAACAACACTTGAGGTGAGAGAAGAGCCACATGATCGCGCGGTGGTGATTTCTTCCCCTCTCGAGAAGAGAACGTGATCAAGCCTCGTGAGAAATGTGAGGAATCTCGTGTGATACAGCAAGACTATTAGTTTGGCGTAAATTGTGATATTCCGTGGAGAGATTTATGATCATCGTAAATGTTCATCATCATTCCCCAAGTAACACTATAAAATCTTCAACGCAATAACACATCATACACTCCGCATTTAACACACACTAATGCCACTAAGATAGACAAATTACTATCAAAATATAATTCAATTATTAGGCAAATTTCCAAATATCCATTCATATTCAAACTACCTCTCCCAATGACATTGTCTTCGGCCCCTTTGCAACCGGTGAGTCCCTTTTTTCCTCTCCTCGCATTCTTCTCCCATATCTAGAGCAGGGAAGTCAAGATGTGTGAGTCCTTTGTTGCCTCTAAAAACCCCCGAAAGCCAAGGAAAACGCATGCGTCCTTCACGAAAACATCTATTCACTACCGAGAGTGCCACGCATTTTCTAAGACAACCTCAAATTTACCCTCTGCAGAAACACTCTCCTGCAACCATAAATTTCAAGTGTTCAGGAACTGTGTGGAGGATGTACAAAGAGTCCCCCTTATACACACATTTCTGCACTCACTTCACCCCAACTGACACCAAAATAACACACAGCAACAGCAGAAGGGTACCTTTGAGCCATATTTTCTGAAATTTTCATGAAAAAAAATTTGCATAAAACACCTATTAGTTCCAGCAAAGACAAGACGTGAGAGTGAGATATTGAAATGGGAACCAGGAACAAGCAGAAACAGGTGATAGGAATGGAATACAATTGGGCAGAGAGTGTCATAATTTCACTCACTGCACGTGAAACACCCCCATATATTTCACGGACGATGCACTTCGTTCGTGCCGAGAATTTGGCAGGTGGTGCCCAAATATCAAAGTGATCTTATCTGCACGTTTTTGCACATTACCCTCACGCAGTTGCACTTTTCCCACTGAGCATTGAGGAAATGAATTTGCCAGCATTGGACAAGAGAATCCTTTTGTGTGTGCGCCTAACACAGAAAAAGCCATTATAGAAAGCCACCCTCTCTGTAAATTTCTCTCAAAAAGCCAGAGAGGAAGGAAATGTTTTTTAGCAAACACGAGTGATATTTGCTGTGGTGCTTAACTTTTCCCCCTAGTCTTCTCTTCTATTGCCTCTTTTCCAATCTACACATGTCCTAATAGAAAATCCGCGTTCATATCGAATTTCTAAGACGAGAAATCTCCCCATTTATTGAATATTTTCTTACAAACTACATCATGAATTTCAAGTGGAATTTTCTTTCGTACGAAATCCACAAGGGGGACTTTATTGAGCGTCCAAAAACCATATCATTAAACTCGAAAGTAGTCCCCTTGCGATGCATTCTCTTTTAAACACTTCCCTCCAAATGGAGAAAAATACCCCTGAAGAGTCTTTCAGGTAAAATATCACACTAAAATATTCCTTTTGATTTGGCCCAGCAACTCTCAAACACCACATAAACTCCCCCTAATCAACTCAATCGAAGCAGAAAACCCTAATGACTTAATATTGTGCTTCCTCTCAGTCCAAAACAACACACTTTCCGTGTGTTTCTCAAGGAATTCACTCTCCGCTTTCCTTAAATAAACACTCACTAATGGGGTATTTTAATGCAATTATTAAGTGAAAATTCCACAACCTTTTATGAGGACTCTCTTTCAACAACAATTTTGCCTCCCTTCAACGTTTCATTGACACACCAATCTCTGAATTTAACCAAATATGAAAAAGCTACAAAACACCCACAAGTTATGCCCTAGCCAACGATAAATTACAATGAGCACAAAAAAGGCCAACAGATCCATATGAATGATTTACGTGAATTAGGTGTGAGATAAAAATAGAAATATAGTATTTTACTATATGAAGAGACTCATGAACAAAAACTGTGATTTAGTATTCACAAAAAAAAGAATCTGAAGAGTTTATGGCCCCATTGATGCTTTCAAGAGTGTGACGCACAAGAAGAATAAATCGGAAGTGAGAGGAACGTGATTTTTATAAACATCCCTCCAATTTTCTCAGCCACGCACTGACGAAATTCCAACATCAATCGATTAATAATTTGGCATCTTCACTTGAAAATATGGTCATAGAGTAAATAAAATAACTATCCTGTTCACACACGAGGCTAAAAATAGCAAAAAGAACTCAAGGGCCCACTCTCTGGTGGGAATTGTTGAGAAATCTCATCCAGATGCCCCAGCATTTTCCATTAACTCTATCGCCTATGTGTTTTGCAATAATCCAATAAGCGCAGATCCCAAACCTTTTCCCCCCCCAACTCCCGGCCGTCCCGCTTAACCACAATCGTGCAGGTAAAAAGACGATAATTTTAGACTGCGGGAAGTGCTGACTGCGGATAAAGTGGAGAGTCCCCAAAACAATATACCCATCTCCAGAGGTGATTGAACTTCCCCGACGCTCACGAAGACAATTGAAAACTTAACAATGCTGAAGACATAAATATATTGAAAATATTGTGCTGAGCAACGAATAAATTGCTGTGTGGATGAAAAACTTTCGAGAAGAGATTCACCCTCTTCACACAATTCGCTTCCTCTTCCTGCACTGTGGAATACCCTACATATCGCATTGCTGTATTCTTCAGAGCGGCATGAGTTCAATTTACACTGCTGTGATAGTGACAAACGAGTGTCCTATTTTATTGTCATTTTATGGGGAGAAAATTATTATAGCATTTCAATTTACGTCTCACGCTGAGATGTCTTTTCTGTCAAGAGAAAAAAAAATTCACGATCGATATCTTTACATTCTTCACTACCAAAAAGGCAATTAGGGACATCTTCACATTATCTTTTTAACTTTTTTATAAGAGACGCACCACACCGTCCACAATGGACAGACGGAAGTCATGATAAACGGGAATGTTTCTCCCTTTGATAGATTCTTGTGGCGTCTATCACGTTCATGCAACACACTCCACACCCAATACAGAAAACTCACAAAGTGGCTAACGTGACTCACATAACTAATGATCAATTCCATTTTCAAAGGCCCCAAATCCCCCCCTTTCCAGGCCACACAATTCCCCCCACAAGGGCTCAATGGTGAGCCAAGGCGGAAGGCTGAAAATGAAAAGGACTAAAAAGAAGAATAATTCACAGTTTGGTATCTAATCACCATATCGTTTACAGGGAGCACCAATTGCAAGGCGCATACACTGTTAAAGAACACCTTCCGAAGTATACAGTGAGGCAAAATCCAATGAAATTCAGAACAAATGCGCCTCATCTGAGTGAGATAACTCACTCTCATCTGAAGCCTCTGAGATGCATTAAAGCTTGGGAAAAAATCCCATCACAATTAAATTATGATGCTATTACTTTCAGTGTGGCATTTTGTGGGGGAGTCGTCTCTTCTCCTGTTACAGCGACATAATCTCTCGTCTCACCCCCAATACTTAAACACACACACACACACTCACGCTTCCGAACCAGTGATTATATTCTTTAGGCAGAACACGGCACGAATGTCTGTCGCCCCGTGCGGTCATCGCGTGATTCCTTTGCATCGCATTCCCCAACTACTAATCACCACCTCTCTTGTTTGACCATATGAGAATTTTCACGGAAAACCATTCACTTCACTGCCCTTCACCCAAGTAAATTGCGGTAAATTGAAGGGGTTGGAAAAATTGTGGGGAGAGCGCGCAAAATATCTGTACGAGCAATGCCCTATCAGTCCGGAAAGTGCAGAGCCAACATGAATAAAGTGCAGAACATTTTTGCACACATCAATACCACATTATCACGCATTGAAGCGGGAGAGGAAAAATTCACGAGGTGGTAAATCTCAATTGGTCTGTGTTTGTAGAATATATTCAGGTAGAAAATCGTATAGACAATAGAAAGTGTTTCCAAACTCGTGCACACCCCCTCACGTTGTATGTTTTTTCAGCATTAATATTTCATTGCAGCAAACTCCCCAATCATTTTACCACTCACACCATCGGGCGAGGAGCCAAAATGTCTGGGGTGCTTTACATACCCAGAGAACGCCGAGAGAGATACACAAGGGAGAGACAGTGGCCTGGAGCCATAGAAACCCACACTGTAAGAAGAGGGGAATTGTGGGAAAAAGTATTCTAGCTCACCTGTAGTTGAGAATGCTCCTGATGTTATACTCATGCTCCGACTCATTCTGCACGGCTTTGTCCAGCACCACACGATCCAGGCGAGCGACTCTGTGCCTCCTCTCGTGGCACTGTAATCTCTCGCCATGCCATTTGCGTGGCTTCCACCGCCTCGGCGGCTCTGGATCCACCGGCGAAGCCTCCACCGTGATGTTCCTAGCACCAATTTCTACTCTCTGCACCTTCCTATCATTCTCATCAATTTCACTATCAATTAGTTCAACGTCGTCCGTCAAATTGAAGCCACTAATCACACTTTCATCCATCACCATAGTCATTTGTGACACTGATGTGGTATTTCCGGCGCTCAGATATCGCCGCTGTCGCGAAATATCATCCTCGCCGATCTCATTCTCCACCTCTGCACCGAAATCTTCGCCCGTCAATCGCTTCAGATACTCCACCAGCATCTTCTCGAGATTCTCCTTCAGCACTATCGTGTCATCCCGACTGGCGCCCACCTTGAAGTTCACTTCCTCATAATCCTCCGCCTCCTCCACATCCTCATCGTACACGGCGCTCTGCTGGCTCTCGTGCGATCGACGAAGGCTCTCCAGGAAGCGCCTTCCAGCCTCCGTCTCCTCCAGACGATTGTCATATCGCGGCTGCAGGAAAGCCCGCACAATGCTGCCGATACAAAAGCGAGGAAAACACATTAACAATACACCGAAGGAAAATCAATGGCACAGTGTGGAGGGAGGAAAGAAAAATCTGTCCATTAACTGTGTCAGCAGGAGATTCACGACGGTGCAAAGCAGACAAAGAGAAGTGCCACTCACCGTCCTTTGGAGTCGAAAAATGGACAGTTGATTTTGTTGTCTGTGCAGTTGGGGGCGAAAGTCGCTTCGAGTATGGCAATAGTCGACTGGTGATCACTACAGGTTAGACGTATGGCTGAATCATGACACCCCCATTCCTCCACCACCTCTGCAAAGACGCGAGAGACATATTTGATTAAACAAACTTTTCTGCTCGAGACACAAATGTTACATAAAAACGTCAGAATGTGACATTTTCCACCGCTCACCCCCCATGCAAAACTCCCCAAAAATCAGACATCAAACGTTTGCAGAAATACTTGGGGGCTCGAAAGACTCCCATAAACGACAGAGATGAAAATATTCGGAATTGCTGTACAACAATTTGCCAAATGGAAAGCATCCCTTGGTGTTAGTTTTCTTACGTTCACAACCACACAACAATCAATCTTTTAGGGGGTGCAAAATCACACAAGGGGCCGAGAGATGTGCAGCCTCAGTGTTAAACAGTGCAGAAACCACTGCAATCCATTTAGGAGGAATCCTCTCCATAAGCATGCAACATTAATAATCCCGAGAGTTTCTCTGGCGAAAATAAAACTAAAATATTTGTATTTTAGGAAGAGTGGAAAGAGCACACAAACCTATTGGTGAGAGTTGTCCAAAAATAGCACTATTAACTCCATCGAAGAGCCCATTCACATTCGATGTGGATTGTTGGAGAAGAAGGAGCAATAAATAACTCAATTTCAGCAGGAATTGCATCTTTGAATTATTGCATCACGGTTGATTTCCCGAAAAAAAATTCCTCGCTCTTCATTCCTCCTCCAACTCACTGTGAATCCAGCGAAATGGTGGAAAATTTGGAAATTGCGCCTCAAGTGTCCATCCACAAATGGCATTTCTATCCTCCCACATTTTCCACGCAACACATCACAGATTTTCCTTCTTTTTTCGGCCCTTTTCTCTCGCACGGTATTTTTTTTCACAGAAAAATCCCACTACTTAAGCCACTTTAAGCACATGAACACATTTTATTTCGTTTCCCACCGCCGTGTCACTTGCCCGGCCAACAAGGGAGAGTGTCTCCCGGATAAAAGGCGCGATTAAAATGCAAGATAAAAATTGGGCCAAAAGAGCATTAATCCTATAGAGACAAGGCAAAATTTCCGAACTGGACGCACTGCACACGCATCTATTCCCATCGAAGAGTCTTCACCAACTGAAGTGAATGGCTTTCGGCAGTGCCTCAAGAGCTCTCTCACATGAAGAGAGGGAGAATAGCGCGATTCGTGACCCTCAAAATGAGACCGGCGTCTTTCGGCGCAGCACTTCCACCAACAACAGACACGACGGCTCGCGCAGGACAGGGATTCTCTCTCTCTCTCGCATCCTCTCCCTGGCAACCTCTTTCATCTCACCAATTCCCATGTGGAGCACCGGAGAGTGAATCAATTGACCCACTGATAGACTTTAGTACGCATAGCATGGAACACAGGGTGAGGCGCCGTTTGACTACAGAAGGGTGCCTGCTGATGCATCCTGACACCTGTTTCCTCTGCTCTAGAAGCCAAAACAGAAAATCCGTACAAACCAATGTCTATTCTTAAGATTTCTCCCTGATAAACAGAACCAAAACATAACAAATTCCTATCTATCATATTTCCTCCTGAGCGAGTGTTCTTGGCAGTAAATTCCACTCTCAAAGGTGGACTTTGGGCATCGATTTCCCTGAGCTGTGAAGGCTGTGCATGTGAAGAGAGACTCCTGGGGATTCCTCCGCTGAGGTGTCACGCTCCGCCGCTCATCCCTTTGCACCACTGTGTCCTCTGCATTGCCATAAAACAATTCTCTCCAGCTGACCAATCCCACGAGATACTTCCCTCCAATCAGGCTCACCAAAGTGCTCAGCAGAATAGGCATCTCCAGTCCAATGTCCATATATAAATCTCCCAAAGTATTCCCAATTGTTGTCACAACAAATAAAATCCTGCTCAAGGAATCCACTTGGATGAAGGACAGAATAATCATGCCCATGAAGAGAAAGCCAGCATGAAGCAATCCTCTGTAGACATTAATTCCACCGAGTATGCTTCCAATCCATTCACTATTGCGATTAATATCCTCTTGCCAGGCATTGATTGTCTTCAAGAGCAACTCAACTGTCGATTGAATATTTCCCAGGTGGTCCAGTGTCATTCTGTACTGGCTGGAGATCTTCTCGATTTGCTCTAGTAACTCTGTATTTGCCGCAGAGATTTCCTTTGCAATTTTCAAGGTGTTCTCATGCAATTTCTCTAGGTCAGAGCCAAGGAGAGTGCTTGTACTTGTGATATCACTTGAGAATTTGTTGAATTCCTCCAATGTACTCTCTGCAAATTAAATGAGACATACATTTTTAATCTTTCGACACTGTCTTGAGAATGTTTCCTACCAATTTTTTGCTTGTGTGATTCCATCCACAAAGAGTTTTCTCGAGAAGCCTCCTTAACACTTGCCATGGATTTCGCACTAGAATTTCACTGCATGTTTAGAGTTGCTCAGATCAACCCAAAGATTTTCCCAGGGATAGCAAACTTGTCTTACCGAATAAAGTCTATCAGCGTCAGAATCTCTCTCTCCTTATCAGCTATGCGACTGCTGGTGGTGTCAATTAATTCTTGAAGACTTCTCTGATCCTCCACAAGCCGATCTGACGCCTGAAGCTGCTCGTGAGCTGGACAAAACATCAATATTTATTTTACGAGAACATTAAGCCGCTGAGGAAATTTCTCACCAAAGTCTGTAAGCTTATTGACAGCCTTCTCTGCCCAGAGGCGATATTGCTGTTGTCCCACGGCAATACAAACAGCCTTAGCTCTGGTGGCCATCGTCTGATAGGCAGAATACGCATCGGTGTCAATAGATGACACACAATCCCTGAGTGACATGCTCTCTGAGCATTCCAGCACGATCCTGCCCTCTGACTGGCGCTGGCAATTCACCAACATCACAGATAGTTTTCCCAGCTCCTCTTCATTCATTTCCCGGCATTGTTTACGCAACTTGAGTACTACTCTCTGTTGGCACCTGTCCAGGCTCGAGGGTGATTTCGTGCCGGACAACGACAGCACCTCCTCGAGGAACGTCGTCTCGTGCGGCGTCAGCTCGAAGAGTATTTTTGGCACATCGCCAGCTGAGGAGGTCTCCCGGACTGTCTCTGTGGAAGGCCAAATATTCCAATTATTTCACCCGACATAACCTTGCTTACGACTTCTTATATACCCAAATTCGCTGGCCAGATGAATTCTATCACTTGATCCAGAAATCCCAGGGCTTGCACATCGACGAAGATAACAAATAATGAGAAAATCAGGATGACAAGCCTAAAATATATGTAAATTTCCAAGTAGACAAGACAGAAATCATCATTGACAACACTCACCTCATTTCTAATTGCACGAATATATTCCCGGTGCTCCTTCAGCAATTTTGGCAACTACAATAATACACCAACCAAATCGAATCACTTGCGTAAACCAAATCTTGTTGAATATTTCAAAAAACAAGTAAATACAAGAAATTATAAGCAATCAACGTATTTTCTAGCGCGATTGGCGATTTGACGTCTTGTGGGCATTTTTAGGCATTTGTGCTCATGTGGAGGTGGCGCTGTGATCACCAAAATGCTCCGATTCTGTGCTCACTTCACACGAATCACTTGGATTGAAAAAGCGCAGAGACTGGCAGCGACGCTTTTGTTTTTCTCGTGAAAAGGACTCGATTTGGCATAATTTCTGTGTTTTCTGTTGTGCAAAGTCTGCAAGCAAGATGGATGAGTTAGTTAATAAGGTGGGATCCTTCGTGGGGATGGTGACTGAGAGTCGAAAGGAGCGACTGGCTATGATAGCGGTGAGTAAAAACGGTGACTCGAGGTTAACTCAAAAAGACTCATTTTCCCATGGATTTTCTCCTTTTTCTCCCCAGCACTTTACAAGAGAGATGGAAAAGAAGTATCTGGAGAATCTTCCTGCGCAGATGCAGTCAAAGAAGAAGAGAGTGGCTCAGGATGACCAAGGTAAGCGCGATTTCCTGGGTTGGAAGTGCAACAGATGACTGACAACATTTACTTTTGACTTTCAGACAAGGAGAATGAATCCAGTGAGAAGATTGCAGAGTCTTCCAATTCACAACCGGCTCGCAAGGATGAGTTTGCAATGCCCGAGCCGGTGGCACCGCTGAGGCCCGTGAGGACAGCTAAGGTGAATGCGTCGAAGAATTTGAAGGAACCAGATTTGGGAACAAAAATGAGACAGCCGGGAAGCAATGAGATGTTGGTGGCGGTGAAGGAGGAGCCAGCAGATGAGCCTGTAGTGGTGAAGCGAGAGACGCGCACCAAGAAGAAGCAGAAAAAGGCGCAGACCGAATTGGCGCCTCCGGAAGTGCCACAAGAGGAAGCGCGTAACAGCAATTCTGTGGAGCTCATTCCGCCCAAGGAGCCAGATCTCGTGGAAGTGGCTTCTGACGAGGAGATGCCTCCGCCGGCTTTACCAGCGCCCAAGAATCGCCGTGGTCGACCCAAGAAGAAGGCGTCAGTGAATGTTGTGGAGCGCCCTGTCCGGGAGTCAAAGATCAAGAAGGAAAAGTTGTCCGTGACCCCAGCACTTCCGGAAGCTCCAGTCCCCGACAGCTCGTCGCGAAAGGCTTCGGGAGAATCCCAATATGAGGACGCACTGGCTGAGGCGCCGGCAGAGCAGCCCGTAGAGCATCCGCTGGAGATGAATGCCACTTTTGACATCGCACCGGCGAATGCCGAGGCAGAGAAGATGCCAGAAAATAACAACAGCCTGATGACAGAGGATAATTCGATTGAGGTGCCGGCGGAGGAGCCGAAGAAGGCGTCTCTGCGGAAGCCTCATCCGCACGAGCTGTTTAATCCTTGTGTGCAAAGTCCGATGCGTTCAAAGGTGGAGGCTTTCGAGCGTCATGCAGCCGCCTCGGCGGGACTTCGCTCAGGGACTCGCACGCCGCTCGGGACCCCATCGCATGGTGGCCATCCGGTGCTGCAGAAGGCCGCATCCACTTCCAAACTAGCTCACATCGTGACGGGAGCAAAGAAGAAGACAAAATCCAACGCTCCGGCGTCGGCTGGGAAGGTGACGCGCTCCACAAGTGCTGAAGACACTAAGCGTGCTCTGAATCCGCTGCTGCTGGTGGCGGAGGAGAAGCGAAAGAAGCGCGAGGAGCGCCACAAGTTGGCACAGCAGGCCAGGGAGGAGAAGGAGCGCGAGAAGCAAGAGCGCCATCGCCGGATGATGCTCGAGCAGCAAGAGCGTGAGGAGAAGATCCGCCAGGAGCGGCGCAAGGCGGCGAAGATCAAGCAGCAGCAGGAGTTGGAGCAGAGGAAGCGTCTGGAGGAGCTGCAGAAGGCGCAGAGCGGCAAGGGGGCGACGGCAAAGGCGCTCAAGTATGGCTTTGAGATGCTCTGCAGCGATGATTCCACAGACGACGAGGGCAAGTCGTCAGCGAAGCGCCCCACGCCGCCTCTATGGAGTGTAAGGCCGCATCGGGATGAGCTCGTGGCCATCCAGGAACTGCTGCCACCGAAAATCGCTGACACACTCTTCATGGCGGCGCCAATGACTCCCAATCTGAAGGAGATCTTCCCGAGCATCGATCCCAAAGATCTGCACAGGAATTCATCAGCAGTCTGGAAGACGCCACCGAGATTCTCCGATCTTCCCAAATAATTGAATATTAATCGCTATCCATTCTTAACGTCTTTGATTTTTAGCAGATTTTTAATTCTCTTAATAACCCACTTATGTGAAATGTACTGATGATTCTATTAAACTCCCACACTTTTATTGATTTTTCTTGTGATTTTATGGAAAGTTGCAAACGAAAACCGGAGAGGATGGATCGATTCAATGTACTTTTCTTAAACTTTTCCGATATCGCTGCTGGACTTCAGTTTACTTCTGTCCAAATATTAAACTGGGTGAAGCCCGCTCTATCTGTAATCGCACACAAAAAGGAACACTCGCAAAATCGACTAAAATTACAGGTTTCATCCGTTTGCCGGGACGGATTGGTCACATTTTGAGATGTTTATTTATTTCGTTCTTTTTACCTTCCGCTGGTTTGGAGCGGATTTATGTTCTGTGTTTACTACCGAATATTTAGGAAATTAGTGGAATGTTTAATGGATAACTAAGATTTGCATATGGCGCTAAATCACTTCGACTTCTCTTTATTTCTATTTATTATCATCTTCGGTATATACGCGGGAACATGTGTTAATTGAGCGCATCAGTGTTGGTGTCGTAAATAAGCGCTAACAATATATTTAAAGATCGACTGTTTAGGTCTTTTAATTCACCTGATAGATTCAAGAAACCAAATTCAGACGACGTATTGCTTTCCGGGTCGAATTGCACCACTTTCTGTAAGACAGAAAAAAGCAAATTATTAGAAGTTAAGTCACTTTTAAATTGCCATTCTAATTACCAGTGGAATGTTTGATGCCATTGGAGCCATTCGAGCACATAAAATTTTATCTTCCAAAAGAACAGTTCTCATCGGACCAGCGATATTCAGCGTCGCCACGATACTCCACACATTTGCTTTGGGATCGTATCTCTCCACGGATCTTAAATGGTTATAGAAGGTATAGGGATCGTAACACCCGCCGAAAGCGTAGATGTAGTCCCTAGTTGCTGTCACTCCCATAGAATGTCGCAGTTCCACCATGGGAGCCGAGTAGCTCCACTCCTTCCGGTACGGATTGTAACACTCAACAGAATTAAGGCATACACCATCACTGCGTCCGCCGATCACGAACAATCGTTCTTGGAACGCTACAGCTGCAGCATCGCTGCGACCAGTCTGCATCGGAGTTTCCATGTTCCAGATTCCGTTTCTCAGATCCAATCGCTCCACTGTGGTCTGGTTATCGGTACCACTGCCTTTGCCACCAAACACATAGAGAGATTGGAGAAATCCATCCAGAACTGCAGCACAGCATTGAGTGCGCTTCGAATTCATCGGTGAGAGGCTGGAAGAAAAGATAAATATTGGGATTAAAGCTATTCAATTAGCACTTTTTTCAGTAATATTCACCTTTGTATTGTCTTGGATTTGATATGAAAACTGTTCACTTCCTTTGAAAGTCCAGCAATGCCTCCAGCGTTTCCTCCAATGACAATTATATTGTTGTTCTCAAGAACTATGCCACAACCAATCCGATTAACCCTAATTTCCGTCTCAGGGATCCACTGCTTCGTTTCAGGACAATACGATTTGAGGTGATGACAATCCCTGCTAGAATTGTAGATCACAGCCATCAACTTTCCTTTTATTGATCGACGAATCTTTTGGTTAGACATCGGAGCACAGCGTTCCGGAATTAATTTCCACTCGACAGCTTTCCATGCCAAATCCTGGCAATTCGTGCTCTCGCACAACGGCTTCACCTCATCGACGAAAAGCTGGAAAAGAAAGAAAAGAGAGCATTATTGAAGAGTTGAGAAACAAGAGCTTAATCATCTAACCTTAGAACTAAGCCGATGAAGTTGGATGAGCGGCAAAAGATAGCGAATGTAATCCTTCCGTTTCTCGGAATCGTGCTGAAACCACACCAGCAACGCTCGGAAGACGTCTTCCTCACGTTGAGACGATGACACGTTGAGATCATCCTTGGCCAACAATTTGCCCAGTTGCTCGACAGAGAGCTGAAGGAACTCCCCGTTCTTGTACACTTGTAGAAAGTGCTGGCTTATGTACTTCCTTGCTGCTTTCTCGAGAGACTCACAACTGAGTTGATCGGCAAAGTCAGCCAGTCCCAGGCAATTCGAGGGATTGAGATGACGTTCCAGTAAAGCACAGCAAACTTTCACCACGCCGTCCAATTGAAGGTGATTTCCCGAGCTCATGAGCGTCTTCACGGATTCCACAGAACTTTCCTCGCTCAGCTCTATTTCTCCTGTGTAGCAGTACTTCACCAGACGCCGAAGATCGTCTCCCGAAATCCCGCTGAGAGTCACCTCTTGCTCCTGAGATTCCCGGAAGTTTCCCGCGAACATTGCTTCGAAGTAATCAGTAGCCGCTGACAGGACAACGCGATGAGCTGGGATTCTGTGAAATAGCGGCCAGGATATGATTCTTAAGAAGTCAAGACAGTGGAAAACCGCGAACTCACATCTGCTTATCTTCTCCAGCGATCAGCATCACGTCGCAAAGTGTCTTGTTCTCCTGAAATAACCACATTTTCTTACTCGAGCGAACAACATGATCTTGGGAAGATCCTTGATCATTTCTCTGGTCGTTCGAATTCGGACCTTCCATTCCGCAGCCATTCTTCTTCAAATTGGGTCTGTACAGGCACAATTGAGCTTCTAATCTCACAATTCCTTTCACGTTCTTTCTTCAGACACGCACAATGAATGCCGACAAAACCCTGAAACCTCAAGCGATCATAATAAATAAAGCTGAAGTCAGCAGCATTTGGGGGAATCCCCCCAGAATAAGGATTTAAACAGCGCCGCTCCGCAAACTGCCGCAATATCGCAGGACAAAAATACGCAGAGGAAATATGAAGGACACGAGAAGCTAACGAAATCCGTGAATAAAAGCCGAAAAGCAACAATTTTACACACCACTCAGTTTTCCTGCTTTTCATTTGCCTGTTCAACTGATCTGCAGCGCTGCATTTCGAATAAATTATTTAAATTCCGGGTGGGCGTTTTGGGCGTTTTTTATGCGTGTGGGCATTGTTGAAATGGCGGGAATTCGGGCATAACCACAAATGCGCTTCAACAAAACAATTATGTTTCGCGTTCTTGTGCTCCAAAGAACTTCTAAAATTCAGTGCAATGGAGTGTGTAATGTGCACTAACATCATACAACCAGCAATACGTCGTTCAAAAAGACTGCAGAATAAACCGGCTGACATTCCGCTCTGTTCTCATCACAGTTATCTCAAGGAGAAGTGCATCATTTGCTTCGAGGGGCTCTGGTCAAATCGAGGTCGAAAAACTAAGAATTTGCAAGTAATCTATCGATGCCGATATTGCAGAGTCACTACAAAGACTCACCGGAAGTGCCTTGAGAAGTTTGCATCGTGTGCCGGATGTGACTTGAAGTGCTTTTTCTGCTCTGAACCTGAATTCAGAGACTACGTTGAGTCCCAAGGAATTGATGTTCCGGAGAGTGGATTTGCTGTTCAGGATGATGTCTCGAAAGAAATCTGCAACTCTCCTGAATGCAGCCGAGAATACACACTGATCAGGAAATGTGATGCTTGTGGATGTTTTTCCCACGAAGAGTGCCTCTTCATTCTGGACAACAACTTCTACTGTGACGTCTGCATTTCCGTCTTTAAACCTCCGGAAGTGCGGGAATCTGACACTGTCAATGTTGCCAAAACCCAGACCAATACTGAAGATTCTGCAGGATCTGATCCGGTGCTGATTCCGACTGCTGAACACGTCCCAGACAAGGATTATGATATCCTTGGAACAATTGATTTGATGACGGATTCGGAAGACGACGACGTCGAGCATCTCTTCGATCTTATGGCGCGGCCGGCTGTAAAGAAACCCAGGAAGATGCCTTTGCCACTGCCACCGAAGACATGCAAAATTGATGCGGATCTTCACTACTCTACATATCACTCCGAAGACTTTGCTCACAAGTTTTTCTGAGAGCGAAAATAAATGGTAAGACGACTTGAATAGAATTAGTTCTTTTCCAACAATGATTGTTCTTATGCCTAAAGCACACCTTAAATTTATTTTCATTACAAAAGCCTATGAGTATTTAATTATTGTAGTCCTCATCATCGAAATTCCAATCAAGTTCTGGGCCGGATTGGAGAGACTCTTCACTGAAGCCCTGTAAAGAAAAGTGTGTTTTCAACTTGTGTTCACACACAATTCACTTCAGTACTCACATAATCCCAGCTGCCTGGATTTGGGTAGGAGCACGGGTAGCAGACGACGTAGGCAATCCCGGAATTGTGACCAGTGCACTCACAAGTCTGGCACTCTGGCGGTGCTGCTGTCTTGACCACTCTCTTCGCGAAGACCGTCGAGAACTTCTTCACTGGGTTCTTCTTCTCCGAATTTCCTGGTCGCAATTTCTTGGCTGAAAATACCGATCCTGAACTCTCGATGGCCAGTGGAGTGCACAATCCCAACGTGGCCTTTGGCAGACGCACTTGCTTCCTCAACTCAGTGTCGCCCTTCAACTCATGCAGATCCTTCTTAGTGTACGCAAAGTCCCTGTCCATGCCGAAGAACATCCTACCGGCTCTGCCCTTGTCGAAGAGAATCTCCTGATCCATGAGAATGTGAAGCTTTATGCCATTCTCCAGCAGCAATTGCAAGAGGGAAGAATAGTCAAATTTACTATCACTGGACTTGCACTCGGAGCAGGGCAAAAGGATGAACGTCTTAGACACTCCTGGCCTGAAGTTCAACTTCGCAGCCACACTGATAGCCTGGAAGATGTCACGATTTGTTCCATTCCCAGTTCTAATGTAATCGAAGAACTGGACAAGATTCTTGGCCTCGGTGAACACTTCGTTATTCACAACAACACTCCTTGGCTTGTCGAACGGACTCTCGCCTCCGAAGGCAATCACGGAATATCTGGAACACGAATTTCAAAATTAACATTCTTTCTGTTAAATGTGGCGATTTCTGTACCTATTCTCAGTGAATCCAGCATCAAGAAGTTCCTTCTCCAGAGCGCTGACCACAGATGAGAGACTCTTTACATTCAGAAGATTCTTGTTGCACTCCTTCGCTTCGACGATGAACACCACATCTGTCGTCTGAGTCACTTCCTCCTGGAAGCTGAGGAAGGTTCCCTCGGGAACGAAGGTGCCATTGTGCAGTTCACAGAAGACACATACGTCTGGCACGCGCAAGAGTGTCTTCTCCATATTGCAGGCCTCAATGTAGGCCAAAGCAGCTGTACAAGCTCCTCTCGGACTGGGATTTCTGTCCTCAATCACATTCTCGATGGAGTTCTCACTCAAATCGATGCACATCTCAAAGAACGGCGTGGTGTCGACCACTGAGAAGCAGGGTGAGAAGTAGGAAACCTTCGTGTTGAAGAACACGTCGCAGAGAGTTGTGTTGTGCTTCGAGAAGTCCTTGATCTTCTCATATTTTGGCGTCTGGTGGCACTGATTCAGAGCCCAACTCCTGATGAAGTTATCCTCAGATTTGGTGACGCTGTTCGCACTCGTGGTGAAGTCATCGGCCATTTCGTTGTTCATTGTGCCCAAAAGACCGGCAGTCTTGCCGAAATACCATCCACTGAGCTCCAGCGTGCAGATGTCGAACTGCAGATTGCAGACCAGATCGAAGCCCTTCTCTGACTGCACGTAAATCACATCGGAATCCCTGTAGATGACAGTGTCTCCAATCAATACTGGCAGTGAAGCCACATTGTTCCCAATTCGCACAGCCTGGCTAAGGATGTCCAAGGAAATGACTTCATTCTCTACTATCAGGGAAAGTTTCCTGGTTGATATCAAATCATCTGCATGCGTGATTATCGATGGCTCCATGACCAGCGTGAAATTGTAATCCAGCCAGTCTCTGGCCAGCAAATACGAACACTGATCCGGTTTCACGTCCTGCTCAATTAGGCCGTATTTCACATTCAGCTCCACAAATCTCCTGTCGAATGTCATGTAGTGGCGCGATCCGATGAGGAGGGATGAGGATTTGTACGGTGGGAACCAGATGTTGGGATCCAGTTGTCTCTTGATCTCATACAAAGCCATCCAGATGGAGAAATTGGTGCCCGTGAAGAAGTTCTGGGTGTCGTGAATCAACTTATACTCTGGAATCTCCTCAAACTTCGGTGTCTCATTGAAGGCATGCCAGGACATGGGAAGTTTCTGCTCCAGTTGAATCACTCCAGTGTCAGGATCGAAGACAAACTTGGTTTTCGCTTCGCGATATCTATCGTCCGCCTGAAGAGCCGTTTGTGCGAAACTCAAGACTTCCGTCTTCACGAGATACAGCAATTGTTGAAGACGTTTTTCCAATTCAAGCTCCTCAATTATCCACGTGATCTTCGATTGAACTTCACTGACGCGTTGCATGAAGAATTGCACCGTCTCCAGTTTCTTCAGTCCCTTGATCTCCTCCCACAATTCCAGATAAACCTCATGCAGTTCCTTCCCGAAGGGTACAAACTTGAAGTACTTGTCCTTAAGGAACTGCCACACAATCACTGAGTACTTCTTAATATTTGTTATGGCATCGTTCTGAACAAAGTCTTTGTACACTCTATCGAGATCCTGAGTGAAGTTGGAGACTTTGTTAAAGTAGGGCGATTCGGCGAACTCATTTGTCCTCTTGTAGAGGAAATCGAACACTTCCTTGCTCACATTCCACATCATCATCTCCACGTAGTGAGCGAATTTTATGATTGACGGCTCGATGTTCTGCAGAATCTTTTTCCAATACGACGCCAGCATGTCCGTTAGTTTCGTGTAGAGATTCTCAACGTACTTGATCAGCGAAAGATGAAGATCCTTTATGAACTTGTCATATTTCTCCACGGCTTTTCCCAGAATCGAAGAAATATGCTCCAGAGATTCTCCGTGGAGGATCTTTGAGATCATTTCCACGAGATTCTTGTAGGAAATCTTGATTGTGTCTTTGAGCCAAATGATAGATCTCCTCAGCGCTTGACCTGACTCGCCCATAACATGCCACAACTCCTGGAGAATCTTCGGCACAGATTCGATGTGATTCCTGATCGCAAGCTCATCTATAATAGTGAGGGTGAAATTCACCACAGATCTGACATAGAAGTCGTTTGCTTCGTACGAGGCATTAAGGAAATTGTGGAATTTTTCCAAATCATCCTCCAGGAATTTCAGTTCTCTGCAATAGAAGAACAGTATTATAGACCAAATCTTTAAGTATTCTCACTCTTTCTTACCCAACATCTTCCAGGAAGTCTTCAGTGTATTGTTTGGCATTGTACCAGACATCCTTGATGGTTTCGTTTGTCTCTGTGAAAATAGTTTTCACCCAGTAGTCAATATCATCAGCCATGGAATCGTAATAAGTTCCGGCGGTTTTCTTTACGAAATTCTTGAGGTCCGCCTTAATCTTTGGTCGCCAGATAATCTTGCTCGTGACCAAGCGGGAGTGATTCATCTTGATGTACGACGAAACATCCACAACACGAATATCCTCGTAATCTCTCAGGAAGTAGAATGAAGCACTTCTTGAATCGGGAATTGAGCCGTACATTTGAATATTCTGAGTGGCATCGGGCGTGAGATTTACAGACATCTTCACGAATTTGTCGTCAAAATTGACAATGAACTTCAGTTTCATGTCTGTCTCTGGAGTATCTTCGATGGTTCCATTGATAGTGTAGACGGGATAAAATCCATCAGCTTTAAGCCAAAATTTGTTGGACTTCAAAGGACTGGCTCTCTAAAGGAGTAAGAAGAGGACATTAATCATAGTCTAACAATAGTTTGAATATTACTCACGTGATATTTTATCTCCTTGTTCCTCACATCAGCCAATCCCATGAGAACTCCCTCGGCCAGTGGCAAGTAACTTCTCTTGTACCTTCCATTGTTGATCGTGTTGTAGAATCCAGGCTGAAGTCCTAGAGATCCTGCCACGTGAAGATCGAGTTCAGATATCTCATGCCATGAGTATATCAAGTAGGAGTAGTTTTTGTATCCCACAATATTTGTCCAATCCTTAATTTCGAAGCCCAATCGAAGTTCATGCTCGGGTTCATCGCAATAGTTGACTATCGCGTGAGTTTTCAGTAAATCACTCTCACTTCTGTACCACAATCCCTTGAGAGTGACATCCTCAGTGAAGGACGGATGACCAATTGAGAATTTGCAAGTCTGATTGTCCTTGTCAGATCCAGTTAAGGGATGATTTCTCCACTCAAGCCCAGCTTTCATGACTTTGGGGTCCTCATCATGCTGACTGTTCCACTTGAGCGACACGTCGGAATCGAAGGTATCGTCTGTGACTGCGTACCAACCAGAGGCTCCCATGTTCCTCTTAGGATAGGACACTTCAATGGAAAACACCTGAGATTCGTTGTCTGCTCTCGAGAGATTCTGCAGCTGCCAATCATAGGCAATCCACACGGATGGCGCCAGCTGAAGCTTCGACTTCTGCTTCGTCGTGCTGTCCTGATAATCGTACTCAGAAGTGAAAATCACTGTTCTGTTGGGATGAATTGCCAGAATCTTGTACTCCTGACCAGTTATCGTCGTTCTCACGTGCAATTCTCCAGTGATGTTGTAAATCTTACTGTTTCTCAGCTCGAAAAGCTCTGCGTGCTTCATATCGTAATCAGGATCGTCCGGACCAGCAGATTGCCTCATGTGAACATAGTGAATACCGACGGGTTTCAAGTTGTTTTCCAGAGCAATATTCACTGTTTCCTTCTCAAATCCTGCCCTGGATTCCGTCTTGCAATTGTACGTGCCATCGAGGACTTTTCTGTTGTTATATTCCACCACGGCGTTTCCTGTGGTCAACATGGGGCGCTCTTTGAGTCCGTACACGATGTTTGCGTAATGTCTCGACTCCACAGGGACTTCGAGTTTGATCGTGCCTTGGAAATCTCTGTTCAAATTGACAGATTTCAGTACACTCTTAGAGTCGTAGACTGCAAAATTCGTGGGCCAAGTGACTTTGATGAATCTATTGGATTCCCCGCCTTTTGTCATGAAGTCAAAGTCCCCACGAAGCCACGTGAGATTGAAGAAAGGTGTCGTGGAGTTGATCATTCCTTTTGTGTTGGATAAACTGGAGAACGACACATCGGCGTCTGCAATTTGTCTTGTTGAGGGAACGAATAGTTTTCCAGCCACTACGTGATAGATATCCTTGTAGTCGTAGCTGCCGCTGGCTTTCAGTGTATCCACAGCGTGAAGAGGTGTTGCCACTCTCACAGCAAATTCCTTTCTGATGCCCTTTCTCAGCATCTGCATGAATGCCTCAGCGCCATCCTCTCTGGCATTTGGTCCCCATTCCACACGCAAGAATCCCTGCAGATCCGAAACATTCCTGAACTGTCCACGAGATGCAAGGCGTCTGTTTGACTCAAAGGCTTCATATCGTGCCTCATAATTGATTTCCATATTCGGGTCCTTTGTGCCTGTGAGAAATAAGGATAAAATGAGAACCTAATTGAGAATCCCAGAATAGATAATGATACTCACCGACATTCCCTCGATATTTCCCAAAGAAGTGGTGAACATCTCCAACAGGTTTTGGGAGACGAATCGTTGCACTCATGCTGATGTCCTTCACAGAAGGAATTGCAAGACTCGTATTAGCTTCCAAACGCCACACATTATCCACATTTATACTTCCCCCCAGTTGAAGGCGATGCTGATTCCTATTGGGATTCACATATTTGAATTCAGTCAGGAGGAGTCTCTCATTCGCCTCTGATCTCTGAACTTTGTTCTCCAACAGAATCTGCATGTTTTCCATGAGAATCCATGACCATGAGACTTTGCTGTCACCCTTCACAGTGGGCAAATTGTATGATCCATAAATTTCTCCTGCATCACGAGAAACTTTCGCCCATGAATCCAATTTAATTTGCTCCAAACCAAGATGCGTCCAAGGTGAGTTCAATTCGAAATTTCCATTCAATTTGCCACTCCTCTCCGGCAATAGAGTGCAATTCATGTTTACTTTGCCTATTTCTGGCTCCGATGATGCCATTGTGAGAGCGTAGCGCCAATTGAATTTACTTAGATACGAAATTCCACCTCCGATTTGTAGGAATTTCTCTTCCTGTTCTATTTTTGCCTGGAATGTATGGCCATTTCCGCCCTTGACGTCATTAATTATGAAGATCATGGAGCAATTGGGCTCCCCTGTGATTGGTTGCAGCACAATATTCACAAGAACAGGAACATCGTCCTTGATGTGAAGGTTTCCAGAGACGTGATACAGAGCAGAAGTGCGATTCAGGTGACCGTGGATGATGTATTGCCCTTTCGTTGCTGTTGTCGAGAGGGTCCCGTGGAGGGAAACATTTCTGTAGTTCTCAAGAGGAGAGTTGATTTCTAGTTCGACATTTCGGTCTACTTGCTGAGCGCGTGTCTGGAAGACCATTATAGAACTGTCTTCGGTCTGATAACCCACCCTGAAAACGGCCAGGGGATGAGGTCTTCTGGTGATTAGGATGGTTCCATCGATCATCTTCACTTGCAAATAAGTTGTGCGGATTTTCCCTTTGGCGCTGACATAGTGCAAGTCGTCCTTTCTCCAAGACGTCCAGATGTGAAGATGGTTCTGCGTCCCATTGTCTTTCGTGTCGAAGCCGAAGTCGAAGGTGTTGTCCGTGGTGGTGGAGTCTCGCTTGAAGAACACCTTGTACATGTAATTGGGCACAAGAGGCGCCTCCAGACTCATGCCAAGCGATCCATCCATGTACGTTTCATCGAGATCGAGATTGCCAAAAACTGAGAGCTTAGTCGTGTTGGTATTCCCTGAAAGATCGACCTTGTAGTTGTTTTCTTCCACCTCAAGAAGACCGTCAATGCAGAGGAACGGCATAAGCTCAAGTGGTGTCTTGAACTTGAGCTGAACATCATGCACGAGCAATTCATGAGCATCAACACGCTTTGAATAGTTCATTTCTAGTCCACTCTCAACCCATGACAATCTATTGAGGTAATTTAAGTCCACGCCAAAGAGATAATTCATATTGCGACCTCTCAAGTCGACTTTCATATGATAATTGGACTTGATCTCCTTCACAGTCGGGAAGGGTGTCACGATCTTCAGCGTGTTCCTGTGCGTCATGAAGTCGGGGAAGTAGAATTTGTCCCGGATCTCAATGATTCCCTGCGGAAGAATGAGTGTTCCGAAGCTGTAATATGTATCATCGACTTCTTCCACGTCTAGATTGCCTTTAAGTGTCGGCCAAATTATGGTATCAAGTTCAAGGTAAGCAATGAAATTCAGATATTCATCCTCATCATCATAATCTTCACTATCTTCATCATTTTCCTCCTCTTCCGCATTGTCAGTCGCATCTTCCTCCCCTGAGAAAAGATCATTGATCACGTTGTGAATATTTTTGAGATGAAGCTGCCTGATTAGAGTTGGTTTGGGCTTCGACACAAGTTTATATCCCACTTTGTATTGTGCAAATTTGAATGAGCATTCTGTATCCAATTCTGAATCTGTCTTTAAAAGGCGCACGACAAGTCCATTTTCTTCGAAGTTCTCCAAAGGCGTGTAAACATTGTAGGAGTATTCAAAGTTGGTGAATTCCACAAATCTCCAAACACCAACAAAGCCCAGAACCACCTTGTTCCATCCTCCACGGAAGTCCACCTTGTCATTCTGCATCAGTGCAATGAGGATCACCTTCTCGAAGGCCTCCAGCGGTGTGGCCAAGTGGAATTTGATGTCAAAATTGGTGAAGGAGTTGACGAGGAAGAGCAACTCGACACCCAATGAATCCTTAGGAGCTCTCACTTCGGCCACGATGTGTCTGCTTCGTTCATTGATGCCAAATCTTCCCACAATGTTCCTGAATCTCTCAATTGGAGTCGTGATATTCACCACCAACATGTTATCTGTGATCTTCTTAATGTGTCCCTCAACCGCCAGAGTGAATTTCTTCTCCTCCAGATCCAGATCTGCTGCTCCCTTGAGTTGGCGCTTGTCATTCAGAGAGAATTTCGTCACAAGAGCGCCTGATGTGTAATTCTCAAAAGGACTCCTGAAAGCCACTGATCCAGAGACATTCTGGTACTCAGAATTCACGTCGAATTGCCAGGCGGATTTGATGGAGTAAGTCTGTGATCTCTCACTGTGTGCTGTGTGCTTCACGGTGGCATCCGTGTCGACTTTCTTATCATCGTGGCGGTGCTTGAAGTGAATGCTAAATGTGGGCATAATTGCAATTGAACTGTTAAGTGCTGTGCGGAATTCACACCCGAACACTGGATCCTTAATCTCGTAATCTCCCATAAATTCAGCTCCCAAGTAGTTTTCGCCCCAAACGACACTCCCATTGAGCAGCAAAAGGTTGTTATTGTAGTGAAGGCCAGTGTTGATCGAGTTCTGCTTCCATCCGTCGAAGGGAGTGTTGATGATAATGGTGGTCCAGATATCCTTAACCGGACCAGGTAAATTCCCACTTTCGTACTTCAACTCGATGGCCTCAAAAGAACTCCAGCCAAGTCTTGCATTCGCTTTTGTGATAGCATCTTCGGACTTGTAATCAAAAGTACCACTAAAAGTCCTCTCGGGATAGGCAATAATAAATCTTCCATCGTAAACCTTCAGTTCGGGCGTGTTGAATTCACCAAAAATAGCCAGTTTCTGTGTTGGATCGCGATTGGCATCCCATTTCACCTCGACTCCTGCCTCTTTCTTCAGCTCATTGGATAAACATCGCAAGATCACGTGAATATCGCGGTATTTGTCCAGATGAATCTCTACAACGAGTTGTTTGGGCTGCTGGGAAGTCATATTGGCGGACATCCAGTACAGTTTGTCCTTCCACTTCACCTCCATGTTCGTGTAGGTTTCGAAAGGTGATATTTCAGAATACTTCAAACTCAGTCCATACGGATAACCACCGTAATCCACTTGGCAATCCACAATCACCTCGTATTCATCTCTGGAATATCTGGCGTCGACTAGAGTGTCTTGGAAGGAAGGACTTTGGATGCTTAGCTTGATGTGATGGAACGTTTTGATGGCCGAACTGCGATCTTCGTACTTGCCAAGGGCGGTCATTGAGTGACCAGAGAACCATGTTCCTTTGAAGTCAATCTAAAAAAAGATAACACATTACAATATTGTAACAAATATTGGAAATCACACACTCACGTTGTAATCCTTTCTGGCCTTCTCGTAGAGCTTCAGATTGACTGTGCAAGAATCGAATGTTGGCACTGTTAGATTGAGAGCTGCATCCACGGCGAATAGTTGTCTTCGTGGGAAGAGAAGTGAGAGAACTCCAGTGATTTCCTTCTGAGGCGCATATCTAGCCAACACGAGAATGTTGTGCTCAGAGCCATTCTTTGCCTTCTCCTCGTACTTGATCATGAACTTGAGGTCAGTCTTTGAGATTGGACGAGTGAGTTCAATTGAAGCTGTCGTTCTGCCGTTTTCCATGTGATGGAATCTCGCAAAAATCACTCTGACGCCCAAATTGTAATCAGGATTCACCAGATCCTTGGCATTGTTGAAATTCAATCGCCACTCGGCGTGTCCCATCGCAGAGACATACTTCATGTTGCTGGCAAAATTGTACTTCTCATAGGCTGTTGTCTGTAATTTTGCCGATCCTTGATAGTCCGTTCTGGCCTTTTGACTCCTGTTCGCAATGTCACCCTGAAATTCCACTCTTTCCATCTTTTGGTCCAAGAAACGATATTCCATGGCTAATTTTGTGGACAGAGAAGCCTCAGTTTCTATAATATATCCTGATAGCTTAGCCTGAAGTCGTTTGGTTTCGAAGACGAGATTCACATCCCATTGGGAAACATCCTTTTTATTTGTCAGTTTCACCACTCCTCCAAGTCCTGCTATTTTGTCGTTGTTCACTGTGAGGAAGAATGTCGGATAGTACATGAAACCGTTTTTGATTTCCGTTCTGTTCAATCCCATTTCCATTGATAATGTCTTTTGACCATTGATGTCCAGGTAAACCTCAAGATTCTTCTCATTCTCTGTGTTCTTGTACGTGCCGACGGCCGCATAAGATGTTGCGGCATTTATAAAAGACATCCTCAGAGTATTTTCCACATCACTTGTCGTCATATTTGCACTAAATATTCGCGGAACTGCTGATCCTGGAGTCTCAAATACAAAAGACCCCACAGATCCGTTCTCATTCGAAGACCAGCGATACTCGAAGAGGAAGATCTTGGCTGTCGGATCGGCCTTGTCCACGTGAATGTCTATCTTGATGGGGCCGGTGAAGAAGAAGTTGGGCAGTCCGGTGGAGTTGCTTGTGTCTGGCAAACTGTATTCTGTGCACAGCTTCAATCCAATGGCTCTGTCGAGCACTGGCCAGGTGCACGTCTGGTTCGTGTAGCGCTTCTCAATTCCCCTCTGTGGCAAAACCTGATCATGCTTGATGACCAGAAGCTCTGAACGAGCGCTGAAGATGTCACTGCGATTCTGAGGAATGCTCAATTGAAGGGAAATCAGTTTAGTTCCTCTCACTTTCAGTGTGGCTTCAACGGATGAACTCGAGTAGAGATTGCTCTTGACCTTAATTCCGGTGCTTCCGTAGAAGAGATCAGCTTGCATAGATGTGATAATGTCCACTGACACACTGGGTTTCACGCGCCCCTCAATATTGAAGTGCTTCGTCTTGACGAAATCCGCTCCTCGGAGCAATCCTGACATCCTCATGTCGATCGAAGAGGCTCCTTGTGCCACGAGTGAGAGAGGAACTCCCGAACTCATGGGAATTTCGTAGGAAACATCCAGGAAAATACCCGACTTCGTGTAAGTGATTTCTCGGCCGGAGAGTATATCAGTGATGTACTTCATGGGATGCAATTTTGCTGCAGCATTGGCCACTTCGCCAAATCCTTCGATTGTGTGGTATTTGAGATCATTGCCAAACACTTTAAGTCCAAAAGATGCCTTTGGCTCGTTGAATTTGTACTTCAATTTGTAATCCAAATTACTCACTGACGTCTCCAACTCATCCTTTGGATTCACATCTCGTTTATTTCTAAAATCTTCATCCTCATCGGAATCATCTTCACCTCCTTCTGAGTCCCGTTTCACTTTCATATTGAGCCTCTCGAAGTTCACATCATCTTCTTCCGAACTGATTGAAGAGTCTTTCCAGTAGTTTCCGAGGAAGGAGAATTTCTCCCTGAATTTCTCTGTATTCAGCGGTCCTTTTGGTCCGAAAATCGACTCAAAATAGTGCTCAAATCCTTCCGTTCTCGCTGAAATCTCCAGCAAATTTACGCTCTCACCGAAGAGATCGGTGGTGAAGTTGAGTGATAACGTCCGAGGTAGATAAGAATCCGTTCCAAAGATCAAGTTGCTATCAACATTCGCTCCCAGATTGTACTCGTTGAAGAAAACACTGTGCTCGAAATTCCTTGAGAACTTCCTGATGTCCAGCTTGTATTTTGTGCCCAAGTCGCCATCTACAATGAGACCTTGAGCCTCCACACGAACTGGAGACGAGGATTTGGCGAGATTCGTGAGATGAGACCAAACAAATGATCCCACCTGATTAACTTCCTCGCGCACAAGGACGTCTCTGATGAATTCAATTGACTGGTAATCCGGACACTTCATCGCCTGCAAATACGCCGCTATTCTCACTTCAGAGTGTTCAGAGAAGTTTCCATAGGTGTCCAAGAAGTAATCTCTGAAATATTGCAGATGATTGATTGGAGAAACTAGAGATAATGTATGAGATATTCTAATACTCACTTGCTCTTATCGCAATCAAGTCGCCTGAAGACGTAAATCCCTTGCAGGCGAACGTCCACTGGCACTGTGTGATCTTCAATCAATTCCTCCAGCACTTCCTCAAAGTGCTCACTGACCACACCGATGTTCCCCAGTCCTTTGAGCGCCACCAGCAAGTCTTCCTTCGATTTCCGCGTGTGCACCGCCTGATTCATGCCACTCATCACCTCGTGCTCCAAGTAATCCAAGATCTTCCGTACATTCTCGCTCGCATCGCACTCAGCATTGTACTTGCAGAAGCTGTGAACCACAGCTGTGGCGGCCAATATGTAGCTGGGATTCCTCACGCTCTTTCCGTGCTCAATCAGAGTTAACATGGCGCCGACAACATCCTCGTCCGGATGGGAAATGTATGCAATTGAGGATATCCAATCCTGCGCCACTTGAGTGTCTATTGCATTCCTCACAATTTGATCTCGCATCAGAAGCACGGCGGCTGTGCTGCCGATGAAGGGCAGACTGTCGAGCACGTGATTCTTCCCATTGTTGCAGATACTTTCTGCGCGTGCCAGCAACTGCTGCAGAGCATTGTAGGTGAGGAGGCGAGCATTGGAGAGGAATTTCATGAGAACATCGGGGAAGTCGCGTTGAATGTCCGGGAAACCGAGTTTGCACATTTGCTTCAAGTATTCTCGCGATGCTTTTATCTCACCATGAGTGGGCTTGGCTGAAGGCACGTGGTCAAAGAGCAAGGTTGATCGGCGGTTGATGGGCTCGAAATCCTCGTCTAGAGCGTAATCTATGACTATTTCGTCACTCAGCTTCAATTCTAGTGTAGATTCAGTCACAGCTCCTGACTGGTTGTTGGAGAAAGGCACCAATTGATGCCTCTCGTAGCATTTCACACTCTTGTATATCGAGTGATCAACAGATAGCTGGAAAAAAAACGTGGAAATCAGTCTTCATCGGGAGGCGAAGAAGTGCAGGAATAACTTACATTGCAGTAGCTTTCTGTCTGAAGAATTGGCCAGGCTGAATAATCCCTGCGAGATTCATAAGATGTGGTTTGCAGGAATGAGTGAGTTTTGTAGCGATTTCTGCAGGATTCCGTGTTTTTGGTTTTCTGGATAATGAGACTGGTGTTTTCTGATCCCTCGAGAACGTACTTCACTTCGCATTTTCCCGAGACGTCCGTCTCGAGTGTGTGATGATCGATATCGAAGCGAGACATCGTGTTCTGAAGAGCTGACAAAATTCCCCTCTTGAGATTCAGCACCCAAATGGGTTCATTTTCGTGAGGGCAGAGTTCGCCAATGAGGCCATCCTGGAAGGAGAATCTCAGCTCATTCTTGCTGACTTCCTCGCCAAATTCGTAGCTTCGTGGATGCAGCTCAATCTCCTCTGGCTCTTCGTAATCCTCCTCTTCAGTCTCCTCGGATTCCTTACTCTTGACCTCAGCGGATGGCTGAGGCAGTCGATCCCGCATTTCGAGAGACAGAACTCTCAGCAGTCCTTCGCACTTTTTGGGAAACGCCACCTCAACTCCACCAATTATGTGGACATCAGAAGTGTTTTCGCCGCTGCCGACGAATTGCGTCTTCACGTGCAGCGAGTAGTCATAGCGGTAGATCGTGTTGGGCTCGTAGATGAACTTCCAGTTGGTATCATCGCACTCTGGCCGTCCGCAAATGGCTGGATCCTTGAGCGGATCTTCAAGGAAGGAAAACACTCGCTTACCACTAAATAGATTGAGAAATACTGATAGCAACTCACTGCGTCTCCCGCCCGCCACATATCCGGATAGAGTCAGCAGAAGCAGACAGTTAATCACTGTTCTGCCCAATGAATTGATCACTCGCGGCATCTTTCTCACTTTTTTTTTCTTATCACCGCGAACTCTCGATCATTGTCCACCGCGCACTGCAGTCACTTCAGTCTGTCTTTCGGCACTGCCTGCAAAGGAAAGTGTGAGGATTATCGCGAAATTTTCCATGTCGCTTCACAACTGATCTGCCCAAAGTCCCCACTGACACTGATTGTAAATACACAACCGGCGGACTCGATTGAAACTGTCGCGCTCTTTTATTCATTCACGAGGGGAGAGACTTTTTATTGAGGAGACACAACTCAAGAGCACTCATGCTAATACATTGGGAACTACACCATTCACACATGGGCTGGCAAGTGATAAGAGCGAAGCGCACGTTTCTACGTTCATTCACAGACAGCAATGCACATAATCCACTATTGGCATTTAATTCCATATCAGGCGGCCTCCAAATGGGCTTATCACGTAGTGCAATACACTCTTCACAAGTCGCGAGACGCAGAGGCGTGTCAAGTTACAAATAATAATAATAATAGGCAGATAAGAAGGTCACTTGATAATGGTAATCTTCATTCTGCCATGTCACAGGAATGCGATTAATATATTTACAGAAATGCCTGTGACGACAATCAATTCTGTGGACTCTCCTCACTTATGATAAGGAGTCTCTCATATTTTCCACTCTCAATTTTGATTTAATAGTTGTAGATAAGCATCGCGGATTAAGCCGAAGTCACACGAGTCAAATATGCAAATGTAAGTTAAGACGAAAATGTATCTCTACACTTGTTTTGCCGAAAAAAAGTAGATAAACAGATTAAATATTTAATCATGAGCAGTAAATAATATACATAATGATCAATTTTACAAAATTCCTTAAGTAATTTCATAGTGACTCGAGCAAGATCACCCTGTAAATATTTGACTTCTGACCCATTACATGGCAGAAATTGGAAAAGCCTTATCAAAATCGCCTTTTTGTGGGAGAAATTTGATCACTGGTATGATTATGCATTCTTAGACACCAAATGATTACATAATCCCGAGCAATTTCAATCAATTTCTGCACTATTTAAAAAACTTCACCTATAAATCACACATTTTATCTCAATTCAGTGAAAGAAACACTTTCAATTCTCACTGCAATACACTTTTCTATTGATTTTCCCCACAATTCCACTACCTTTCCGGGTATTTTTGGCACTTCCTGCTACTTAACTTGGAAAATGTGAATATTTTCCAAGAATTGAACTGCTAAATCCAGAAGATGAACACGAACTGAAGGCACTTTCGAGAGATTTCTCTGTAAAATCCCCGATAATTCGGCGTTATCAGGGATTTCGGGGTTAAAGATCATCTGCTTGTGGTGACCGAGTTCCAGCGATACATAAATACAATTCCTGCTATCGACCCGAGCTGCCTAGCCGAAGATGAATCACAAACTTTGGTGTTGTGCATGCTTTCTCACAGTCGCACTATTCTATCGCCGAGTTATCACTTGAGACTCTTGAACTGTCTGCCATGCACTTGATGTCTCTTCACGATGTTTTCAATTCTCCGGTCGCATTATCAGAATTTCATTGAAATGATTGACATAAACCTTAAGAAGGGGAAAAGAAGGGGTTGTTCAACATTGAAAGAAAACTCTTGTGAAAGTTCTTGTAAAGCACTGGTTTTTAATAATCAATTTGCAATTCTTCATCGCTTACAATTCATGTCAATTTCTCTACAAAAGGGACTGAATCCATTTCAAGCCATCATCATTAAAAGATTCCCCGTGTGTTCAGTATCATTGAGAACTATTGTGATCTACATTTTATGAAAAGCGTATAAGTATGACTCGCTAACAGCATGTTTTTGCAATTAATCCTTATAATTATTAGGAAGACTATTTCGTTATATTTGCTCTTTATTATGTGAAGGTGCTCAAGAATCTTTTTCGACTACCAAATCATTTAATTTCAATATATTTTTTTCAAGATATGTTTGTTGAATGTAATCAATACAATTGAACAAATTATCTAAACGTTCTTTAAACCCAAACTTTCCGAAAGCAATAAATTAATAAATTATTTATTAAATTTCCCACGCAAAAATAATCACATAATTTTAGCCTGTAAAGTGAACTTTCTTTGTGAAATCAATAGCCATAAAAACACCTAATTTATTTCATCTTGTCGAAGCACTACATAATTACACTTTCTGCCAAGATCTATCAAATCTCCTTTTTTAACATAATATCACAGTGATTTTACTCTTATTTCTTCAATATTTTGTGTATCCTGTTAATTGTATTTAGCTACTAAAACCCTTCATTTCTCATGTTTCATAAAAAAGAGTGGTGAAAAATGGCTCAATTGAATATTTTTCAAAGTTTTCACTACACAACCATTTCTATCGTTTCATCTACATAATATTAAGTTTCCTTTTTCTCTACTTCAGCAAACAAAATCCACTCAAATTTATATTTACACTGGCAAATATCAAGGTTTTCGAGAAAATCCGACGATTTTATCGGCCCAATTACGTTTGTGTTGAATTCAAAGCTATTTCATTTTATCTTTAAAATCGTATTTGCAATTCTCAAATACGTACGTACAAGTAAATTGGAATTGATGCATTGCTGATAAAGGGAGTAAAATGTCTTCAGAAAAACTAAACCCGTTCATTTGTCTTCCAAAGCATTGAATCATAAAGCCACTATTCATGATTCCTACTTAATGACTTACTGTGCTGTCTGTGGACTTAGCATTTTACTTAAAAATTATCTGATAAGTACTAAATTGTGATCCTAATCTACAATTAGTGATGTTCAAGTCTTTGATTTTTTTTTTGAAGTTAACGCATCTTGGATCTCTTCGGCATTCATTCCGCTTTGAGTTTTTTATTTTTGGTAAACACTTTCCGCAATTTCATTTGATTTAAACAAACAAAATTATGGTACACGAGGCAACAAGAATTACTATTTCCTGCCTTGTGAATCTCGCACAGATATTACTCAGTATTCTCGCGAGTATTTATAGAACAATTAACCGATGCTCCATGGGTTTATCTCTCAAAATAGCGTCGTAACAGACTTCATTTTGCCATTCTTGATGATTTCAGCCTTCACTCCTATGGATAATAATATCGCACATGAGTGGTTTATTGCTAAACAAAAAAATAAACAGAATATTAACTCACCAGATGATGGACTAGTATGGCTGATCCCCATGGCGTCCAGGTGTTTTAGGAGCAATCCGAGGCTCGTTTTATCCGACTCCAGGATGTGATCTTCGATCTTGATGACTGGCGCCTTGACTTTTGTCGTCTGCGTGTGCCACACGAAGATCTCTGTGCAATTGTTCGCCTTTGGCTCAATGTGTTCCATCTTCAGTTTGATACTCTTCAAGAATTCGTCCTCCTCGTAGCCCGCTTTGTAGGGCATTGTTGCGTTGGGATGTTGCGCCAGATATTCCAGATTCACGGCAAATCCCGCCATGTCCACGGGCCACTCCCTCTTCGCCGGCCAGGAATCGAAGAAGCCCACCACGCGCCCGTTCTTCACCACCGGCGAACTCACCGCGTACTTCCCAATCAAACCCACGGGAAACATCGAGACGCGCTTCGTGAAGCGAATTTCAGAGAAGAGTCGCAGACTGAAGGTGTTATCATCGTCGCCAAAGTACAGAACGCCAGAACGGATGTTGTTGCTGCGAATCCATGCGAGCGCCGCTCGCCGATTTGCCACACCTCGTGGAATTGTGCTCTTGCTGCGATAGATGTCCGGCATGGGACTGGCGATGTGAGTGTAGGGAATCCCTGTGAAATACGTTGGTAATTGTCCTTGCGGGGGAGAAATGTGACAGAAGACACTCACCAAAGTCGTTGAGGATGAAATCTAGGTAGCTATTGCAGGCATCAACGTCATCCGCCACGATCCAGTGCAAGTTGGGAATGTGCATCAGGGTCTGACCCAACCTGATAAGTTCTGCAATCTGCTCGCGTCGCGGATAAGTCGGTGTCACGAAGTATATGGTGGGCCATGTGGCGATACTCTCGCTGAACTTGCGGTTGTCCTGAAGATTCACATTGCAAATAAACACGCTTTCGCTGTCCGAGACCGTCGTCTCGTACACCTTCACACCTAAATGGCAAAAAAAAAATGCTGCATCAATTTTTCTTTCACTTTTGCAATAAGTCTTGAGTGGCAATTAATTATATTGATGTCATAGGGACGAAGAAAAAGAATGAGGCCATGTGAAAAATCAATAGAAACTAGGTGTGAATATTACAACTCACTCCTACTTAATTGCTTTCTTTTGTGGGGGGGGGGGGGAGAAAAAATCGTCTGCACTTTTCGAGCCATTTCCTACCATTTTTCATTGCATGTTTTAATGAAAGGGAAAGGTGTTTCCCAAAGCAGCGTAAAAACGCCTTCCAAGTGACTTTGTGCCCTTCTGCTGTTGCCTCTCAGATTACGTGCAATTAATTGCACATTGATCAATCAACAAACTTCCATAAGCCTGACATAATAACTCCGATCTCTTGGCACTGTGACTGGCTGGCAACCTATACTCAATACTTAAACAATCTTCGAGCAAATTGAAGAACGGAAATCGTGTCGGCGGCCAGCATTAGTGGACTTTTTTTTCTCCCTCCTCTAAAATTGACTAATGAATTATTGATGAATTGTGTGATTTCCCTCTCAATGACATACTTTCACTGGTTATGCAAACACAAGAAAATTACTATCTGCCTTATACCATTGGGTCAATCGATTTTTCCATCTCACGAATTCGCCAAAAATAAAATAGGGATTTTGATAACTCAGCGTCAATATTTAAACATGACGACAAACATGCGGGGCAGGAACACCGCGTCATTAATCATCACAATTCTCCCTCTAAGTGGCGCCTAGAGGAATCTAATGACTGTCCTTTGCCAGAATCATTAGCTGAGTCAATATTTGGGTGTGATTCTCGTTAGGATAATTCTATCTTCTGCAAAATCAAAACGAGAATTCACGACTTCAGACAGACTGTCCAGACAGACGGCCAAAGAACGCATATCAATATCAGGCGAAATCATAAAGAAAAGTTTACATGAATTGACTCTATTATTGCTTGTTCTCTGGGTCAAATATTTGAGAGCGTTTTTTCTTCCCAGAACACTCTGTTTATTTTCTTGTTATCCTATATTTGTTTTATTCAGTGTACAAATTCAGCTGTGACTCCACTGAATGGTAGGAATAAATTGACTCAATTAATCCAGCGAAAATTGGTCAGTTTTCTTCACACAATCATTGACCTCTTTGACATCAATCTATACCCAAGCAAATTGACTTTTAATTCTATCAATAGTCGGGCTAGTCCATTATATAGCCATCCACGAATTCCACCCAGAGCCCCGCATTAATTTGATAATGAACTTGTGCTGAGATAAGGCTCGTCGCATTTATTATTCAACACCAGCGCTAATGAGTAGCCTTTTCTGTACGCACAGCAACCACGAGGCACTGATTAAACACCGAACCTTCTCCTGACCCGCGATTGTGCGACACGAAGTTGTCGTGCCTGGAATATGTGATGAATTCACAGCTGAATGAATTACCTGCCGACGATGTCCAGAGAATGTAGAGGAAGAGGAGGAAGAGCAGCCCACAGACGCCCAGTGTGTTCCGGCAGTGGAAGATCTGGCCATTTCCGCTCTTCCAGCGCGAGCAGGCGTCGAATCTCATGGTTTCTGGCACAGCTGACACTCACGGGAGACACTAAACATCACAGGAGAGACCACACGGTTGCCCAGGAGATCTCCTTGGAGCCACTATTTCGGTGAGTTTTCGCAAAATATCACCATTGGCCGACTTCTCATCCTCCGCAAGTGAGTGATTCACCGCGAACTTCTAGGGGTTCCCCAGAGAATTCTAGCACTGGCCGCGAGACCGAGAGTCAGAACACCTATTTACACACTCAATGCTATTTCTGTCCATTATTTTCACCTACAAAATTATAAAATATCGCCACGAGATTATGCAAGCCACTTGCATTCTCTTCGCTGCCTTCCTATCAACTACCCGAAAACGCACACACGCAAAACGTGCTCGCGAGTCACACTTCGCCGTGACTCGCCGCCACTTGTCGGGCGCGTGGCGAAAAAGTGACACGCGCGATGCTGTGAGACTGTCAGAAAGCTGTGAGTTCTTCACGAAAAATCCTCGAAAGTGAATCCCCAGAAGAAACAGAGTGGCGAGAAAGTAGAGAAAGAGCCCCACGTTCGAGCCCAAGCGAGACAGATTGTCCCAGAGGATTGCGAGGCGTCAGTCAGGCTATACAGAGTTCGCAGGAGTGCATCGAGTGTGTGTGATTTGGCGTGAAAACGAGTGCGCCCCTCGCAGCCCCCTCACCTCGTGAAAAATCACAAACCAAAAGTGATTTGTCCGTGTGCGCCGTGACGTGAATTGCCCCAGCTGAAGTGTGTTGTAAAGTGCGTTGTGTGTACAATGGAATGCCCTCATCTCAATGAAGAGTTCGTGAAGATAAATCGGGACTTTGTGAGGAAACAGAAAATCGAAATATCAGCAGCCACTTCATCGTCCAAGACATGGCGATGTTTAGGTAAAAGAAAAAAAAGCGAAGAGAAGAGAGAGAATACACAAGAAAAGATGCCCCGTCCAGAGTCTAACGCCTCTCCTCTTCCGCCACCCCTCGCGAGGCATGAAATCATTGTTTCCCATCTGAGCTGCTGGTCGCTCACCTGAGACCCAGCGGCCCCACAATCCCGCGGGGCGCACAGAGTTTCGCCTTGTCTGGGATCGGGGCCCCTCCGGGAAGGGTTTTTTCCACTCTCCCATGCAATTAATCGCCGTGCAAGAGCCTTCTGCGACGATTCTCCGCTCTCTGTCGCACTCCCTCATATTCCCGTCTCTCATCTTCTGGGTGAAAAGTCCGCGCGTTGATTGTATATTGAAAATCAATACATCTGTGGTTGGGCCACGTTCCTCCTCAACCATTTTCTGGCCACCATGCAATTGTCTCTCTGCCATGATTAATTCCACGTAGTCTGCCATTTCACCCTCGATTGCTGAATTCTCTCGGCCACCAGCTGCTGTCCCTCGGTAAGCCGTGCACCCTCCACCCTCCACGCCATCCCCAGCGCTGCCCAGGCACTGGCCAAGTCCCTGGCGAGGCCGTGCCCTCGGCCCGCTGGAGATTCCTCGGAAATTCGCAGGAAAGTGCGGTAAGAAATGCGCGATGCCATTGCTTGTCAATTCGCCTGACGTCGTCCATTTCTTCTTTGTTCTCTCAAACACCATCGCATTCGCCATGGCTTTTCGAAAATCCCCTCTCCAGTGTGTGGCCATTTAAAGTGCGTGTGTACATTGATCGCATGGAAGAGCCTCCACACGGGCTGGCTCGAGCCAATGCCACCCAGTCAGTTGTGCATCCACATGATTGTCCAGGAAAGTGCTGGATGCCACCGTCCGCCGCGGCTCTGCATCATCCGCCGCGAAGTGCTCCTGAGAGACTGATAGAAGCTCGCAGTTGCCGTGCTCGTCGGAGTGGCGTTTTTGCCTTGCGACTCTGCCGTCCGAGAGGGGGGGAATTGTTGTTTGTGCGACGACGCAGGAGAGTGAAAAAGATGAACGATCCAAGCGTATGTCACACTCTCTCTCACTCTCCTCATTTCATTCAACACTCTCGCGCGCACGTCAGGAGAAAAACTCGCTCATTCTGTGTACCTTGCCCTTGCGGAGCACCTCGTCGAAGTGAGACGCAGTCCAGGCCCCAGAGCCGAACTCCCAATGCAACTGCGCTCCCCAGGCGAATCTTTCTTCTAGGCGAATGCATAAAATCAATTAGACGAGGATGCTGACATGTGACCTCGTTGTCGCAGAGAGCCCGCAGAACGCCATTCCTCGTGCCCGTCCAATGCCTTTGCTCTCAAATTTAAGAGCCACGCTAAGAGATGCTGGGGAAGCCTTATAATTTTCTCTTCTTCTTCTTCTTCCTCTCTTCACCAGAATGTGCATCCATGAAGGAGAACTGGATGTGTCTCAACTGTGGCACTGTTCTCTGTGGTCGTTACGAGAATTGTCACGCCCTGAAGCATTCATCATCGCGGAATGATCATAAGATCTGCATGAGTACGATGAACTTCTCCGTCTTTTGCTACAAATGTGACGACTTCATTGTGAACGACACTAAAGAGCGGCGCCTGGATGAGCTGCGTCAGGAGTTGAGCAGCAAGGATGACGATTCGGCATCCGAGACATCCACCAGCACTTCTTCGTCATCATCGACGTCCAGCACGTCGTCCAGCATTGACGATGCGGCGTCCGGTGGGAAGTACCAGCAAGAGCTCACGGGCACGTCGTCATCGAGTGATTCTGGGTGGGAAGAGATGCCACTGGGCAGAAAGCTGCGCCCACGGAAGCGAACCATCTCCAGTGATAGTAGTGAAAATGCTAAACGAAAATCCCTCCGAAAGGTGGTGGGGTTGCGCAATTTGGGCAACACCTGCTTCATGAATTCCGTACTCCAGTCACTGAGCAACATTCACGAGTTCAGTTGCTACTTCTCCGCCCTGCCCGCAATTGAGACGGCCAAGCAGAAGCGCTTCTACCATTCCCGCAGTCTCAAGGAGAACGTCGACGATGCCAATGTGGTGGAGGAGCTCCGGAAGGTGCTCCTCAATCTCAGCCAGGGTGGCGACGGGTCGAAGGCCATCTCGCCCGAGTGTCTTTTCCTCGTGATATGGAAGGTCGTGCCGCAGTTCCGCGGTCATCGCCAGCATGATGCCCACGAATTCCTTCGGTACATGCTCGATCGGCTGCACACGGAACTCCAGCAGATCACTCTGCCCGATTCCGGTGGCGGCGGCGGCGGCGGCGGCGGTGTGGCCATAACTGGGAAGACGGCGACTGTCGTGAAGTGTCACACCATCACGACAACAGACAGCAGCACGACGGGCAGCTTCAAGGGTCGCAGCTCTATTGTGACGAGTGTATTTGGTGGCACGCTTCAGAGTGAAGTGCGCTGCCTGATTTGTGGCATGGAGAGCAAGAAACACGATCCATTTCTCGATCTCTCACTAGACATTCCAGAGAAGTTCTACAAGGAGTGCGACGAGGACAATCAACCGGCGTGCAACATTTCAGACTGCTTGTCAAGTTTCACTGAAGTAAGTTTTCCCGCGTGCCAGAGACAAAAAAGGCACTGTTAACACTCTTTTCCAACCACTTGTGCAGATCGAAGAGCTTGCTGAGACAGAATTGTACTACTGTAGTTCGTGTAAATGTAAGCAGAAATCAACGAAGCGGTTTTGGATCCGTCGGCTTCCCAATGTTCTGTGTCTCCACATCAAGAGATTTCGATGGAGCAACTTCTTTAGGTGACTTTCTTTTATAAACTGGTCACTTTTTTCACAATTTCTAACCAAATGTGTTTTCCTCGTTATTCTTACAGAACAAAAATTGACTTGAAAATTACATTTCCCATCAATTCTCTGGACATGTCACAATTCGTTCTCAACAACGGTCCAGAAACGAGACGTTCAAACTCCTCCAACAATGTTTACGATCTCGCAGCCGTTATTGTACATCATGGGAATGGGTAATCGTTTGTCTTCTTTGTTGAGCTTTTTCGCGTTGCTAACATTTCGCCTTACAGATCAAGCTGCGGCCACTATACCTCATTTGCTATCAACAATGGCACTTGGTTGCATTTTAACGACCACACAGTGAAAGAAGTGCCGCCGTCCGCTGTTGCTGACTGCAAACCCTACATTCTTTTCTATATTAGAAGAGATCCGAGCAAGAATTCGTGAGATTAGATTTAAGACTGATTTCATTCAAACATGGAGTTTTTTCACTCTGTTTCTTCTTCTTTTATTATTTATATGGAATTCCGATTTGAATTGCCTCTGTTTTTTCCTCCCCCCTTGACTTTCTTCTTCAGCCCAAGAAATGCCCATTTATCGAAGTTCCATGGGAAATCCTGTATATCTTACATTTTGCTCTTCTTTGAATGTAAGTTTTCTTTCTTGTGTGTCTCATGTAATATGTTTAATTTCTTGTACTTTGACAGAGAGAAGAAAAAAAAAGTACGATTGCATTGAAGAGGAAAAGAACAAGAGTAACCGATTATTTACGTATATAATTAATAATTTAAGGAGAAATGATTTACAAGTAAACTGTTGAGGAAGTAAAAGAAAGAAGAAAAAAAAACTTGTAGAAATACAGAAGAAGAGAGATATGTATGAAATCCCAAAACCTTTTAGGCTTGTCGAGAAATGAAGTATGGTGTTTATTTTCTGTGAAAAGGTCAGAAAACGATGAATTTATGTTTAAAAGTTTATGGTATAAAAGCTGATGAGAAATCAATATTCAATACAAAATATCTCTAAACTATTATTGCAAAAGAGCAAAAGTAAAAAAAAAAAATGAAATTAAGAGAAGAAAGAAAGCTCATCCTTTTTCCTCGAGAATGAAAGTTCTTTCCACAGCTCCATTATAGGCTTCTTAGTGGGAAAAAAATATAATAAAAAAATGCAAAAATATGTTTAACCAAAATCTCAGAAAAAAAGGCAAAAAACTATGAGATTGTATACGGGCTTAAATCGGATTCTTGTGAAATTTACAAACAAATGTTAAACCAGCCAAAAAATTCATCAAATATAATAGTGAATTGAGATGAAAATTTCACAAATTATACCCTAAAATCTAATGCAGAATAATTGGATAAACAAAATACCCATTCATTTTCTTCTCCATAGCTGAAATTTTCCGTGAGGAAACTGCTAATTATATGTACATACAGAATACATTAATCTTGTAGTTTATATAAAGAACAAAAAAAAATATTTAAATGCAGAACAAAACATTAAAGAAAAAAAATATAACTTAAAAGAGAAATGAATTAATTGAACTCAAAGTATAAATATTAAAAAAAAATTAAAAAGGGAGATATAAAAGTGTATTACAAAAAATTAAATTTAACGATTTTTGATTTTTCAAGGAATCTCGTGTGATTTATCGATGCTTTTATTTTTGGCAGTAATTTTTTTTGTGAATTTGTACAAAAAAGCACACATCATTGCAGATTTATTGATGATTTTTCCGAATTTTTTTACCAGTATGAGAAACAATTCCCTGTTTTTTTTTCTTTTTTGAAAATTTGTCGATATATTAAATAAAAAAGGACTCATTGGAAGTTTGAATTTGTGAAAAATAGATAAAAACAACCATATTTTAATTTGAGGCTATACACTGGATGATCTGTAATATGCTATACTTTATGGATGACATAAATAAATAATTTTATTTCAAACTCTCTTTCACTTGCTGGCGCACCCTGTGGCGCATTGATTTTTCGCAGTGTACTTTTTGACGCGGACTTGTTTTGATTACTCTTTCACTCTCGCGGAATGTTGCGGACGGACGTGAGGCAGGCAATGCACTAATTCTGCGTGCAATGTGAAGGATTAGGAGTTAATTTTGCAATAATAACATACTGGTAGTGTTAGTGAGCAATTTTCTAAGCATTAACTTGACTTTTCCGCGGAATAATGAGAAGTCATACATATTTTACAATTCCGGGTGTGTATCCTTTTCGTATCTAGGTCAACTTCATCCGGACTCGATTCTATATCCTTTCCGCCCTCTTTTTTTTCCACAGTTTTCATATTGCTGTGCCTCGAACTTCCCGTGGGAGAGTTACTTATTTGTCAACCCATCGACTTGCTTTTGGACTCAATTCCATCCCAATTTTGTCGACCGGACGAGAAACCGCGCGAGGAGAGGCAGGAAAACATCACCTACATCCTGTACGACGTGAATCCCGTGGAGGGATTCAATTTGCGACGGGATGTGTACATTCGCATGGCGGTGTTCGTGAAGAATCTGCGCCAGGATGAGCGATACAGGAACACCAAGCTCGTCCTTCCGCCGTTTTCCGACTTGTACCACTGGCGATCGCGGTATCTGGACCAGAGTCACGTCTTCTGGAACACCTTCTTCGACCTGGACAGCATGAAGAGATACACTGAAGTCCTGGACATGTGGGAGTTCTTCCGGGAGATTCAATCCCAGCGGGAGGACAGCAGCAATGAGGACTTTGCCATTGACGAGGTGTATAAGCTGAAGCACTTCCAGGAGATGTTCGAGAACGGCGTGTTTGAGGACAAGTTCGAGAAGACAAAGTGTGGAGCAACGGAAGCTGTTCAGGATGGTTTCTTTCACTACAGCAATCTCACGACGAAGAGATTCTCCTGCGTGAATTTCCAGGGAAGCGCCAACCTGCTCAAGGATCTGCTGGAGAAACTCAAGCCCAAGTAAGAAACAATTCCGATGATTTACACGCGCGAAGAGCCGAACAGCCGAACACATTGCGATGAAAAGCAGTATAGTCATTGTGTGTCACATTTGTGGTGATGTTGATTGTTTTATAAACAAACCTGTATTTTGTGCTAAAATGTCTAATGAAACGCAAATCCTGAGCTTAATTGACGATATCCTGGTGAGTAAATGTGCACTGCACTTGATAACATTGGAGGATTTCGTGAAAATTGTGTACTTTCGTGTAGAAAATCGATTCAAATGAGGATGTCTTTCCTGGCGAAGAAGAGGACAAATCGGACGCTTTCCAGAAGAAAATAGGTCAGTAGACTATCAAACACCCCTACAACTGTCTCCTACAATCACTTCCCTGCCAACAGGAGCGCTCTTCGGGGGCCTGACGAGTGAGCAGAAGGAAAGCACCCTCCGGCAGTACTTGGTGAAGGCCGCAACGCAGACCAACCTGAGTCAGCTGAAGCTTCTGCTGGAGACTCTCTCTTTCCTCGTGCGGGAAAATGCTCTGCCGGCGCGATTGCTGTGCGAGCAAATCCTGGGATGTGAGAAGCTGGTGTTCCAGAATCAGAACTTCTGGATTGAGAGCCTGAATCTACTGAAAGCCTCAATAGCATCGAGGCGTGGCAGTGGCGGCGTGGATTACAAGGGCGTGCGTGAGATCATGAGAGGATGCCGCGAGAAGGCTCAAACATTCCCAAAAGCCCTCAATTCCAGCACTCTGCCGCAAATGCTAGTGCTGGAGAGCATCATTGAGTACATCTTCGACAGGAATGCCTGTCTATTGCCGGCGTATTTCATCGCCAATGAGATTCAGAAGACAGAATGTCCGGAAACACACTGGAAAATGGCCAGATTGATGGCGACTTTCGTGGAAGAGTTCAGAAACACCGCGCAGATGCTCACCATCATCGGGCATTCACAAATGCTGCCAATTGTGGAGCACTTTGGGTATGCTGACCACCTGATAAATCCCTGGAGACTGGACAGGAACACCCTCAAGTTCACGCTCAAGGGCATTCTTCCGTACGACACGGATTTGCTGCAGCCACAAACGGGACTCCTGCGATTCGTACTGGAGCAGCCATATTCCAAGGACATGGTGTGCTCGATTCTGAATCTCCAGAAGCAGCACAAGCAGCGATGTGTAGCGCTTGAGGAGCAACTGGTGTGGCTGGTCATCTCCGCCATGGAGCGCTCGGAACAGGAAACGGCGTCCACAGTGTTTCAGACACCCGATGCAGCTGGGCAGTGTGACGACAAGATGAGTTCTGTGCACTGGCTCTGGCTGCACCTCTCATCTCAGCTCATCTACTTCGTCCTCTTCCAATTCGCCAACTTTCCCACCATCGTCATGGCGCTTCACGATAAACTGGCAACGCGCACGGATCTGCGGAAGGGCCGAGATCATCTCATGTGGGTCTTGCTGCAGTTCATCTCAGGTAGCATTCAGCGCAATCCGTTGTCGAATTTCCTGCCTGTGCTGAAGCTCTACGACATCCTCTATCCGGAGAGAGAGCCTTTGTCAGTGCCGGACTTCAACAGGCCGTACTGCACACGCCAAATGGCGCCCACCTGCATTTGGATCCATCTGCTGAAGAAAGCACAAACGGACCAGATCAATATTCACCGGCAAATCCCGAAGGCTCTCAAGAATCATCACGAATTCTTGCAGGAACTCGTGACACCTTCCAATCCTTCGGTTCTCTCAATGGGATCGGACTTCAGGATTGCTCTCCTCTGCAATGCCTACTCCACGAATCAGGATTACTTCTCTCGCCCAATGGCGGCGCTCGTGGACACAATCCTGGGCAATCAGAAGAGCGGCACTGGCTCAAGTGGCAGCGGAAGTCAGCAAGTGCCGACAGTGCCGCTTTCGATGGTCATCTTGGATAGTCTGACGGTGCACAGCAAGATGTCTCTCATCCACAGCATCGTGACACACATGATGAAGCATCCGCAGTCGAAGAATGCCATGCCCAATGTCACCAACATGGCTCCGGCTCTCGTGGAAACGTACTCCAGACTCCTGGTGTACACGGAGATCGAATCTCTGGGCATTAAGGGCTTCCTGACCCAGCTACTGCCAACAGTGTTCAAATCCCACGCCTGGGGAATTCTCTACACACTCCTGGAGATGTTCTCCTACCGAATGCATCACATTCAGCCTCACTATCGCGTCCAGCTTCTGTCCCATCTCCACTCTCTAGCCGCGGTGCCGCACACGAATCAGATGCAGCTCCATCTCTGCGTGGAGTCGACGGCTCTGCGATTGATCACAGGTCTGGGATCTGCCGAGGTGCAGCCACAGATCTCACGGTACTTATCTGAGCCCAAAACACCGTCATCTCTGGTGTCTGCCGAAAGTGAGGAGCTGAATCGCGTGCTGATTCTCACCATTGCACGCTCAATGCACATCACTGGCATTGGGAATGATCCGTCCAGTAGCTGGTGCCGAGAACTCCTGACCGGGATCATGCAGAACACACCGCACTCTTGGGCGTCGCACACATTGCACTGCTTCCCGCCGGTGTTGAATGAGTTCTTCACGCAGAACACAACGCCCAAGGAGAACAAGCAGATGCTGAAGAAGGCAGTTGAGGAGGATTACAGAAACTGGACGTCAATGTCCAATGAGAACGATATAATAGCACACTTTAGTGCCGCCGCAACGCCTCCGCTCTTCCTTTGTCTGCTCTTCAAGATGATCTACGAGACGGACGGCATCAGTCCAGTGGCGTATAAGATTCTCGAGAGAATTGGTGCTCGTGGACTTTCTGTCCACCTTCGCAAGCTCAGTGACTACATTGTCTTCGAGGTGCAGAACTCCAGCGTTGGAGCTCATGTGAACAAGTGTGTGGACACCATAAATGACATGATCTGGAAGTACCACATTGTCACGATTGACCGTCTTGTGCTCTGTTTGGCGTTGCGAACGCAGGAAGGCAACGATGCTCAGGTGAGCTTCTTCATTGTGCAGTTGGTGCTGCTAAAGTCCACAGACTTTCGCAATCGGCTGCAAGAGTTTGTCAAGGAGAACTCCCCGGAACACTGGAAGCAGAGTAACTGGCATGAAAAGCACTTAGCATTCCATCAGAAATACCCTGAGAAGTTCGCTCCGGATGAATCTGTGACGCATCCACCGCTTCCAGTGTATTTCGGGAATGTCTGCCTCAGATTTCTCCCTGTGCTGGACATTGTCATTCACCGTCTGTTGGAAATTACTCCTGCCGGGAGCACAACTCACTCCCCAACTCCGGTTATTTTGGATCATCTTGGGTGTCTCTACAAATTCCACGGTAAGAGTTCTCTCCCAATCATCTGTTGGCTGATGATTTGCTCACAGAGTTTCCTTCCAGATCGTCCAATTACTTATCTGTACAACACTTTGCACTACTACGAGAGGAAATTGAGAGACAATCCGTCTATGAAGAGGACTCTCGTGGGAGCTGTAATTGGCTCACTGAAGGACGTCCGACCAGCCAATTGGGCTCTCACGGAGCACTATCAGATGTATCTTCAGAAGTCTGAGACTGAAGCTGGTCAGTGGAAACCAGAACTCACATATTACATCAGCTTACTTCGTCGCCTGATTGAAAGTGAGTTGGCCAGAGAAGCATTTTATGCAAAATGACTAACACTGTATTTACAGCAATTGATGGAAAGCATGTGTTTTACACCACGGATTGGCGCTTTAATGAATTCCCCAATCCTGCTGCTCATGCTCTCTACGTGACTTGCGTGGAGCTTTTGGCTCTTCCCGCTAATCCTCAGCGAGTGGCCAACAGCCTGATGGACGTCATATGCCGAGGATACACTGTTATTCCTCCGTCACAGATCCATAGTTGGATAAATGCGTTTGGACTGGTGATATCTAATCTCCCTGAATCCTACTGGAGTGTTATGTACGATCGTTTGAGGGATGTTCTGCAATCTCATCACATGAAAGAGTGGAAATTGAGATATTCACCCTTCGATATGTTCAACTTCAAGACAAGTGAGTGTGAAATGAATTTCCTGAAGTTGTTCCGTTTAATGACATTATAATTTCCGTTCTTCAGCTCAACATGCAATGTTGGACAAAACTTATGTCTTTATGCTGGCAATGGCTCAGTCAGTGTTTCATCACTTCGGCATTGGCCAAATTGCCACGATGCCTGAGTATGTGAAGGAGAAGCTGAAGCCAATCATCGCGACGGAGCACCAATTGATCTATATATGCCACCTCGTGGGTCCATTCTTGCAGCGCCTGGACTACGAGAGACCACGCCAGGTGGCAGAGATCACGGCCATTCTCTATGAATTGGTTGAGAAGGTGGACAAGAGTCAGGGATCCGCCCCACTGCTCTACATGGACTCCATTTGTGACCTCCTCTACCACATCAAGTACATGTTTGTGGGTGACAAGATGAAGACTGAGTTGGAGGCGATCATTCGTCGCCTTCGTCCAAGTCTGCAGAAGCGTCTGAGGTTTATAACACGCATGAATGTTGAGGAGATTGGTGTGGAGAAGGCGGAAAATGTGGTGGCAAATCCTGCAAATGCTTCCACTCAAAATACATCCATGCCTGGCCAAGCCACAGCTTCGAGTCAGGCGCCGAGTGTCGGTGTTCCTCAGCAGAGAATTTAAATTTGACTAAATAATACATTTATGTAACACTTCTTAAAATAAATAAAACCATATATTGACTCCTTTCAAAAATAGGCCTTCACAAATTATTGATACGCCGAAATATTGATTTGTGCCTAAAATTGTCTCTTTCTCTTGTTCACTCAGGAAAACGGGACGCATTCGAACGATTTTATTTCTCAACACCGAAGTGGTCCTTCATGATTTCTGGGGCAACGACGAATTCTGGCGAGCCAGACGTTCGATGCGCTTCAACGATAATCTCGTGGAGAAGGCGAATGAGTTCCGCATTGAGAACTTCAACGCCACGGATGAATTGGACGCTGTGCAGCGTCCGGAGAGGTGGGAGGACGAGCGAGAATACCGCAATGCCATCGGAGGAGACTATCTATGTGCCCATTTGCGCCGAGCGGACTTCCTCTACGGTCGAGAGCGAACGACACCCACTTTGAGGTCGGCGTCTGGGCAGATAAAGCGCGCGGCGAAGATTCTGGGCATAGATCAGGTGTTCCTGTCGAGTGACTGCTCTCGGTCTGAACTGATGGACTTGCTGGCGTACATGAAGCGCTTGAGGGTGTACAAGTACCTGCCGCCAACGCGGTCGGACGGCTTAAATGGCCTAAAGGACGGGGAGATTGCCATAATTGACCAAATAATCTGCTCCAATGCGAGATATTTTATCGGCACGTACGAGAGCACATTCACTTATCGAATCTACGAGGAGAGAGAGATTTTGGGCTTCAATCCTCGCACTACGTTCAACACTTTCTGCAAGAATGAAGACCTCACGGAGTGTGAGAGGAACTCCCAGTGGCCCATAGTGTATTAGGATGTTTTTGTACCTCGAATAATTGTGAAAAGTTTGTCCTATTTTTGCATGAGGAGGTTTAGGAGACCAAGATTGAGTTTATGCCCATTACCAGAGTTGTGTGCTTGGGAATTAGGCGGAAGGGACCTCAGCTAGGACTCAAGCACGCGCATAGCTTTACTGTTCGGATAAGAACTAGAGTTAGCATTGTACTCGACCTTTTTGTATGGTGTCAACATCAAGTAAAATGCATTTTTTAGATGTTTGTCAAATGTGCGATAAATTAGAAGGAAAAAGAAATGTGTAAATGACTTACCATTTTTGAAGCAGTCAATTAAATGTGATAATGTTCCCTTTCCTAGTTCAATAAAAGGCATACAAACAGTAAGATGATCTGTATTATTTACTGCTGAAAGAGTTTCTTTTGATTTTCTCTGTGATCATTTATTTATGCTTGTTTTTTTGCAATATAGTTATACACATGAAATTAGATTTAGCGTCTATGAATATTCCGCACCTAAATAGTTTTTTTATATCTTTAATAGACTTCGCCGCTTCTGTATAATTTGTTAAACATTCAAATAGTTTATTTTTCTTTACACCTAAATTCTTCCTTCCATTTAAGTGTCGAGTTATTATTGCTCAGAAAGTGTGTTTAGATAGCGTAGTTTTTGTGAAAAAAAAACAGTTCAAAGGAACAGTGTTCGCTTTTTCATTGCAGTTTAATTGTTCCTCTGGAGAAAATATTTGCATCATCTTCATAGACATATTTCTCTGACTTTTTCTCATGATTTTCATATCACAGAAATTCATATGCAAGAATTGCATCGCTTTTTTTTTGTAAGTATATTTTTTGTATCTCTTGTAGAGTTCATATTATTCCGTCTACAGTTTCGAGTGTGTTATGTACAGGAAAAAAGTGGAGAAAACGTGTGCAGTAAAAGGATACACTCCACTATACAAAGTCCTACAATAGGGACGAGGAAAACAGAAACATGCGGAACAGTATTTTTCGGATTAAATGTGTCTTTTTTAGAACATTATCTTTACAATAATTGTTTCATCGTTCCATCAATGGAAATTAAATCTTCTATCAGTCTCCAAATAACAGGCCAATTTCAAATTGATAAATTTACATTCCTTCTGTCTTTTCTTTCTATATGAGAAACCAACATACAATATCGATAAAATTACAATAAGCGCTAAATGGCCCTCGTGGTTTTAATTATATCGCTCTCGAACTACAATTTTTTTTTACTTCCAAACTTTGGTCTTATCTAAAAGATGCCGCGTGAGATTCGTTGCTCTTTCACTCAATTTTTTTTTGTAAATAAAAAACATCACTAGAAATCGCGCGAGTGAGTGCATTTGAGGTTTTTCTTTCTTTAGAAGATTTTACACTTTTTACACATCAACTTATCGTCATTATGAAAATAATTTGAGATTGTCACAATATATAATTATATTCGTATAATTATCTTAACATTCTGGTAAATTGCTTTTCTAGAGATTTTAACAGGTAAAGGACGTATTAGAGAATGAAATATCAAAACAATTGAATATCACAGAGAAAAATGTTAGCGAAGAAATGGACTTAAAACGGAGAAAAAAGTCTGTGCGCTGAAGAAAAAGAAATAAACAACTTAGTAAAAGAAGATGTTCACACAATATAAATTCATGGCAGTAACAATATTTGAGATTATCTTCTCATTCCATTTTCATGCAATATTTTCAATAACACTAAAACAATTTCTGTTAAATAACATGTCTTATCTAAATGTCTTTCAACTGGGAATAATTGAGAATTTGTCTCATTAATTCAAATGGTTAATTACGCATATTTTTCCCTCCTCAATCTCTCGCGCTCTACAATGTTGTGTGTTGTGGAAAACTGTGGTGGCCTCTCTTTCCTCCCGAACTCTCTTGTCTCCTTAGTCACTAACGAAATCACTGGGCGACACGCGGTGGCGATCCTTGGCGGAGCCTTTTTGATTCTCATAGAGATGCAGACGCTTCTGCCGGACTACCTTGAATGGCTGCGGACGAGACTTCGCCTGGCACGTGGACGAGCACAAGAGTGGCGATGTTATGCGTGCAGAATCGAAATCATTGCTGTCCTCATTGCAACTGTCCGTGGGCGAGACGTGATGATCTCGTCGCTTTATCGATTGCTCCAATCGCCTGAGAAATCTGTCGTGAAATGAAAAATCGTGAAACAATATTTCACTCTACCGCCAAAATGACACAAATCCACCGAGGGAGAGCATTTCAATTCCCTCCGTCAAACCACAAAAGACGAGGGTTTTCTCTCTGGTGTGCAGAACTTTTCTCACTCACCTTATCTGATTCCCAATAGCACGGAGTCGGTGAATTTTCTTTGTTGGCATAGCACGTGCTGGAGTATCCTCAATTTTCGTGACACTGAGCAAAGTCTTTTTCCATCCAGTCGTGATTGTATCGTAAGCATTATTTTGCAACACAGCCACACACACAGAGAGAGAAAAGTACACAAAAATTAATTGAAATTTATGGGTCTATGCTCTCTCACTCACAACTTTCATAATCAGCAACCTCTAAGCATAGATAGGACAGAGATAGGACAACTAACATGATTCACACTACATCACACAGCTAAATCAGGCAGGCAAACTAACTAAAGAAAAGAACATCAGGGGAAAACAAGAGAGAAAGCGTTCTTCTTTTTTCCTGTGCTGATTGAAAGTCGTACACAAAAAGGTGGAAAATCCAATCATACACGTTGGGAAGAAAAAGTAATTAAATCAAAATGAATTTCGGTGCACGTCTTGCGATAGTTTTAAACGAATTTCTGATTCTATGGCAAAGTTATCCCAGAAGAGGAAATGCAGACGGAGAATGAAAGTCAACATTCGGAGTTTATCTCTCAGATTCTATAAAAGCATATCGATTGCAAATAAATGAAATTCCTTTTTCACCAGTGGAAAATAAAGTGGAAAAAATGAACAAATTGACATTTTATCAAATTAAAATCTCGATCTTCACTTCCTCCTGCCGGCAAAATGCACTTGAATAATAATATCATGACTTAGCCATGAGATATGAAAACACAGAAATAGAGGAAAGCAATGTTATTTCAGATTGCTATTAAAATTAATCGATTCACAGAGTTTTAGCGCTTTTGCAACAACTTTTAAAGTCTTCTTCTATCATAGCTATCCATAAAACTTTGCTCTCCTCTACAGAAGATGTTGATTAGAGGGAAAATTGACAAAATCACATTTAGTTGAGAAGACAAATTCAGCCATGGTGAAGAAGGATAATTCTTAAACAACCGCAGGGATGAATTTTGAGTGGTAGTTTAGGTCTAATTGAATTCCTTTTTCGTGAAAAGTGTATCAATAGCGAGAATTATGGTTTAATATATCCATTTGAATGTTTAACTAAGCTCCACAAATACGCGATATGATTAAATTTCATGAAATCAGGAAGCATTTTGCAAAGAACTTCCTCAAATATTTACTCTGGTGAAAAATCTTAATCCATCCCCGCATTCTATCTTCTCCTTCTTTACCTCAGCTGAGAACACACAGAGAGACACAGAGAGGAAGAGTAAATTATTATAAATGAGTGGAAATCATAGAAGGAAAGCACAAAAGTACATAAAAAATATGACGTTCTCTCGACAAAACCATCACAATTATATTCACGTTTTGCGGGGAAAAAAAACCTTCATAATTGCCATTCACGCCTTTTTGCCGTCGGTGAGTTATGATAGTCTTGACGCGAGAGTCATTGATAATAAAAGTAGAGAAGGAACAAAAAAAACCCAGGCGGAAAAAGTAAAGGGAGAAAAATTTGTTGGAGAGAAAGAAAATGTTTATGAAGAAAAATAACCTTGTCATCGATCACCGCAATAATTAATTAATCGTATGGCATCTAAAGAATGTTAAAACATTAATGTAGAGAATTTGAACAATACAAATGGTAAGATAATTATGTTTTCTAATTTGAATTGCATGCAACCAGTTGCTTTGACACATTTTTGCTATTTGATGTTTTTTTATATTAAATGAGACTCTTTTCCAATCACTTTCTATCACTCATCAAATGTTCTTTTTGCGCTCTCTCACTTTCTTTATGAATTGTATACGAGAAATGTGATAAAAATTGTGTGTCTTTTGAGATGATGACGAGAAATAAATGATGGCAATGCCTCAAAAGGACTCACCTCCTCAACCTCCTCGCCGGAATCCAATTGACTGGCAGTCGCTTGAGAGTACGTGATACAAGTCGTCTTTGTTGGAGACGATGTGACTGCGGAGCATTTTGGAGAGGGAATTCCATGATAAATTAATAATTTCACTGCTTCGAGCTCATCTGCCGAGCACAAACTCTTACTTTTGATCTTTGGTGAGATTTCCATCGGCGAGAGGAGACTCTCTGACGACGATGAACTGCTGGCCACTGGCAGCCGATGGAGTGGCCGTCTCTTGGGGCTCTTCCTGCTCGACCCGAGAATGCCATGGTGATACTTTGAGCTTTGTGGATTATGCTGAGCCGCCTGAGACTCCTTGTTGGGCAGCTCCAAATGCGTTGTATTCTTGCTGGGTGATTGATTGTGTCCTGCACGACAAGATAACGTCTCGAATATTGCGTTATATAAATACACGAAATCAAAGGGAATAATCACCTCTGAAGGAGCTCTTTCGCTCTCTTCTCTTCCCCGTATTCTTCCTATGGCTTGTCATCACGGTGGCACTGTTTCCCTTCCCATCGGACGACGGAAAGTCATAGAGACCGTCAGAGTCCGTGAAGGGCAACTGTTGATCCTTCTTGCCATAGAACAGCGGTGAAAACCGCCCAATTCCTGTCGTCCTCTCGCTCAAAGGGCTTTCAGAGCGCGATGAAACTGGCGAGAGCGTCTTCTCGCCATTGTCATTCTGAATAACAATTGACGGCAGCTGAAGCTGAGCCATGACCGCAACAGGTTCCTCAAGGAGGCTCTTGCCATTCTCAATTAACTCCTTTCCCAGGAACATCTCCAACTCCTTGGCACTCCGTATTTCACCCTCGTCAATTTTCTCATCAATATGATCCGTGCCAATTCCCTCGTCATTCGACTCCAGAAGCGCCTCGTCGCTCAGTGTCTCGGAATCCGAGCGATTTCGCATCCTCTCGTGATGATCCCTAGTGCCACTGCCCGCTGATCCGCCAGACGCTGCGGTTTGGCATGTCTTAAAGTGGCCGCCTTGGCGTCGAGAATTGTGCACGGAGGGAACACTCAAACCAGGACCAGAAGAGCCTGGAAAATCAATCAAATACTGCACACATTCGGCCTAAAAAGTGCCAATCCACTGTCTTACCAGTTCCAGGCTCCTCATTCTCACTAGGACAGAGGGGATTGTTGGAATTGCACCTGCTCGGGCCAGGACTGGCCATGCTGGAGTATCCAGACGAACTGAGATTCCCTTCAGACGTCGTCCTGTCGCTCCGCGTGACTGTTGTGAAGGGACTCAGATAGCACATGCCCGTGGATCCGGGCACACACAGATGCGCATTGGCCTGCAGCTTCCCGGGAGCCGGTGACATATTGTCCATGTCAGACTCTAGCTCACTCATGTTCGACGTGATTGTTATGAGGGGTGGTGTAAAGGGCAAATCCAATGATGTCGGCTTCTCCAATTGCTTCAGCAATCTACAAGTGTACTTACCGATGTAGAGTGAAGAGTAGTCACACAACAGACAGGCTACAGCACTCACCGTTTCTGTTGCTGCTTGTTCGGGAAGAGAAAGCTCGTCTCGCCAATGCTGGCTCGCTGTGGCGGTGGTGAGCCGGGAAAGAGCTGTGCCGGCGGCGTGGTTTTCGTCGGACTGGGCGTCTCGAGAGTCAGCGTGGGGATCACCAACTCTCGAGGGCGACTGGCTGATGCCCTCGGCGCCATCTCCTCCTCGGGAGTCGGAGGATCGATGTCAATTGAGATGGACATCGCCGGGGCGCGCATCTGGAATTTGCTCCTCCTCAGCGAATGCATCGATTGCGTGGGCTCAGACGTTGGCGTGTCCAGAGAGAAGTTCTCCACTTCTGAGTCGGTTGTGCGCGTATTGTCGGGATGCAGAGTGACCAGGACATGTTGGGAGAGGTTCTGAAACAATTGCTACGTAGATAAAGGAATTTTGCGCAGAGGAAGAAAATTAAGACAGATAGTTAGAGAGCGGTGAAAGTGAAGAAAAGTAGCAGTGAGAAGCGGGCGCAAGAGGACTTACGTCGATCTTGTTGCTCTCGTCGTCGCTGAAGCTATTGGACAGAGGATCATCGTGAGGACTGGGACTGCGAGTTCTCTGCGGTCTTGGCATGATGGGCGTGAGCGCTGGAGAGGGCATTGGCGTTGGCATCTCGCGGATTGGCGACAAGCACTTGTTGATGGCGCCATTGCCGCCAGACGGAATCTCCAGAAGGATGCTCGGCGGATGGAGGAGATTGGAACTGGGAGCGCTCTTGTGGGCGCTCAGGGGATCAAGCACAGGCACTTCGATCGTGCTCTGTCGATAGAAGACAGGAGAATCGGGAGCTCCGCTTGAGAAACTCACAGGGGTGTGCATAGACGATGTGGAGGAGTCATCGTCTCCGGGAGCGTCGTCCTGAGGACTGGACGCCGTTGGCGTGGTTGAGGGCGAAATGACACACGAGGGAGGAAGATTGGCAGCCGCATTAGACGAGGCGAAGTTCTTGAACATCGCCAGGATTGAGTCGGCGCTCGAGACCTTCGACTTCATTCTCCTGTTGGTCCTGCCAATGTCTGCCAGTGCCAGGTCTGAGCTGGACAGAGAGTCGCTGCCCTGATTCGAGGACGTGCTGTGCGGCGATCGGATCTCGTTGATGCATGGCGACGGAGGCACCGAACTGGCTCTCAGCGGGATATCGACGGGGAGACTCAAGCCGGTGGCGGCGTTCAGTGCTCCCACTTCCATATCCGAGCCAGAGCTTATTTCCGCCGACACCTTGCTCAGCAGTCGCGCGAACGTCACCTTCTTCTCCAGCTTGGGATCCGGCATGATGGCGATGGGGCGCAGCGCCGAGGTTGACGCCGAGAGGGAGTTCTCGGAGAATGTCGTCTCCTTGATGTCACTCTCGCTATCCAGCGTGGGCTTCAAGTGGTTGTCCGACAGCTGAATGAGCTCGCCAAGGCTCAACTTTGGCCTTTGCGCGGCCGGATAAGATGGAGCTGGCGATATCAGCTGTTGCAGAATTTGCTTCTTCTCCGCCGCATTCTTTCTCGTGGGCGTCGAATTGTTACGCTTTTTCCTCGGCGATGGTGTTCCTGTGGGGAAAGTCGAGAAAACACGCCAGGTAATACATGCTTTCCGCCTTACAAACTTAGTGCTTTTCTCAATTCTTTTCACATATTTTCCGCCTCTTTGTTTTTTCGCCATATAAAGCACTCTCTTCTGTTGGCATTCAAAAGCATTCTCATTCTTCTCACTTTTAAATATATATGTGCTTATACTCTGACATGCCACGCATGACGCGCACAATAGAGAGGAAAATAATAAAAAATATAGAGAGAAGATAGAAAATGAAGTGTATAAATTGGATATTGTGCAGTTTTGCCTACCAGCAGCCACTCTCAATAAATCTCTTACAGACAGGTGTGAAACAGAGAAAATATTAACATACATAACAACTGAAAAATTGGAGAGTTCTAAGATAGAATCAAATGAGATACTTAAAATATTTCTGCGGTTTCATTTGTACACTGCTTTCTCAGTTTTATGCTGATGCTGAGCTTGCTTGAGGGGATTTTCATGGTGGTGTTATTTACACACTCACAGATAGAATTTAAAATTTTCTCACACTGAAAAAAGAGGTCAGAGGAAGAGGAGGAGGAGACGGAGAAAAGCCACAATTTAAATAATTTCTTTTTCACGTCATTAAAAACAAAACCAAAAAGAAAGTAATGTGCAGACACAGGGAGAAAAGCTCACGAGTAACTTGAAGACATCATCAGATGGGGAAATAAATAGGTTTTGCATGATTTTGCGGGATGAAAATAAAGGAGGAGGAAAGTTGTGCGAATGTAAGGATTTTGGTGCAGACACAACACCAAAGAATGCATCCGTTCTCGCTCTATATTAGTTTCACGATAAGATAGTTTCCACACAAGAAAATGAGAAAAGAAAGACTCGGTCAGAGGGTGGAAATTAAACTCAAAGAGACAGGATAGTGTGTAAGAAGTTCACGTAAATGTACTGCCAAAGTACTTTGTCTCTCATGAGGAAGAAAGAATATTGATAGTTTGCGCATAGTTTAAGATAATATAGGATAGAATAGACATTTGTTAGCTACTTTAATAGAAATAGTTAGTTTGAATGGTATCTGTTTGTGAAAATCTCTGTCTGTCTTACGTCGAGGAGGGGGCCGCAAGAGATCGTCGAGCGAGAATGTTCGAGCGGTCGCCCCTCCGGTTGGTTGGGGGCTGCTGAGGCTCAAAATGGATGGTTTTCTTATACCCAGCCGACCGAAGATGGACCTCGGGACGCCCGGCGTCGAGATGGTCGTCTGAGGAATGGACGTGGTGAATTGCAGTTGCTCCCGCAGGGACGTGTGGTGGGAGTGATGAGGACCAGATGCTGGAGACGAGAGACAATTAATTCATTCGAAATTCAGAGGCGAAAGCTCTCCCGACTTACGTCTATTTCGGTCCGCCTCCTCGGCCAAGAGTTTCTCAATCTTCTCCGGGAAGTGTCTCTTGGCACACCAAACGAGCCCAATAATCGCCAGGACGACAAAAACGGTAATTAGTCCCAGCCAGAAGGGTTCCTGAAGCATTCGCTCCGAGAGCGGTTTATACGGAATGTGAATCATTTTCCTTTCACACCTCTGACCCTCCCACCAGGCATGGCAGCTATTGGGTGGAAAATTTGGGATTTTACAACAATATTAGATCTTCCCCACTCCAGCGGCCAAACAATTTAAGACGGTGTATATTCTTGGAATTTCCAACTCACCGACAGAAGAAGCCGCCATTCTTCTCGAAACAATCCCCACGTCCCTGGCAAGGGTTATCAGCACAGGGCTTCTGCTTCTGATCGCACGTCTCACCCCGATATCCGGGCAGGCAGTTACAGCGAAAATTGCCGGCTGTCAGCTCACATTGGCCAAATATGCACGGGTCAAAATCACATATTGTCAGCCCACAGAAGCGACCTGAGTAATGTCCTCGACATTGGCATCGCTTCACATCGCCATTTGTGACACATTTCCCACCAAATTGACACGGATTCGGATGGCATGACTCCACCCATGTCTCCCTGGACGCCAGCTTTGGCTTGTAGTTGGTGTCCGGATGGATTTTCACAGTGGCATTGAGTGGCACACTCTCCGTGCCCATTCTCGTGCGCTGCCGAATGTGGATGGTGTTGAGATAGGACGTTATGAAAATAGGCGTGTAGCCCTGGTGAAAGATTGTCGGCGAGATGTGCTGCGAATCTGCCGTGTGAATTGAGCACAGCACCCACACGCTTCCGTTGTTGTCGGCGTAATTGTCGAAGATCTCCAAGGTGGTGCCCTTGGAGCAATTCTCCCCATCACCAATGGTGACGCCGTGCAGCTCAAGCGTTATCACCTCGCCCAGAGCGACGATTAAGTGCTGCATAAAATCCACATCGGGTGGCAAAGGAAGTGGATAATTGAGATGCAGCAGGATGCCACTCGACGCATTCACTAGATTCAGAGTGCGCTCCTCCGTGACGGGATACGCTGCAGAGATAGAGGAAATTATGAAGAAAATTATACAAAAATGCTGAGAGTCATTTCCGCGCATTTTCGCAGCGACAAGTGTGCTAACGAGGTATTTGAGCAGATTGCACTTTGCCGGCGGATAGTTAGAAATCTACGAATCTTCATCCACATTTCGTGCATTTACCAGTTTATCACGCTGTGTATCAAGAGAATAATTTTTAGAGTGAAATCACGAAAATCACGTTGAAGGACTTTATCTACTCCGCCGGTTGATTTTAATTTGGTTCACATTCAGTTTTCATACTCACCAATCGTCTTGTACACCGCTCGAAAGCCCCGTCCTCTCGGCCGAAAGCCCGTCCTGAGTACTACTTTGAGTTTCTCGAAAGCACTGAGAAAGACGCCGTCATTTAGCACATTCGTGGCTGTAAACGGGTGAAACTCTCCATCGCCCAAATCAATAATCACAGAAGCGTCGTCAATTATGTCGAAATCGCTAAATTCCAGCCATACTTTTCTCCCAATGGGCGCCTGTAGCATGAAGGCGCACTCGAGTTTATCCAGGAGAAAATGTGGATAGTTGGGACTCATAAAGATGCCCTCCCTCGACGTGAGAGTCTGCTCGGGGCAGCCAGTTATATCAATTGCCGTCCACGTGGCGGAGAAGCCCGTCCCGGATATTGAGTAGTCGCTGTGAAACTGCACAACAGCCTGATTGGAGCTGGAGATGAAGTCAAAGCGTGACATATTGTTCTCGTAGCTTCCGCACCATCGCACATACGATGAATAGGATGGGAAATTGTCCACGCCACCCCGCCCAGCGTCATGAGACACCGTGGCAGTAAGTCGCTTTCGCCGCTCCAACAGTCGCGATGTGATAAATCGATTTGTGGTTGCAAGCAATTTTATGTGGGCCTTCAGACTCTTCTCGGCCGCCGCCACGGATCTCTTCCTCTGCTGACGCCACTCATTAAATACATCCGTGAGCATGGCCATGGGAATTGGATTAGTCCCTGGATCCACATTACCGTCCACCTCCCCATTGCCCACGCTCACATAGTCGTACAGGCACTTCTCCTGGGCCTCCAAATCAATTCGCTGAAATTGCACCACTATTCGCGTTCGCTCTGGGCTGATTATCTTCACCACATAGTCCACATTGGGCGGATATGAGTTGGGATAGCCAGGCGATGTGAGACGCCCCTCCGTTCCGGTCACCGTGTGATTGCGGACGCGTATGTTATCTGACCTTTTGGGGGTCTTCTTGCACACATAGCCACCGAGGGACGAGCACCGCTGGGCTGACCAGTAGAGTCCGGACGGCAGCATGGGCGTCGGCGACATTCTCCACTGAAGTCCCACGCACTGCTGCTCCTTCACGCTGCCGTCAAATACCGTCTCTCCAGGGAGCCAATCCTTCAACGAGAGAGACACACGCTGACATTTTTCCTGACAATCCCTCCTCACAGTGGCTTAGCTCTGAATACCAAAGTGCGGTACTCCTCAATCCCACGATAAACCCTCCGTATCAAAATGGCGATGCAAAAGAAATTTTAATTAAGCGCCACGAAGGACAATAGCTGAAGGCATGTGCGTTACCTTCATGAGTGCCACGCAAAATTGCACTGCTTTACTACACATCCAACCACCATCGAGAGTGGTTTAAATAGTAATTAAATTAATTTAATATTCTAGGCCATTAATGGGAAATAGTCCCTTTAAAATCCCAACAGTCGCATTTAATCGCAGATGCAAAATGATTAAATTATATACCAAGGCCCGCGAGTACATGATGGGGGATTTCCATGTTGATATCAGAATAATAACGCACGTCATCAAATATTATTCCTAAATGGCAAATTCGTCATATGTGATACATATTTGGGGCATTATGGAATTAAATTCGCCTCCATTTAATATGCCACTTGCAGCATTTTCCTGGGCCAAAATGAAATTCGAAGGTCTACCGATTAAACACCCTGCATAAGTATTTCAAACAATGCGAAAATCGTGCAAAATCACTGTGATAAATTATTGATTTCAGAGTCTTTCTCTCCCTATGTACTCACTTGAAAAGTTAAATCCGTCCCGTCAGACCACTCAAGATTTCCGCTCTTTGTTATCTCACCGCCCAGCCAATAAATTCCACGTGGTGAATAATCCATATCATTCCGTATGCTCGATGTGATAAATCTGCAACATAAATGGGGAAATAATGCTGATGAGATGCTTAAGGTGTAGAGACTATGTGCCACAGATATATATACCTCTGCTCATCCACCGTTGTCACAGATGCCAATTGTGCTCCAATACTTCGACAGACTTGTTGCGCCGTCCACCAGTCAACTTCCGGATAAGAGACGAATAAATAGCAGGACTTATTGTACGGCTTCTGACGATCATCTCCACACTCCGAGGCGACTGAATGGACGAAGAGGAGAGAGAGAGAAAGAAAGCGGGAAATGTATGCCAAGTACCAAACAGTCGATGACTTTTGAGAACAAAAACTGTATTGGAGCACATAAACTCTCAATTTCCTCCCTTCAAATATCCACTCGCAACTCGCAAACTTTTCTTCTTCACTCTCCCCCATCCAAACCTTTATTTTGCAAAATACATTTTCTCGCGTATTGAAATGCGATTGTAAAGCGAGACGAGATCTTAATTTGAATATATCTCCAATTGGCGCAATTAGCAGTGGATGGAAAATGGATGCGAAGAAAATGTACTTGTGAAGCAATTGCTCTCCCCAAACTCAATCTAAAAGTTTTGGGGACACCTACATTATAATAGGAAATCATTTTACTCTCTCACAAAAGCAATAGTTCTACAAAGTGACCTACTAAAAAATAATTGGATTTAATTAACAAACTCGATAAGCTCTGGCATGAACACTGGCAGCTCTCTACGACTATGGAAAGGCACTCTGCAAATATCATTTAAAAGGAGGAGGAAACTTACCCCTAGTGAACCATGCATTTCCTGAATTTATATATAGAAACAATTAAAGACGATTCTCTCTTTGACTGTCCCCTCAACACGTCATTTTGCATCCTAACATGCAACAGATAACGATGAAGATGCAAGGATGCGAATAAAAGAAGTACACAGAGTGTTGGGAGAAACAATTTGAAAGAGGGAACTTTTTACTGGCATACGAAACTTTTGTTCTCTCACTCTTCCGGAAAACAGTTCCGACATCCGATCTTTTTTCTCTTACAATTTACCAAGTGGTTATATATTCCCCCTCTTAAACTTTGTCTCTCTTCGGAGTTTAATATCCCATAATAAATGTAATCTAAATTGTTTGAGATGGAATCATCCGCAACTTCTTGTGCCTGTCGAAAGTGATGGAAAAATCAATTATTGTGCAGTGAAAACTTGTCCTCACTATATCAAACACACACTACAGCTAATGTCTCTGGGTAAGAGAGCATGGACTAACTTCATGGATTATTCAATGACAAAGCTCCACAATTTATGGATCTCCATTGGTCACGAGTGAAACCCATTTTAAAGAAGAAACACGCGAATTCTTCATCCAAATGTGTATGTATATTTGAAGTTAAAGTTCCTCCCATCGCCAATCGATACTGCAATGCATGGGTGGGTGAAGTGTTTTATACGCGGATGATTCGAGTTTTGCCAGAATAGTTACTCACCACTTTCCATGTAAACCTTTGCCTTGTATCCACTGTAGTGGTGCGAGTAGTCGGAAACGAAATGCAGACCAAGAGCGGAGCCCTTTGTTACGTGACGCAACAGTTTCAGCTTTGAACTCCAATCACCGCATAATTTACGCGGCATTGTGGCCACTCTGTCAGTCTCCATTTCAACTTCATCTGCTTGCAAATCGGTGGCGTCATTGGCCCGGAATTTATCATCGGGCATTGGTGGGAAGGACGCGGTGAGTGGGTGAAAAAATGGCAAATCGTGTGCAGACTGCTGCCCACCACCAGTTGATGACTGGTCAATATTTGGCTCCGAGAGCTCCAGCATGTCGTAGCTACATCTGGGAAATAGGCAAAAGTACAGCATCATCAGGTAATTAGAGCGCTTGGATAAATTTTGCAATTTACTCCCGTTCACGCTCCCACACCCCATCAATATGCTAATAAATGGCCATGCTAAACCTCAGACGTCCTATGAATAATTTAATACGAACGGTGGAGTGAGAAATCATATTTTTCCCTATAACCGAAAACCTATTTCCGTGCTAAGACCAAATAGCCTTTTTTTTCAATAACTCATCAAGAGGAAACTTTCGAGTGTATAATGACTTTTACGTCAGCGAAAGGCAAAAGACCTGATTTTAAAAGGAACACGCTTCCGGTAAAGTATTCATGACGTGTGTCAATAGCAATATGGAAGCTTTTTGCCCTTAATTTCATTCTTAGCGAGAGAGAAAAAAGCTCCGCCGAAAGTTTCAACTGTGAAAGTAATTAATGCAACTAAACTTTCGAACGTGCAAAACTCTATTACGTAGTCACGCTGGTGCGAGTGAGAGACAAATTAATGTTTATACAGGGGACCTATATAACATAATTTTGCGACATTAATTGTATAAATTATATTCATAACACCGTAAGCCAGACTTTTCCATGTAATAGAGCCCAGCAAAGGCAGACGGAGGAGAAAAAGGGAATCCATATGTTCATATGGACACGGTGTGGAAGTAATGAGCATCTCTCTTCCCCAAATAATATATACCGTGTTGCCCAGAAAGGTATCCCATCTCTGAGTACACAAATGTGTGTAGCATTCTGCTGTATGTCAAAACGGGAGCGTGGAGATAATAGGAAGAGTCTCCCATGTCTGTATTAACATGGGGGAAAATCCTTTAAGATAGATAAACGATGCAAAAATATGATGCTAGGCTTCAGAAGGGAATCTCTCCGTGAGGATGAAACTAATTTGTGGCACCCAGAGGTGCCTCTCAAATTACATGAAAATGCCAGAATGAGGGTCTGGGATTTCTAGTTTGCAGAATAATTTTTCCACCACACACACACACATATGTGTATATGGTTATTTCGGGGTGAAACAGTGAATTTTTTTTTCCACCGCAGCGTTTGCAATATTAATCACAACAGATAATCTGTAGATGATATCATGGTACGCCCCAAAATTGTTCCATCCACATCCTTGTCTCAATTCTAGCGTTTGTGGAGCAAAACATTCAACAATGTATTCCTATTGATTTTATCTATGGACTGAGGGGATGATTTCTCGTCTCTCTGTCTCTGTCACCCTAACACAGTGTGTGTCGCACTCGTGGGGCGTGTGTGAGCTACTATGTGTGTTTGGATACATATTAAATATTAAAATAAACTCACTGAGGCTCGTCCTCAAGAACCAACTCCTCAAAATCAATTACTATCCTATATGTAGGCGGTGCTGTGATTAATGTGAAGCAGTTGACATTGTCCGGATATGGATGAGGAAATCCCGGACTCCATACATTGATTTTCGAGTGCTCACTGTTGAGTTGTATAGATTTGTTGCAGTCATTGCGCCACTGAATGTCCAAGACAGGCTCTGAAAGAGTATCACGACGAGTGGCGTGTGTATCACATTTTATCCACAAAGAGCGAGTGAGTGTATATAATAAAAAGTTCATACCATCCATCATTGGGCGTTCACAAATAAAATAATTCTCCGCCTGGCAGTCTCGATCATTCCACATGAAGGATGCCGTCAATGGAGCTTGACTGGGCTGATTGCCAGGTGGCAGACGAAAAAGGCGTCTCATCTCCACACAATCCTGACTGCTCAGTCCGTCGTCATTCGGTTGACGATTGTACTCCTTGTACTTTGGCCACCCGGGGAACCAATCTAATAAATGGGAGATGCGACGATAAATAGTGTCTCAACCAGCCTCTCAGTTACCACTTGAGTGTTCTGTTTATGCTCACTTGTATAAGAGAATGGGAGTCCGTCACTCCATCGAAAATCACCCTCGAAACTCTTGTCAGAGGCGCCAATCCAATACGCCATGTGATCCTTGTAACCAGGACTTTGAGTGGGATCAAGAAAGAGAGCATTACAAATTGTCTGGGGAATTTTGTATGAGTGAAGAAAGTCCTACCTATTGATGAGAAGTCTATCTACGATTCGCTGCTCGTGTTCGGACTTGATGGAGGCCAAGTGTCCACCCCGCCGGACACACTCAGTCTCTGCCGATTGCCACGACTGGACCGCACCTTCCACGGCACTTATGCAGAACTGCTGGCAAGCCACCCACCCGAAGGCACATTGTGAAACAATTGATTCAATACTTTGAGCACTGTACTCGACTTGGAGGGACGGAAGGTGTGTGGCGGCATCAGTGGTCGCGGCGGTTGATGCCTTTAGAATATTGGCGCTGTATCGTCGCACTGCCACCACGAGTGAATTATCACTGGAGATCAATGTGATCCTACGACTGGCACTAAACTCATTGTAGCAGTACAGCCACCTTCTGTCCGTCACGCGGTCGTAAATCTGCACCCGCAGCCCCCCGCCCTCCCCGCTGTCATTGCATATGGCACCCGCACTATCGCTCCCCGCGTGGTGCTTCGCTGACTGATTGCTCAGGTCCACGAACTCCCGCCGCGTGGACTCGCTCTCATTGTGGGCATTCGTCGTGAGCATCAGACTGATCCTGTAGCCGTACGGTAGGTGGATCTTGAAGTAGCACTCCAGAGAGCCGGTGGGTTGGAGAAAAAACGTCTGGTTGCGCTGACTAAGAGTCACATTGTAGCAGTAATCGACAATTTTGTATTCGAACGTGAAGAAGGGATGATTGGTGACGCGAACCGAGGTGTTTGTGTGATCAGCGAAGTAGTAACTCCTCTCGTTGTGTGGCAATTCCTCCAGCTTCCCGCAGAGTCGCCTGTGGCCGCCCAGCTCCACGAATCCACCCTCTGTGCAGGGCACATTGAGGCGCGTGAGGTGGACCAGGAGGCCAGAGTGGGCGTGTGCGGATCCCGACATGGAGACTTCCGCCAATTGCGACGGAAAGAACACATTGCAGTCTGACTGCTGGATTGGCAGGGATGTGGAGTCAAAAGATCCACTGAGATGTCTTAGGAAGAGCACACAATCTGCATAGATGCACAAAAGGATTAATTATTGCACTCACTGTGCTCCTTGCCCTCACATTCATGGCAAGTATGGCAAACAAGCTCTTACCTCTCCGCAATTCCATTGAGATTTCCATTTCAAACACAGTTCCATGGGACGCGTCAGTTCGGTATGAAACTCTACAATTATAGAGACTCGGTGTTATCATCTCCGTTTAGAATCACACATTAGATCTTGCTGAATGAACATTTCGCCCCCGCTCTCGAATTTCAAAGTAATTCATTATGTGAGAGATTTATTGAAACTCAGATTCAGCCTCGAGGGAATTTAATTGATTAAATTTACCATAAAATTTCCCATTCTACTCCATAATCCTTAACAGATTATTAGATAGGCGATATATTTGTTCATCTGCATTCCCAAATACCTTAAGTCCAACCTGTAGAATGTCATTTATTTTTCCCCGGACGTGAACCTCCCCAATGAATCTTCATCAATTCTAATAACACTCAAAAGTTTTGGACAATTAAGGTAAATATGTACATAAGTTCGAAATCCAATTAGCAACTAATTAAAGTGGTTTGTATCTGTTGAAAAATGTCTGCGGAAACTTTCACCACGCAGAGTTGAAAGCCCCTTGTCAGCACTGATTAATGCTAGAACCTTTCCTAATTTGTTGAGAGAAATGTGTGAGATACTGTTTGCCAATGCTTCTGATATATTTTTTTCATGCCACATTCACGCATAGGTGGCAAAACCAAAGGCACCGGATCTGCCCCGAAGGAAGATAACGAGAGGAGCCTTTAAGCAAGCGTGCTCAAATATTTGTTTTCCATTAAAATGTGAAGCAATAAATCACGAAAGGCTAAATGTATTATCTACCTGTTATTAATATAAATAATGGATCACAACATTTCATTGATTTTCGGAACTTTCAAGCGAACGGCGCAAAAAATCTGCAATACACTCTAATTGATCTCAATAATTTGTGAAAGTTAAAACCATCGAGACTGACAGAGTGAGCACAAACTGCAAAAAATGTCGAGTACACTCATTTTCACATTGAATACCATATACGCAAAGTGCGCGTAACTTTGAATGGGAGGCGGGCGGAATTTAATTAGGAAAATTGTTGAAAATCAATATGTGAAAATCTCAATGTAGCCGCGTCGTTGAAATAACTTTTCTCAAACGAGTTTACTCACGATGACACACTCTCGCCATGTAAAACGTGATTTTGGGTGGAAAATCGCAGGTATGTTTGCAATATTTGCTCCTCTTTGTCACCCCCGCCCGCAATCTCATGTGGAATATGTATGGGGCACATTTTCCAGGCTACATCACTCACGAAACACTTTGTGAAGACAATAATTAATTAATCATTACATAAGTAATATGCCTTTGTTGGTAATAATAACTAAACACACGCAATTGTATTCGTGGCACTCAAAATTGGCTGTTGGTGAGAGGAAGAGGGAAGACACGCTTAATGACGAAGGAAGTTTCTCAGCCAACTAAAAAGGACGTCCCCACATTCACCAACAATGCTGTACGAGAGCGCTTTCCTTGTACACTTTCTCACTTCGGCATATAGTGGCAAAATATTTTCCTGCACATTATTCATTCATCTGCATTGTCTTTCAGGGTGAATAACTAACAATGCTGAGGCGAACATAAAGCCAGGTCTTTATTAACTGGTTACTTTTTCGCCATTCTCAGTTTGAATTTAATAATAATGAGAAAACTAGAGCTTTATGTTAGACGGATATGGCCTAAAGCTACACCAGAAGAATCAGTTCAGTGTCTGAAACTTAAAGTTGACGCTATCGAGAGCTCCGAGATTCTCGGAAACTTGGAAGCCCTATATATAAGACGCCTGATGGTGAACTTTAAGTTTCACAGATAAATCTTTCACAATAAATAACATTAAACTTCTCTCGGCCACTTACCGAAATGAAACTCGGCCAGGCTGATCCTTAGCGCCAATATTCCCACTCCATCCGGTGGAGACTGTCTCATGGTCGTGCATAAAGCTCCGTGACCACGTATTCCCCATACAATTCAGTGCATATTGATCACCATTTGAATTTCGTATCGTGCGGAAGTTCTCATGGTGACGCCGATGCCAAGATTTTGGTGGCAGCCACTTCACATCATCCGCACTTTCACGTTCCCGATTCATGGAAGACACAGACATTGCCCCAAATGGCGACTGCTGCCAACGATGTCGCCCTGAAGACGATTTGCCAAGATCTGGCGAATCGATAAATCTCCCACCCGCCACTCCATCGATGAAAGACTCCACAAAAAAATCACGTACGGTCGACGAGGACTCCAAAGTAACTATATGGAAGAATAGAAGCACAGTTTTAGTCCTAAATTAGTGGAAATTTATGCATTGAGGACTACTGATGGAGATAAATGAGCGCCTTATAATAGCAAGGGAAATCTTCTTATTTAATTGCAATGTGATACATATTCAGGGGGAAAGAGGCGAATCATTTTTCTCTGTCGTTCTTTCAGCGCGCCACAATCTCAGTGACTAATGGACCAAATCCCAGACTTTAATTAATCTCAAGATAGAATCAAAATTCAACACTTTGTACACATTAAACTCAATTGTTTGCACATTTTTCTACCCTTATTGCAACCCTTCTTTATTTTGAGAGAGAGACATAAATATGTCCAACTCCAAATATGTCAGACCCAATGAATATGTAAAGAAAGCAGACAATAAAATGTGATAGGGACATTTAGGGGCGATACAGTTAAGCTCCAGGAATTCTAAAATAAGAATATAACTCTCCTTCGGCCGCCTCTCGAGGATGGGTGTGAGTGAACTTTAAGTATCCTATTCGTATCTTATATAAATGTTTACCTGATGATGGGAGGCTTTTATTGATTTTCTGTAGATTTCGCCAGTGAACCCAGTGAACCCACATAACATGCCTGAATATCTAATGCCTTAGTACACCATCTCTTCACTATAAGCCTCGCCGTGCGAATTCACCAGGCAAATGGAATTTGTTACAGTCACAAAGTGATGCAGGAACACACAGCAATTGATTTGTGAAATATGTAACCATCATCTGCACTTTGTATGCCTGAGTCTCCGACATGTGCAGAGCCGTGAAAGCGCACCCCCGAAATAAGTCTTTTGTGTAATCTGCACAACAGTGTTGTTGTATATAACAATATGCTCGTTGGGAGCGCGAATCAGGATACAAAACAATATCCATACCATTAGAAATAATTACTCCATTTGCACGATTCCCATTGATTCCACGAGTTTTGAATAGAATTAAACATTCAATAGGGAAAGCACCCTCACTTTGATTACCCATTTCTCCCTCAATTCGATCTTTATTTAATCCAGTCACACCATCATATCGTTTGAGTGTTTATCTATAAAAAAAAAATTTCCCTCGCACTGGTCTTGTAAAAGAATTTCATACACGAGAGATGGCATATCATAAATTTGGGTCATGGTTTAATAATTTCATTGCGCACCGCACATCACAAACCACAACTCCCAAATGACGTGTCTGAAAAATAAAATTTTACATTGATCCTCCCGCGCCAGTCATGTGACAAGAGCTGACGGCCAATTGCCATAAAATTTCCCTTTCAATAGGGCCACCACCAGCTGAGAATTGATGGATTAGAGAGTCAATGGGGAAGCGGACCTAGGACACGCAGAAACGACTGCTGACCTCGAACTCTCCCCCTTCCTGGCCGGATTTTCACGCCCTGGGGCAATTAAAATTGAGCAACACTGCCACTATAGAATTATAAATTTAATTGAAGCACGAAAGTCATGACGAGGACGAAAGAATCTCACATCAAATGAATTGAGCCACATTCTGACGCGAGCTTTTATTAGCCTGCCGCACTCGCTATACTGCTAAATTACACACATTCACTCCGGCATTACATAATCTGTGGAAAAATAAAATTTATATGGCACTGTTGTGCCAACTTTTCACCACCAAACTCCAGAAGAGAAAGAAAAAAAATACGAATCAAAGAGTAAGACTGCGAGAAGGGTGGAGAGAAACTTCCTTTGTATATTTCAGTGCAGACGTGAATTCTTGAATGGGGGACGAAGAAGGGGCAAGAAAAATAATTTTTAAGATGTTACATAACAGTCACCCTTCATTATATATTACATTATATAGTGGAGTCGCCAATGGATTGAGCAAGAATGGACATTCGATTCTCTCTCACTCACCCTGCGTGGTCTCAATGTGTATGAGGGCGTACATAATGGAAACTATAGCAGCGGAAAGGGGAGAAAAAATAAATAATTGCTGAAGTGAGGAACAAAACAAAACAATGGAAAGCTTTTGATTGCGGAAAATACATATTTTGAATATCGCTTTAATGTTTAAACATCACGTTCAACCCTTTTGTCATGGCTGCAATCGCTGCCAGTGAATGCGAGCGACACCATATTTTAGCATCTTTTCAAATATCCACTGTACAATGATTTTTCCCACTCAATTAGGACATGGAAGCAGGCGCATTTCAATTATTCAAAGACCCGCAGGGACTTCTGTACACATTCACTTTTGTAGTACCTTTAAATCGATAGCAACAATCAAATTAGGCAACATGAATTATTTCAAATTAACAGAACGGAAGGAAAAGCATGACCTACAATTTAAATCCAAATATGCCCATATTTCTCTCAGAGTTGCTCTCTAAAGTGATACAATGAAAACTCGCTGTTCCCATCCAATTTTCCTCTCGACAACAACGGAAAAGCCCCCCCCCCAACTTCGTGTGCCCTTGTAGATCGGCCACAAATTAATGAATTGTATAATTTTCCTGACACAATAGTAAATTTCGGGCAATCGATCAACCCATCCTCCAACTTCACACAGCGACTGTCATTCCACAAAAAACCCTAATGCTTTGTTGGGTGGCCCCAGTGTTATTTGCATAAAACCTTATTGAATAATGCCACCGATATGGAGTGGAAGCATCAGGGTGAAATTCCTCTGAACCTGAACCTTTGAATTTTTTCATTCTGCTTTTTTTGCTTATGTCAGTGAAGATTTGCCTCTCTTTGATTTTCTCCCAATATAAATCCATTTTGAGAGAAAATTTCCTTTTCCTTTCCCTCACTCAATATTATTCTTCAACAATTTCTTTCTCTCCAATTGGAATATTTCACCCAACACTGTGTTGATATATTTACAATATTCCACACCTTATTTGGCGCTTCCTTTCAGATATATTTTGTAAGCATATGAGAAAATACACCAGCATTTGTTACGAAAAGTGAATAGAGAAGTCAATCTCGTAAATTCAGCGTGGCAAAAATAGATGGTTTATATCCATAATGATGTCTACAGAAAGTTATATACTTTGCTTTTCTATGAAATATTGCTGAGAAGTTTTATCAACATGAACAAATGACCCATTAAAAGAGTCGGCAGACAAAAATCAATTAGATTGTCGGGACGAATTCAACATTTTATCTTGTTAATGTTCTCCTCCTTAACATTTTATGTTTTCGCATTTTGCACGGAGAAAAAACTTTTGCTCACTTTGTATTTTCACAATAGATTAGAGACGATATTCAAAGTTGGAGGATTCACATTAGTAATATACATAAAGAATTTATGCCCATCATAAATTTTTGTGGCGAAAAATATTGCAAAATTTCCATGAAAACACCCCCGCCAGACCTCCAATTAAATCACTAGTTTTGTTGATTCTAGCACGTGGTGAGGTCCATCAAAACAAGTTGAAAGTCCTTCTCCTCGAGCAACACATCAAATCTTACGTAGTGTCTGGGCAATATATTTCTCTGCATTTTGTATTACATAGTGGAAAGTTTCTTCATTTTGCAGTCAGTCTCCCATCATATTTCCATCTTGGCCCCCTCTTCCCCCACCCTGTTTAGTAATTTGTCGAGAATTTCCCCCCAGAATCCCTCAAACAATGTTAATACTATAATATGGCTTCCTCTCACATATGTATTGAGCATGTATTGTGCCTTCATACCTGAAGTACTTATTTCATGTCGTTGTAATATATTATTTATGTAACCGTCTCTGGGGCGTGAAGAGATTTCATTGGACGTTTTGTAGTAGTGGCACAAAGTGTACATAATACAGGTGACTCGTGGAAATTCGCTGCTCATCGAGTGCCAAGCTAATGAAGTTGAAGTCCGTCCAAACCCTTTTTTCGCCTTGTTAATCAATGAAAACAGGTTACAGAAAGGACTTGTAAATAAAACAGTATTGTTTTGCCTGTTCTTTGCCCTCTCTCGCACAGTCGCCGCAAAGTTGTAATCGATTTTTCTTCCATTTATCTACTCCACTTTGTCCCATTACTCTTTTTCTCAGCTGTAACTGTGACCCATCAACCTCTCAATTTGCCATGCGAGCATATCTTGCAAATGTCCTATGGCTGTGGAGGAGCTCAGGAGATGAGAAATGCACTCTTGTCTCCCACACAATTTATCGTCTTTACGTAATCCCTCGGATCCACGAGCGATAGATGACGGAGCACAAATGTTGTTTGTCCTCTTTTCTGGCAAACTTTCAAAATATACCGAAAGACTTTTAAAATATTTAGAGAAGTATACCTATATCTCTCCCCACCACATAATCTATATATCACGCAGAGTGGTGGTTTTTCTATATAAAGGCCTCCCCAGAGACAATTACACTCAACATACCCCAAAACTTCTTATATACACACCGTCGCCACCATCCCTCCAGAGAGAGAGACTGAAGACTCCTGCTAATTTTCCACCTGTCGCAGATGAAATTCCTCGTGCTCCCCTCTTTTGCCTCACACCTCGCTATATAATACCTTTTGAATAGCGGTGTATTTGTTGGTTCTTATTCCAATGATTTCCACCTCATAGGATGTCAAGAATTTTTATTATTTACCACATAAGGAGCCTTTCACCGCTTTATGATAGTCGTGGGAATTGTAAACAATTTCACTGGGTCGGAAATTTACTCATCTCTGGGCGGCGTTTCATCTGGACAAAGGCAGGAAATAGAAATAAACCCTCTTAAAAATTACACTCCTCGTTAAACATTTAATTGCCTGACACCTCGACAATGGAACTGATTTGGATCTATCCTAGAAAATGGGTTAATCACAGGTGGACGGAAAGAAAGCTTTTAGGGATTCTTGGGAGGACAAAGAATTACAAGTTTTTCTCTTCCATACAATCGTAGGATTTCGATTTCTCGTGAATTCAAGATTGAATTCACTCTGTGTAGAGTCCATTTCATGGAGAGAAAGAAGTCATTCAGAAATTCGACCGTATGAATATTCCAAAAGAATCTGTGATGTTTCGTCTGGCCTTTCAGCAACTCTCTAATTCATGCGACGAGTGGGATGATTGGGGAGGCGAGCAGAGAGTTTTATATATCAAAGAAACACATAAATATGAGGAGCTTGTATGTATGATTCGTGGCCATTCTCACCTGTGTACATCAGTCCTCTCACCATGCCGTGACTCGTATCAAATACGTCATGGGTGACGTCAAAACGCAAGGGTGGCGACTGGTCGTTCGTTTTGGCGGATGATGCCTCCTTGGCTTGATCGAACTCCACTCTTGTCACTGTGTCTGTTGGCCTCAGATAGCTACTTGCGCGCTCAGTGCACGGCGACAGGACACTCTTGCTCGCGCCAGTCGCCGATGCAGCCATCGTATCGAGGGTCGAGGATATGGAGTGGCCAGAGTCGTCATTAGTCTTCGGTGCACGGTAATTGTCGCTCTTTTGTGTCACATTGTAGGTCGTGCTCCGCACAAAATCCCTCTCGTCGGTGTACTCGTTGGGATCCTTCGTGAGCAGGAGCGTCGGGATGTCCTCCATCAGGCCGCCGTGACCCTCCTCCACCACTGACAACCCACCAGGTGGACCGGGTGATCGCCCAGGCGCCGGATCGCCCGTGATTGGCCCGCCCAGCACGCCCAAAAGTGTGCACACGAGAAAAACATACAGTCTCTTCATATTGCTCGAGAGACTTGTTGTCCTCACGAAGATCCTAATTCAATCTGCTCCATCTTCTCCACGCTTTACTCCATAATTAAAATCACTCACTCTCTTTCTCTACTAGAAGTCTCTAATATCACCATATATCGGGGTGGAGATTAGGGACCACGTGTTGCCACTTATTTTCTCGCTTCCCGCTCTTCCTCCGCACTATCCACAATCCACATATGAGTCACTAACGAGCATTTTATTTGGTAACAATCCCAACTTAATTGCACAACACACAAAATGCTTGTATTTTTTACACAAAATAAAGCACCCAAGAAAAAAGGATGGGAACAATACTAATAGTCAATGTCACTTAACATCATGCTGAAATTTCTTCATATTTCTTCTCCGCCTCGCTTATGAAATACAATATGCATATAGCAGCAGGAACAGGAGTTCTCCCATCTATCGCGAAAGCATATGCATATATAATTATCTTCTTAAGACATTCTATCCCCAGAGGGAAGGATCTAGAGATCTAGAGTGGAGAAGAGCTCTTCTCTTGGCTCATCAAATGTCAAGAACTTGTATTACTTTTCAAGACGGGATTTGCAGAAGAAAAATTCCCAGGAAATTCTCGTAAGAGAACGGAAATTAGACTATCTCTCACCACGATTAGGCACAAAACATTAAACATTTCGTGCTGTGAAATAATGTATAGAGCAGAAGAAGATCCCAATTTTCATCCCACTCTTCAGCGCACACAATTTCACTGAGGAGAGCATTTTTCAGCACTGCGATTCTCGACATACGTTTTCTTATATCAATAAGCCAAGAAAAACTCTTTGAAAACTCCAAGTAGAAAGGCAATTAGGTGCACGAATGAGGAAAGTTTCCTCGCATTTCTCTCTGTTATATGTTTGACAATTTTTTTTCTCTCTCCCCTTCGTTTTATTTCAAAAATATTTTGCGACGCGAGTTTGGAAAAGAAAAATTTCCTTTCTAGTTACATATTTCAACCCTCACCCTTTAATCGGCATATTCACTCATATGTTGTTTTATTTTTCGAAGAAATGAAGAAAAATATATGCGAAGGTAAAAACAGTTGGTTGCGTGACGAGTTTCACGCAACTGCCACATTATACATCGACTTTTATGTACCGCAATCGCGAGAAAAGGTAAAACTGCTAACAAGTGAACTTTCTACTTAATTTTCCTGGTCATTTCGGCACAATCTTCAGTTGAGAATTCGGCTGGCAGTATCTCAATTCTAGCTGCGATACATATATTATTGAAAACGCAAAAGAATGTGTGGGAAAAAAGAACAAACTGAGATTCTTTTTCACTTTACACTCACAACTTTTAAAGGGAGAGAAAAAAGAACTGAGAGATAAATTACACAAATCGCAAGGCTTTCTGCCCTCCTTATATTCCCCGATGATAAATGAATTAACTGACTGTAGTGAATTATTTTCTCTTCTGTATAGCAAAAGGGAATCGATAAATTTCAGTCTTTTTTGCGATTTCATTTTCCCACTTTCTGTTAATATTTTTCTTTCTCCCCACACTATTACCCAAAAAAGAGATATATCGCGAAACTCGCGAACATCAAAGGAAGATTCTCCATTTAAGCATTTTCAGCACGGAAAATATTCATTATCCACCCTTTAGCAACTTATCTACACACCGTCGTGGTAAATTGTTTACAAACCAACAATTGTCACTTTATTTACGCGATTATATTCAATTTTCAGAAATTTTTCAGTGTTCTTCCGCTCCACATTGCACAGAGAGATACGTTCACAACAAAGACTTCACGAAGACTAAAGTGAACTTCCACTAGCACAAATTTTAAGGGTGAACACATAAAAGCGGGTGAATAAACCATGAAAAGCACGAAAGCTCCAATGGAGTCGGGAGGCACTCGTAAAAGCTTCGTGTACTATTATATAGGATTTCCAGTCTTTTTCTCCATTTTCCTCACATTTTCCAATGCGCCCTGTATGTATTTGCCTCTACGTTTTCTCCTCACGACGCTCTTGTCTCGGGGAAAAAAAATTTACATATACACACGAGAATACGTGGTAGAGAGTTTGTTAGGTTTTCTCCTCTATCCTTTCTCCGCCGCGTTCCAGAGAAGGGGTTTTTGTGCACAAATGTATTTATGAGGAAACTTAAGACATACCAGCGAGACGTGAGTGGGTGTGAGTATGGAAAAACTACGTGAGAAATACTATCATCGCGCGCGTACTTATGTATCCCAAGCAATAACTATTCGTGCGAGCGTATTTTGAGCAATTTAAAGAAAAAGGGAGAGAAACCCCAAAAGTATTGAATTAAGTATTCCACTGACATATTTACTTAAGCACCACTTTCTTCGTCGGTATCACAACATGAACCACCCCTCAATTGACTTTTTTTCCCTCACACAGTGCGCGCCAGTACCCATAAATTCCGACATTCGCCGTCATAATTTCATCATACACAATTCATACACGCCGAGACGCGGTACTGAGAATATTGCTACACTTGAAAAGGATTTTTACTGTCTCTCCTGCTCTCTTCCATCGCCCGGACTAATCAAGCTTCTGCGATATTTCAATGCAGCGTGCAATTTTATTCGCGATTCCTGCATTTTTGCATCACGGACCAAATAACTTTCCGTCATAAGTCTTATATTGTATGATAAATAGTCACAAGGACGCTCTGATGAGGGCAAAAACCCTATTTAACAGGAATCTCACGTAACTTTATCAACTGTGAAATTCCAATAAAGAAGCTCTCACTACAATTTCACCACTTCTTACACACCATAGAAATTCTTCCTCGGGATGGAAAGCTCACGCTCGAATGAATGCATCAATGTCCATAGAAATTCACCGTCTCCATTGTGCCGTGGCCAACCATTGACCACATTGTTGAGCGACAGGACGCAGGAATGCGAGAGGATGAGATGCCACGCATTCCTCACTGAAACTTTCTCCGCATAAGAATTTAATAGTCGCATTTTCAATTCAACTTGCAAGACTAATCAATAAAATGCATCCACTGACTTACAAACTTCTCGCATGAGAGGAAAAGCCATCTGGTCGTGGCGTCTGGAAAAATGCTGGAGTGCGACTTACGAGTGGCAAAGTGCTGGCTAAAGCTCTTCTCAGTCTCTATTCTGTGAAGTAGCAGTTTTACGAAATTTTATCTATCCGTCTGCCTCTCATCTCAAGCTTGGTCTCAAGTGTATGTGTATTCAATAGTGTTCCAATTCCTTGTCCAAGTCCCATCTCTATCGAGCGAACGGCCCGCGGGAAGAAACAATAATACAACAATAATTGATTGAATTGAACTTGTGCCAAGAGCTTTTTGCACCTCACGCCGTGAGCACTCCGCAATCCCGCAAAAACCTTCCCATACTCGTTGAGCAATCACAGTCATTCGCTCTAATCGAATAAAACAGTCGAAAGCGATCAACGTCGTCGCTACAAGAGCTCTATAGAAAAATATCCTTATGTGCGCTCTATTGAAACGCATAAATACATTTCCACGCTCGTGCATTGATTTTCCTTTTCGCATTTCATATTAAGAGGGATTTTCCATCTCGTCTGTTTGCATTTCTGATTGCAAAATTTAATCAGCAACATTATTATTCTCTGTACAATTCATCCCTCTCATTCACTCCTTCCTCCACTCAGTGTCCCATTTCAAAAATCATGTAATTTGTCTTTATGACATCAAGGCGCCTGGTGCCAATACGTCCATGCCATATAAGAACTCCAATTCTCCCTCACCCTGGCAAAAATCACTTCCATGGCACACATCCAACTTTTATCGCTTCAGTGCTCCCCCTTCCCATCGCCCCGGGCTCCAGGGGCAATTGAGATTGCATAAAATCATCGTCCCCATTTTATTTATCTTCTCCCATTGTTGGGACAAGGAATAAATTTAATTGCACGGCCCACGAGGGAAGCATCGCCTAATAAAAGGCCCTACAAGTGCATCGACATACATTCCATTTTCACTCCTTTCCACCCCAAAAACACGTACATATACAACATTATTTGTGGAGCACAAACACCCAGTTTTGCGAGCTTAGTAATTATGCACCAGCAGAACGCAAACTTATTTCGTGCCAATTTGGAGGGAAAGCGAGGAAAAACTCCTGCACTGACGCCAGTCGTTAGCATTGAACAATGGCGTGGAAATGCAAGTGCGACTTGAGGAGAGAATTGTGTGGATGTGCTGAGAAATGTAGTGCAATTATGAATTATGGAGCAGTCTAAATAAACACCTCATCCCATCGCGTAGCAATTTTTGCAATAAATGCACCCAACTGCCCTTTAACAATTTACATATACTAACCTTTCCCACATACTTTACATAAAAGCAATATAACATTGCTGTACAAAACTAAAACAGCTAAAAGTTTCGATCGATTTTTTTCTCCGTCACAGTGTCTAACCAATACAAAATGTAGAATGTAGTCAGCGGTCGTGGGAATAATTATTCGGAATATAATTGACTAAAAACTTTTGCGTATAATAATTTTATGCACCTCATTAAAATTTAATCACTTCCCACAATTTATTATTATACAAAATTTCCACTCTCTACAGTTTCACGGACACAGAAGTACGCACCCAAAGTGAAAATCAATATCAAAAAAGTATTTGCGAAAAGAAAGATGTGGCAGAAATCATCCATTGGTCATAGTTGGAATAATCTTGCAAATATGTTGTGTGCAAAACAGAGCCAGAAGACTCTATTAACAGTAAATCGTGGGATTATTGCGAGAATGTATGGAATTGTTGTGGTGTTGACTTTTCTCCAAGCCAACAAACTTTTTCCCTCAAACTCCCACTTTTCTCTCTCTCTCTCAGCTTAAGAAAATACTCTATGACTTCCCGACAAACTTTAACTTCATTCAAATGTAATACTTGTGTGAATCACTGAATATTCTATCTCTAAATCCTCGGCAATTGTACAAAAAGGCCATATCCATCCCCTGTGGCAGGTTTAGAGGCCTGAGCCTAAGCCGAGTGTCCGATAGAAGGGGCGAAAAACCACCCACGGACCTATAATTCTGAGCAATGTGGCCAGAATGGCATGTGATTCGCATGAGGAGAGTGAAAGGAAAACTCTGTGGTTGTGCATTCCTATCGCCCAGTAACACAATTCTCATATATCATCTCATGAAACAGCTGCTGGAGCCACATTTTCCTAATTACTTTCCCTCCCAGACACAATAAAATGCCCGGCTTCGGCGTCGGGAAGAGGGCAACTTTGTGGCTGGAAGGCTTCGAATAATGCTAAGCATGTTGTTTGCCTCTCTTTGTGGGATATATTAGCGAGAGAGGATTTGGCAGGATGCTCAGCATAAGTCTTATGTAAATAACTATCCATCGGGAAATTCTAGAATTTCCTCTAAATGAATAATGCAGCGGAGCGGGATGTGCGAGGAGCCAAACAGGATGCTTTCATGAATAAATATGTGAGTATTAGTGGCTCTTGGATGCAGTTTGGTTTCCCTGAACGTAAGTTTTCAAAGGAAGAATCCCATTTGCATGCGAGTAAAATTATGGGGAGGTCGCCAAGACATTTCACTAATAAATTCATGAAATATATGGAAATTCCTACATGAGCTTACCCTTAATCCTGATCTAATCTTCAAATGCTTCACACCGCTTTATGATATCAAATTACAACATTAAATTTGTAACAAATTTCAGTCAAATAATTCCCGTTGCAATGTACTATTTTGGACAACCCTGCAGAACACATAGTCAATTGCGTCAGCAACAAGCATAACGTGGAAATACAAGAAAGCTCTAAATGTAGGTACAATTATTGTTTTCCCGAAGGCCTTCCATTTGTCGCTTTTCATTTTACTTTTAAAGCAGTCTGGGTTTTCCGCCACGCTTGAAATATTCCGGGAAATGAAAAGCTACTATTGTACACCAAGTCTCATTAAAACAGCTTTTTCCTCGCCTGTCCCTTGGATTTGCCAAACAATAAGATGAACACAGGACTTACGGTTTGCGTTGCTCCAATTTCGCCAAATTAAGCCAACGCCACATGGCGCAAATGATGTATTGAAAATCATGGAAATTTGCATAACTTGAGCGTGAAAATTCATTTAAACGATTCACTTTTCTATAAATACTGGTTTATTACTGAGTTCTTTGAGTTGGGTTTTTCCTCTTCACAACTGTAGTATTGTTCTCAATCTAATATGTTCTTGCAACTGAGAATTTTACAGATTCTTTTCCCCCTTCAAATTGAAACACATTAGAATTATATATGCTAAAAATACACTTTCAATTTTATCCTCACAATAAATTACTCAAATGTTCTATAAATTACTTCTACACATTCTTCCGTAAGAATACAGACAGTTACACAATACAGTAAGTTTCATCGGTAATACGTACAAAATAGTAATTTTTTCTGTAGTTTCTCTTCCCCAATAAGTACACTATTTATACTTCGCTCTCTGGCAGGAGGTATTAGTTATCGACACACTTCATTGCTAAACTTCCACTCTTTCCTTTATCCTCCCACAAAAACCAATGATTGTCAATATTCTAATAGAAAAAAATAAGAAAATCTAGACAGCATAAATGCAAGAAAATACAGAAACTTCACCGCAATGTTCAAATATACTACATTCCCTGCGCTGCTCTAACACAAAATGAGGATTTGAATCAGTTTTTCTTTGTCCTACGAGTACATAATAAATAATTCTTGGGTAACTACAGCATTGCTCTTCACATAAAATAGACACAAGATTTTCTTTTATACAATATTAAATGGCAAATTTTACACAATATTCTTCTGGCTACAATTAATTTTCGTCACATGAGATAAATACGCTTGCTTGAACAGAATGTTATTGTAATTTTCACAAGGGCATCATAAATATAAATGGGGAAAAGGACAGAAACACTAAAGCTAAAATGGTATTTTAGGGTTGTTTTGGTTTCTCGCACGACTCAAAATTCTGTGAGAATATTTTTGAGAATTCAGCCTTTCCTTTTGCGTATGTCACAAAGTCATCTGTAAAGAAAATTTGATTATTCTCCGGGTTGAGACTTACTAAAAACAAATTTCTCCTCACCAAATGTTATATAGTCTAGAGTCCCTTTTCTAATTTGCGAAAACATAACTTCGTTCACGTCGTCCGGCAGTGCCAGCGTGTGATGGAGAATTTGACGGAAGAATCTGCACGTTACACCGCCCGAACTGCTCTCGTAGATCTACGAAGAAAAGGACATCCAATTGAATTAAGGAAAGATTCTCATGAATCTCTCTCTGTCAAATTGCTTTACCTTGAAGGCAGATCTAACCAAGTCAATTTGGGATTGACTGGGTTTCATGAGAAACAGAGCGCAGAGCAGATACTCTCGAAAATCTATAACTCCACAGGATCGCTGATGAGATAATAGAGAGAGGGAGAGAGAGTTTCGATTATACTCGGAAATCACAAATATGCATTAGCTCGCAAACTCACCGGGTCGAATAGTGAGAAGAGTTTGTGGGCGTGCGGGTGGCTCTGTTGAATTTGGAGCCTCTGGCAGAATTCCACATAGTTAATTGAGTTCTCTGGGATATTTCCGGGCTGCGAAGTTGCAATCTTTTCCTCAATTTGCGTCTTATTCAGCCTGTAAATCACATTAGTTTACAAAATGTCCTTTCACAATCTCACAACACACTACTCTTCACTTACCCAACACTCTCTCGCAGCTTCTCAACGTCAACAATCGATGGGGCAAATGGAAGATTAATTTCTTTGGCACGTGTCAATACTTTGCAGTCATCATAAGTGTAGTCTGATATTGGCAAGCCAAGTGCTCTGCAGGAAGGAGGTGAGTTACATAAGGGCATGTGTAGATGAAGCGGATAAAATAGCAATGTGGCAATCGATTTATAACTCACTTGGACATAACATTTCGCACATTGTGAGCGTACAATTTGGCATTGGCTCTCTCTTCTGGCGATGGCACGTACACTGGAAGAAACTCAACTTCGCATGCACTGTGCACTTGAGTCAGCGTGAGCCAGAGAAGTTTCAACCTGCAAAAGATATATTGCACACGATTAATATGGATGTCGACTATGCAAATTCCAAAATTGCTTCTGCCTCTGAGCAGAAATGAAAACTCACACGCCAGGACCCTCCCAGGTCCACGTGACGGTATCCAATCTGTTCGGATAGCGAATGCACACGGGCTGAACAGGCACGCCTGGGTAGAAAGCTCCGTGTTTGAATGTGATCAGGCAAGAGCGGTTTGTGCAGGTCCCTTCGGGGAAAATGATGATCTAGTGTGGAGAAGAGGAAGTTAAATAACATCCAAGATAACTTGACGATTGCCAAAATACCTGTGGCCAATCTTCAGACGAGTTTGCCCTCTCCTTGATAGCCTTTATCGTGTTTTGTCGAGAATTTGGATCCTCTCGCCACACATAGATCGGCTGTGTATAGTTTATCAACTCTAGCGAAATGATTAGACGTTGGACAAAGCGAAGGGTGAGAAGAAAAGAAGAGCATTAGAATTGCCTTTTCCCCACACATGAATTTCTCACAATATCTAAATAAATCTAGAGTATAAATTTTGCATTGTGAGATATAAAAAAAATAATAATCACAATAAAAGAAAGTTGTTAAATTTCTTTTTCTGACAAGCTCTTTTTGTCAATCGTTGCGAGCGCTTTCTTATGAATTTTGGTCTCATCCTCAAAATCACCAACACCTTTGCAATCGAGATAAATTGCTCTCAAAAAAAAAACACCCCCGCGTTCAACCAAAGTGACTGTACTTCATCGTCAAAGAAAAGGTCTTTCAAACTGATAGTCGTATTTAATAATTTACACAGATGAGACGGAGATGTTTTTCATAAATTAGAGAAAATTAGAGAAAAGAGTGACAATAAGGGTGTGAGAAGAGGGGAAACTAAAACAACAGAAATGATAAACTTACTGCCGACATAGTTGTCCATTGATTCCTTACGTACTATAACTGAGCTCATATTTGTTACATAGACTATTACACTGTCCAGAAAAGTGGTGTGCGGAGCTACAACAAGAATCGGCGCCTCATCTCGCCTCGCCTGTGTTCCAATAACACGGATTGACATTCCGCCGGCCAAATATGAACAGCGCCCGACCAAGCATATTAGGTTTTTCAGTAACCTTTCAGGAATGAGGCAAACACAAAAAATCAACACACAGACAAATCATCTCTCTTTCAGTTACTATCATGATTTTTCTTATCAGCATGGCAAAAAATTGGAACAATTTGCTCTTCATATTTTCACCAAAAAAGACAATAATCTTCGTACTAGACTTCCAAAAGCGCGTGCTGTTCATTCGTTATCATTTGCAAAAGGCAATTTTTTTTAAATCTTGAAATGAATTTAGAAAAGCGAAACAGAACAAAATGTAAATGAACCAAAAATATTTACATGTTTTCTCTTGGAATTGTATAAAATAAATGATCCCCAAAAATTCCATTCAACAATTCTAAACATATTTGGCTCGATAAAATCTTCCATTATGTTTAGCACTGTTGAATAAATTGACCAAAAAAAACATAGTGAAACCAAAGTGTACCATGGAACCGAAAGCCAAAAAAAAAGCATTTTGTACAAACTGCACAAATAAATAAAACTATCCATAAACATCTTAACAATATTTCTTCATTTAAAAAATAACCACCATTAATTAGTAAATATACCAAACTTTAAAATAGATTAGATATCTTTTCACACCTTCCGCCGATGTGTAGTTATTTTCCCTTTTCAAATTTATTCTCAATTGCTGGCGAATTTTGTTTTGTTTAATTTTTTTTGTTTTTTGGAAAAAGAATTTTCTGCCTGGGGTCAAAATTAACAACTTTCTTTGCAAGAGAAAAGGTCTTCTTACACAAAAATAAGTGTTTAGGGGAAGAGGGATTACAGCATAAAGAGTATATAATAATTGGTAAAAATTGATTGATGGAGGTAAAAAAAACAAAGATGATGTGATAATAAGGCAACGTACTTCCGAAAAACGGCAGAGACGCCGTCTCAGCCTTGGCCACAACGGCTGGTGGCCCCAAGAGGACCACCACCAGCGAATCAAAGAAGGACGAATGGGGTGCTACAACCAAAATGGGAGCTTTTTTCGTTGGCGCCCAGTCCCCCTTAAACTGCACCCGATGAAAAGACCCGGCCATGAATAAATATCTCATAACAGCAGCGGTCATTAATTGTATCGTCCTGTTGGTTACAATAAGAATTGTTGATGGCTCTCTGAGAAAAATTCGTCAATGTAAAATAAGAGACAGAGAGAGAGAGAGAGAGAGAAACAGACAACACAAGAAACAAACACAACTAAAATACTAAGTAAAGATAGCAAACAATACTGATAAAGTGATGTACAGAGAGGCGATTTATGAGCATTAAATTACACGCCTAAAAGGGAAGTAAGAGATGTTTAAAGAATACCGTGAAAGTGAGAGATTGCATACAAAATAAATGACATTATTTTAAGAGACAAGAGACAAAGCGAAAGTGTTGGTTAATTTGTCTTTCGTGGTCTCGATGGAAAATCTTTTCTAATTGATCAATGGAATTAGTATCAGTAAAAACATAGGAAAATTCATTTGCATTTTCAATCCACCAATTTTTTGCGCATTTCGAGAGTGAAAATGATAATGAACAAGACTTATACATCGAATTAATATCCACCCAAGAGTTAGTAATAAAAATCAAATATATTAAGTGGTTAAAAAAAAGAGAAACGGCATTATTGGTAAATGTAAATGTGTAGGTTTTATAAAAATATTTTAAGAGAAAAGCCTTTTTCGATCGTGATCGATTGCGAGATCGTTTTATACCTTCGCCAGCCTTTCATAGGCCTCGAGCGCAAATCATCATCGGTGAGACCAAAGAGTCCGATGCAGGCCAAAAACCAGGCCAGTAGCAGAAGAACACAGATCACAAACACGCGAAATGGAAGAAGGAGAACGGTGAAAACCGCAGTCTGTAATGAGATGCAGATCAGAGTCAAAATAAGAGTAAATAAGAGAGAAAGTCACAGAGTATCGAACTTGAGGTGTGTGTTTTATTCTAAATCAATCAGAGCTTATCGCATTTTGTGAACATTGAACCTTTTGCATTTCCCACCAAGTGTTGAAATAACAACACAGCCGAGCTGTGTGCTCATCCATAACTTGTCGGGATTAGAAATGAAAAACGGAAATTGATCAGTGTATGAGATAGTGCGGTGTGTATTCAGTTTTCAGCCACCTCAAGAGATCTTAGTCTCTGTGATGAGTCGATACATCAGAGATAGAAAATAGTGGCATGATCCTCTACGTCATGCCTTTGCAATTTTCCCCATGATACGTGGACCTCAATTGTTTACACCCGATCGAAAGATGAAGGTATACAACACAAGTGAAGTTCATGTAACTGAAATTGAGGCCACATTGTGTTAGTTTGAGATGTTGGAATGTTCACTCTTTTTTTTCGGGTGAAAGAGAAAGACATTGAGTCGAGAAAGAAATAGCCATTAGCTTGAAGGGCAAATCATAAACACTTTATGATCTCTTGAAGGAGATAAATTTCGATAAGTCTCTGGAAATTGTGACTTATACCTGTGCCACAGTGGAAAAGCAAATAGTTGTGTTGCGTCGTGAAGCAGTGAGTAATGGAAAAATTGGGAAAGGGAGCAGAGAGAAGAGCGTCTGCGCTGCAGGAAGTGACAACCTTCGCTGAAAATTAAAAAATGAGCACAGAAGGCACCAGAAAGAAAGGAGGAATGAATGATGAAATGGCAAGGAAAGAGACTGTAATCTTGCTGAAAAAAGAGATGAAATATTCCGCGAGAGAAAACAACGCGAAAATGACTCACTTTCACTTTGTCCAGCGGATTGATCAATTCCATTTTGTGAACGAAGGGATTTATGAGATGAAGACTGTCAGATCTTTGTTCCATGATGAATATATTTCCTCTTCTCTGTTCTGTTTTTCTTTTTCCTTCCTCTTTGCGTCCGCCTTTTTGGCCTATTGACGACTTTGTATTCCTCACGCTTCTGGGAAAGGCTATTTATATCTGCAAAATAATTTTTCTGCACTTGAACTTGCTTTAAGACACACTCTATCGCGAAGTGGAAAACGTATTATATGCCACACAAACACACTAAATACACAACTTTTTATTACATTTGGAGGATGATTTTTGGCGTAGTCCACATTAGAAATGGTCGGGTGATTTTTTTTCTTCTTCTTTTCTTCTGGATCTGCAGTGGCGTTAAAACGCACGGAAAAAGTGAAATTTTTCACTCCCACCCACGAATAAATAGCACACAACACAGGCAGCTTGGAGGAGAAAACAAGGCAAGAGAATCAATTTGCGTGCCAAGTAAAATCCACGTTGTCAGAAAGGTATCTTATTGGCGAAATCGACACGAGCACTATCACTTATATCCTCATCCAAGGACTCTCCCTTGCACACCTGCAGATAAACAGACACTCTGATTTCTCCGCCGCGGCCAGGAATTCGTGGAGTGAGAGCACAAGTTCAGAAAATCAATAAGCTGTGCATGAAGCAAATTTCACTCTCTCGACATTTCTCCACCAACTGAACTGTTTGTGTTTGGATGCGTTGTTATACTGCAAAAAAACACCAACTGCGACCCAGAGCGCGAGGGCAACAGAGACAGCACCTCAAGTGCCACGAAGAAGTGAAATGGCACTACTCCATGGCGGCAACGTGGAGTAATTTAGCGAAATGCGACCTGAATTGCACGGAAAATGCCCTTTACAGACGATGTCATCTACTTTTACTGATTGCACCGCAGAAAATAAACAATTCCTCAATCGCTACTGAGATTAATCTCCGTGAAAGCTTAGCAATTTGCCTGAATTTGGCTCAAGAAGAGTTCTCCATTGGCAGCCTTGTTTGGCGCTGTTGTCGTTCTAAACTTGACATTTCTCTACGAACTAAAAAAAATTGAGTAATTTTTTCCATTGTGGTTGTGTTTGTCGCCAACGCGACTATTTTAATTTTGTGCTCTTGAGACTCGGGAGAAAAAGGGTGAAATCAAGGGTTGTGTTCGACGTAATTGCAAGAGTTTCTCTTCGCAGTGCTGACTTGATGTGAAAAGGTGGCCGCGATGTCTTTTGTGAGTGGCACAACGGGTTCGGAGGCAGCGAAAAAGTTCCTCGAAGTGCTTCAGAGTGATTTCCGGCAATTGGGTCAGGAGACGAAGAAGAAATATCCGCAGATAAAAGAGGTAATTGTACTCTGATTGTGTCCCAATCACGCCACTCTGATAATCTGTGATAATGGTGGAGAATTGAGTGTTGGCGAATGATTAATGCCCACCATACTTCACACCCACAAATCTCATCAATCCCATCTTTTCTCTCTGTTCTGCAGTCGTGCGAGGAGGCAATCGCCAAACTCAAGAGTGCAATAGCGAATCCCCAGACTCCCGTGTACTATGTGGTGAATCAAATTCTCTATCCGCTGGTGCAGGGATGCGAGCTGAAGGATGTAAAAATCATCAAGTTCTGCCTCGGCATGATGCAGAGGCTCATAACACAGCAGGTTGTTGACCACAAAGGGGCGCGTTACATAACCGATACGCTGTGGATGTTGATGGAGAACGGCACGGAGGAGGTCAAAGTGCTGCAGACAGTCACACTTCTGCTCACGACCAACACAGTTGTCCACGGCGAGACCCTGGCCAAGACTCTTGTCCTCTGCTTCAGGCTCCACTTCACCAAGAACTCCACGACAATCAACACGGCCGGGGCGACGGTGCGTCAGCTGGTGTCCCTGGTGTTCGAGCGGGTTGTCGTGGAGGAGGCGGAAGCGAGTGCGGAGGCGGAGAAGAGGGAGATCAACATTGAGGAGCTGAAGCTGGCCACGGGAATCGCGCCCAAAGGACTCAAGCCCTGTGCTGCCGATGCTTTTCTCCTCTTCCAAGATCTCGTGCAGCTCGTGAATGCCGACCAGCCGTACTGGCTGCTCGGGATGACAGAGATGACAAGGACCTTCGGTCTGGAACTTCTGGAGACGGTGCTGGCGTCCTTCACGAGTGTCTTCAAGAACGAGGAGTTCTTCTTTCTGCTGAAGGAGCGCGTTTGCGCCCTGGTGATCAAGCTCTTCTCGCCCAACATCAAGTATCGCACGGTTGTTCAGTCCAGCAATCAGCCGGCGGCGCCCCACGAGAAGCCCTACTTTCCCATAAGCATGAGACTGCTGCGCGTGGTGTCCATCCTCATTCAGAAGTACCACAGTCTCCTGGTGACGGAGTGCGAGATCTTTCTCTCGCTCATTGTGAAGTTCCTCGATCCGGACAAGCCCTCGTGGCAGCGCTCTCTCGCTCTCGAAGTGCTCCACAAAATGACTGTTCAACCCGATCTCCTGGTGTCCTTCTGCAAGTGCTACGATCTCCGCAATCATGCCACGAACATCTTTCAGGACATCATCAACTCCCTCGGAGCCTACGTGCAGAGCCTCTTCGTCACGTCCCAACTGATGAGCACGGGAGTGGTAGGCAATCAACCGGCAGCTGTGCAAATGCATCCACCCACACTGATTGGAGGACTTCCCGTGGGTCCGGGCGTCTCTCCGCAACCGGGATTCCTCTTCCGTGGCGTCTGGCTGCCACTCACAGCGACATTCCCCACGGGTCAGTGCAAATCCACGTATCTGGAGATGCTGGAGAAGATGGAGCCGCCAGCGATTCCCGATGGCTATGGCATTTCTGTGGCGTATGCCTGTCTCCTGGACATTGTCAGATCCATTTCGCTGGCCATCCAGGGCCCCTCGCAGATTGGCGAGACGAATCCCAGGCCGTACAAGGAGAAGACCACAGAAGAGGATCAAGAGCTGCACTGTCAGTTGATCAACTCGAGCTGGTGCGGATTGCTGGCGGCGCTCAGTCCCCTCATTGACGCCGCCACGGATGAGTCGGTGACGGAGAATGTGCTGAAATCTATGCAAACTTATGCATCTCTCTGTGGAACACTTGAGCTTCACGCTCCGCGAGATGCCTTCATCACAGCCATCTGCAGAGCCTCTCTGCCGCCGCACTACGCACTCTCTGTGCTAAATATGGGCTACCACAGCACGCCGCTCAACTGTCACGCTCGTGTGGATGGTCAGGAGATGGCTGGCGGGCAGTACATGAGTGGCTGCGGCGAGAGTGATTTCAGGCATCAAGTGGTGGCCGTGGGAACACCGCTGCCCACATCATCGCTCCCAATTGGAGTGCAACAGGGCCCCGTTATGCTCACGGCGAAGAATCTGCAGTGCATGAGAGCGCTGCTGCATCTGGCCCACTGCCACGGAAGCCTCCTGGGCACTTCGTGGCACATTGTGCTGGCGACTCTGCAGCATCTCGTTTGGATTCTCGGTCTCAAGCCATCGACTGGAGGCAGTTTGCAAGTGAGTGATGTCTTATCTCTATGGAATAAGTGTGTGTGTGTGTGCGCTCGCGGTTTTCTGGGGAATCCCGATGACACGGGCTTTTTTTTCCTTCCAGGCCGTGCCAAAACAAACCACAGACACGAATGCAGTGATCACAACGGCGGTCATGGCGGACTTACCAATGTTGTCGCAAATGCTGAGCCAACTGTTTGAGTCCAGTCAGTATTTGGACGATGTGGCGCTTCATCATCTCATTGATGCTCTCTGCAAGTTGTCGCATGAGGCTATGGAGTTGGCCTACTCCAACCGGGAGCCATCGCTCTTTGCCGTGGCGAAGCTACTGGAGACGGGAGTGATGAACTTGCAGAGAATCGAGGTTCTCTGGCGTCCACTGACGAATCACCTTCTGGAGGTGTGTCAGCATCCTCACATCCGAATGCGCGAGTGGGGAGTGGAAGCTATAACGTATTTGGTGAGAACGGCGCTGCAGTACAAGTACGAGACGCCGCTGCGAGACAACCAGAAGCTGCAGACGCTGCTTCTGAGTCCGCTGGCAGAGTTGTCCACAGTTCCGCATGGAGATGTGCGCCAGAGACAACTGGACTGCGTGCTGCAGGTGCTGAATGGCGCTGGTGAGACTCTGTCCCACGGATGGCCACTCGTGCTGGGGATAATTGGGGCTGTGTCTGATCACCACGGAGAAGCTCTCATTCGTATTGCGTTCCAGTGTCTTCAGCTCGTCGTAACGGACTTTTTGCCGGTAATGCCTTGGCGATGTTTGCCTCTGTGCGTGAACACAGCTGCAAAGTTTGGATCCCAGACGCAGGAGCTCAACATAAGCTTAACAGCTGTTGGACTGATGTGGAATATTTCGGATTATTTCAATCAGAATCAGGAGAAACTCTCCCAAACTGTCACCGATGACTCCACAGTGTTTCCAGACTTCCCTGGAACGCTGTCAATGCCACACTTCGATAAGCTGTGGATGTGCCTCTACGCTAGATTGGGCGATCTCTGTGTGGACAATCGACCGGCTGTGCGAAAATCCGGAGGTCAGACGCTCTTCTCCACCATTTCTGCCCATGGAAGTCTCCTGAATCCACCAACGTGGCAAGCAGTGCTGTGGCAGGTGCTTTTCCCACTGCTAGACAAAGTGCGGAGTCTCTCCAGTGCCGCTAGCAATGAGAAAGTTGACACAAGTGGAAACATCTTGATTCATCACTCCAGGAATACGGCGCAGAAACAGTGGGCGGAGACGCAAGTGCTGACGCTGTCAGGAGTCTCGAGGGTGTTCAACACAAAGAGGCAGCTTCTGCAGCAACTCGGGGACTTTGATCGCGCCTGGGCGCTTCTGCTGGAGTTCATAGAGAACGCTTCGCTCAGTCGCAGCAATGAAGTGTCTCTGGCCGCCCTGAAGTCCTTCCAGGAGATCATCTACAATCGACCGACTGATGGGAGTGACGAGAGCAGCACAGAGATGTGGAATGTGGCCTGGCGCGTGTGGTTGAATATCGGATGTGAATGCGGAGCGCAATCGGCGAATCCCGATGACAAGACCGAAGAGGCTTACTTTCCCAGTCAGGCATTCCTCACGGCTCTCGTGCAGATCTTCCCGGCTCTGTTTCAGCACATTCGACCACGCTTCACGGACAGCGACTTGACGCAACTCTGTCGTGTGCTGATGAATGCTGTGGTTGTACCCATTCACACTGATTCCACTCCTTACATCCTCTCCACGATGTCTGACTCTCCGCTCACGCCACTGCACGACGGTGTCCTCGACTGCATGGAGCTCCTGCAGAAGGAGGCGCTCTCCCAGGGCTCTCCGCTGAGACCCATGATACCGGCAATCTTCAAGCAACTCCTCAAGTTCAGTCAGTTCTCATGCTCCGCGCCGAGCATTGAGTGCCTGAATGAGGAGTGTGACAAGGGCAAGGCGAGGAATCAGGCAGGCAGTCAGTCGGCGAGTGTGGAGTGGATAAGCATGAACTACATTCCATTTGGTGAGAAATCCCTCTCAGTCGTGGTGAAGCTCTATCGGCAGACCGCATCGGATGAGACTGTAATCCAGAGTGCAATTCTCCATGAGATCATCAAGGCTCTCCATCTGCCGCTGTCGCTCAAGTACAAGTGTCCGGCGGCGAGTACGTGGAAGTTGGCGATATCCAGTCTCATGAGTGTCCTGCACACGGGATTGCCAGTGATCAGGGCGAATGGGAAGCACTTTGCCGGCATGTGGAAGGACTTGGCTGACACACTGGATCAGTTTCTCTTTCCCAAGAGTGTGTGCACCATCGAGGACAGAGGATTGGAGGAGATTGTGCTAGATGAGGCGATTGATTGTCAAGTGATTGAGCTTCTGCGGGATGAAGTGCTCTCCTTCTCGTCTGAGATTCCTCAGGAGTTCATCCTCAATGTTGTGGTGCTCCTCAACAAGGGATCAATTCACTCAGCCACGTCAACTAATATTGGTGAGTTCTCGAAGTGTTTCTATGGCAATGTCTAATGCTGATCGTGTTTGCAGTTTCAGGATGCGACTCTGAGTTCAAGCTGAGGGAGGAATTTGCAAAGACTTGCTTCGACACACTCCTTCAGTTCTCTCTGCTGGACGAAACTGGCAGTTGCAATGCCAACAATAACAATACGACTGTTGAGGGCGGCGTGGCAGGAAGATTGGCCATCACGGCACTTCTGCACAGATTCCAGGAGGTGCTGAAGAAATACAATGATGACGAGAGGCAGAGTGGAAAGTGTCCTTTGCCGCGGTATCGCCTTTCTGAAATATCCTTTGTACTGAAGGCCGTTGCCACACTGATCATTTCCATGAAGAAGGCTTCGTCGACTAAAGGTGAGGATTTTCAGGGTGTTCTTCTTTTGACTATTCACTGATGGATTGACACTTTTATCTGCAGTTGGCAAGACCGCATGGGAGCAACTGATTGAACTGTATCCTTACTTGGTTGATTGCACCACGACATCGTCAACTGAGGTGTCGAGATCCCTTCGAGAGGCTCTTCTCCAGTATTCAGATCTCCTTCAAGTGCCACCAAGCACGGCAAATGGTGTCACGACCAGTCACTGTTAACTCACGCAACGATTTTCCCTCCGTAGTTTCAATTTATGAGCAAGATTTTCCGCCAGGAAAATCTCACCTATTTCGGTAGAGGCACACAACAAACACACAGGATAAAAAAATCTTTTACTGAGAAGAAGAAGACAGAGAATTATTCAATAAAATAGGCGCATCGTGACCAGTCTCTAGGATTGTAATTGCATCGTTGAGAAAAGGATCTTTAGTCGCTACTCGTTCCGATATGATCGTGAGATAAAAAAAAAAATTTGTAGCTCTTGTCGTGAGAAGAGATGATAAAAAAGGATTAAAATAGAAATTTTGAAGACATTTTTCCGAGTATTCACTAAATTCTATAAAATATCTTTACTGTATTTTATAAGCCAAATAGAAAAAAAAAATTTAAGTGGATATTTATTAAAGATGTAGTTGTTACAGCAAATCATGAAATATTGCTGCGGATATTCGTGATGAACTAAATAAAGTAAACTTTATGAATTGTAAATCGATGCTGTGTTTTTCACTGGGATTTCTATTGCAAAATGGAAAAGACAATTTGTGTAATATTCGATAAATATATTTCAATGAGATTTTTCATTACTCCTCAAACTGAATTACAAAGTAACATTTTTCCTTCCACTTTTCTTCTTCCTCTTTCTAAAATGATTGTGAGAACGTGGGGCGTTCCGCAGTGCGTCTGTTGCAAACGGGAGAAACCGCCCCATGACCACATTTTTTTTTATGTTTTCGCTAAAAAACGCTCAATGGAGAGAAGGACGAAACAATAGGATGCCTTTGTGAGCTTCTCTATCTCCCTTTGTCAGTAGTAAAAAGGTGTGTGCATATCGAGATAAATGAAAAAAGTTACTTCTAAGCATCTTGAGACATTACAAGTCTTCATTTTTTTTTATGGCAAAATACACAAAATTTAGAAAATATATGACAAATCTTCAACATTTTCCTTTTAGTCATTGTACATTTACACATTGTTTTTTTTTTATCGAAAGAGAATTGTCCCATACTTTTAAATCTACTCTTTATCCTTGTTTTTTTTTTCTCTTTAAAATAATATTGAAATATCAGGTAAATTTCTTCTGCGTGTTGTATTCACTCTTGCTATCTGAGAAGATATTATTATTTTATTAATCAGACTGGGCGTGTGTGAGAGGCCCAGCCCTCATGTTTTCAGTGCAATTCTTTATGACATGAGTTACTCTGAAAGATTATATCCTTGGAATATTGATGTAAGCTAATCCTCGGCTGGTCATCGCAATTGACCCGCTAATCGCTGAAAAGTGTTTGAGAGGTTTCAGTGTAGCTGCCTAGAAAATAAATATAGATCCTCCTGACTCGCGGCGGCTTCCTCTAGACGTTCGTCTGATGCGAAGAGTTTGACGCGCCAGTCGAACTACTGCTGGATCCACCAGATCTCTTCTCTTTCCTCTCCAGTCGCACCTTCAGCTCCTCCCGGCTGCGCTGCACCTCCCGCAGCTCTGTGTTCAGATCGGAACAGAGACGCTTCAGCGCCGTGTTCTGGTCACGCAGATACGCCACCACTTCGCCCACGCTGCTGTTGACAAATTGCTCCGGGTCGAAGCCCAGCTTGCTCAGACTCTCCGTCAGCTGCGCCAGGCGCTTCTCCGCCTCGGCCACGTTGACTGTGTTGATGGGCGGCGGAACTGGAGGCGGTGATTGTGAGTTGCGCGACACGGGTTTCCGGTACACTTCGAAAGCACTCACTCTCTGCGATGACTGAAGTGATGGGATGGTCGGACGTGGTGGTGGCGGAATGCTCCCACTCGTCTTCCCAGTCGCATTACACTGACAAGACAGGAAGGAAGTCACTTGAGGGGAATTCCGCAATTTAAACATCCCCTTTTCAATATACTCACGTCATTGCAGGACTGAGGAAATTGCGTGAAATCAGCAAAGGATGTATTTGTGCCCTCCACCTGAGCATCACAACTGTTCTGGGAGGTCATCTGCGGCGAGACACGCGGGGGCACCTCAGGCGGCAACGGTCCACCCAGCTTGAGCTTGTTCAAGTCCAAACTACTGCTCCTGGCGTGACGATGAGGCCTGCAAAAGTACACTTTCGCACTGAAAATCCCCCAAACAGAGTTTCAACACTCATTCTTTACCTCGGAGGTGGCAGCGGCGGAGGATCCTTCTTTGTGCTGACCGCCCCATTGGTGGGCTGCTCATTCTGATCGAAGGACAAGCTCGCCTCGCGCTGCGGTGGCGGCGGAATGGCCCCAGCACCCTTAGCCGGCAACTTCTTCGGCTGCGGCCGCTGAATGGGTCTCAGATCACTCTGTATAGACTCTCGAGATTTCTCCGTCTGCTTCGGGCTCGTCTCGCGCTCGTTATTCTCATACACCAAACTCCGACGCATCACCTCACCGTCGTCCACGGGATCGCTTCCGCCCACAGGAGTCACTCTGAGTGCCACTGGGTGCAGAATCTGCGGATCAGACACCACCGCCTGCGCCGTGCGCTGCATGTCGAAGTTCACAGGCTTCAGTCCCGGACTGGAGACATTGGATGTCGGTGACTCGTTGAATTTCGTCCACTCACGGTTGTTCGTCACATTCCACTCGCGACTCGTGGGCTGTGGCGGAGCAGGAGCCGAGTTCCACTCCTTCTCCACTGACTTCACTGGCTTCGGTGGCAGTGGCGGCGTCACTTGCGCCACTGCCTGAGGAGAATTCGAGATTGATCGCCCGCCCGTGCTCGAGGCCTTCAGACTGGGCGACGGCCCGCCGACAACTGTGACCAGAGAATTGGGACCAACAGTCGAGCCGTCCGCCTCGTCGTCATCCTCACCCTCGCCATCGTCGTCATTGAGATGCAGAAGATCCGCCTCTGGAGGATTCTTCGGCGCGTTCGGCTGATTGATGGCCTGAGTGCTGTTCTCACCGACGCCCGCAGTCGCTGCGCCGCCGCCAGGCAGGAGACACGGCGGCAAGTGCTGCGGCAGAGGAATGCTGTTCTTCCTCAACACGACGAGATGCATGGCCGCTGTGAACTCCTCCAAGCTCAGCGCTCCGTCTCTGGTCACATCGCACAGCTGCCAAATGCGCCGAAGCTCCTCCACGGGAATGCGCGACTTCTCAAAGAACATCTTGGCCACAGGTCCGGAGAGCAGTCCATTGGGATCGGGCTGAACAGTGCGGAATTGCTTATTGTAGTACTCCCGCTGTTCCGGTGTGATTTGAAACACAGACTCCAGATCCACCTCATCGTCGCTGCTGTGTCGATCCGAGGACTCCTCTTCGGTGGCCAGCAGCTGTCTCTGCTCCTCGCACAGCAATCCGTGCCACAGATTGCCCTTGGCCCAGGGACGCTCTGCCACACTATTCGTGGGCGTCGGACTATCACTGGCCGTGCTCCAGGCTTCGGGTGATCCATCTCGAGGGCGTCTCTTGTCCCTCTCCCCCGTGCGCTCCGTGTCATTGTGCTCAATTTCACTGTCTGTGCTGTGCAGATCGGAGTTCACGGCCTCTGCCAGGGTGTCAGAGTTGTTGGACAGCTGGATCAGGTTGGGGCTGTGCACTTCGATCCACTGCGCCTCAGTCGTGTCACCATTCGTCGTGTCCGCCGGCACTAAACTGGTCGGGGAGTCGCGCCAGCTGAATCGCGGCAGAGGCAGGGCTGTCGACGTGGGAATCACATCCGCACGCAGAGGCACCGCGGCCTGGTGGGCTGCTATCAGCTTCAGGCAGGAGTAGAACTGCTTGCGAGTGACAAACAGGGCAGACTGGGGTATCGTGGCCAGCTGTAGAATCTGCAACGAGCGAGAGGAGGAAGAAGCAACTGAGGTCATTGCATCTCTGTGAGTGTGAATCAGGTGATTCATGCCATATGCCACCCACTCGCGGGCTGGCGGCGGGGAGGGGAGAGTGATAAGCGAAAACAGGCCACTCCGCAGGGGATGACGGCCTACAATCGCCAGCTCTAGCCCACAATCTGGCCAGAGGGGAAGAGAGAGAGAGAGAGTGAATACTAATTACCGGACACGGAATAGTCTAAATTGGAGTTCATGTGGCAAATGTGTATTTACAAGAGTCGCGCATTTGGGCGACCTCCAAATATCTGGCAATCAAGCACATCTCTTCTCCCCCTCTCGCGGCGCCTTCCATCACTCACGAGGAACCAACACTCGCACAGCCATCGGCCACAGCGGAAGGAAAAGACAACAAGAGCGAAATCCGCTGGGATGAGATTTCGTGGGTCGAGAGAATGATGAGAATCTCCGTCGTCGACTTGCAACTCACCTGCCTAATTATATCGTTTGACAAATTTGCCGATCGAAACAATTCCGTCGCCTTCAGTATTGGCACCTTTCCTGTCTTCTCCACATCACAGCACAAAAAGATATCAGCAAAGTATCTCGACTCTGTCTCAGAAATGTTGCTGAGAAATTCCTCCATGTGTGTCATTTTGGATGGGTCGCCACTATGGGGGATGTGTATGTTCACGCTGTTGCAGATGTCTTCCACTCACTCTTCACCTCCGCAGGCCACAATCATTTGTCGTGCAGATGCCACGCACCATGCAGAACATTCACAGATCACCAACGGTGCACTCCTTGCGATATAAATTCGTAATTAAACTATTAATGGGACTGCTCTGCTATGGTGATAATTCACTGCTCTCTCCACAATTCTGACGTTCGCTCGAGTATTTCCCCGCTTGCCGCTCGCAGCGCCAGCGGACATGTGTCGAAGCAGCGGTCGGTTGAATTTAAAGGGAACCCACAGCAGATATACGCAGCCTAATGAAGATTTAAATTGCAAATCCCAGTAAATTCTAAGAAATTTAGCCAAATGATTTCACGCAGTAGAAAAAAAACAAGACTTTTTCAGAAGAGTATATTTTGTTAGGTAAAAATTAATAAATATTCACAGTATTACAGTAAAGATGTCTTGACGGAAGATCATCGAAAATATTTTACATTGCATTCTGTGGAGGACATTCTGCGGGAGTATTTGCAATTATGCAGCACTTTTTTTGCCATATCTACAAATTCCAGATAAACATATTGAGATTCTATGGGAAGAAGTACGCAAATAGCAGGAGAAACAGAGGCCAAATGGAGAAGATACACATCAAGTCATTTCTGTGTGTGTATGGTTTTGTCTGAGACAGAGAATCTCTCTAAGAATTAAAAAATACAATTAAAATTACGGAAACTATTGTAGTTCATAAGGAGGGATTCGATAGGCACTATCTTAGAGGCGAATTCCAGGATTTGTAGCTCCCACGTAGTTGAGGAGCTCCTCGTTGTCCTCGCAGACGACCGGCTTCTCGTGATAGCAGGCAACGTCGTGCCACGCGATTCCATCATTGTAGACATTGTTGAGGACGGACAGGCAGGATTCGCTGGTCTGGTTGATGTCGAACTCGGCATTGTCCGGCTGCGGTTGCTTCTTGTGGCCCGTTCGGCTCCACGGATTGTATCCCCAGCCCTGTGGAATCTGGTTGGTTGGCTGGATCTTCTCGCGATTGGCAGACCAGAACCAGCCGTAGACGTCCTTTGGCTCGAGATCGGCACGTCCCTCGCATCCCTTGAAGTCACACAGGCGCCCGGAGGTCCAGATGTACGGCACATCGTTGGTCTGGATGAGTCTGAAGATCAGATTGTTCTCTTCTTGCGTCTCCATGGACACCAGATCCATGCAGTACTCGCGGCAGAGATTGCGTCCGTCCAGCCAGTCGTATTTCTTGTTCTCGAGCGCGGGCACATGTCCGGAGAAGAAGTAGTTGTGACCCTTGTAGTTGAACTGCTTGGGGCCTTTTGGGCGAATGGCGAGAAGAGAGACACAAACGGAAGTGAGTCACATTTCAACATCATATTTAGCAATGTATTCTCATGAATTTTACGTCTGTGATCAATAAAGTATCTTTCTTTATGGCACAATCGACAAATAAATCTCAATTTTCTCTGTAACCATTTGTGATCTGCTGCGGTTATGCAAACTCTCGGCAAAATCTCTATTATGCTGTGTTAAATGTGTCATATCAACAGTGGAAGTCACCATCGAAGACCACCACGTCTAAGTTGTCTTGGAGTTTTCCCAAAAATTCCCCACAGGGAAAATATTTGATGATACATTAGTGAGAAATGCAAATTTACTGTTGGTCAGCGCGCGCCCAAGTTGCGGAAAACTTTGATTAAAAGCAACATTAGTGAGTCAGTTTTTCTGCTTTCTTCGCATTTCTTGCTGTTGTTACATAGAAAATTATCGTGGAAACTTATTGGCATGAAAGTTATAAATTATTCATGTTGAGAGATTGCATAAATAATTATTCTATCAACTTTTTTCCCCGATGCTTTTTTTTATTGATTTTAGTTATGATTTTTCCACTTTCTTCGCATTACTCGACAATTTCCGTGATTCTATAAATTAAGACTGTTCGGCGTGGCCCAGCTGTCCTCTATGCAGTCAAAATTGACTTTTTGCACCCTCGTTGCTCTCCTACTCACTAATGATGTTGCAATAATTGTCTGATTTGCAATCAATATCGCGCGCCAATGTGAGCGAGGAATGAGACTGAAAGTGGCTCAGAAATGAAATGGAAAACAAGATCTTTTTCTTCACTTTCGATTACACTGACAATTAAAGGGGCAAAAACACTCTATATAATTTATTAGCATCTGTGTGGCGATCTCAATGCAAATCCGAGGCCCTTTTCCACTCGGAGGCTTTCATTTTTTTTTCACCCATTTGAAGAGCATATTTATTCAAATTGATGCAACAGCGCGATTTGATCATTAGCAGATGATTTATTTTCACTTTCAGTGTTTTATGCGCGACACCAAAAGTGGGATGATCTGCTAAGCCAATATTGTGATATAAATTTTTGGGAAATTGCTATGTTTGTGGCCGCTCAATGGATTTCTGCTGTCCACCTTGTTGACCCAAAATGAAAGTGTGAAACACACACCCAATATTTCAGCTCAACTGTATAATGATGGATGCTTCAGATGACAAAACAATTGGCTAAGTGAGATATTAAGAAGTACTGCTGCGCGTGAGATGCACAAAAAAAAGACAAGTATTAAAGATCTTTTATGGCTTTTTGCTACTCGGCAAAGCATTTAATATTTATTCACACATCGAGACCGCGCTGTTATGCAATGGCTTGGTGTAAAGGTCGAGGGGCCACGCATTTACCCATGGTAGAGTCGAATGGGTATATAATTCTTCGGGCAATTGTGGACGTCTCAGCAGCACGTCAGGCAAATGCAACTTTGGATAATTTGTAGTATTTATCTAACTATTCTCTCCTCTCTAGCATCTGTCTGTGGGCAATTTACCTGTGCGCGTTTTCAATTTGACCACAATATATACTGGATTGACTGATCATGTCTTCTGCGCTCTTCTGTGTGTGCAAATATCTTTGCCACGCCGACTGACTGTATAATTTGCAAGTTTCACTGGAAAATGCAACTTCTTAAATCTGGCACAACATTAATTTTATCTGCAAAAATTCTCCCTCTTCGCCTCCAACAGTGAATTCTTCTCTGTCGAATTTGCGCGCGCACTCATCAGAAATATTCTCATTCGAAAGCTCTTCATCGGATGTGAGTTTTTTTTGGTTCTCTCCTTCGACAAATAGCAAATAATCGCGCGCCAGAAAAAACGACCACTTTGCGTTTCTTGATGGGATTTCGCGGGAAAAATAGGATGTTGTGTCGCGTGATTGAGTTGCGAGTGAAAAAAATGGTGATGATGGCACAATACTCACGATTAGCACACTTCTGTGCGTCGGGCAGGGACAAAAACCGTCCTGGTTTCGACTGCTGGTTGTTCCGAATTTCATTGATTGCGGGTTTCGGCTCGGCTAGACAGGCAGCAATGCTGCACAGCACAACGAAAATTGCGATTTTCATCTGCAAGAGGAGAAAGGCGACGTGGTTAAGAGAAGCTGCGAGATCACGTTTGGCGCTAAATCTCTTGCACATTATTTGGCATTAAACATTATACGACTAATTAGCATAAATCAATAGTGTCAACTCATTGGAAAATTTCGAGCCCAATAATACCAGTGAATTTATGAATGTGAATTCATGTCACTTAACACTGCGCGGGACGACAGGAGAGAATGGATGATGAAAGGGGTATTGTATAACGGAGAGATACGATAACTATGTGCAGATATATTTTTTCCTCTTTACTATATATAGCGCATTATCGCACTGAACACTGAACGAGGCGCAAAATGCACAGATCTTCACACTGGGCGCGATTATGGCTCGTCGCAGCACAGATTCTGATCGTCACTTTCCTTCCTACCTTGAGTTGTGAAACGATAACCAGGCGGAGAGTCTGTTCTGAGGCGGAACACCACTGAGAGAATTGCGATCGCGATGCTCTCCCACGGATGGGATGAGTGTTTACCAGTGGACAAATGCACGAAAACAAAAGTGAATTTCGTGCGGCCAAGAGACTTTATAGCAAAACCATTTTCCGCAGCCCGATGCCTCCAGGTGGGGGTCCCAGTGGCCAATAGAGTCAGCGTGATAGAGTGAGAGCGAGATCTTCGCTTGTGGCTCCTCAAGTCATATGAGAGTGTAATGCCAGTTGGCAGAAGTGGAACCGGCTTCGAATTTTCATCGAGACGAGAAACTGGTTAATTCTTCATCATCTTGAGATCCCCCGAGAGAGTCACAAGATCCGCTGCCAGTGCGCAAGCAATAGAATGTGGCCAAGAAGGGAGAGATTTTCGGCTGAAGAGAGTTCAATGCATCCTATTGTCAATGTGCGCCCGAGGCGCAGGTCGCTGTTGAGGCGCTCATTTGTGCGCTTCACTTCCATCAATCTTGGGCCAGCATCGCGCCTCGGTTCAGGTTGATCTTTAAAGCATTTTTCACCGCGAGGCATGGCATCTTCTCTCAAGAGGAATATTTTTTGGATAGCTGTTTACCTTCACACGCCAAGCATTGAATCTTTGCCCACTCTCATTGAGATCACACACTCTGGGAGCCAGTGGTGTTTCGCAACTGCCCCCCAGTCAAAAATCACATACATCTTCTTCAAGCCGCGCGCCGCACACGATCTACCGGGGGAGATAAAATGAGGGCTCAAAATGTGCCTCGCTCGCGCGCAGAATTAATTCTCCGCTTAAGATTTATCTAGCAAATGATGATGACATTAAATATTCTCGTGAATTATTCATCCCAACTTGGTACTTTGTATCTCTCTCACTTTGCACACAACTTAAGGATTTTCCTGCACTTGAAAACCACCAGCATCTCTTGTGCAACATCTTTAAAATTCATCATAAACACACAAAAAACAGCCACATCCATTAATTATTTATATACCCCAAAATATTCTCGTACAATAAATCTCAAAATGATTCCTGTTACCACATGATATATCAAGCTGTTATCGTTAATCTGTTAATTTTTTTCCTACCAATTCCTGTTGAGAGTGATTAATACAAAGCAGAACATTCTTGTGAAGCACGAGTTGAAGATATTTTATGATAATCATGCCATTATGCTGGAAGTTGCCGAGCAGAACAGTCCGGAGATACTTGTAACATCCAATTTGTGGGTCTCCAAAAAGCCACAAGCCGGAATATAATAGTGGAAAACTTTAAGCAAAGTAGAGAATTAAATAAAATTTTATTTGCTCCAACAGCGCCACTGAAAATGTCATGAGATGGAAGATTAGGAGAGGATCCTAATTAAATCCAAAATCTATATTTTTGAGAGCCACTTTGGGCGCCAGGCTCTCTCGATTCCGGGTCATTTGCCTATGTATTGAATTCCTATCATGTGATTGTTCTCGCAAATCACCGCAGAAATTACAGTAGAATTCGCAAGAATTCACAAAGTGTCTTCTTACTCTGTAGCATCAGCCGGAACTTCAATTAACACTCGCGCGATTGTGATATTGATTAGTGAGTGACACTGGAGTTGATACGGAACTCACCTGGGCTGAATGAGTGACGGTGATAAATTGGGAAATCCTGAGTGGAAAACAATTAAGAAAATTGCAAAAATTCAGACTCGTGAGTTAATAGAAGCGAGCTAAAGAGATGAGATTGGAGTGGAAGCCTTCCACTGGGAGAATTGTGCAAATTGTCGGCAAAAAGCAAGAAATTTCAGCGATACACGAGTCAGTATTGTGATCCACAAAGCCTTCGGAGTTCCTTCAAATAGAGCTTGAAACACTTCAAATGGCATATCGTCTTCACACTTTGCTTCCCAGCACCCAAAAAAAGCCCATTGAACGTGACAAAATATCACGCTGTGTAAGATATCCTAATGCTTTGGTGGAAAAAGCTAATTAAATTTTCAACTCCATTTGCTGCATTGGCTTTTCAAACCAATTATGCCCGATGGTGCAATGGTGGTGTGCCTGAAGAACCGCACAATCTATTGTCTGGCTCAAAAGTATTTCACATAAAATTCTACTCCCACAACAGGGAGCGAAACTGTGTCTTATAATGCTAATTGTTTCTTCTAATATTTTTGTGAGGTTCACAGTCTCTCTTGCATAACTCCCGTCGCGCAGAGGGGAAAACCGCACTAAAGAATAAGACAAACTATTTTGAGAATTTTTCTCCATAATTTGTCGTTTACATAATCCGAAGCCCTCAAGGATAAGTCAATGTGTGGCGACAAATTGACATATTCTCCCAATGAATTTATGGTCATGGATATGTTTTTTTTTTTGGCACATATAAATCACGTGCAGATGCTCTGAATTTGTTTAGCCATAATTGCTCAATCATGCGATATGCATGAGGCGCGAGAGAGACATGTGAAAAAAAACTCAGCATCAGTGTCGATTTGGAGTACTTCTGCTGCTGATGATGATCTTATCATGTGGCATTCCTTGAACGTCGCTCGATCGATGACGATGGAATAATTTCAACTTGGCATCCCCGACCTCTCTCGATGGAATATTTAATTTGCAAATAAAATTGCCGCGATAGAAGAGATTAGGGTGATGGTGAGAAAAAATCATCCTCTCTCTTTTCGCAAATGAATCACTTGCTGAGATATTATTGCCCATTTAATAGCGCTCACTTGTTGCTATTTCGCTCCTCAAGGAAAATTCCCTGCCTCGCCGGCAATTAACAGATAATTTTCATATTGAGCGATGCGCTGTACAATTATGCGGATTCACTGTTTATATTTCCGCAAAATGCAATGAACAAATCGGCAGAGGGATTGCACAGTGAGATGTCCTTTAAGTGTTGCAAAGTGGGCGATTTTGAAAGTTGATCTCACACACATCGGCGATCATATGAGGAGAATGGCTTGAAAAAAAAAACACTTTGAATCACAGCATCTCTAATTCAAAGTCACGTAATTAACACAATACTCAACTCTGAACATTGCACATCTATTAATAATCATTAATTTTTATACTCTTCCAATTCGCACCCCACTAAAGTCTTTCGTCAATACTTCCGCCTGTGGAGCTTCTCTTCCCGCATTTCGACTCTTCGCCTCTGCCAGGAATTCTCAGGTGATTTTTAGACAATATTTCACGTGTTAATTACAATGTGAATTAAATAACGCAAGGCAAATACAAATCAATGGTGAAAAAAAATCCTCAATGGCACATTATTTGCGGAAATCACTGTGCCGAAAAAGTGATGCGGCAGAGAATTAATTTGCTGACAACTGTGGCAAAAGCCATTCGAAAGGGTCTGAAGATGTGACAAATTATGCCCAAAACACAAAGTCAATAAATATGTCTCTTTCTACTTTAAGCACAAGTTTAAGTGTTTTTCTTTCTCAGAATCGAGAGAGTGTAAATTGTGAATTCTACACACACATCGGAGATTGTCTTGAGATTCACCTCAATTTCTAGTCACTTTATTTGGTAATAAAAAAGCCGTGAATCCCGTGAAACTGAAAGTTGATTCTATTGATATCTCGCATTTTAGATGAAATCAACTGAATAAGATGTAGGCAAATTGAAGAAGAGGTGCAATTATAGTAATTGTTGACCTTTTTTCGTGAAATAATTAATGCGAAAGACACTGAAGACTGTGATGAGATATTGTTAAATTATTTTGCATGTAATTATGCATAATTGGAGAAGATGTGAAGAGAGAGAGAGAGAGAGAAAACACACAGAGATTGTTAATAGGAAAACTGCACATGACTTAGATGTGTGCCTTTGAAGATTCTCATTAGCAAGTCGGTAGTTGTTTCACATTTCAAATTGAAGCTCATAAACCTTCACGAAATCTCAGCTTCAAGGGTCAATGTACCGGAGAAGCAAAATAGTTTCTTATGATTAGAGATTGTCTTGTTTTTGCGGCGCTTATGAATCTATATATGCAGAGAATGTTATTACCAACTTTATCATCACTGAAAATTCAATTAAATACTTATTTTCCTTTCTCTTTCGCGAATATTAAAGCCACAAGTTTTGGACTGTACTTTTCAAAGTTTTAATAATACATCAGCCAGCAATTGTATTGCACTTAAAATACACAACACAATTACTTTATCCTCACAGGCAAGAGGTGTAGAGAAATATTTCAGCCTCAATTGTGCATTGAGAGAGTGAAACTTGTGATCTTTTTGTGTGGGGCGTCGAGAAAAATTTGTATTTAATTGCCTGGCCAAGGGCAGAACTTGAGCAATTCAAGGATCAGGAAACGGAGTGTAATAATTTGGGTAACTTCCACAACTGAGCATTTCTTGCGACGCAGCATCAGATGACGAATGATGCAATGGCATCAGCGGATGTTTTAGAATTGTGGGAGAACCTTGAAAAAGATGCTCAGGCGATAGAAATACTTTCACTGATGCCGGAGACTATGTGTTGCAAAGTAAATAGAGACATTTACTTCCAAGTGGCTTCCTTTGCCAGTAAATTATGGAGCTAGACAATAAATATGAATTCCTTTTCTTGTAAATCAACAAACACAGAGAGATAGAGAGAGAAGAGTGATGGCAATGCGGCCGGGGGAGATTCCTCAAGTGTGTCTATAATTGATTGCATAAACCCATGTACATGCAAAAAAATCTCCATATCCATTAGTATTCATCGAGAAAAAGAAGACGCTACGAAGATAGACGAATGCAATAAAATAGCTTTAATGCAGCATATTAATGTAATGTTCTATTGAAGTGTGTCGAAATGTGTATGTCTTCTCTGCATGTGGAATATTTGGTAAATACTTCAGGTGTGACCTTACCAATATGTGCTCACTCATTTTTGGGGTCTCACCACCAAAAGCGGCCAGTGAAAAAGCACCAACAGATGGACAAGCATACGCAGATTGACAACGACTTCTTCTGTTGTTTTTTTCATGCATCTCTCTCACTCTTCCCTCTTGGCCAATTGTACCTGAAAGTACAGACAACAAAAACACAAATTCTCATCTCTCAACCTCAAGTAACAATCAATAATTCAGAGGAACAATCGAACGTCTGATTTTGCAGCTTCTCTCTTATATTTATCGATGCCGTTTTTATGAGAGAAAAAATCTGGCTGATTGAAAAACATTTCCACTATCGATTTGGGTCATTGCATATGGCTAACTGCTTGTATTTAAAATAAAATAAACAAAATACTTTTATCGTGACAACATAAAGAAATTTTTATATGAATTTTATGCAAATGCACCTCTTAAATATTCTCATGTGATTTCTTTGGCAAGTTCAATTGATCAAATGTCAATGTCGGCAGTAAATGCACGAATTTTCGACGCATTCCTTCGTTACTCTCAAGTTTACACACTCAAAGGGTTTCACTCTACAACTCACCATCACTCTGCAGACTTCTTCACTTTGGCGCCTCAAACTGTCCACTCTCTGTCCACTGTATATCTCTTTTTGGATCAATTGCGCTGGCGCGTTCGACTGTGACCTCTATGTTTGCGATCACACGATGAGCGCGATTGGGACACACGACGTGATTTATGATATCGTCTGTCTCGTGTTTCTGATTTCGATCTGCTGCTCTTGTCTGCGTCTGAGGAGTCGCTCTCCGAACTGTCTGACCAGCGCCAGTTCGTCTTCTTCCTGTCATCCTCATCATTCCAGGACGATCTGCAAACCACAATAATTAGTAAATTCGGCATTTTTCACTTGGGAATTATTCAATAAATTCAAACCTGGAATCATTCTCTGCCTTGTCACCATTTCTCCGCTCCTCTGAAGCATCAGTTCGGCTTTGCTCTCTCTTATCCCTGCGCCAAGAGTAGGAATACTTGGCGTCGGGGTTCCTAAAGATGTGCAGAAAGCTGCATTGGCTACCTTTAGGGCATTTTCTCACAAATGACAAACCTATAGAAAGCGTGATTTAAGGAAAATGTCATTCAAAGTAAAATCATATAAAAACAGATAGAGATTTGTTTGCATATTCAAATGGTGCAGGCGTCTTTCAAAAAGGATACTCTTTTAAATACCACAAATAGCTGTTGACCACGATTCTATAGATCGAAATCCAACATTCAGTTGCTTTCCACCGTAGAATCTGCCCTGGAACTTCTGGTAGACTTTCATTGCTTCCCTGAAAAGCATAATTACAATAAGAAACTACAACCAAGTTCTCAATTTGCATAAAATCCCACCTTCTGCTTTTGTACTCAATGTAGACGTTTCCCCTCAAATGAGGCTCCGTATTTTTGCAGACGAAGAAGTTCTTGATCGTCCCGAAGAGCTCAAATTCCGATACGACGTCGTAGTAGAACTCTTTGAAGTCAGTCTCCATCTCCCTCTCCTCATACTCCAGAGACATATCCGTTCCATACTCAGTGCCTCTGAACTGTTCCAGGAGAATGTGCGTGAAGAAGTTGGGAATCAGAACAACTGTGCCAATATTGGGCCGAGAATGATTCCGACTGCATTGATCCCCAAATCGACAGGCGCCAGTCTTCACGAAGAAAGGACACGTGGCTCGCTCGGGATTTGTGTCTGCTGTCTCCAGCAATTCCGGAGGCAACTCTCCCTCTCCTGAGACATACAATTCAATTTTTCCCATCAATTTCTCATGATTCAGACGCTTTTCCTCAGCTATCCTCTTCTGCTCCTCACGCAGTTTCTTCCTCCTCTCCTGTTCAGCCTTATACTCTTCCCTTATTCTTGTCTTCTCTTTGGCACGCTCTCTATCGATCCTGTCCAGTTTCTCCCGGAGTTCTTGGAAGCGCTTCTGAGCTTCCTTCTCACACTCCAACCATTTCCTGTTGCTCTCCTGGCGTTGAAGTTCATCCTCTTCCTCCTGGAAAAGCTCAAGAGCTCGCTGTTCAGCCAACCATGTCAGATAGGTGGGATCCTTGAGTTTCCTGGCCTCTTCCTCAGCTTCTAGTTTGTCCCTCTCTTGAGCCTTCTTCTGGCGAATTCTTTTGCGCCGGTATTTCTTGGCAATCTTGCGCCATTCCTTGTGGCTACAGTTTATCGAATCATTGTACACAACTAAATAAGAATTTCCGGTGAAAATTACCTGAGTTTTGCGGCGTTTTCCAGATTTTCCATCACAAAGTGCGTTGTTTTTGTTATCACTTCTTTGTTAGGTTAAATTGTAGTTTGTCCACTCACCGCCTGGGAGCGATTCAAATATTTTATATTTCACCCGTTTCTTAAAGAGTTTACAATTAAACCGACTTTATCAAAAGTAATTGCAATAAATTCTCCTTATCAATTTTATCAATCGTTTCAATGGAAATTCATTGATCAAAAAATTTACAACTCAATGCAATCAATCGTTACTACCACACAATTCCCAATCTTATCAGAAAAGCAATACTAAGTAATAGAAGTCCGATAGTGGGTGATATAATGTTATCTAGGTCGTTGATTGGAAAGGTGAATTGTGATACCTTTCTTTCCTTCTTCAATAGTCATTCGGTGGCGATTGAAGTGTCTGGTTGTTGGTCCGAGTGAAGCGTTATGAGAGCGATAAGATTTTAAGTGTATTTAAAAAAATATTACCTTTTCTTGTCTGAAAGTGTCGGAAAAGTACCGAAAAATGGTCAGGAAAACTCACTGGTTATTCATATTTGCGACTTTTGTCATATCATGTGGATCTCTTATAATGTTAATCGTTTCAACCACAACAACTGAGTGGGTGAGTGCGTGCCTTTTGCGTTTTGGCTGCGAGCGGAACTGTTGAGATATGAGTTTTCTGTTTTTAGGTCATAGGCATAGCCAAAACTCCGGACGGAACAACAGCCACATTGAATGCTCACTATGGTCTCTTCGATGGTGCGCAGGATCTTCACGTTTTCGAAGTTACGTCGCATTACGACCTCCATAGTAAGATAAAAGCATAGTTCCGTGATGATTTATCAGCTCTTAAGTGAAAACTTGCTTTCAGTGACGTGCTCGTTTGAGAACAGCATTTGTGGTATGAGTTGTCAGAACACACCGGATGCGAGACAGAATGAAATCATCAGGATCATGCGAGGAGAACAACCATCAGAATGCCCATTTAGTTCGACAAGACAAAGTAGAAACGCCAAATTGGCGGAAATTGCAGACTCTTCACCACGAAACACTCCACCAAATGAGCAGTTTATCAGTGCTGCTCTTTGGCTGGCAACCGTGATTTGTCTGTGCCTAACGATCTTCTTCTCCTCCATGACCACTGTTCAGTCGCTCATCAATATCATTTCCAACCCCATTTGGTCGATTTTCAGGTAAAGCATTTCGATTGAGTGATTCATTTGCTGATTTATCTTATCACGCGCCAACATTTATCTTGCAGTGTCTATGGATTGTATATTTGGAATGGCTTGTCAATTGCCTTTTCGGCGATCACATTGATTCTGTGGGGGTCTCTCTTCGCCACCTCCATCAGATTCAATATCGCAGTCAGACACACTCTCGTCTCAGGCAGCACTCTTTCCTCCGACGGCCTGGCCTCGTTGGGCTTCTCATATTGGATACTTTTCGGTCCTATTGTTCTTCATGCCGCGAACATCGGCATTTTACTGTGGCGAAAGTGGCTCATTGAGAGGGAACCTCCACCAGTGGCCATCAATGTGGCCAAAAATGATTTTACCATTCTTCTCTACTAATTTTTAGTCTTTTCAGTGAAGGAAGAGTCATAAATCTGGACAAAAACATTTGTATAATTTGTATTAAAAAGGAACTGAAAATTTAGTTTTTATCATTATTTTCAAAGATCAATATAATTATGCAATTTAAAATTTAAACCCGCTAATTTCAGCCCGCATCATTTTATATTACGCCAATGTTGCTCATCAGAGGTCTCACGCGTCCACATCCGACAGCGCCACACTTTCATCTGTGGACAGAAGCGCAAACTCGTGCATATGTCAAAGCCGTCGAGTGTATTTTTCTGAAGCACGACAAAAAGTGAGATTCTCGGGGTGATTTTTCGCTGAAAAAAGTGACAATAGGCTGAAGTGGCATCTGAAAGCATTCCAAAAGCCATCAGTTGGATGTTCTTAGCGCACTAGCGTGAGGATTGAGTGACCATTTTGCCGATAAATCGCGTTAAAAGGCTTTTGAAGAAATCACTTCTGTAATGGCTGCCACTGACAAGGCATCGGACGACTCCCTCTATCCCATTGCCGTGTTGATCGACGAGCTCAAGAATGAGGACATTCAGGTGAGTTTGGCTCGCGTGCGAGGATGAGTGTCGCTCGTGCACGTGTCTCGCAGGTGCACGAGTGGCTGAGGATGCCGGGAGTGTGGAGGAGGCTGACCTTGGAGGCGCGAGGCGTCCGCCATTGGCACTGATTAATCTCCGGACCGTGTGTGATTCACTCTTGCAGCTCCGTCTCAACTCCATCAAGAAGCTATCGACCATTGCTCTGGCGCTGGGCGAGGAAAGGACGCGCACGGAGCTGATTCCCTTCCTCACAGAGACCATCTATGACGAGGATGAGGTGCTGCTGGCTCTGGCCGATCAATTGGGCCAGTTCACGAGTCTCGTGGGCGGACCCGACTATGCCATGTACCTTCTGCCGCCGCTCGAGTCCCTAGCCACCGTGGAGGAGACGGTGGTGCGCGACAAAGCCGTGGAATCGCTGAGGATTGTGGCTGCCCAGCACAGTGCAACTGATTTGGAGGCGAGTGTGGTGCCCACACTGCAGCGCCTCGTCACCGGCGACTGGTTCACCTCACGCACGTCCGCGTGTGGCCTTCTGTCCGTGTGCTATCCGCGTGTCTCGCAGCCAGTGAGGGCTGAGCTGCGTGCGAGTTTCCGGAAGCTCTGCCTGGACGAGACGCCGATGGTGAGACGCGCAGCTGCCAGCAAATTGGGTGAATTCGCGAAGGTGGTGGAACCCGAGTCCCTCAAGTCCGACATCATCCCCATGTTCGTGCATCTGGCGCAGGATGATCAGGACTCCGTGCGCTTGCTGTCCGTGGAGGCGTGCGTCAGCATCGCGCAGTTGCTGCAGCAGGACGAGCTTGAACACTTGGTGATGCCCACACTTCGCCAGTGCGCCGGGGATTCGTCCTGGCGCGTCCGCTACATGGTGGCTGATCACTTTACAGACATGCAAAACGCCCTCGGGCCGGAGATTACCAAAACTGACCTTGTGCCTGCTTTCCAGGTGAGTTTCCGCGCAATTTGCCGAGTGTGACAGATGTGATTGTGTTCTCTGTGCTTTGCAGTATCTCCTGAAGGACTCCGAGGCTGAAGTTCGCGCTGCAGCTGCCACGAAAGTCAAGGATTTCTGTGCAAATCTGGACAAGACCAATCGCGTGCAAATCATCATGACGTCAATTCTGCCGTATGTGAAGGAGCTGGTGTCGGATCCCAATCAGCACGTCAAGTCGGCCCTCGCCTCAGTGATAATGGGCCTGAGCCCAATTCTCGGCATGTCCAACACCGTGGAACACTTGCTGCCACTATTCCTTATCCAGCTGAAGGACGAGTGCCCCGAAGTGAGGCTGAACATCATCAGCAATCTGGACTGCGTGAACGACGTGATTGGCATTCAGCAGCTGTCGCAGTCGCTGCTGCCGGCCATCGTGGAGCTGGCGGAGGACACAAAGTGGCGTGTGCGACTGGCGATCATTGAGTACATGCCATTGCTGGCGGGGCAGCTGGGTCAGGAGTTCTTTGACCAGAAGCTGCGCGCACTGTGTATGGGATGGCTCAACGATCACGTGTACGCCATTCGCGAGGCGGCGGCGCAGAACATGAAGAAGCTGGTGGAGCAATTTGGAGCCGCCTGGGCGGAATCCGCCATCATACCCATGATTCTGGTGATGTCGCGCAACAAGAACTACTTGCACCGCATGACATGCCTCTTCTGCATCAATGTGCTGGCCGAGGTGTGCGGCACGGAGATCACCACGCGCGTTCTGCTGCCCACGGTTCTTGTGCTCGCCACGGATCTCGTGGCCAATGTGCGCTTCAATGTGGCGAAGACACTGCAGAAAATCTCACCATTCATCGATACCACGGCCATTGAGACCCAAGTGAAGCCTGTGCTGGACACCCTGAGTTCGGACAAGGATGTGGACGTCAAGTATTTTGCATCGGAAGCGATTGCGGGTATTGCAGGTGAGCAATTAGTGAATGCTTCGCGAAAATTCCTCTATATTCTCTTGCTTTGCCTCTATACTCTCTGCCAGAATATTATGATATTTGGGGGGATGAAATCAACACTGATGATATGCTCGAAAACCCTGAATCGCAGATCAATGAAGAGGAATTTGTGGAGGAATATCCTCCACCAACACCATTTTACTGAAAACGTTTATTGCTTGACGAGATTATTTTGGGTAAAAGTCTGTTTGTAGCGTCAATTTGTCAATGTTCACGTGGCTAATCAATTGAACGTCTATTATAGTTGAGGCGAAATTGAATTTTCCCACCCTCTCATGATATTTAATTCACAACACAGAAGTGCATTTTCTCTTTGCTTTTTTTGTGAATGTGTGGTTTTTCATTTTTCCACTTCACTTCTGAATTGAATTTATAAGGAAAGAATAGTTTCCCATTGCGCAATATTATGTGAGGAAGTGAAATTGCTGTCCGAACTGACAATCCGACTGAATTTTTTTTTTATATTCTTAAAGGCGTTTGCAATATTTCACACTAATTTATTCATTATTCTCCTAGGTTGAACAGTGGAGTACAATTAGGCAGAACAGAATCGCAACGGCGACTGCGAGAGAGAGAGAGAAGGAGAGAGAAAGCAGTGAAGGAAATTTTAAAATATTTTTACAATATCAACAAGAGTAAAATCATCAGGCGCACCCATTTTCAAGAGATCTCCAAATTATGAGATGATTTGGCTTCAAAGCAGTAGAAAAAGAAAAAAAACAACAAGGAGAAGAAATGAGATGGAATACTAGAACTATACTTATAATGACTAAAATAACGTTAATCGTAAATGAAAGAGAGTTTGTATCTTAATATTTACATTATGTATTTAGATTTAATAAATGAAATATTATAATGGAATAATTAAGGTATATCTTGTATGCAGATAAGGAAAAATCAGTGGAATTGCACGAGTGGAAGAAAATGACTTCTGGGAAATTGTGTATTTTCACTGATATTTGCTTTTTTTCTTAACATATTTAATTAATTATAGCACTGTAAGGTTATTCAGAGTAGATGTGTAAACAACCTCAATGTTGAGAGCAAAGAGAGAATTATTTCAAAAGTCTATCCCAAGATTCTTGTCTGTTGGGCTTTTCTATCTCTAAATTATATGAGGGAGAGAATCTGTATGGAAATAAAAAGGAAGAGTTTACCTGGAAAATGTTGGATTGTGTGCCATCGGGAGGAGGAGGATGAGGAGGAGGAAATGACGATGAGGAGGAGCTATTAGGGGGGTTTTCATGTTCAATTAGTCTTGGCGGCATGGAGAAAAATGCTGGAGCATTTTTTTTTCCTTTTGCAGCAATCACGAGGTGGGTTAATTGATTGTGAAATAATTAGATTGCAATGGCGAATCATGTCTCTCTCTTTTCTTTCTTTTCAGAAATCTCTGCCAAGAGGGGTGCCTTTCTCTCCCTCCCCGAAAAATGATAATTGAATCCTCTCAGTCAATTACAAACGAGTATGACAAGTTCCCGGCACTGAGGCGAGAGAGTTTGTGGGCTTAGGAGCGACGCAACACTGCCAATACTATCAGTTGCTTCGCCACTTCGGGCTACGATCAGCAGCGAGTGTATTTCTGTCTTGTTCTGTTCAACTGTTTGTCTTGCGATTTTGACAGTGTTGCGACTCAGTGTGCGTTCCGCGATTCGTGAAATTGACAGCAAAAACAGAGAGGAAGGAGAGTCACGATGAAAAAGCTGCTTCTGCTATTGGGAATCGTGGCCCTAATCGTGGGTGAGTTGTGTCTCAATCACCTTCAATTTCCACGAATTGCACAGGCGAAGCCTTGAAGTGCACTCAAGGGAGTCCGAATCAAAAAGTGCATTTAGCCATTATATGATTTCACCTAATTGGATTTAAGTGATCCATGGCAGGCAAATAAATATAAAAAGACCCCGAGATAAGCAGCGCCAAATCATTTTAGAGTTATTGTGTTTGAATTCTGACGAGAGAGAATGAATCTCAGATTTTTCTCTGTTCTTCCCTGTAAGATACAATTCGGCATTTTTCCATCCACATTAGCCTACATGTTGTTGTTGAGTGTATCAATTTTTGCCAGATGATCCGCACGGCTAGAGCACAGATTAACTGTTTTAGCGGCAGAGAAAAAGAGGTTCAAAGTTCTCTCCTGATCCCCGATAACACACTGTTTCGTGTATGGATGTGAATTGTTCTCCTCTTCGCACACTGCCACACTTTGTGGAGGGGGATCGTTCTGAAGAGAGGGGGTCTTAATTAAATTCTCACCTGCCTTCGCGTGTGCTGTACGCATGTTAAGAGCATCACAGCTATTGCAATTGTCTCAGCGTGAGATGAGAGACAGTGTTACCCGGAGGAATATCAAAAATCGGCCTCTCTGTGACTCAACTGTGCTGAATTCCATCCCCTTCGCGCGCGAATTGCATTGGAAAAGTCACCCTCCCGCGCTTTCTTTTTTCCTCAATTCACATTGGGTGTCCTCCCGAATGGCGCGCGTTGACCCAAAAGGTGGGGTGTGAGCCAAGAAGAAGTATGTTGGAGAAGAACTTGTTCGATACCGTGGCAATTCTATTAATACTGCCGCGCCTCCCGCTCTCGAACGGCGCTTGTGGAGCGAAAATTACACAATTCACCGATATATAAATTGAAGTGGCTCAATATCGCTCGCGTTAGTCTGTTTGGACTTTTTACATCGTCGTCACATATCAGTCGTTTGATAGCTCGCGAAGTTTCTTCTGGCAAGGGTTTTATTCAGTCGCGTGACTCAGTGAATGGACATAATTTGTCTCAACGCGGGCCGATGAGCGGGCGCAAAAGAGTGACCAAAAACAATCTGAGAACGCTAAGAGTGGGACTTAGTGGCGTGGTGGAGGTGCTAAGACACTCTCGACGCGGCATTCTGCCTTCAGCGGTCTTAGTGTTGTGCTACTAGTGGGCAAAGTAAGACGTCTGACGCACAAACAACTAGCCAGACCACGTCACTGCTGTTTATCGAGATAATAGGCGCACTCGAGAGAGAAAAAACAATCCTGTGATAGTTGCATCAGATTAGAAAAACAAAGTGCTGTTTGACGGTCACCGCGTTGTTAAGATACGACTTGCAGAGAAAGAACCCTGAGAGTAAAAGACGCAAACGGAGGGATTAATTTGTGCATGACTTGCAAGAATGCAAACGTATTAGAACGAGATTTCTTGCTATAAAGAAATATTTTGAACAAATAAAAAATCAGTTAGAAGTTTGGCTGACGGAAAGAAATCATGAAGAAAGTGAAGAACACGTCAAGTAAGAGTGCTTTGGCAATTATGTACTCTAAATTGCGCCAATTGGGTCAATTAATTGATGGTTGATTGAGTGCAGAGTTACATCACTTAACACATGATTTACAATATAATTTCACTAACTCGCCGCTTTTTCTTTGCCTTCGTGTGTCTCTCTTTTCAAGGGCTCTGGCTGGGACTGAGGTCGAGCAGTGCCAAGCTCGAGTCGACGAGAATGTTCTTCTTCTATGGACCAACATTTGCTGACCACAAAGTTTATGAGCTCAATGACACGGCGTCTGTGCTTAAGCATCCCAGCTTCGACACAAATCGGCCGACAGGTGAGAGTGAAGGGACTTCTTGTCCGAAAACACCTTTCCTTTTCCGCGGATCTTGCAAGATTTCACGAAATTCTGTTATTCAATGCAACTGATTGTCGACAATGTGAAATATTCCTTTCCCTCTCTTTTTTATTTTCTCTTTCCGAGAGCTTCTTACTCAGCGAACACATGGCTTTGAATGCTAAACAATTTTACGAATATTCAATTCGCAATATTTGACTCGTCTTTCTCATGCTAATTCTACAAAGTGTAATTCTCCTTCCGTCTAACGCAATGTGGCCATCAGCATTTTATCTATGAGTATCATTGTAAGTCTTCAGGCAGAGACGAGAAGTCCACAGCAATTGAGCAATTAATCAGCCCACGCATTTACAAATGTGTGAATTCAGGGCGCGATTCTAGATTGGAAATTTTTGCCTTTATATAAAATCTTGCAAAATTTCACATGCAATTCTGCCCCAATACATCGCATTGAGAATTTTCAACTTTCCCATTGCGCCAATTGGCAAGAAAGGCCACAAATGGGGGGTGAGGGAAAATTGTAATGTTTACAAACATTAGCCAGATATTGGCCAGATAAGGTGCATTTTATGTGAAAGAGGCGTCTGCTTTATGTTCAGGAGACACGATCTGAACTGATGATTGTGTTTACGTAAAATCTAAAGAATGTATTGTTTTTAATGTTAACGATTTTTCCATCACATGCCACTGAATTATTTCTACCTTCTCGCCTGCACGTGAGTTCTGAATGCGCGCGGAAAGTGAGTGAGAGAATTATCAGAATGTTCAAAAATTTCCTTGGTGGCAATGAAAAGTGTTCAGTTCAATTAGAGTCAGCAATTATGATTAAGCTTTTGATTAGAAATAATAGTAATAATAATAAGTCACTTAGGGAAATCAATTGATAACAATAAAGCCTCCGCTTTCAGGCGATAAAACGAGTTTGATAGACAGACAGTAAAATCAATAACATACATTTTCGGATTTTTCATTATTGATATCAGTGATTATATTCAAAACTCTTCCGTTCTCCGTTTTCAACCATTTTCCACTATGTTACGTGTTATCTGTGAATTTCCCACGGCGTCACATATCAATAAGCTTAATAGCGTAATCGCCACGCGACCACGCTGAAATATGATGACTAAGCGCTATGTTAATTTCTATCCATGCTTCTCATATTGCAGTTCTGTATTTACACGGGTATTTGGAGTCCATGGAAGTGGAGAGTATCCAGGTGATCGCGGATGCTTATCTGGCGCGCGGTGATCACAATACTCTGATCCTGGATTGGGCGGAGTTGGCCGATGGAAACTATCTCATTGACGCATTTCCCAATCTTAAACCGGTAAGCTGCTGAGATTTGGGATCACATGGCGAGGCCTAATCCGCGGATTTGCTTGATCATTTCAGCTGGCGAGCGCCCTTGCCGGGCATATCTTGAAGATGGCCATGGACGGAATGCGACTGGACAAATTCCACGTGGTGGGTCACTCCATGGGGGGCCAACTGGCCGGCTACATCGGCCGTGAGGTGATCAAGCAGTCGGAGAAGGGGGCGAAGCTGAAGCGGATAACCGCCCTGGATCCCGCCTTTCCCGGCTTCTACTTCCCACTCAAGTTCACGGGGGCGCTCAACAGCAAGGACGCCGACTTGGTGGATGTGATTCACACAGATGCGTGGCTGTATGGCGCTCCCTTCGCCACGGGACACGTGGACTTCTGGCCGAACAGGGGAAAGACCCTGCAGCCGGGCTGCCCGAAGCGCAACTACAAGATGCTCACGGACAATGACCTCTGCAGCCACCGGAGATCCTGGCGGTTTTGGGCAGAGAGCGTGACGGAGAAGAACAGACCGAGCTTTCATGCGGTGAAGTGTGCCTCGTGGGACAAGTTTAAGGCTGGAGATTGCGACAAGAGCGAGCCGGCGGTCTACATGGGCATCGATTGTCCTGCAGGGATCTCAGGGAATTACTACCTGCAGACGAACGGGGAGCCGCCATACTCAAAGGGATCCGCAGGAGCCTCCTATGCCGCCTGACGAGGGCGCGCCTCTGTTGCCTCGCCAGTGACCAAATAAGCGCTTTTCGATGTACCCTTTTAAATTTTAGCAGTGATTGTTTAATGTAAATTTTTTACGTGATAGAGTTAAACGTTGAATAAAGAGTGTCTTATTGTAACGGAGCGAATGGGTTTGATTGCGACTTTATACGAGTTGCTCGTCTTATTTAGCCTACCTTCGAGCGCTTTCGAGGAATTCACTAATCTTGGCTTTTAAATCTTTATTCTCGTGTGAATCACATAAACTGACGATTATTATATTTAGTAATTCGCTCTTGCAATTTCGAAAACGCTTTCTAAACCTTATCACATGAATCATTACTCTTAATTTCTGCATTGCCAAGTGTATTTACAATTAGTCTGCGTCGAGAATGATTAGCGGTCGTGATGTTGCGTGGCACTTAGAAGGAGGAAGTCAAAGAAGAAGACGCGAAAAACATCCGAGAGTTTCCAATGGTGGTGAAAACTTGTCGCAATGTCGGCTACTGCGAGCTCATTCTTCTCTCTTTCAGATCGCACTATCAAATGGCTCTCTGGGTCTCAGTGCAGCATCCACACACACGCTGCGCAAGAGAAGTGGACTTTTCCAGTCACGAGATTCAGGTGAGTGCCGAGAAAACGTGGAACTGGCGAAGAATGTCTAAAATGTTGTTTGTTTCAATTGCCGTTTGCACTCTCGGCAGAGCCCGTGGCAGAAAATGAGGAGGGAGAAGGAGTGTGGATCCACATGGAGCGTCATCGCCCCCAACTTTCCACCAGAAGAGGCTTTTCTCGCGTGCTCCACATGCCCGCGAGACTCTTCGTGCCCACACTTGGCGTCATTCTAACTGCGATCGTGGTGAAAAGTGGTTGTGGCTCTCCTGCAACTTCAGCTCACTCTGCTCTCACACTCTGGCCAGTGCGCAGTGCTTTTCCGGGCCAAGCAATTCCTGTTGACTTTCACCTACCCTGAGACATGGATTACCGTGGAATGCAGTGATCTTGACTTTGACCCGTGAAGATGATGCTTGAGATACAAAAGGAGTTCAGTGGTTGATCAGTGCTTTAAAGGAAGTCTGGGGACAATTATGGCCAGATCATCAAGGAAGAAATCATGATTAAGAAATTGTGAAGATCTCCGAGCCATAAGGAACTCTTCTTCTTCAGCAATCGCTCCTGAACTTTCCCTATTAATTACGCTTTTATATCCGCATAGAAACATAAGGATTTTATCGTGGTGTGAAAAGATGCCAGAATCTCTCGCGAAATTCAGTACAATTGTGATCTTTCTAGGTTTAATACATGGTGCGTGTGCCACTTGTGTGTGTGTGTGAAAAGTGTGTGTCCTGATGAGGATCTCTAATGCCTTTTCCCTCCTTTGTAGTTTCACATGGGATCTTCACAAACACAGCCGTCTTCGACTTGAATCCCTTCAAGTGCATCCTGAGCAGAACAAATGTTTGTCCTCACGAGGAAATTGATTTCTTTATGTTCACCAAGTGAGTGAAAATCGATTGAATTGTTCAATTTCTTTTCCAAGTGCACTTTATTTTCCAACTTGAGTGATTTCATGCGTTAAAAGAAGATCACATTCAAACATTTTTCTTTATCTCGCGCACAACATTGCTGATGAATTAAAGATTTTTGCACTCATATAAATTTACTTATATGATGAGTCGAGTGCCGCCAATATCTGCAGATAACTACAATGATCGTGGTCTTGAATCTCCATTTGAATATCTTATTTGGGAAATTGAGGCGAAGCATTGCGATTTCTAAATGCTAGCGCCAAAACAGGCAGAAATGTCTATGCCTAAGCGAACTCTATCAGCTGAATTCCAGCAGAATTCAGCAGTTAAATTGTTACTAACTGATTGTGCGCTTTGGGCGAAATATAAACAGCTTAAACACAACTTTTTAATTGTTATCACAGGCAATTCTTTAACGAGTTTCTCTTCAGGCGCTCGCGATTCTATGAACAGAACTGTGGCCAAATTTCTAGTTGCAATGCCACTAATCTACATGTGGCGAAGATCACACTCTTAATCTATCAGAAGTGGGCCACATACTGTCCCAGGCTCATTTATTTTTTATATTTCATAACGCGACGTTAGATTTTCGAGTCAGTGTTACAGAATTAATACATTCAGAATGAGAAGAGAATTCGCATTTACCGTATTCGGCAGCCAAATTGAGTTGCTCACAGATTTACTGTCGTGTGAAATGCTCTTTTGAAAAGTCTGGAGTGTGTAATGATTAAAATTGGATTAGAAAGAGAACACTAACGTGCAATGATGATTTTTCACACTCTGACTGTCACTCGTCTTCCCAAATTTATGTTTTCTCTATAAATCATTCATGATTTTTCACACATGCTGCATAGAATATATACGGGTGTTGAGCAAGAAAGCAAAGGTAATTGGAGGAAATTTTGCCATTTTCTTTCCCTTCAACATCCAACTTAATATCGCACTCAATTACTTTATTGCGAGAGAGCGCAAAAAAAAGCGCTATCTTGATCACTTCTGAGACCTTCTTTCACTTCATTTCTTTCTGATTCAGATTTGATGGGACTCTCTTTCCGCGGGGAGAGTCATTATTGTTGTCTCGTGTATCTTATAAAAAATTTATTTCTTTCCAATCCGCACCCATTCAGTGACACTCCTGAGCCTTTTGCTCTCTCTCCCATGATTAACACGTCGAGAGGCTCTAATGAGAAATTCGGAACTTGTGGCGATGGTTATAACATTAGAAAAAATGAAAGTGTTATTTTAATTAATTTCTCGCCATTTAACATTGCTCACATGAATGCATTTGAGGCTGATAAAGAATTTACGGATGAAATGCAAGAGAAAGAGAGAGAGAGAGATTCAATCGTTGGATTTAAGCTCGATTGATCGATTAGAAAAGGCCACACGTTTGGCGATTGACGCGCGTCTGTCTCCAGTCTGTGACACTTTAATATCTTTTGGGCACGATCTTACAAATTCTACCGCTGTGATGATCACCTTTCGGACAGGCTACTTAACTGGTTAAATTTGCTCCAAATACTCTTTAGAATGAGTCCACCAACTTTTACCACGAGTGATAATCGTAATGAATTCGGGTTTGTATTTTTGCATTTACAACCTTCTTTCCTGAAGACGTTTTTATAGCCACTGATATCATTGGTTTTGACCTTCTCTCAAGACATTTATTGATATCATTAAGTGTGGTTGCACATGACATAACTTTTTTCATCCGCAGTGTTTATTTTCAAGTGTAAATTCAACCGGTATCCGCTGAATATTTATGACGCCTCACACTTTCCCGCTGCATAAAGACAGTCACATGTAACCCAGAGAGACGTGATAATGGCAATTGTGCATGGAAAATTGCACTATTCATGCTCCACAAGAGTTCAATGAATCCAAAAACGATCCTCTTCGTGCTGTGGCCAAATCAATGAAACATTGTTGAAAATGCAAATAGTCAATTTCCCAAATGAAAATGAAATTGCGCGATAAGACCAATTAGTTGCAAAGTCGCCCAACTTTCCGATGAGGAAATCGCAATCAATTCATCATGTCCATTCACAATTTACTTCTTTCATTTCTCGTATCTTCAGGCCAAAAAAATGATCAAACAAAGTGTTTTGTCACTGCTGTTTTATTGAGAGAGTAAACATAAAATTATGCATAAATTATATGGTGATATCTGTGGAGACAGTGAGAAATTTTTGCCTATCTTCCTCCCTTTCGTCTCAATCTCTTTGCGTCTCTAGGAAAGCGACTCACGTAAAAATGTATATCGTTTAATTAGTGACTCTTTTTTTTCTTCACCAACATTACTCGATGAAGAAAACAACAAACACAAAAAGTCTTGAAAAACTTTTCTATTTCTTTCTTTTTATGCTCTCTATCAGGAAACACTTTCGAAAAGGCATTTTATGTGTACGCATAAAAATTTCGCAGATTTTCCACACTTTTTGAGTATAAATGCCACAACCGAGAAACGTCCATCAAAAGGGAACTGTCCTGGACAGAGATTTTTGCATCTGTGAAGTTAGACAATGAATATAAACCATTGTTGTGTTTATTTCAAACGATTTTTCTATCCGCATAATATTTTTTCACACTATGCATCATCCACAGTTCAGAAATTGTACTCAAATGAGTGCAAAAGAGCTCAAAATTGTCTTTGTCGATGTGCTTTCCATTCAATCCTCTTCACTTTCATTGCATTGAGTAGATAGGTAAGTTTAATATGATTTTAGGGCCAGGCTGCAATGTGATTTTATTTTCTCAATGTACGCGAGACTTGATTGACTGGTGCAAAAACCTTATTACACCCGTTTTGCTATCTATAATTATCCTAATGGGTTGCTCGTCATAATTGCACATACGATAATAATAAATGCGCACAGATGAATGAAAGTGAAAAGAGCTCTGCTAAAGGAAAACACTGTCTCGAGTCTCTGAACAGTTGTGTCTCAGTCGCATTCTCTGTGCATTCATTTAGTGTGGGATTTTTCCCAATATCTCACACAATTCCTTCTCCCTTTCTCAACTCTTGTGGTTTACTCTTAATCACCTCTCGGATAATGCCTAATCTCACCTTCTCCATCGCATCACACTTCTCTAATTGTAACATTTTGACAATGAACTTGATTCGATTGACTGATTACATGATAGTCATTTATGAAGGTAATTGTCTACTCCACCTCACACAACTAATCATATATGTACGTTCGAAATGCTCCAGAAAAAGACTCAAAATTCACCGCTGGGTAAAGACAACACTCTTTATTTCTTGACACTGACATGGAGTGCAAACTTATCACTGATAGCTTTGTTGTTGTGAAGTAAATATAGAGAGAAGAAAAACTATGTGAGATATTTACACATGGAAGAGTGAACATTTTCCCTCGTGCACGCAACACTCAATTTCCTTCCTTCATTGCCATAATCATTCTTCTCTGCTCGCCTCTGCAGTGCAGTCCGGCGTGGTAGGCCGATCGATGTTCGATACCCCAAGACGATCGCCCAGGCGGGCTTCCAGGCCAAGCACGAATCCGTAATCATTATACATGGCTTTAATGGCACGCAAAATAGCAAGCACATCATGTACCTCAAAGACGGTGAGTCCCGGACTTGGAAGATCTCACAAGATCACTGTGTTATCGAGACTCTTTTCGGTTCTTTTGCAGCATATCTCTCGCGGAAGTTCAACGTGATCACTGTGGATTGGTTCAGACTGACGCAGTATCCGTGCTATGTGACTGCCTTGACAAATACGCGAGTCGTCGCTCAGTGCACAGCTCAGGTGAGAGTCGATTTGCGACCATTCCACATTGGCTAAACGGCCGATCATCTTACAATCTTCTCACACGCCAGGTCTATGCTTTTCTGACCCATTTGGGAGCCAGTCGGCATCGCATAACGTGCGTGGGTCACTCACTCGGTGCTCACATTTGCGGCATGATGGGCAATCATCTGACATCGCGACAATACAAAATAATCGGTGAGTTGCTCTTCCTTCCGCACTCTTATCTCATTATACTTTGCCATTTTTGCCATCTTCCTCGCTGGACGAGAAGAGACTATAAATAAATCCACAAGACGGGCTGCAAAATTGCAATTAAACGCTCCACATGGTTGGCAATTTGATGGTCTTGATGTCATGCATAAACGAGCACTTGAAAGCACATCAACACACATTAGATTTTCCCCCTCGATCACGGAACTCTCCTTCTTCATTTCCCTTGAACATGATCCACACAAACACCATTTGTGAGCTCCCCTCCGGGCCAACAGCAGCCGAGAAAAAAACGCCATTGCACGTTGCGAGAGAAAGAAATTTCTAACGCGGAAAGTGCGAGCAATTGCTCTGAGCGATTAATTTTGATTTAATTCTTTTTCTTTTTCCGTATCACTCTTTTGGGTGACAAGGCTTGGATCCAGCGCGGCCACTGGTGGAGACTCACGCCGACAACACGTTTCGCTTGACACGCGACGATGCCAAAGTCGTCCAAGTGATCCACACAAATGCTGGAAAACTTGGGCAGCTTTCCTCCTCGGGTACAGTAGATTTCTGCGTCAACGGTGGACGACAGCAACCATACTGCAAAGGGCATCCGATTCGTGAGTGTCACAAATTAAATTACATTGCCATCAATCCACCATTGATTTGGGCTTTGCCGTCAGGGGGAAAGTAAGAGGCTTACATATCAATATTATTGGGTGAAAAGGCATAGAATTGAAATGAACAGCCAATTGAGAGAAACTAACTGGCCTCTCATGGGAAACGATCGAGTGAAAGCTCAGTTCTTTATCTGGTGGCGATATAATTTTTGGCTGAAGTGCCGCCACTCAGGTGACTGTTGATTTGCAGGAAGATCGCGGTGCAGTCACTTCTTGTCGGTGTGCTACTTGGCCAACATTCTCTTCCACCACAAGAAAGTCATTGGAGTTCCTTGTCCGCACGGGTGTGTCTACGTGAAGAGGAATCGTCTTCCGATCTACACCAAGAACATCTTCAACATCCGCAACTTGGTCCGGTACATGCAGATCGGACAAGACACACCAGATCAGTGAGTATTTCTAGCACATTTTTGTAGAATCACAATTCAACAGCCAATGTCTTCCTCTCTTTATTCCCTCCAGTGTAACCGGCACATATTGTGTCCAAGTCGATTATGCCAAACATTGTCCATTCAATGATAGACAATAAGTTTAGGAATTGAAGGTAAGACAAATGGTAGCTCACGTAGACCAGCTGTACAGTGTGTGTTTTGCTATTAAGGCTCCTCTGGCTTAAGTGTTTGGAATAAAGTGTATCTCAATTTACAGAAGTTATTCTCGCGTGGACGAGTTTCACCCTAACGGGTGTCATTCTGTACATAGCAATTTATCCAATTTATCCATGGCAAGATGAAAGGAAAATCGTGCAGCACCTGAGAAAACTTTCCTCTTCGATGCACCTTCCCAGATCAAATGCACATTGCCGTATCATTACAATTAAGTCTCTCTACCATTTGCCATTTGCTCCCCATTGTGCTCTCTTTCTGCCCATTTTCACAACATTGGCTCTCATGAGCATTTTCCATCATGATGGCATTTTTTCACCAACGTAGCACTTTTCCTTTTCACTCTTTAGGGAATCACTCACACTGTGTTCCCACAATTTTCTTTTATTATAAAGAGACAGTGAAATAATTAGACAGAATCATGAATCATGATTTATGATCTCCACTGAATGCCAATTCACAAGATTTAATAAGAAAAACCCATAGCCATTATCCTTCTCCGCCATAGCAAGATCAACTCTCAAGTCAATAAGGCAATTTTCACATTATCTCACACGCCATTTTCTCGGTCTTCGCGCGGTCGTAATCTCGACCCATCTACGTGATCCTCGCGAGATCACTGTGAAAGAGGGATTATGCAAATTTACGCTGCAATTGTGATGATCCTAACGGAATGCAGCGCGATTCCACGTGCTCTGTGTACAAATGTGGCGATGTGATATGAATGAGGAATTGCGCTATGGAGAGTCAGGTGTGTCTGGGGAGGAAGTGACTCACGGTGCTCCTCACTCGATCTCCAGCCGTTGCGGTGAGCGCACAGATTGGCAGTGCTTCGGAATCATCGATTTGTGGGCAACTGGTGATGCAACGTGTGCCTGTGTACTGAAGAAGTTGAAGTAAAGTAGACCAACGGGTGAAATCATATTAATCAGAGAGACGGTTTGAAAGTCGCAAAATCGCGAGTTAGAGGTACAATTTCAACACTGGTGCATAGTCGCATTAAGCAGCTTTTGAAGGTCTCCCGGTGGAAATTGACCACTTCCCAAGCTCCGAACAGTGTCTTGCTGAGGAAGCCCGCAAGCCGCCAGTATGTTGTCGTTCCTGCAGAGACGAAGACGAATGGATATCCTCCTCAAGCTCTACTTCTGCACTACGCTGCTACAATGCGAGTTCCTCCAGGGTGAGTCCTGTGCATCCTTTTCTAAAAGTGATTTAACACACGTCATCCCTGCTCTCACACAGACACCAGTGCCCAGGGAATCATCGCCCAGGCGCTCTACCTCGGCGATCCCAACATGTACAACAACACAATGGACAGCTGCATCTGGAAGCGCGGGAACGACAGGGATCAGTGCCCAGATCCTGACATCAACATGATACTCTACACAGGTGGTTTGGTCAGGAGAAAGACACTGGTGAGCTATTCCACTCTTGCATAAGATTCACAGTCAAGAGCAACTCGTGGTTGATACCTCACTTTTCGCACTAATTGCAGCTAGACATGGACCAGGCGGACTGGTTGCGCAACAGTGGCTTCAATCCCAACTACGAGAGCATTATACTCATTCACGGGTACGCAGGGGGAGACGACACGCTGCCCATGGTGGTTCTCAGGGATGGTGAGACCATTAAAAAAATTTCTAATATATACCGGGAATCGTGTGGCGAAAAATGCCAATTATGATCTAGAAATTTACCCTTGACGTCTCACGGCGCGCGCAATTTCCAATTACCCAATGGACCGGCATGCGAACTTGAGAAGTCAAGGGAAAGTACGCACTGCACTTCCCTCTTTTCCAGCCTACATCCGCCACGGCAACTACAATGTCTTCGTGGCTGACTGGGGCCCACTGGCGCAGCCGCCCTGCTACGTGGCCGCCGTGCACAATCTCCGGCCCGTGGCCAGGTGCTTCGCCAAGCTCTTCACCTTCCTCAGGGATTCGGGGCTGCGAGTGGAGAAGACGACGTGCGTGGGACACTCTCTGGGCGCGCACGTGTGTGGCCTCATGGCAAACTACCTGACCTTTAGGCTGGAGAAGATTATTGGGCTTGATCCAGCGAGACCGCTGGTGAAGTTGGGAAATGCCTTCCGTCTCGACAGTGGGGACGCAAAGGCTGTCCAGGTGCTACACACCAATGCTGGACACTATGGAGAGAGTGGGCGCATTGGACACGTGGATTTCTGCATCAACAACGGCAAGAGACAGCCCTTCTGCTCCACAACTACCAGTTGAGTGGAAGCACAGCTGGGATTTGAAGAGGAACTAATTCTTCTGTCCAGACATTCATCTTTGCAGCCACATTTGGTCCATCTGCTACTTGGGCGCCACAATATTCGCCGATGTCCACGGCGAGCCGTGCTCAAGACGCTGCGGCGGACCAGTCGGAGGACTCGGAGTGTGGAGGCAAACGCGCAACAACTATCGACAACTCATAACCAACTCAATACCAATGGGACACAAAACCCCAAACAAGTTACATCTTTCCTAGTGCACTTCCCCACCACAAGCATCACTGATCTCACGATTTTCTTTCCAGTGCTTATGGTACTTTCTGCCTGCGCGATGAAAACCCACCGTTTTGCCCGCGCTTCGACGGCGACGTCGGCGATAGTCGGTGCTGTGTCGACCCAGAGGCCAAGAATCGCAAGACACAGTGACGAAAATCACTTTTGTGAAGTATCTCGGAAAATACTTCTAGTATTACTGGAAAATGCGCCTGCAGCCATGTGGACTTTTCACTCTTGTTTTTTGTAGCACTCGTGAAAATGCAAGGAAGTGAACAAGTGGTTAATAGCATCAATAAGTGGTTTCTTCGAACTCTCCAACGCGTTAAGATTCTTTGAATTGTTTTGACTTTTCCTTTCAACATGAAATAAAAGGAGTTTTTTATTTTGATAAAATTGCTGTTGACATTAAATGCCATTGAATGTATTGAAACACCCTTTGCTGAGTTCAAAGAAGGTGTACTGAACGTTTTATTATTGCATGTTCTCCTAATATCGGCGGAAAGAACTCACAATTTGCATAAAATGCACTGCTTTTTATATAAAGTCTTGAATGAGAATCCATATATAGCGACACCCACATGATCAATAGTCATTTTATTTACTTGTCGTGAAGTATTTCTTCTTGTGCTCTCTTTCGCTGCATTTCTTCAAAAATTGCCCATGAATTGAGTGCTTGATAAGAGATCAAACATTTTGTATCAGCGAATGAGGAAATTATCAAACGCTGAATGATAAGAAGAGTCAGATAGGGAAGTTACAAAGCTTCTCCGCAATAGCCCTGCTCTCCCCTCAGAAGATAGTTTGTTCTTGATTGCCCCAATACTATAATCAGCCCGTGTTCGGCCCGATCCGGCGACAGGCAGCGAGAACAGTCGTCCAAGTGACTCTCATATGGGCAGAAGCATTTCAATCACTACAAAGTGTCTTCCAGCCAACAACCGCAGTGGTAATCAATAAATTTGTCCGACAACCACACAGCGTCAATATAGTGTAATTGTGCCAATTGTGCTGGACACACATCGAGAAATAGATTGGAGGAAAATTGGTCAAATGTACGGTATTGCTTTGAACTCATTTCGCGGGACATTACGCGAGTGGAATACTAAGAGACGCAAGACCAGGGTCTCTCCTCTGGACTCCTGCCAGTGAATTGGAAACCACAGAACAGAACTACCGTGTTACAGTATCTTTTTTTTTTATTAATGCTGTAGTTGCCGCGTGAAAATTATTTGTGCAGACAACCTACGCACTCCAGGAAAAAAACACACACCGCCAAGAGTATATATTGTTCTTTCTGATTATAAGCACCATCGCCAACACCGAGGTTTGTGACCCTTCCTCTGGCCTGCTCTCTGGCAGTGTCGCTCAGCTGGGCTAGCAGAAGAACATCTTCCGCAGACTGATTTGTGCCATTGTGACAATGTGTGAACATTCGGCATGATAAGGCTGAGAGAGAGTGGAGGAGTTTTTGCAGAGTAAACTTCCGCTTTTCATTAGTATTACATGCGATTTTGCAGGCAATAGCGAAATTATTGTTTCAGTGTCTATGACAGTGTCAAGAACGGAAGTGATAATGTTGGCGCATGTGTTCAAAAGATGGATTCAAATTGCTCTATTTTTATGTAAGTCCACACAACTCTTTCTTCAATGGCTATTTAAATAAACACACCATTTGCATGCGAATTGTGTGGATTAATATTAACCACAACTGATTAGAAGTCTGCTAAGCAGTTCGAGAAGAAATAATATATTTTTTTGTTTGTAATAAATACAGTTAGGAAAAAATTCAATAACTCCACTCAGTAGTAAGTAGAATTCTATACCAAATTATACATTCCTTCGTCGAAAGAGGCGAGAGAACCATGGAGAAGAGCCTCATTAGGAACTGCACAGTGGAATGTTGCCCAATAGGCGACAAGATAATAACATCTTTCCATAAGTTTCCCAATCTAATGCACCCAAGAGGTGTTATCGGAGAATTGATGAATAGATCATCGGGTTCTTCATGGCGATGAACTTTCGAGTGGGAAAGTTATACAGTGAGGCTCAAAATGTTCTCTCATCAGTTCTAGCTGTGATCGTGTCGTCCATTCCAATCGCCGTGGAGCAGAGAAGCACTCTAAGGTGGGGCCCGTGCATCTGGGTGGTGGACAGAAAATGCCCTGACAGTGATATTAAGATCTTCCTGTTCACCTCGAGGAATCCTAGCGAGCGGCAATTCATTTACGTAGACTCAACGTGGGAGAAATCAAATATTTCCACGTCTTTCTTCAATCCTCTGCATCCAACTAAAATCATCATTCATGGGTTTGTTGGCAGTGTTCTGCAGAAAGAGAAGATTCCTAATCGAAATCTCTGCTTTTTAGATACAACTCGGATATGTACTTAAATAGCCTCATCGAAATGCGAGATGGTTAGTGTAAATTTGTTATTTTAGCTATTTTACAGAGTATCTGAAAATCTCCCAATACTTTATAATTATACAATAATTTATTCTAGAGTATCTTCAGAGAGGCGACTTTAATCTCTTCTTCATCGACTGGAGCATTCTGGGACAGAGTCCTTGCTACCTCATGGCCGTTCACAATGCTGATCACGTTGGAAAATGCATCGCTCAGCTCATCCATAGAATACTAGAAACTGAAACCACAGACATTCATCTTATTGGATTCTCTCTCGGTGGCCAAGTGACTAATTTCGTAGCCAAGCATGCAAAACCCTTCCAAATACCAAGGATCACTGGACTAGATCCCGCCTTGCCGCTCTACATTGGCGTGAGCAATGACGAGAAGCTGGATCCTTCAGATGCTCTCTTCGTTGACGTGCTGCACACGAATGCTCTGGTTCAGGGGAAAATTGAGAGAAGCGGCCACGCGGATTTCTACTTCAATGGGGGAATCCTTCAGCCAGGATGCTGGTCAAATGGACAGAATCCTATTGTGTGCAGTCACCACAGAGCTCCTGACTACTACATGGAGAGCATCAGGAGCTTTCGTGGCTTCTGGGGATGGCAGTGCGACAGCTACATCAACTACCTCTTGGGTTTCTGCAAACCCACGGACGTTCTCCGCGAGGCTGGAGAGAATTGCAAGAATACGACAAGAGGACTGTTTCTGGTCAATACAAATCCCAGTTCTCCCTTCGCAATGGGCAAGTGGACGGATGTCCTGAAGAATAGTGGCCTGAAATCAAGTCTCCTGGATGAATATCTGGCACCGATTAAGAGGAAGAATCCTCTTCAGGAAGAACTCAATCAGTGGGGAAAATTGGATGGAAATTTCAATAATATCATGAACTTCCCAACACCTTTGCCTCAAGATCCTCTCAACGATGACTGGGTCTACTTCAGTCATCACGGAACCAAACATATCACAGAGCACTTGTTCGGAAATCTGCTGGCAGAATCTCTAAAAGGGGTGAATGGAGAAGACATCGTGGATAATGGACTTGAGCTGGAGAACTTCATGAATGGACAGAAACTCCAGGCAACGACAGAGAGTGCAAAAAATGCTAATAATCATGACCATATCACCGATCCAATTGTCTACAGAGACAAAGTCATCAAGGAGTATGTGAGGAACGTCACAGGATATGATGAGAATTTCCCATTGCCACTGTACTGAAGTGAAAATACACAGAAAAATGGCTTAATCTTAAAACAAAAAATCCGTTTCAGCCAATTACAGGCCAGTTGATTTTTAATCAACACTTTGAGTGTTAATAAAGCAATAAAAGTATTCTCATGCGCTTTGCACAATGAATTATGCGAATAATGAAGATATACGATATTTATTTACAAATTAAATGCGATACATTTTGATTGAGACAAATTGCGAACAACAGCACTTTGCAGGGCTGCGCAATTACTTTTATCAAACTTCCATACGTTCTACCTTCGACGAAAAGCAAGAAAATATTAGTGAAATTAGAAAAAGCATTGCGAAAAGTGTTCAAAAATGCAATAATTCCATTTCAATTGACAATCCTGCACTTACTGATAAATTCTTTTCAATTCCATTCAACCAGTGATCAGCCTCTATAGTTGAAGACCACATTTAGACATACCTGTGAAAAATATTTTCTTGTTTTTCCTTTACTCACCCGATAAGAGCAAGTGAGTGTGGGGGTTCTACTCGCTATGGTGGGAGGGAGACAAAAAAAAGAACTTTATAGAAGTGCCTCAATTCAGTATGGAAAAATTTCTCTGAAGGAGAACTAGAATTTTCCCCATTTCCACTCTTGTGCCGGTGTTGGCGCTATGCATAGGCATTTTTTGTCCTGCACTCGCTATCAATCGTGGTGCAGCTTTTAAAAAGGCCCTCGTCCAGGCCGTGCAACAGTCACTTAGTGCCATTGAGTGTGGATTTATGCACTTTTGCAGTGCGGAAAATGTGGCAAATTGTGCTGCCTCTAATTCTGCTGTGTTCCTTCTGTAAAGGTGAGTGAATGCAGAAAAGGATAAACTATTTACTGTGGATAATATTGAGAGTGATTTCGCAGGAGAGCCTGATAACAGCACTCTAACTGACTTGGAGTACATTAAGCTGATTGATCCCAGTTATGGTGTAACGTGGATGTTCTTACCGGATGGCAATGACACCATGCAGATAGCTTACCTCAGTGAGGAGCCACGCAATGCATCGAGAGCGAACTACTTTGACGTGAAGGACAAAATATCCTTTCAACTCTACAACAGGTAAGGATGAAGTGAACAGAAATTCTGAGACTAAGCGCAATTTTCCACCCAACCCAAAGGAAATACCAGAAGGATGGCGTGAGAATTCGCATGACCAGGAGTCTGAGAAGTGCCAGGAAGCGTGAAACGAGGTCGAATGTGTTTGATCCTCAACTTGAGACGAAATTCCTTATTCATGGGTGGCAATCTAGCAAACACACTGACACAATTCAGTCCATCAAAGACAATTACCTGAAGGTCGACGATATGAACGTTATCGCGGTGGACTGGAGTGAATTGGCCGCGAATATTTTCTACTTCACGCCCGTCGTCCAGACGCGCGAGGTGGGCGAGACTATTGCCGAAATGATCAACCACTTGGTCGAGACGAGAAACGCCAGCTTGTCGCGCGTACACATCGTTGGACACAGCTTAGGAGCGCACTGTGCCGGATTCGCGGGCAGAAAGCTGGGCGGACGAGTGGGAAGGATATCAGGACTCGATCCTGCCAATCCAGGTAACTTCCTCGCCAACATTTCACACTTATCATGATGATAAACATGAAAACAGACAGGAAGTTCTCATCACAGACGCTCAAGGTGGTAATAATGTGATAAGAATTGTATTCTTTTTTGTAAAACAATAAGTTAATTATGTAAATCATAGCACGAGGAAAGACATATCACTGGGACAGTTATTAAAAAGCAATTAGCAATTATATTATTGCAGCGCGAAGCATCAAGTTCAGGGAAATTGCGCACCTACCTCACTCAAGTCATCTTCATTGTAGGCTTCGAAGGAACGCCGCCCAGCGAGCGACTCGATCCCACTGATGCTCAGTTCGTGGACGTGATCCACACTTCAGCCGGAACGGCGGGAATCTCCATGAGATGCGGTCACATTGATTTCTACCCAAACGGAGGAGCTCGACAGCCAAATTGCAACTTATTCCCAATAGGTTGTGCTCAGCTTTTGCATTAGGATTTTGGGGACAATCATTGAAATATTCTCTACTGCTCTTCAGATCTCCTTGAGGCCTGCAGTCATGGGCGATCTCATCAGTACTTTGCCGAGTCGATCTTCTCAGATCAATTCATAAGTTATCCATGCCGATCGTGGGCCGGCTACAAAGCCAATCGCTGTGGCAAGAAACTAGAATCCATGGGAGAGCCTCTGTCGAGGAAAGCCCGAGGAGTCTACTACCTGGAGACAAACGGATCGAAGCCCTATGCCAAAGGAAAGACACGATGAAAGAGTTGTGTTGGAGTGTCATGAATTTTTAATAAATTTGCTGGAAAAAGACCATAAAAACACGAGCAATAAATGTAATTGGGTCCGAATGATATTTAATGGCGCTGTGATACTCGCGAATGATTTATGAGGAAGTCGCACAGCGGAAAATTGTTGAGATTTTTACCAGTTCACCTGTGGAATCCAGTGAGTAGAGAGAGAGAGAGTGTGGAAAGTTTCCAGATATGTTTGGAAAAATCATTCTAGTGTTTATATCAATAGCCTTAAGTTGCAGGATTCTCGGTGAGATCTTCAGGATTAAGTAATTAAATTGCGTATTTTCAATAAACCATGCAAAATTGAATTTCCCAGCTTTGGAATATGATGAAAATTCGACAGATCGAAACAATCTCGCTCCTGCTGAAGAAACTGACGATGTTATCCACATAAATAAGGTGGTAAAGCTCTTCTTCTATCGGAAGAATCACGTAAAGACCAACAATACGGCATCTTTTGTGCCAAATGGAATAGCAATGGTTCAGATGAGAGTTACAGATTACTTTGATAAAAATCTCAACACAAAATTTATTATTCACGGTTGGCTGAACAATAAAAACTCACTCCAGTTCCAGCAATTCAAGGAAGCTTTTCTCGCCACAGCCGATGAGAATATATTCAGTGAGAAAGTTATCGTTAAATCCAGACGCTGTCTCAATTCTCCATTTCTTTGCAGTCGTCGACTGGTCGCTGATCTCTGAGGACATCAACTACATGCGAGTGGCGAATCTCACGAATTCCGTGGGAATGTACGTGGCGGAAAAGATAAAGGAACTTGTGCGGGAAGCCGATGCCAATGTCTCTCGATTTCATATTATTGGACATAGTTTGGGAGCTCACATTGCTGGATTTGCTGGAGCACAAATTAAATCCCCTCAAGTGAGTAGAATCACTGGCTTAGATCCAGCTCTGCCCAACTTCCAGCGCTTCCGCGATCCAGATCTCCGCCTGGATGCGTCAGATGCGGCTTTTGTGGACATTATTCACACCTCCGGAGGAACTCTGCGGAGTTACGCTCCCATTGGCATGGCAGACTTCTACGTGAACGGAGGAACTCCTCCTCAACCAGGTTGCGGCGGAATTTCAGAGTTGGCAACAATTTGCAGCCATGGCAGAGCAGTTGAGTATTTCCTAGAGTCAATAGATTCTCACCACGGGTTCTGGGGAATGGAGTGTGAGTCTTGGTCATCCTACAAGAGTGGCGATTGCAGAGGTACTTTTGCGAAGATGGGAGCATCAATAGATCCCACCACGAGGGGCATCTTCTATCTGGGCACGAACTACAAAAGCCCCTTTGCGATGGGCAGGAAAATCTTCTTTGAAAATGAACCTTTCTGGCGTTCAACGCTCAACACAATCATTCATCAAACGTCATCTTAAGAGTGCTAAAGTGTGATTACTTCTTTGCGTAATACTTTTATTCTTCTTTTTTTCTTTTTTAAATAATATTAAAAGTACTGTGATGGTCAAAAAGTGTGTATATAAAAATATGTCAATTTAACCAATAAAATTATGCGTTTCTACGACGCTCAATTGACGCACCAATTCCTTCACGCTAAACACCTCGCTTATACATCAACTGTCCGTGAGTCAACCCCACGCGAAATGCTTGGGAGAATTAAATTGTTGTACACTGAGAACAACTAGTCATGAGTAAAATAAGGAAAAACCATCGTCATAAACTTTCGGACAACCGTTTAGAATTACAATATCCAAAATATCCAATTCCATTTGTGGTGTGAGGCAGACAAAATGGGGCGAAAGAAGTGGGGTGGACTTACATTTACGTCGTCTCTGCTCGTGGATCAAGGGTGTGAATGGCTTGCGTGAGTGTGGGCGTCCCAGTCACCTTGATACCCTTCTTCTGGATATCCTTGAGGCGGTCCTCCAGCGGCTTGTTGTCCCTGCCGCGCTGCCACCAGAGATGAGTGCACGTCTGCAGCAGAGGCACGTACAGACTCAGGAGATCCGTGTCGCAGACGCTCTCGTACCGCCTGAGCGCCACTTCGGCCCACTGCTCTGCCATTGGATGCGGCAGCGGAGACGTCGTGCAGGCAGCCACCAGGCGACAGAGGAGCAGCAGAACGGGCTTCGAGTGGTCCAAGTAGATTTTGTTCAGCAACCTGAAGCTGTTCTGCAGAATGGGAACAGCCTGCTCATTGCGACGCTCATCCAGCAGACGACAAGCCCTCTCCAGCTCAATGCCCTGCAGGAAATTGAGAAAGTGCGGAGACTCCTTTAACTCCCACGACGATACAATGTGATCTAGGAACACCTCAAAGGCCGCTCCGCGCTCCGCAATGAGATCCGGTGAGAAATTCCCCATGATGGCCTTCTTGGGGAAGAAGACGTTCTGCAGTAAATTCGGATGATCCTTCCGGAGTCCGTTGTAGAGCATCAAGAAGTTCGTGTAGCGCCTCTCGATAGTGGCCGGATGAGGATCTGGGGTTGCAGAACTGATTTGGGTCACGCATAGCTCGTAATTGACGTACTTCTTCGAGTTACTGTTATCCTTCTCGGTCGGGAGGATTTTGGCCGATGGGATCTCGAAGTGCAGCACCATATTTCCCTCGCTTGGCACCTTCCGACTTGGTCGTCTCCAAATGCTCACTACCAATGCAGACAATTATGATTCATCAACTTCTAAATAATTAGTGCGAAGAAAAAAGCTTTGTTTGTGCTCACCTTTTTCAGAATCATCTGACTGGTTCTCATTTATAATGAGACTTCCCTGCTCAAAGCTGTCCGGACTGTCCGTGTCATCGATGCCCTCGGTGGAATTGGATGATCTTCTTACCACGGCGGGACGCACTGAGGGCAGACGAAATTAGTGTAAAATGCTTGAATAATTGAGGAAAATCTCGAAAAGAAATGGAGCGGAAATATACTCACTATTGACATTGAAAATTTAACTTCCTAAATATATACTAAATGCCTGTCCCTGCAATGATTCCTTTCTTCCAGGCTTCTCAGTACACTTTAACGGGGGTGAGTTCACTGATTCCCAACAAAGAACATCTATTATTCAACGCAAATATGTACAAAATAGCGGACAAATAAATACACAATACTACACGATAATGCAACTTTTGACGTTCCTCAAATTTCCCACCAGAGAGCGCTGCACGCCAGTTGAGGGAATGGAAAGCGCGCGCGTTTGGCAAAACGATCGCGATCACGCCCGCCTTCGATTTTCTTCTCTCAGTCCGCTTTTGAATCTCTCCCAAAGCGAATGTGAAATGGAATAGATGACGAGGTGGAAGTGAAAATTCACGTGTGCTCTCTCTTAGACAATTCTCAAAACATATCTCGAGAGTGTGTGTAGAAGAAATAATTCATGTAGGTGTTCGTATTCTTTATATAACTCATGAGTGACCCAATTATGATAAGAAGTCACCGTCGTTCTAATCAAAATTGTGAAAATATCTGGAAAGTACCTTTCTGGCCTTCCTCCACCTTTAATTGTGAAACCAATTCACGCGCTACTGCAGCAAGAAGTGTTCTATTTGCCAAGGAAACTATAGAAAAATTTGAAAAAGTGAATATTGCAAAGCACTAAGAAAGAGCATAAAAAACCACCACCACTAATTCCTTTCAAAACCAGTGATGTATTTTCGCCGCAATATTCCTTCCAAATGCCAAGTGTTTATTTATATCTCATTCCGAAAACAAATACACCACACAATTGGCCATTCGTGTGAAGAAACCATGCGCGTTTGTGAATGAAAAACACTGTGGAAGATGAGAGAAAAAATATATTGAGTAATAATTCCAAAGTTGGTTCGTGTTCAATTCCATTCAATTACACACATTGTCACCATGACCTATGGCGAAGATCTCATTGATGATCTTGCACATGAGAAGCCATAGCGTGATTTTCGCTACCGCTTGAAGAATGATTGCAATTATTTACTTTAGTGTGATTGTAAATTTCCGTCGAAGCACGGCAACTCTATTCAATTCAATATGAATGTTCATCACACAAAAACATGTGGAAGCTAATCACCACCTTTTACTATATTTTTTACTACTAGTTCTATGTAATTAAAATTTGCTATTTCGCTGCCCGCTGAGGATAAAGTTCTTGGAAAGGCATCCACAGTCGCTGAACAAAAAGTGTCTTTCTGTTGTTCTTCAAACTGTTTTTTTCTATGAATTCGATAAGATTCTCTTTCTGGGAATATTTATGCACACATAACTGCGAACAGCACAACATAACAGAGAGCATTATTCTGTCCCTGACTATTCTATTGTATGCTATTGAGAATTTTCTCTTCCTTTACTCACCAGAATGTTCCGTCTTCAGGCTGTGCTTGGTGTTGTGATCTATCTCCATGTAGCGAGTAGCTTCCGCATTCTAGGACTCTTTCCGCACGCCGGCGAGAGTCACTACCAAATCTTCCAGCCCATCATGAAGGCCCTCGTGGAGGCAGGGCACGAGGTCACTGTGCTGAGCCACTTCCCCGAGCGCTCCAACAACACGGGCCTCCGCGTTCTCTTGATTGACGAGCAGCAGAAGTCATCTTTGCTGAATTTCATAGATTTGTCGGTGAGTGAAACCTTTCACGCTCGCACATTGCAACATTTTCCACCAGCGAGACGAAGATGTATGATTTCAAAGCGTGATTACGCAATTTTCGTCGTTTGGCAAAAGTGCATTGGCCGGTTATTGACCTGCCCATTTTCCTCTCTTCCCTCTCGCGTAGCTCTTCGAAAATCGACGACCGTACAATCACTTTCTCGAGTTCTTTATGCTCCACGAATGGGGCGTCGAGAGCTGCCGTAAGGCGTTGGGCTCTGCTGCCCTGCAAAATCTCCTCACCTCCGGAGAGACATTCGATCTGATCATTGCTGAGATCTTCAACACCGACTGCATGCTGGCCGTGGCGCACAAGCTCAATGTGCCCGTTATCGGACTCAGCAGCTGCACTCTCCAGCCCTGGCACCTGGACCGCGTGGGAATTCCCAATCTGCCCTCCTACGTTCCCGCGCTCTTCATGCCCTACAGCGAGGAGATGAGCTTCAGCCAGCGCCTGGCCAACTGGATCACACTGCAATCCTTCAAGCTGGGCTACAGACTCTTCAACGATCGCGTCGCCAACAATCTCGTGGAGGAGTACCTCGGCCCAGGGATTCCAGATGTCGGAGAGCTGGCTCTGAAGACCAGCCTGGTTATGGTCAACACTCACTATTCGCTGAGTGGAACGAAGCCTTTGCCGCCTTCGGTGATAGAAGTCGGCGGCGGATATCTCTTCAGTCAGCACGAGAACACGCTGGACTCCAAACTCGATCCAGAACTCAAGCAATTCCTCGACACCGCCGACAATGGGGTCATTTACATCAGTTGGGGATCGATGATCAGAGCTGAAACTCTCCCTGCCGAAAAGCGCGATGGCATTCTGCAGGCTCTGGCCATGCAGCCGCAGAAGGTGCTGTGGAAGTGGGAGAATGAGACCATTCCCAACAAGCCGGACAACGTCTACTTCCGCAAATGGATGCCCCAACGTGATATTCTCTGCCATCCCAAGGTGCGCGTCTTCATGACGCACGGCGGACTCTTGGGCAGCTCTGAGGCCGCCTATTGTGGAGTCCCAGCGATCGTGACGCCCATGTACGGTGATCAATTCTTCAACGGAGCCTCCCTGGAGCACCGCGGCATGGGCGTCGTGCTGCCCTATGAGGACATCTCCAAAGACACCGTCCACAAAGCCCTGCAAAAAGCCCTCGATTCTAGGTAAGAAGAATGCCGCCAAAGTGTCTCTCAAAGCCTTCTAATAAATCTCCGTTCTTCAGCTTCCTGGCCAACGCCAAGAAGGTCTCCTATGCCTACAAGAATCGCCCCAAGACACCTCTGGAAACTGCCGTGTGGTGGGCGGAACATGTGATAAAGACGGGTGGATCTCCCCTCACGAAGAGTCACAGTGTCTTCCTTCCCTGGTACATCTACCACTCACTCGATGTGATCGCCACACTCCTCCTGGGCTGCGTCATCCTCCTCACCGCCTGGATTTGGTTCATCAGACGCCTCTTGGGCTCCAATCGCAAGCAAAAATCCACCGTTACGCACAAGCAGAAAGTGAATTGAAGCAAATTGAGGCCTCGCGCGGATTAACCACCACAAATTGCGAGTTTATTGTACAAAAAAAAACTTGTTGCATTTTGTGAATCATCTTCCCATCCCGTGAATAGATTGTAAAGAGTAAAAGTTACTTACCATTCACACCTCAGTAATAAAAAAAAACAGTATATAATATCCAACCCGTTGTCTGTTTAGAGCTTTGATTTCAACTGGCCCAATTTCTGAAGTCCGATCTTCTGCAGCTCAACCAGCTTCATGGCAAGTCCCATGTTGCCTTGAATCTTCAGTTTGCCTGTCATGAAGGCTTTCTGGGGATTCAGTGTGCCAGATAGAAGTTCAGTCACATCATTATCGTTGATAATTATGGTAACATCGCACTTATCTGTGAATAAATAAACTATCAATCACTGCTTTGTGAAGAAAACTGAGATTTCCTCACCTTTTCCATTGTAGATCACAGTTCCTTTTCCCTGTTTCGCATTGATAATCCAATATCCCTCCTGGCCATTTGGTCCGCCGGTCACCTTAAAGCCATAGCATCCTCTGAACTTCTCCACCAGGTTATCCTCATCCTCCTCCATGGCCTGCTTCAGGAATTCCATGTATGGCGACACTTTGAAGCCACTCGGACCGGAACTGCCTGCATTTCCCTGGGCAGGAGCGCCGCTTTGTCCAGACTTGGGGAATCCCAAGCGGTAGAGCGACACCACAACAGCTCCTCCCAATCCCAAATTGTGCTGCAAGGCCAATTTCACATCCTTCACCTGCCGCTTTCCAGCCTCTCCTCGCAATTGCCAGCACAGCTCAGAGCACTGCGCCAATCCTGTGGCGCCAAGCGGATGTCCTTTGGAAATCAAGCCTCCGCTGGGATTGATCACATACTTTCCGCCATAAGTATTGTCTCCTCTGTCAATAAGCTCTCCCGCTTTCCCGATAGGACACAATCCCAGAGCCTCGTAGGTGATCAACTCATTGGCCGAGAAGCAGTCGTGCAGCTCAACCACCTGAACGTCTGTGGGCTTACAGCCGGCCTTCTCGAAGAGCTTCTGAGCTGCATGACGCGTCATGTCGTAGCCCACAACCTTCATCATGCTCTTCTCCTGGAACGTCGACGGCAGATCAGTGGCCATTTCCATGCCTACAATCTCGACAGCTTGGGATTCAAGTCCGTGTTTGCGCACAAACGCCTCAGAGGCCAGGATGCAAGCTGCGGCTCCGTCGCTCGTGGGACAGCACTGGAGTTTCGTGAGATATCCGTGGACAGATTGGGATTTCATGATCTGCTCCAGTGTGTATTCATCCTGGAACTGGGAGTAGGGATTGTTGACGGAATGCTTGTGATTCTTCCAGGCAATCTTGGCAAAGTGCTCGGGTTTCGTGCCGTACTTCTTCATGTGCTCCAGTCCGGCATTGCCGAAGAGCTGAGCCGTAATCGGAGACCCTGTGATATCATGCAAATTGCCCATGACTTCCAAATGCTTCTCACTGGGATTCGCTCTGTCGAAGTATTTGGCACTGAGAGAGCCTCTCTCCATCTTCTCAAAGCCCAGCGCCAGAGCGCAGTCAATGCTTCCCGACTCCACGAGTTGCTTGGCCAGGAACAGCGCACTGGAGCCAGTGGAGCAGTTGTTGTTGACATTGTAGACGGGAATGCCAGTCATGCCCATCTCATAAAGAGCCCTCTGACCACTGCACGAGTCCCCGTAGACGAATCCCACGAATGCCTGCTTCACCTCTCTGTAGTCCACCCGCGAGTCCTGCAGAGCCTTCTGCACGGCCTCCCTGGCCATGGCCGGATAGTCAAAGTCCTGCCGCTTGCCCGGCTTCTCGAACTATTGCCGTGAAAGTACATAAGGAGAAGTGAGAACAACAGTTGCTATTTGTTTGCATTTACACTCGAGATAATTTAATCTCGGACGTGAACTTTAGTCGCAGAAAAAGAGCTTAATAACACCACTCGAATGAGGTGATAAAATTCGGTGAATATCTTTCATGGCATGACTATTGCTTATTTCTCGGGCAGTACAATAAAATTCCCACAATTAGCCGTCTTTCGCCATCGCCTTCCCAACTCTTTCGTATGCATGAATTCATGAAAATTGCAATGTTGACAAACCGATTCTTTTTGCAATACTGTGGCGAGTCTTGCGCACATAAAGCATAGACCGCATAGCCAGTGAGGTCGAGAGATTGAAAGATAAATCATACTTGAAAATTTCAGGAAATGTTAGATCCTAAAACACATTGATATTCGCCGATCAAAGTTCACGACCCAAGATCTCTACACTCCATTTCCCCAGTGATTCTTCACACATTATGCCGTGAACCACTTGAGAATCTCTCATTCTGAGAGCGAGCATAGCTTATTTGGGTCAAGAATGGGTGGAAAAAGTCCGTGGAAAGTCAACACTAACCTTTGTCATCCCGCATCCGATCACGTACACCTTTGAGGCACCCATCTTATCTGGTCAACGATTATCTCTCACACCAAGGAGTCTCTCTGGGATTCCTGCGACCTTCCGCTTGCTTTCACTCTTGCGAAATATTTCAATTTATCGGCGGAGCAAAAACTCGGCTTCCAACTTGGAATGTCGGCTGTGTGTCACTGGAAATCCGACAGAGGCGCTGCAATCAGTCAGAGTACATTTTCCCGCCACTCTGCTCTCCCGCGAACAGCTATTGTTTCCCTTATCAACCAAGAGTGATAATGCTGAGTAAATTGTGATCTTGCGATAAATAAACTCCTCTCAAAATGATAACTGTGCCGCGAAAACACAATAAACAATGCACATATATGTTGAGTGAAAAGATTAAGCCATTCATTCAGTGACAAAATATAAGAGCTGATTAATAAAAAATACTAAATTAATAATTTTTTTTTATTCCATAGCAATATCTGTGAATTTTCGAAGCATAATCAACTTCCAAGCTTTCTTATCTAATGTTACTGGGTCGGTAAACTTAAATCTTTACGACAGCAAGTAAAAATGGACCAGAAAAGACCTTGCAAAGAAAAACAAATTATTTTTCCCACAGTCAATAAACAGACCATTACACATGGGGACAAGTTTGGGTAGTTCAAAGGCACTTCAATAAATTACCCAAATTACCATTTCTTGTAAATTTGCACACTCAATCAAGCCCCCACACAACACACCGAGTGAAAGAGCATAAAATATTAAAGATAATGTATTTCTACAACTAGGCAATTTTGTCAATAACTCAAAATCTTACTGATAGTGTATTAAATTAAGATTCTCTTACTCTTTAATCCTCCTTCGGCTCTCTTTGTAAGGTTTATTAGCAACATATTTTTGTGTACTCAACATTATATATAGTTCTGTGTGTGCCAACCAGCCACTTGTCCATCTAATTGCTCGCGGGGTGGATTAGGAAAGTTGATTGCATCAGAAAGCGCCGCCGCTGCGTCCGCCTGGCGTCGAGTCCATACTCGCCATGATGGACGTCAGCAGATCCGGCGGCGTCACGGGGAGCGGCTTCTTCGCCTTCGTCGCCGGCGTGGTGGGCTTGGACGAGGCCGCAACGGGAGGCTCTTCGGGAGGTGTGCAGTCCTCTTGGGGAGGCGGGGGCGGCGGAAGCGGGGGCAAAGGAGGCGGCGGAGGCTGTTCCGTGAGCGGAGGCGGCGGCTGAGCGGGTGGCTGGGGAGTTGTGACCGTCTGCGTGGCTGATTCATTCGTCTGAGTATCAGCATCACTGGACAGTGCCGAGCTCTTGCTCTCGCGCGACTCATTGGACGTCCTCCTGTCCGTTGACACGGCCGCCGTGGAGGTTTCCGGTCGGCTGGACGATCTCTCAGACTTGCTGCTGTGGCTGGACTTGTGCTTCGAACTGGACGACGATGATGAAGACTTCTCCGATCCGTGGTGTCGATGCTCACTCCTGTGCTTCTCCTTCCCACTGTGATGATGCTTGTGACTCGTACCACTCTTGCGCTTGTGCTTCTCACCACTCTCAGCCTCAATCACCAACTTCCGCATGTCAATCTTCGCCTCGTCCGTCTTCTTGGACGCCGACTTCGAAGCCGATCCCTCTGTGTCACTGCGGCGTCTCTCGAGATCCTTCTTCTCACTCTTCTTCGGCTTCCCATCATGAGATCTCTTCACCGGCGTCGTATATTTGCGCATCTCCACATCCAGAGGAATCGGATGTGGCAGAATCGTTTGCCTCTCTTTGTATTGGGGCGGCTCCACAAGCTCCCCATTGTTCTGCTCATTCTGCACCTCAGTATCCGGGTAGTATTGTTGCAATCTCAAGTGCCAAGCTGTAGAAAATTAACAATTTAATTGCATTTTCCAATTACTTTCCACTTTATCTCAAACTCACCAATACTCGTGACGGCCGTAACAGTCCTGAATTGATGGATTATATTCCTGGGCAGGAAGTAGATGTCATTATCATATAGCTGTATTCGTGCATAGCGGATGCCATCGCGTCTCAGCTGGTTGAGTTTCGCGTCCTCCACCCACTGGACACACTGTGAAATGGGCGGCTCGTGCAGATCCAATTGCAATTTCTCCACCAAATGCGGGAAATCCTGCGCCGAGAACGCCACAACGTCCTTCGTGATGCGATTCTGCTTCTCCATGTTGCCACAGTGAATCGCCTTTAGCACCCCAACGGCTGCCGTCGTCATGCGATCGTGCCCGTGACCCACGTGATCAGCGTGTGCCTTCGTGCGATCCTCAAACATCACCTCACGCGCTTCAGACAATCGCGGCAGATACTGTAGATTTCGCAGCTCATTTATTCGAGTCCTGCGAAGTGGCAAAGAGAAAAAGCCAATGACCGCTTATGATTCTCACATTCTGCACAAATAACAACAATGTAGAAATTTCTCACCTTTGTCTTTTCAGTGGCGTCTTGTTGATCTCTGCAGTTGGAATCAATTGTTCTCCTGGGCGAATCCACAAAATCGGACCGTCATTGGACAGACGAGGATCCATCCTCACAATTGACAATTCACCCCAAGGCATTGCCTGAAAGATGCATCACAGAATGTCAATCCCATCAAACAAACTACCAGAGAAATAAAGTCTCGGTGACTCACCTTCTTCAGGAAAGGATTCTTCTCGAGTCGGCTCAGCAAATCTGGAAAATATCCTCCCACTTCCTCGTGCACTTTACCCACAAGGCTGATCTGATGCAGAGGTCCGTAGCGAAAAGTCCCTTGCGAATAGTTCTTCACCACCTGCTCGTGGTATTGAAGCATCGTGGAGGTTTCAATGTCCGAATTGCGCCCCAACACGCCCGCCTTCACCGTCAGCGACGCATAATTCTCCGCCATGTGCTCCAGCAAGTCCGGCAAGTATGCCGATGCATCGTGAACAATGCCCATGACATTGTGAGCGAAGCCATTGTCATCCTCAGCGAAGACCACCGAGAAGAACTCATCCACAAGCTCTGTCATCTTCGTGGGCGACAGATGATCAATCTCATCCTGATACATGTGCACCACGGAAGCGCCGCCATTGGGATGAATCTCTCTGCGAAAGAACTTGCCGTACTTCAGATGGGCGTACTCGCTGCGATTGCAGTTCGCATCACGATTCGTCGTTGAGATCCTGGTTGGCGTCGTGTCCGTGCCGCTTTCTGTCTTGTGCGCTCGACACTGAATGCCCACATTCACCTTCTTCACCTTCGAGCGACGGTAACACTTGGAGCAGTCACTGCGGCTGCTCTTGTGCGAGGACGACGAGGAGGACTTGTGGTGGTGTCGATGACTGCTGCTGCTGCTGCTGCTGCTGCTGTTGTGATTCCTGGAGGACGTCTCATCGCGACTCCTGCTCGACGACACCGCAATCTCAGCCTCCTTCTCCACACCATTCACGGCTGTATCACCATTCGTCACCGGCGCTTCCGGCTTCACCTCCACGGACTCCTTCTTCTCCACTTTCTCCTCCTTCACGGGAGCCACCGAACTGCCCTCCTCAGTGTCAAACACCAACACTCTCGATACGTCCTCGCGGGTCTTCTCAACCTTCACCAGATTTGCCGGATTCGGTAGATAATCCTTCTTGATGAATACATCCTGCCTCGACGGTGTTTCCTGCGCCTTTCTCTCCACACTGCCGAAAGTCATAGTCGCTGGGAATACTTTCTTCTCCGACACCGCCTCATCAACAGGCGGTGGATCAGACTGAGACTCCGTCTTCTCCTTGGCATCCACACGCTCTTCCTCTGAGGCACTTTCACCGGATTTCTTGGTGGATTTGGGCTTGATAACCTCCTTAGTCGGCTCCTTGGCGCTATTAATTGACGGCGAGGAACTGTTATCACTGGATTTCTCACTCTCTTGGCTCGTTCGTGAGTCTGACGAGTGACGACGCAAATTTTCCTCCTGCAAAAACACAGAGAAAAAGTGGCTTTTCTCAGAATTCGAGCTTCAATATTCCCAATTGATATGTCTTATCAAAATTTACCGCCATGCAGTTTGACAAAGAATAAGATTAATATAGCTGATAACTTTCTCTATCTCGAAACTTATGAAATTGTATATTCTAATTGCAGTATCTTTAATAAATATTTTCCTAAGCGCGGCTGTGAATCACGCTTACCCACTGAATCATTATATTATATTTCTCTGTCTGAGTTTTACCTCAATTATAGAGCTTGAATAGAGGCAAACAGTGTAAAGAATTTACCTTTTCACGCTCTTTCTCCTTCTCCTTCTCACGTTTTTTGCACTTCTTCTTCTTCTGGTGAGCCTCCATGGTAAAATCTGCAACGAGAGCCAAACAATTACAGACAACTTGCATCAGCGATCATCAGAGCAGGCGGATGAAATTACCATTTTGCGTCTCTGTCGTACAGACGCCCTCTTCGCCGGCACTTGGATTTGTCCGGGCCTGAGAATCACTGCCCTCCCCATTTTCTCCACTCACAATCTCCCGCACATCTGCAGCACCCTCGTTTTCCGCCCGCTTCGCCTCCCTCACCGTGTCCACGTCCATCTTCTCGATGGGCTGAGGCACCTCGGGGGCCCCCGCAGTCCCCTCCAGAGGCCCTACACATGGGCTCTCGAGACTGGAACTGTTGGCTGGCTCTGTTTGTGTGGACGCCATTGTTTCTCCTCGTCCACAGACTTGACGCCTCAGTTTCCCCCAAACTCAATCACTCTGCGCTACTTTTACCAAATACTGCTAGCCACTAGCATGAACACAACTACATTATACTGATATATTGGCGAGGAATTATTTGTCACGAAGAATAAAACTGTTTTTCATCTGTTTGCACCTTCGAGAACTCGCCGAAACGTCAAACATGGGTATTTTCCCAAAATGGTGTCTAAAGCATCATGCTAAAGCACCGAGAAACACTTTCTGCACAATATCAATGAGCTAGAGTTCCTCGCAGCACAATGTTAATGCGTGAAAATCTCTGCGTTTCCCCCAAAAACAGCAAAATTCGCCAAACTCGCACTAGTTTTCCAACACTTTTCACCTCTTTTTCGCTTTTATGCCAACAGAGGCGCTGATTGCTGTGCTTCGTGCGCCCTCTGAGCGCGACCATGAAATTTTGAGCGCAAAAATCAAAAATGCAAGGAAGAAACATGAAACATCGAAACATTTGTAAATAAATTTTCTTTATTGAAAAGCTTTTTTTGATGTTGCTTCGTGCTAACATATAGTGAACAACTTGCCAAAAATTCTTGGACACGCAGTAGAAAAGAAGTCTTTCAAATGCAATCACGGCTGACACTGGTTAAATCATTGCGTGAATTAATGTGAGTACAGAAAAGGGTGAGGAAAAGCTGGGAATTAGATCTCATCGAGTTCATCAGGTTCTGCAGGAAAATCGCCCACAGTCACTGCCGTGGGAGGTACAAAACTTCCGTATTTCGGCTGGCATTCAAAGTATTTCTTTCCATTAACTCTGCAAGAGGAAATTTATTAGATAAAGTTTCATTGCCCGATTGGAATTACTCACGTTCCATCATTAACTCCCAGAGGCTCATCGAATTTCACTCCAATCATGAGTTTGTTCTTGCCTTCGATCACTCCATTGAACATCACAGTTCCCAGTCGCCTCGGCTGCCCGGCCACTGTCACCTGACACCGAGCGCCGACTGTGATCTCCCTGGCCAATCTCTCCTCCTTGGCGGCTGCCTCGCGCTTCTTCTCTTCTAGCCGCTTCATCTCCTCCTCGTCGTACTTGCCGAGTTTGTTGCTTCTCAGGAAGTTCCTCACTGTGTCCGTCCTCTCGCTGTACTGCTGATCTGTGAGATTGAACTTCTCCACGTTCTCAGCATCGACGAGAGTGAACTCGTCAATCACATGGATCCTCATGCCATCCTCAATGGGATACGAGCCAAGGAGGGATTCATTGTTATCCAGCTTTCCCACCAACTTGTCTCCATTGAATAGCTCAAGTTTCATCGTCGCCGCACACCCACCCGTCACCACCTCCAGTTTGTTCTGCAAAACACGCAAATTGGTGAGAATTTCGAGAAAGTTCCCCAATGTTTTGGTGCCCCATTCCAACCTTAAACTCCAAGATGGTGATGTCTTTCGGGAATTTACGCTCAAATACTACCGCATCGGTCTTGGAATTGGTCACATTCACCTTCACAAAGTCCGCAGTGACTATCTTCACGCTTTCACCCATCCTTTTCCGCGGAAAATCAGATATTTTGGAGAAAATCAACAGGGAAAACTCCGGATGACTCAGATGTAAATAATCCCTCAAGTTCACACTAGCGCCACCATGAGCCGAACATTGCCATCATCGCAGTGACGTAGTCAGTCTGTCAAAAAATTCTCAGAGTGGATCTGGGGTTCTTCAGGAAAAAGTGGTCTTCCCAGAACTTCCGGGGCAGACAAAACAATGTCAGTGGATGTGTACATATTCTTTCTGTTCTTCTTCATCGGCCTAGTAATCATCACTCACATTCTCACGTCGCGCAATGAGAAATTGCGACACAACTCGCGAATCTCGCTTAATTTGGCAAACATTCCGGAAGATGTGATTGCCGAGGACGCAGAGATTCCACGGGTTAGAAACCCCAATTGTTCCTACTGGGATTGCTTCAATGTGTACAAGTGTGGCCAGAAGGCCAGTGACAATGATTTCTCCATCTATGTGTATCCGCTGAAGAGCTACACAAACTCAGATGGTCAGGGTGCCTTCCGGCAAACCAAGGAGTTCTATTACATTCTCAAGGCCATCAGCGAGAGTCCCTATTACACGCCCAATCCCAACAAGGCGTGCCTCTTCGTGCCCAGCATCGATACCTTGAATCAGAATAATGTAGACACGAGTCTGGTGGCGAAGGCTCTGGCTTCTCTCCCTTAGTGAGTTCTCTCTTCCTGCATGGCATCTGACACGTCGGTCTTATTGGGTTTTCCTCCTTCTTTCAGCTGGGAGAATGGCGAGAATCACATCCTCTTCAATATGATTCCAGGAACAGCTCCGGAGTACAATACTGTCTTGGATGTGAACACCGACAGAGCGTTGATCGCTGGTGCAGGATTCGACACGTGGACTTACAGGAGTGGCTTCGACCTTTCCATTCCGTTCTTCAGTCCCAACCAGGTGAAAATGACCCAGATCGAGGCGTCTGAGCCAAGGAAGTTCCTCCTCATCTCCTCCCAACTCAATATGTACACTCAGCACTCGCTGCTCCTCCAGGAGATCTCCTTCAACCATCCCGACGTGCTGACGCTACAGAAATGCCCTCAGAGCACTGCAGAATCCGACACGAAGACAAGTGCTGACGCGAAAGAGGCTGTGGATGTGAGATGCAGCATTCCACATGGAAATGAGTATCGCTATCCTTACATTCTCACCAAAGGAACTTTCTGCCTCATCATTCGGGGACTTCGATTGGCACAGCCAAATCTCATGGAGGCTCTCGCCAGCAACTGCATCCCCGTGATTGTGGCCAATAACATCGTCCTGCCGTTCGACGACGTGATCGACTGGAGTTTGGCGTCAATCTCCGTCAGAGAAATTGATCTGCATTCAATCTATTCAGTGCTGAAGAGCGTGAGTGCGGACAAAGTGGCTGAGCTGCAGAGACAAGGATACTGGCTGTACAGGAAGTACTTCAGCAGCATCCGAAAGATTGTCCACACATCCTTGGACATCCTCAATGATCGTGTCTTTCCGCACCTCGCGAGGACATATCTGCACTGGAATGTGCCGATGTACGAGAAAACATCACGCAATCCACTTTTCCTGCCTCTCATTGCGCCCAAGTCGCAGGGATTCACTGCTGTAATTCTCACATATGACAGGATAGACTCCTTGTTCACGCTGGTGCAGAAATTGGCGGTGGTTCCGGCGCTCCAGAAAATTCTCATCATATGGAATAACCAGAAGAAACCCCCGCCGCATCCAACAATGTTCCCCAAGATCACAAAACCTCTGAAACTCATCCAGACGAAGGCCAATAAGCTCTCCAATCGATTCTATCCGTATGAGGAGATTGAGACAGAGGCTATTTTAACAATTGACGATGATATCCTAATGCTGACGATAGATGAATTGCAATTTGGGTGAGAAAAATCTTTGAATGCAACACTGAGCAAGTCATAAAGCTATGCTTTTTTTTGCAGATATGAGGTGTGGAGAGAGTTCCCGGACAGAATTGTTGGCTTTCCGAGTAGAACACACGTTTGGGATAACGCAACTGGTCGCTGGAAGTACGAGTCAGAGTGGACAAATGAGATTTCAATGGTGCTCACGGGCGCGGCTTTTCACCACAAGGTAAAAAATTCAATTACATGCTCATTAGCATTCAATGCGTAATGGCGGAAATCAAATTCCTTGCAGTATTGGAGCTACATGTACACAAATGCAATGCCAGGAGACATCAAAGAGTGGGTGGACGATCACATGAACTGCGAAGACATCGCCATGAACTTCCTCGTGGCCAACATTACGCGAAAGCCACCGATAAAAGTCACTCCCAGGAAGAAGTTCAAGTGTCCCGAGTGCACAAACACCGAAATGCTGTCGGCGGACATCAATCACATGCTGGAGCGATCGGCGTGCATTGATCGATTTGCCAACATTTACGGCACAATGCCGCTGAAGACGGTGGAGTGGCGAGCTGATCCTGTCCTGTTCAGGGACAATTTCCCCGAGAAGCTGAAGCGCTTCAACGACATTGGCAGCTTGTGAAGACACTGGGCGTGTGTCTGTGGCCAAAAGTGGTGCAATTATGAAAATCATAGTGTCATAATCGTCTAGTCCGACTTCTCAACGCAAAGATTCTCAGATTTTATTATCAGATGTTTGTTCCCTTTACGATGATCCGTTGACTCAGTTGCACCATGTCATTATTGCACGAATTTACTAGGTTTTTTTGTAAATGTATTTTTTTCATTTTTAATTAAGGATATTACGTTGTAATCGACCGGAATTGTCCATAGTAATTTGTGACCATATCTTTCGAGTGGCATTCGATATAGGCAGTCTACGCGAGGGTAGTTTAATTGTAAATGTGATATTTAGATGCATTTATTGACAGTGGATCTTGCAATTTCTCCTGTAATGTCTCCAAATGATCCGTGTGGCAAGTGTTTAGAGAGAGAGAGAGAGAGCGAGAGCGAAAGAAAGAAACTCCATCTACACTACATCACAATTTGTTTAATGTAGGAAATAAAGGAATAGACAAGTCGTTGATGGATTTCTTGCATATACGTTACAATTAGAATTGTGTACTTGTTAAGTGAGTAAATTAATCTGCATTTGTGTATTTTGGAGGAGAAACAAAGATCGATTTATGAGAGAAATCAAATTGTTTCTGCATGAATTTCTCTAGCTACACATGTTTCTAAACTTACCCCTAAACCCCAAATTCACAATTTTCGCTGGCCTGTGTGTTCACGATAAGTCAAGCAGTGGCATTGATCTATTGACCACCTTGAGGTCCGTTATGGCAAATTCTCGCAGGAAATCTTTGTTGTCCAGCAATCTCAAGAGGAATTTCACCCTCTTGTCATCCCTTTCATCCTCCACACGACGATCCACCTTCGGCGACAGTGTTCGAGACTTGAGGAGAACTGGAGCAAATATTCGAGCTGGAAAGGCGCAAAAAAGAGGCAAAATCAGCACAAATCGCGTTGGTTATTAGCAAGACAACTTTCTCACCTAGTCTGTGGTTGTCCACGCGATTCCACGTCACATTGTCCAGCACTTCCCTGAGGAAGAGGCACACATAGATGAAGATTATCTTCCTCTGTGGCGTGAGGAATGTTATAATGTCTCTGCACTTCTCATAACTGTCCACCGTACACACGAGATCTTCATAGGGATGCACGAGAGGCACTGGAGTGCCTTCCAGGAGGAACAGCAGAGTCTCTGCAGCCGTGTACGGATTCCCAGCTGAAAATCAGAACGACATGATTAGATCTCTCTCTCTCTCTATTTGAGGGACAAGTTCAAGATCACTCACGAAAGACATCGACGGACCACGAGTTCAGCCAATCGCGAATCTCATTGATATTCGCTGATCGTCTGAACTTCCTTTCCAAATTGAATAAATTCATCGTCTGCATGCCATGATTGAAGAGATAGTCAACAAGAAACCACAATTCGCGTGGAATCTCTGCCGGATCTGCTTTGGCTGAGTTGTCATTCCTCGTCGGCGCACTGTTTTCAATCTCTCGCTCCAGCTCGAGAATCTCCTTGAGGTTCATCTTCGTCACGGGTCTTTGGATCTGACACAGCGTCTCCAGATTGAATCCAATGCAACTCTGGCGATATTCACCGATTATGGTGATGAAGATATCTCGTCCATTTTCCACATGCAGCACTAGAATGTCAAGAGGCACTTTCTGTCCAGACTCACGCTGCTTCCTGTGCAGCTTCCAGGCCGATTTGGAGTCCGCATGGAGTTCCAATTTAATGCTGATGGAGTTGCCAGTGAAGAGACGTCCTCGACTTGGTTGAATATCCAGCCAACTCTCGCATATTGCACTATCCTTGCCCTCCTTGCCCGTGAACTCAAACACAACAGGCAGATGGCAATTGTTGGCGACCAGAATCTCCCTCTGGATCACCGAGTTGAACTGAATGACGCCGAAATCGATGTCCGTCTCCGCCACAGTGATCTGTAAGAATTTGCACAGTCAATATACTAAAACTCAACTGTAATTGAATAGAATTATCACCTGAGGCTGGTTGTCATTTTCATACTTGTCCACCGTCTTCAGCACTTCCTCATGGACTTTCTTGTACTTCTCCTCATCTCTGGTCTTAACATGCGTGAGGAAGAGCGCATAAACAGGCTTGTGATCACTAAGTTGCAAGGCCATTATACTGTCATAGACGATTTGATGCGTCTTATCACTCCTCCAGAGGATCCTGTCACACCACGCCGGCATCCTGGCTTTCTCACTGCTGTCCCAGTTATTCGTCCCCGGATCGTACTTGTACGTTGGCTGAAACATAATTGGACCCTCGACGAAGTTCATAAAGACACTCTTTCTCTTCATCTCCACGTGCAGCTGATCGAAAGGCTCCAACTCGGCGTAAATAAACTCCTGATTGGCATATCGGGACACTCCAGGCGCTGCCACAGGATCCACAAACTTATTGTACTCCTGCTCAATGATGCGATAATTGAGATCACCGAACCAAAAGATGTGATCGTGCTCTTCTATGCTGCGCTTCGTGATGCCATGCTCAAATTGCATTCTGCGCAGAATCTCATCGTGATCCTCCTTCCGCCGGATCACCTCGTGCACATGAGCAGCCAGATGGGCATTCACGAAGCAAATGAAGTTCTCACAAAACTCCACACTCACGCCAACACCTCCCTTGTTGCCCATCATGTTAAGCGTGCCCGTTCCCACCGAGCACGTTGTGTACGACTTGACAAATCTCCGCAAGTCTCGCCGAATCACAATGATCAGCATCATTCCCACGAGGCGCACCGACACCAGCTCTTCATACTCCGCCCCCGGATGCACTGCATCCATCACTCGTGACACCCACACGAAGTCCGGCCGGTTCTCGCTGAATGTGTACGCCTTGGGCGACAGATCGAGCTCCTGGAAGGCGATGGCATAGAGATCTGGCGGATCTTTCGTGGTGGCCAGCCACTCGTGCAGGGAAATATCATTCGGCGGCTGACCATTCACATTCCACGTCGCGATGTAGAAGCGATGCGGTTCGTATACAATGAATTCGTGCTCGCGCTTCTCCAGCTCTTCCCTGAACTTCGATTCGCGCTTCTTCAGCGTCGCCCGGCCGTCTGCAATGCTCCTATCTATTGCCGACAGATCCTCGCGCCGATAAGAGTCCAGCCAGGCGAAATCCATGGCCTCTGGATGTTCGTTAAATGCTGCAAAAGACGACAGAGAGAGTTTAAACCACATTGTGAACTACAGTGGCAATAAAAATCGTGTAATGTTGGCGATAAGGTGAGATTTCAAGAGCAATTACAAGCAAATAAATGATTGACTTTGTTGGAATAGATACGGTGAAGCAAAGTGAAATAGTAACAGTGTTTCATAAATATGAGCTTTCTCGCTTGAAGAGAAGCCATATAACACGCTTTCGACTCTGAAAATTCAATCTTTGCCACAAACAAAACGTGTACTTCTTCCTAATTACATTATAGCGTAAAAATTGAGAAAGAATACACTTATAATTTATGAATTATCGTTCTGCTGAATCATATACTTTAGCATCACGAAAGATATTGTTTGAGCCTCAAGACTCATTAAGGAGATAAATTGTGAAAAAGCCATGTGGCTTTGGAAGATTGATAAAGCAAAAAATTCCCATTTTTCTACTGTATTTTTTAGGGGAAATTTGAGCGATATGTTTATTTATCTATCTATAGTGGAGCAGAATTCATATTTTTATGACCATATCGCTCATATCACTTGAAAACTTGACCTTCCCTCTGACAAAACATCTTTTCTTCATGAATGCGTCTTTCAGTGCGTGCAAAGTATTTGCGTAAAGTTTACGCAAATAAACAAATCATCACTCACCATACTTGGCAGCCAGAATATCATTCTGGAAGTAGTCGTACTTGTAGAGGATGTACGTCTGGCAAGGATAGTAGTAGAAAACGTTCTGTCCGCTCTTCGTGCTGATCCTGAACTGGAGCTTCGAGATGCCGCCCGAAGGAGCGTCAATCCGGAAGTCCTGGTCAATGGGGAAGAAATTCTCCACGGTGAGATCGACAAAAGTTGTGGGCGGACACATGGAGAGGGCGAAGGAGAAGACGGCGTAGGAATTGTGGCATCTGACCAGTGCCAGGAGGCGATTCTGCTGCTCATAGCCAATCAATTGATAAGCCTCAAAAATCTGCGAAATGTGCTTCTGTTAAGGAAAATATCTCTTCATACACTAATTATTTCCCACATCCGGTGAACGCCCAGAGATTCGAGAGAAGTGTGCTTTTATCCAGAGGGAAGAGAGACGTCGAGTTATTCGATTATTTGGCGGAATTTCACTTTTTTATAGAGTGAAATAGCTTCGCACAACACGCGACGGAGTCATTGATTTCTCCACAAGCATTTTTATCAAAATTACAGAGAAGACCTCCATTGACTCGAGATAACTCCACATCGCTCCCTGATCTTCTTGCTCCCCTGAATTTCCTGGAAATCCCACAGAATCACTCTTTGGGCAGCAATCTTTGCAAAAGGATACAGAAACAACGCGCTCCTCCTGACGAAACTTCTCCCTCACGATCTCCTTCACACTTTCAGTCATCTTTTCAGCCGACTGCTGCAGTAAATTCGCACTATCAACAACTTATTTTCACAGCAGACACTCTACACTCACACCATCGGCAGCTAATTCCATAATTTGATCGCGATTTACATGAGAATTTTCACCAAAATTGGGAGCTCAATCACTCTGCCCAACAAAATATTTGACAATAAAACTCTCATCGCACTTTTCCGGAATGGCTTTCTGCCGCGTGGGGCAGTGCAATCGCTGAGGTGACAGTTGGGCATAAGAAAATAACAAAATACACCCAGTGCAAATTCACGCATGTTTTTCGCAGAAAATAAGGTAAAATGTCCAAGATATTCACACCTACGAATCAGATTCGCCTGACAAATGTCGCTGTGGTGCGAATGAAGAAGAGTGGCAAGAGATTTGAGATTGCCTGCTACAAGAACAAGGTGATCTCTTGGAGGAACAATGTGTGAGTACTTCCAGAACATTCCACGAGGATTTCAGGGATGTACAGCAATCTAATCCCAACATCCTTCATTCCAGAGAGAAGGATATCGATGAGGTGCTGCAGACGCACACGATTTTCACGAATGTTTCAAAGGGACAAGTGGCGAAGAAGGAGGATTTAGTGAAGTCATTCGAGACGGATGACCAAACTGAGATTTGCCGGCGAATTTTAGCCGAGGGAGAACTCCAGATCTCTGACAAGGAGCGACAGACGCATCTGGACTCCCTCTTCAAAGACATCGCCACCATCGTGACGGACAAGTGCGTGAATCCGGACACGAAGCGTCCTTATCCAGTGTCCATGATCGAGAAGGCGATGCGCGATGTCCACTTCTCCGTGAAGCCCAACAGGAACAGCAAGCAGCAGGCTCTGGAGGTGATCAGCGTCCTGAAGGAGAGCATACCCATCGAGCGTGCCAGGATGCGCCTCAAGATCGTGGCGAGTGGCAAGGAGGCGAAGAAGGTGCGCGAGAAAGTCACTCAATTGGCACCGACAGTGGAACAGGAGGACTGGACAGACGGAACTCTCTCAATCGTGTGCCTCATCGATCCCGGACACTTTCGGGCTGTGGATGAGATCGTGAAGGGCGAGACGAAGGGCAGCGGCAGTCTTGAGCTGTTGGACCTCAAGGAAGTCACGGAAGGCGACGAAGTGCTAGAGTAGAGTTCCTCCTGTTATCACTCTGTAAGTCCATGAAGATATCCTCAATACAAGTCATGTTTCTGTTTCGAAGCACTCATTGTATCCTTAACTCCCCAAGAGATACCACAAAGACAGTGATCTTAAGCTTTTAAGTATATTTTATACACCATTTTTCGTTCAACATTGGAATATCTTGTGATGCACAATTTATTTAATTCTTATTAGAGTTACATTGAATATATTTTATGGCTTTCTAACTCTCTCGAGCTTTGGTATCAATTCAGTCATGAAAGATATCAAAATTCACATCAAATATTTGAGAATAGAAGCAAAATTTTTTATAACAGAAAAGCTTTTTCATCCACAGAGGTTTTTTCTCTCCTTTCACATACAAAATTTTTCCCCACACAAGATTCACAAACCCTATAAATAGAGCAATGGTTGCATCTTATTTCTTTCTTTCTCTCTTTCTTCAGCAAGATTGTAAAAAACTACGCGCTATAAAAAAAATAGCTATTTAGCAACACTCTGGAATTTTGTCAGGAAACAACACACAACAGATATGACAGAAAAAGGGTATTTTTTTTGTACGAAAAGAAAAACAGGGAATTTTGTCTCTTTTTTAGCATCCGCTAAAAATAAAGACTAGAAATGCGGAATGCAGAGAGACTTAGCCAGATTTCTGAGTCATCTTCAACTTCTGCGATGCCTCATAAGCCTCCAACTCCTTCTTCTCCTTCTTGTTGTTCCTCTGCTCATACTCAAGACGATGTTTTATAATGCGCTCCACAATTTTTTCAGTTGTCATTAAGTTTCCTGCAACGATAAATAATAATACAGAATTTAATTGTGATATTCAATTAAGATAACATTCAATTAACTCTGGGCGAGAGATGAAGTAATTAAAAGAAAAAAAATCCAATTTACAACACATTGTAATGCCTATTTTCGCATGTCTAATTGGAAAATATGGAGAAAAAAGTAATTTAAATTTCAAGAACAAGCTTGTCCTTGCCGTTGATACTTTCTATAAATAGGCCCTCAAATGAGACACTTGTTGAGAAACACACTCTCTAGAAGAGACAATAATTGTATTGCGTTCTAGCGCAAAACCACTGCTATCTCAATGGATTGTGACACATCTCGCTGATCTCTCAAACACCCAGAGCAAGTCAATCACAATTTCCCAAGGCTCGCTGTTAATCAAACACGCGCTCATTGTAAACTCACCTGAATCGAGGAGGAAAAATTTGCCCATCATCTTGGGCACGGCATACGGATCGAGTTGTCCCTCGCCGAGGGCGATTGGCGTCTGTCCATGGCACACAACGCTCACATTGAAGTGCTCCATGAGGTCCTTCGTCACAGCGTACGGCGCCCCAATCACCACTTCATTCACGTACTTGCAGGCGAGCACGCTGAGCACGCGCTCGTGGAGATTCATGATGGGATAATTGCTGCCCTTGTACTCATTCACCACAGGATCCGTGTGCAGACCCACAATCAGGTAATCGCCCTTCTCCCTGGCCTTCTCCAGGAAGTCCAAATGCCCCACGTGGAAGAGATCAAAGGCTCCGGCCACGTAAACCTGCAAGCATTGCCAAAAAATCACTTTAATTGCACACACAAGAGCCACAAGAGGAACTGATTCTCTCTCTCTCTTTCTCGGCAGTGAGAGAATCTACAAGCGGAAAGGTCATGCGGTAGTCATTATAAAAAACAGGAAGTTTTTCTTAAAGCTGAGTCACGATGAAACTGGAAATTAAATAGTACGAAATCTTAGAGCTCTTTGCTTGCACACTTACAATTTTATCATCCGGTTTCGGCGCCTTTCCATCACTGAATTGAATGATTTTCTGTGTTGTTGGCAAAAATTGACTGCATCCCGTCCATGGGCTGCGCGCCGAATGATCCTGGCCCATTCGAGATGAACCTAAGTCATCACAAATGTTATACTTTTCCAATAACATCTTCAATTTTTCTGTTTTGTTTTTTTTTCCCCCAAAAACGTGCGTTTTTTTCAGGATTGGGTTTTTGGTTTTTTTTTTGTCACATTAGAGAGGATTTTTTCACACATTCACATAGAAATAGAAAAAGTAATAAAGAGAGGAAGAAGAGAAGAAGCATAAATCAATTTTGATGTTGGTCAATTGAGACAATAATTGCTTTTGTTTCCAACACAAGACTTGGCAAAAGTTAAAGAGCAAATTGATTGGAAATTCAGACAAGCCCAGACAAGGAGTTTCTACAGTGACACAAAATACACAAAGTTATTTAAATTCTATTCAGAAACCACAAGAAATAAAAAATCCATCAATTGCTAACATGTTAAATTGGAAGTTAAGAGCGAAGAAGGAGAGGAAAAAAAAAGAATGACAAACAAAACATTTGCGAGATTTCTACAAGTTAGAGTACTTCTTCTTCGCAAACACATGCCAAAAAAAGAGAGAGGGAATTGAATGAAAAAAAAAATACTCCATGCTATACTAAGTTCATCAATTGCAAAACTATTAGCACGCAATTACTATTTGCAAATTAACTCCAATTGACTGGTGAACTTGAAAGAGAAATGCGTAAGGCATTTTTCACACATGCAAATCAACATTTATATTCACCTTCTTTCTCTATTGAGTATTCCTCATTGCCCTGGCGGAAGTGATTCCGTGTCATCAGGAGCATCCTGCCCACGAGATCAGTGGTCGAAATGCCAGCCGTGCGTGAGATTTCCCTGCAAAAGCAAACAGAGAGAGCCAATCGATAGGCATTAAGGTGAATTAATCGGGGTTATTAGTTGATTGTTTGCTTTTTACGCACTTGTATCGCTTTGCCTCCTTCACCAAGTGATATGTGTCCACGCCATCCGCCGTCATTGTGATATCATCTGCAAAGTGATAACCTTTTAGTGCCCACTATCGATGATTAAACATCACATGCTGCACTTTTCTCTCACCTCCGTGCACACAAAAGGCGCAATCATACTGATCGAGTGTCTCGAGATTTGTCACATAGGGCGCATCCTCGACCACCTCGTCCACCCACTTGATGCCCCTGATCATCTTGTACCTGTGTGCATTAGAGAATTGCAGAATTGCTATCAATTGCACTCTCCTCCCAATGAAATTCTATACAAATTGACTTTGTCTTGTGCCACTTTGCCGCATGAGAATTTGCATTTATAAGTGCGCGATCAATTTCATAGTTAATAGCGCATAGACACAAGTCAATAAATAAATTCTCGTTGAATGACAATGAAGTGTTTTTTTCCCGCCTTTCCCGATAATAACAATCACAATTTCTCTATACATATATATATTGATAACACGCCTCGACGTCACGAAACATACGACTTTCTCACACACTCTGGAATTTTTCCCATTAAATTGTGACAAGAGCGATAATAAATGTTGAGGCAGAAGCGCGCGAGGGTAAAAAGGCGGGGGCTCACAATTGCTGCAATCATGGGAGGAACATTATATTATAAATTCATGATTTTAACCAGAGCATTTTACATCACTCTCGAGGGCATTCATTTATTGATTTCTCTGGACTGCGGCGTACAACTGACCTGAGACGAGAGATTTTCTTTTAAACTCCACCGATTATTGTGGCCTTTAAGAAAATGCCACACACACAAGATGTTACGTAAAATTAAGCCTTATCACACATATCGAACGAATTGAAATTCCTCCAGTGATATTCAAGAGATTGGATTGCAGAAAATTTCAATGTGCGATAACGAAAATTGTGATTTGCTAATTTATCGCCAAGTATAATTCCCTCCCTTTTTATTTTTAGACTTCTTTTTTCCACACACTGGGAAATACAAACAAATATTTGGAATTTTTGTGTGTTAATTTTGTAGTAAAGGAAAAACTTAAATAATTCAGGCACAAACTTTAACTATTTAATACTCTTCCTATACTTGTCAGTGATTTTTAAATAGAATCTATAAAAGGCGTCCGTGGGAGTTCCTCTATTGTGTTGTGACGCGTCTCTTGTGACTTTAGTCTTTTTTTCTTGTTATTGTGTAAAAGAAATCACGGATATTGATGGAAAATAAATTAAGCAATTCGCATTGAGATGATTGCACTAATGCCCCAATTATCATTCAAATGCTAAATCCCCGTTTTTGGTGCGGAAAAATCTGCGTAAATAGTGTCGCAACGCCCTCGAGATCATCTTCGCCCCCAAGGCTGGATTGCTGGGATCTATCTGGGATTCAAGGGCGCCTCGGGAGGGACTTTGTCGCCTCTCGCGCCACCCGGCAGAGCGGGGCGCGCTTATCGCATCTCTGCGAGAGGGAATGTGTGGGTTATCGACAAGGGGGCCCAATACGGAAAAAGTGGAACACACCACTGAAATACAATGTTCAGAAGCCACGACGCGGGTCAGCGGCGAGTGTCAAGCAAATGAACTCCGCATCTGGAGCCGCGCGAAGAGAGAGGCGCGTTTTCTGCTAATCACACTTTTGTGTGTGTATCTATCTGGCACAATGAGGAAGTGACACTCACCTCTCCTCCTCGGTGAACACCGGCGGCCCCTTGTGCTTGGCAATCTCCGCGTCCGTGTGCACGCCCACGACCAGGATGTCACCCAGTGCCTTGGCCTGGCGCAGGGCGTTCGCGTGGCCAAAGTGCACCATGTCGTAGCTGCAACGGAAGGTGTATTTCCCAAGAGTTTACACATTGCATCAGAGCCCATCAGCTGATTCATCGCCACTCGCGTGACATTGAGGAAAATGTAGTTGGCAGAGAAAAAATTCCACTCACCATCCATCGCACCAGACCCGCACCCTTCGTCCTTCCTTCGGGCTCTCGCTCATTTTCCGGCTGCTGCCTTTTCACGCCCACAAAAACTGTTCACTCAGCACAGCGGATGACTCGCAGCCTAATAAAATCGCACGGGTATCAAAGTAGATTGGCGGCAGAGAATAGTGTTGGTAGAAAAAGAAAAGCGTTCCACGGGAAAAATGTGCCTTCTCTGGCGTGATCGATCAGCTCGGCGAATAAAAGTCAAATGACTCCGGCTGCCTCGATTTGCGGGGAATTATACCGACACCTTGATGCGTCTATCCGCCACCAGAGGCACCTCGCTAGCAGCGGAGAAAACCACGCGGGCTCGAATTTATAGAATTATCTCCATAAATCCGCATTGTCATGTCCCACATACTCGTGGAAATGATGCAAGGATAACCACTGCAGTTAGATGGGTATGAAAAAATCTCTAAAACTACGTATTTCTCTCAATTCCCTCTAATTCAGGCGCACTTCTTCTGACTTTTCCGCAAGGTGTCGCAGTCGCCCATCGAGAAGAACTCCAGGGCCGTGGACGCATCCGTAGACTCAACGGACAACTCTATCAATTCAACCGTGTTTGATTATTTTCTGTCTATTCATGATTCTACATCACATTTGCTACCAGTCTCTCATTGTAGCCACTTGTTAGTGTCCTCCCTTCGGCAGTGTGCTATAGACATCATCCTCAGTGAGGAGTTGTGTGTAATTTTACCTTCGACAATCCACCTGTGACTCTCAGAATGCCATCCGAAAGTGTGCGGCGGCGAAAGGTAAACAGAAATTGCAGTAAATCTCGTGTTTTCCGGCTTGAGCAAATATCGGTGAAACTGTGCGACCTCCACGGGGCTTGTTTGCGCAAATTTCACGAGGGGGATTCAAGTGGATTTTCCTGGGATTTTCATTGCCAGAAACTCAGGCCGTCTTCATATCTGGTGTCTCGCCCAATTACTCATTCAATCTCTTCAATTACATCACAATTATTTCTTCTAATTATATCGATACTTCCTCGATCTCAATTGTCGGCAAGGCCAGTGTTTTTTGGGCAAGCACGACGTTGAGAAAGCGTCGCGTCGACGATTTGATGGATTTGATGTGGTGGTGGGAGGTGTTTTGATATCAAACGGAAGGAGTTGTGTGGTGGTGTGCGTGGGACGAGCTTTCAACTTGACGTTTCTAGAAAAAATTTGTAGCGTGAAAAGTCGTCCAGAGGGGCGGAAATGGTCTCTTTTGACTCCGCAGAGTCTCTGGAGAGGCCCCTTGACCACCACCAGTGAACCCAAAGTGGGGAAATGGGCGAGAACTACAAGTACACGCTGCTCGAGGAGGTGCACATGCTCGATCCGCCTGACCAACACCCAGCCAAAGAGTCTCCTGACGAGGTTTTCTCCCTTTTCTGCTCATTTGCAGCTGGCGAACGATGGTGAGAAGCCGTTGCCACGTCGGAAAGCCAGCAAGCAGCAGAATGATCTGCAATTCTCCTTCATTTGCCTCCTGCTGTGCGTCATCATTCTCACGGTCTTCCTGGGAATGTACACGGACTCCTTCCATCCCATCATCGACGGGATCGCCGTGCAGCTGGGCTACCAGGAGAAGCAATTCGCCGTGATCCTCGATGCTGGCTCCACGGGCAGCCGCGTGCTGGCGTATGAGTTCCACAAAGGATACCTGGGTAATGAGCGCCTCTCGAGGCGACAACCAGATAAGGCGTCGTCATCTAACCATATTGTCTCTCCACACAGACGGCAGATTAGTGTTAGACAATGAGTTGTTTAAGCAACTCAAACCGGGCTTATCGGCCTTTGCAGAGAAGCCAAATGAGGTACTTTTGCCACCCGCCTATCACATTGACCCTTGACTGACAGTTTTCTGGGTATTCTGACCTCACTTAGGGCGCCCAGCAGATCGAGAAATTGCTGCAAGAGGCGAAGAATGTCATACCGCAGACTTACTGGGCCACAACTCCGGTCGTGCTGAAAGCCACAGCGGGTCTCCGGTTGCTGGATCCCGCGAAGGCCGATGGACTGCTGAAAGCCGTGCGCAAGATGTTCAGCAAGTCCGGCTTCCTGATTGAGGACAACGCCGTGGAGATTATGGAGGGTGTGGATGAGGGAATCTTCTCATGGTTCACGGTGAACTTCCTGCTGGGTCGATTGAATGGGAAGAACACCGTGGCGGCGCTGGATCTCGGCGGCGGCAGCACTCAGGCCACCTTCGCGCCCAAAGATCTCTCGCAGAACATCTACGACGGCTACATCCACACCGTACCCACGGCGGCGGATCACGTGCAGGTCTTCACGCACAGCTACCTGAATCTTGGCCTGCACGCAGTGCGTCACGCCGTCTTCATGAGCGGACAGCCGGAGAATCAGACCAGCATCGAGAGCGAGTGCGTGAATCCGATTGTGCACAGCAAACTCTTCCGCTACGCGAACAAGGAGTTCCTCATCAGCGGCCGGGACAACAAGAAGTCCACGGCGGACAATCCGGAGGTGGACTTCGAGGCGTGCCTCGAGAATGTCAAGAGCAAAGTTGTGCCACTGGTGAAACCGAAGCCCGTGACTCTGAAGCAGCATCAAATAGCGGCCTTCAGTTACTACTTTGAGCGCGCCATCGAGACAGGATTGGTTGGTGAGTGAAGACTTCTTTCCTCACTAGTTCTTTGCTCTCGTTTTTCCAATCAATTTGTTCCGCTCAATTCACACGTAATTGATTGCAATTTGTCGTAATCGCGGGAAGCACCTTGATTTTGAGTGTTTTGAGTCCATAACTCATAATTTTTGTCACAGTCATGCACGGCTTATCAGACAGCGAAGCGATAAGGGAGCTTAATTGAAAGCGATAGTGATAATACTCGTTGAAATTATGCTTCTTTATCTCTCACAGCAAACAAAAGGAATTTTTATACTGAAACTAATTCATCTTCTTGACCTTTGCAGATCCAAATCTGGGTGGTGAGATAAAAGTGGGCGATTTTTACACCAAAGCACGGGAAGTGTGTGCAATTCCCAATACAGATCAGCCCTTCATGTGTCTCGATCTCACATTCATCTCAGTCCTGCTGCAGGACGGCTTTGGGCTGAAGCCTCAGGCGCAAATTAAGCTGTACAAGAAGATAGACAACCACGAAATTTCATGGGCACTCGGCTGTGCCTACAACATCCTGTCCAAGCGGACAACGACTAAACAATGAGACGAAATGATTCCCAGGGATAAAAGGAGATTGCCCAAAACGGGGCGTCTTTCATATCAACTCTTTCAAGGGCTTTAAAGACTAAAACAAACGAAACGTAGCGAGTATGAAACTGAGAGAAAAAAAGGGACAGAAATAGCAGTTAGTTGAGGAAGTGGAAGAAGAGTGCCTTAAGAAGTCCTTTTATAATCTGTTCTTATTTGCCACAAAAAAAACCCACAAAATGATGAAAATTGCCAGAATAATTGTTAATTTTGTAGACAAATTTAAACATTCCCTTTCCCCTTGCGCGGTCTTTTAGTCAAGATAATGTTTATTTCGAGAGATGGAAATAGTGGGAGATAAAACCGGGAACAGACTTTTTAACACCATAGTTGATAAACAGAAAATTTCCATTGTCATTTTTTTTGTTGAGATAAGGAGAAAATTTATAGTAAGAAGGGTAATTTAGAAACACGTTTTGTATGCAAATTGAAATTGTGGAGAGGAAGAAGAGTCAAAGGATAATCAGATGAAACCAAACTCACCTAGAAACACTCACCTTTGAGGAAAGTTATAAATGTTTAAGGATATTCACAGAGAATTGCGTGTGTTTTTTCTCAAGTATAAAGTAAATCTGTAGAGAAATGTGAAGTTTATTGGGGGAGAAAAAGTGGTTGTAATTACTATACTTGTGGTGAGGGACGATGTAAAATTAGGTATATATATTTTCTGATTTAACTAAAAGAGACAAAAAGTTCAGCACAACGTTTTCCCACCTCTTTCATCAAAATCACACTTTTATCAAAGCCACACTTTGGCGCAGAAGAAATATACCTCAAGAATATTTCATTGTGTAACACTAAGAGTAAGTTTATTCAGCTGATTCAGGTCATGAAAGGAAAACAGGGAAATTATTCATACTTTTTGCCCACACAACACAAGAGAAAATGTTACCAAATTTTATCGTCTCGAGAGCGCTTTCTGTGAAGTGATTTTGCACACGTCCATGTTGATGATTTCTAATTGTTGCAAATGTTTTTTGTGAATAAAGTGATGAAGACTAAGCACTAGCCCACGATACTTGTGGCCCCGCGCAGAGCCAGATATCCGGAAGTGAGATCCATCGGCAGACTCCGCACGGTGGTGAACTCCTCTGCGTTGTGGTAGTTGAGCTTCGTCTGTGGATCAGTGTACAGTGCGATGAGTCCGGAGACGTCAGAGTACTTCTTCACGGGCCTGAAGGACGGCGGTGGGTTGATGGAGGAGTCTGGCGAAAGAGAAGCTGCTGAGATTCACGGGTGGAAGAGCATCCGGAAGCCACTTACATGTCACAGCGTCTTTCCACTGCAGATTTCTCTCGCTGGTCAGGAGTTGTTTCAGGGATTTCCACATTCGCTTCTTGCTGCCCACAGTCTTGGGCGTCAAGGAGGACTTTTTGAACTTTGGCTGTGGCGTTTCCTGCATCGTTTTCACCACAAATTTCCAAGAAAACACTGCTTGTTGTTGTTTTGACAGCACTTTCCTAACCTCAAACTTTCACTGAGCGCATTTGCTCAGTTTAAATCCTCTCCGCACAAAAGCGCGACGAAAGCGAGCAATAAAACACCAAGAAGCTTTTTGATAATGGGATCTTTTAAATTAATTAAATATATAACAATATCTTGTCTCTGCGGATTAATTTCACATTATACACATATAGAAAATAATAAATGTAGCCTTCGACAATGTCTAACAATCAAAAGATGTACATAAACAAAAAATAATAAATAACAAAATAAACTATTAATCTTTCATATATAAAGTCCTCTTTTTCTTAGTAACTATCGGTATTAGCTCTGCTCTTTGTTACATTTAAACACTCTCCCTCTATTCGTCTCCACTATTTCTCTATAGAGCATAAGTGAAATTGATTCTACATCAACAATTTGATTAATTTTCATTGACTATTTTTTTTTCTTCTTCTCCTCCATCAAATTCTCCTTCGCGCCACTACTTTGCGAGTTTTAATCTTCATCGGTCTTCGCATCCAGAAAAACTCTCTTATGTTGTCAGCGTGCAAGAGTAAACAACGATTAATACAATACTTCTTTAGGAAAAAATATACTCTTCTCTTCACAATCCACTAAATTTCATTCCTAAATATTGAATAATTTTGTTCAGTATTTTGCTGTTCATTATTTTTCTTTAATCATGTTCCTTCATCATGTGAAGAAAACTCATTTCGCGCTGATTTAGTGCCAAATTCATCTGCTATCACATTAATTCTTATTTATTCTTGGTGTTCATATAGTTAAAAATGTATTTTGTGGCTAGCAAAAGAAAGAAAAAAACAATAACAAAATCGTATAAAACGTGTGATTAGCTCGAATATTTGCACATTGGTTTCTGCTGTTCTCTTACAATTTATATTTATTATTATTTTAATATTAGTTTGTGGAAAGAGGAAAAAGGGAAAAGAGAATTTCAGAACATTCTTTGGTTCGACACGTACCATCAACACTTACCATTGACTTGTTTTACTAATGTTTTTGCACACTTAAATATTCCTAAACATCTCTCCTCTTTCTCTTACACCACATTTAATATAATTTCACTCCATCGAGGATTTACAGTTCAAGTGTGTGAGGAAGAAGGAAAGAAAGAGAAACTCCTCAAATCTCATAAAAGGTAGGAAATAAAGCTGTTATCTTACAAAAGAAAAAGAAAAGAAAAGAAAAAATACAGGGCAATATAGAAAGACAATAAATATTTCATCTACCTCGTTTTCTACGTATAAATATTATTATTAATATTTCATTAATTTAAATCAAGGCACAAAAGTAAGTAGGTATGCTTTCAGTGTAAATTTAAAAATCTCTTTCACTATTTTTTTCTTCATATTACAACACCTTCTTACTTCTTTTTCTTCTGCTTCTTCTATTTTTTTTTTCGAATAACCCTGTCATTATTATTTTATCAATACACACATATTTTTTCCTTTTTTTTGTATTAATGAAGGGAATAATTCATGTAATTCCAAAAATAGATTTGATTCAAAGCGTCAATCGATAATACCTTACATATATCTCAAGTATTGTCTAAAATAAATTAATAGTGACTTTTTCTAATACAAATAATATCTTAGGTTACAGCACAAAAGATAAAACCATTTTTAAGTTACTGTGAAAATAACACTTTGTGTGTATAAAAAATATTTTCTATCATTTCTCGTGTCACTTTTAGCAAAACACGATAAAATGACATTCTTTCTTCATCTGTTATAAAATTAAGTAAAAATTCAAAACACTTTGTTTCTTTTTTATATATTGCAATTATCCAGGTAATATTCAAAGCAGCAAAATAAAAATTTTGAATAAAAAATACACTCTTTCTCTCTTCATTTTACCTAAATATTTCTTTCCACCCTAAATATTTATCTGAAAATTTATCATCAATGAATTTTATCTCTTGAAAATTCTTCTTCCTTTCTCCTTTTATATCAATCCTAGAAAATTTTCCCATTTCTAGACACGCTCGTAGAACAAGAGATAGGCACTGGAGGAAATTAGGCTGCTTTCGGTTGCATCTCTGACACTGAAATAACAGAAAATCTCCAATTAGATCACATTGTCTTGTGACAATTTGTAGTGTTTTACTCACGTATTGTCATCAAATTCGTGCCATTTTCCCGTCTGCGGGTGTTTGCAGAGAGCCACATAGTGTCCACCGCCAGTGGAGCCTACAGAGCCGAAAGACAAACAGACGAGAAGTCAAGATAAAGTGCTTGGTCAGGTGCCACTGGCGAACAGATAAACTCACCCATGTGATTGGAGATTGCGTAGAGGGAATAGAGAGTCGATGAGTAGTTGCTAGTGGAAGCGTATGGTGTCAAATTGAGCTCCTTCTCGCCCGTCGGAAATTCAATGATGTTCGTCAATTTGCTCCAGCGCGTCTCTGAGAATCTCTTCAGATGTATCACAAGATACTTGGGGAAACGCTGAATGGTGAAGCTCTTCGTGCTCTTGCGACGTGTCTGACATTTTGAGCATGTTGGCATCTCATCCCCATCGAGAATCTCCTCGCGAATGAACAACTCCAGACAATTCTCCAGCTTGCTGCGCGTAGATGACGCCGGCAGCGGAAGACTGAGATCCCAGAAGGGATCGAAAGTCACACTGGTGTTGCCGCACACGGTGCACTTGAGTGTACTCTTCAGTTGACCCACAAACAGATCCTTCACCATGCTCTTCTCCGTCTTGCTGTACCACTCCCACATGAGATCCGCCTTGCGACTGTCATTCAGATTGTCCGCCAGCTGCAAGCCCTCCGTCTTTGTGCCCTCATTCAGTGCACTGTGCAGACTGTCCAGGAAGAAGCGCAGAAACTCCTGGGCATCCTGCTGTGCACACCCACTGTACATGCGATGCTTGCTGGAGAAGGCAGACTTCAGGTCACTGGGAGTCACACTGCGCGTTCCCGAGCTCCACATCTCCTTGATCAACTTCACGAACTCACTGAAGATCCGCTGATCCTTCGTCACGGACTTCGGATCGCGCTGACCCTTGAGGAACGTCGTGAGATCATTCGTGTGACTCAAACATTGAATCACAGAGTTCATAAAGCACGTATTCCCGATGTTTCTCAGGCCACAGAGTCCTGAAAGAGACAAGGAAGCAGTTAGAAATGAGCAATCTTGACATTCAGTCCGCCTTTTCCTCACCTTCTCCACTGTCTGTGGTCAATTTGTCGTACGTATCCTTCAGGATGGACGAAGTGGATAGTGTGGAGGAGCTCTTGTAGTCGCTATCATAGATGTCACGATATCTCGATCGATCCCATGATCGCACAGGCGAAACAGGTGGCAAAGCACTGCGGAGGCTTGTGGAGCGAATCTATCAGAGACAGAAAGAAGTCCTAATTAATTACAACTCAAAAAAAAACTCCTTCTTATTCCCAAAATTCATCACACATTCTCGTGGCCGAATAGGAAAGAAAATTCCCCCTCTCACAAATTTATGAGAATTTCCTCCCTCGTAACTTTCATCTCTAAAATGAAATAAAGAACATTACATAAAAAAAAAGCGACATATAAAAATGCGCCACATGTGAAAAAATTTCTCTGCTCGTGAATGAAGAAAACGAAAATGTCGCATTTGTATAACTCTTTCCTTCTTCGTCTCTTTGCGCTTCTCATCAGCCAAAATATCATGTTCATATGTACATAAGAAATATAGTACAAATTTTCCTCTGAATGTGAATGTGTGGCAAAAAGAGAATGAGAATAAAAATGACTTTTATGATTCTCGAAATAAACTCTTGTGCGACTCAAAATCACACACTCCTCTCTTCTCACTCTTCCATCCTTGACACTATTTGAGGTATTTTCGTGTGAATTCCTCCGCGATGTCGTCTCATCTCTTAATCTTCAATTGAGAGTTTATTGGACTCTTCGTGAGATACCTTTGGACACAATTCATGCTCAACATCCTCGTGTGACGCGAGCAAAAATAGAGGCGAATGTTATCAATTCGCGCGCCGAACAACACAAGAATATTTCCCGGCTTTTTTTCCCCAGGAACACAAAAGACACTTTTTATAGCCGCTTTGTCTGTATGTGACTCATCTCTATTGTACATCAATTTGACACTATTTATCCGTCAATGTCATCGCGCATTTTCAATTTAAAAAAAAAAACCTTTTCCAAAGATATCTCTCAAAAAAACAGTCCCGCCAGTCATATTGAAAGACTTTCAATGATCCTTTTTTCTCATTCATTAATAAAGAAAATAAAAACCCAATAGTAATAATAATAACATCATAAAAATATGTGTTGAACAAAATACAAAGAAAACTGCGATTAACCAATTAGTTCTTTTAGGAGACAAACCAAAAATGATAATAAAAAAAAAACGTCAATCGCTTAAGCGGGAAGGCAGAGCGCTGTGGAAAAGTCGGTTTCGTCAATTTGCTTTCTTTTCTTTTTAGTTTCGGATTAAGAAGCTCAACTTACACTGCCATTGACCTCGAGGACATTCCCAGTTATCTTATCATTTGGCGGCTCTGACGATGCACTCCTGGCGCCCTTGTCTTGCTCATCTGAGGCCTTTCTGAAGCCCCCGCGCGTGCTGAGTGTACTGTATGTGGCGGCGGGTGAGTGATCTGTTCGCCTCCCGGCGAACGGGAGGGTGGCATTGCCACTGGACAGTGTGGCGATCTTCTGTGTGATCTTCTGATACTCACTCTCATCGCTATCGATGAACTTGATGTCATCTGAACTGTCCGAGGGACTCTTGCTGACCTCCTCCTCCGGATTGAGTGGCTTATAGGCCTTCAGGATGGTGTTTCGGATCTCCTCCAGTTCAGACTTGTTGCCATTCTCCGTTATTTGCAGCCGTCCGCGGAATTTTGTGTGCACGAGGGGTTTTTGCGTGTCAGCGCGCGTGGCCAGGCGATTCCCGGTGACCAGGAGTGTCGGCATTTCGTTGTTGTTGGCCTCCGGATCGGAACTCCTCACCACCTGACTCCGCGCCAGGTCGCACTCGGGCTTGAGGAAGTTCTGATCGCGGTACGTGCTGCCGAAGATGATCCTCTGGCGCTTACCGGACGCCGGGCCCGCGAAAGTGTCCGGTGTTGTGGACTTTGTCGTGTTAGTAGTGGAAAGCATCTCAGTATTGTTATTACATGTGGCCGCGTTGGGTGAATTTGTCGGGTGTTGGTGGTTGGGGGACACACTGACTCTTACCTTGCTCACTGTGGACGCCCCACCAGGAGCCCCCTGCGCCTGCTGACCACCCGACAGCGCGCCATGCGCCTCCACACCGTCCACCTCCGTGGCGGGTGTTTCATGGCCGTTCTTGGCCGATGTCGGGGTAAATTTACTGGCCTCCGACAGTGATCTGGAACGTGACAATTCACATTTTGGTATATAGTATGCCGGGCTATATTTCTCATATAGATCGGCACCGGATGTGGCGAGACTGCGTGCAAGCGATGATTCACTGTCACGTGTACGACTGTCTGTGGAGCGCAAACGACCACCCGACGATGATGTGGATGATGAAGGATCTCTATCGCAACTCGCTCGGGTCTTGCTACTTACTCCAAATCTCGCATTGGAGCTGAGGATGCTACTCCGGCTCGGTGAATCATTAGTGCGGTGGTACAGCGATGTCGTGGAGCTCGAGCTCACACTGGTCAGGGGCGATCGGTAGCGACTGAGGTAGCTATCGCCCAGGGAGGAGCTGTAACCACTGCTTCCGGACAGCCGACTCTTGCTGGCCGACAAGGTGGAGCTGTACGATCCAACAGACGGTGGCAAGCACGACGTACCCGAGCTGCGAGTCGATATCATCGGCATATTAGCTGCCAGCTGGCCCACGAGCCTCCCCTTCTGGACGCGTCGAGTGACCAGGGAACCTTTCCAAATCTCTCCTCCGCCGAGTCCTCCTCACGTGACCTTGTCCGCAGCGCTCTTTCCGGGGCACCAGCTGCGCTGCAACGGAGAATTCAGCCATGAGAATATCATTACAGATGCGTCACCCACTTCCCCTGGCCGCCGCCAAGGTGTCCCTCATGTGCCGTCCAAGGCTGCGGCCGAGGCAGGAAAAAATCAAGGTCAGATTGAGGTTATAATCGCCCTCCGTCTCGGGAAAACACCCCCCGCGACAGGGCCCTCGCGCCCACCTCGGCGCTATCGATCAAACACCTCCGGAGAGACGGACTGTGATATTAATATGCCGTCAAATTCCAATAATAGCCACAACCAAGTGCAGAGCGAGTGAAATTCACGGCTCTCTCTCCGGACTTGTAGGCACACTTTCGTGCTCCATTTTCCCCACAACGCGCACTTGCCCTTCCCCAAATTCCACCACGACGCCCTCGCGACAGCTGCCACGCACATTTTCTTACCTCCTTTGTGCAGAAACAACCTCTGCAGTTCACTGAAATTTGCACTTTTTCACGGATTTCGCCTGTTCAGCCCGATCGTCCATATTTTTTCACACCGAAACTCTCGGAAAATTGCGACACTCTCACCTCCTCACGTCGCTGCAGAGCCATCTCGCGGCGCTTTTGCCCGCGATGTGGGTTGAAATGCTGGGCACTTGACAGACTGCTCGACATCCGCACTCTGAGAGAGCAATATCGCCATGCATGAATGCTGGGGTTGTGAAGCAGAAAATGATAAATCAGTCTTCAGTTAATCGCATTTTATGTTTATTAATGTTTCTCCTTTGCTGTTATCACCACCAGAGTGTGATTTGGTAGGTAAAATCAAATTAAGAGAAAAATACAGCTCATTTCTCGTCTACAAACTTAAAGGACAATTGGAAATATCCTAATAATGGGTTGTTTTCTGCCTTTTCTGCGCTTTTATCATCGTAGAAAAAACAAGACATCTGGGAATGTCATTGATATTCTGTTCAACACTATAATTTTGTTTAACTTTTCTTTCTTTTTTTGGAAAATATTCTTTCTGTCTTTTCTATCTCGTTTTTTCTCCGATCGCAAATGCATTTTTATATGTCATAAAGTGTTTAGGCTCAAATTCGAATACAATTTCTTCTCTTCCCTCTTCGTGAAGCATGATTTTCTCATCTCACTTGCATAAATAGTACTATTATAATGTTATTACAAAGAAAAAGCTGTGGAAAATGACCGTGATCTCATCTCCATTGAAGACAAAAATACTCTCTTTTTTTCTCCATGATTTATCATTATACTTTTCCTCACTTTTTCTCCCTCCATTTTTTTTCTCTGCATATTATCACAAACATTAAGAAAAATTTATTCAAAAATGAAGAAAAGCTCCAATGCGCGAACAGTGAAAATGAGGCGTGACATTAAAATTAATACAAAAAGACTTGCTTCTTTCTCTCTCTATCGAAAAATGGTCAATTTGAATGGAAAAGTGAGATTTTTTTTCTTCTCCTCTTTCTCTCATTACAGAAGAACCTATTTCTCTCATTAATTGCTATTAAATTGTTTTTTTTCTTCTTTTAAATGAAATTAGTCTTCAACTTCACATCTCTATTTATTAATTACAATTAGTCGTTTGCATAAAGAATTGTGTGATAAAAACATTATTAAAGAACGTCTTGGGGACAAATTGAACAAAGATGATTTATGTATAAAAAAATCCCTAAATTAAATTATAAAAATTAGCGAAGTTTAAGTGGCGAGTATTCTTTTCTTTCGCAAAAATCATCATTTCATCCTATTCTCCTTTCTCACACACTACAGCATTTGTCCTCTGCACAGGACGATTCTTTGAGCTCACCAAAGTCAATTATATATATATAATAATCTGTGTTCTCGCGCTCACGAGACAATTCATCATAAATATATATTTTATCATTTTGTTAAAATGTCTTTCAAAAGATGCTTTTCTTTGATTATTAATTTTACATTGTCCTTCAACACTGGTGTCTCTGTTATTATTCTCATGTGCTTGCTTTCGTCAGTAGCATTTTCTTTATCCTTAAATATCCCTACCTCAATTGAAATACATATAATAATCCTCATTAGTCAGTATATAATCAACATTATTAGCAACAGGAATTTGTGTATGTTTCTTTCTTTCTTCTTTTCTCACAATATTTTTTCTCCCTCTCACACACTCCTCATCAGCAGCAGCAGCAGAGAGAGAGAGAGAAAGGAATTCAGTAAAACAGAGTTCAGTAGTAAAAATTTAGAGAGACGAACTCCAGTGCCGTCAAGTGATCTTCTCTAGCGCCGATTAGGGCTGACATTGTGCGAGATGAGTTCCTCCTTCATCAGCTTTCCTCGGAACTCAATCATCAGATCCTTGCAGGCGGTCGAAATGTCTGCCACCTTCGTGAAGATCTCCTCGCCTCGCTTGCAATAGGCTGCAGAGAGAGAGAAAATGTTATTGTAGTTTAACAATGAACCTCTTTTGTTTGCCCAAAAGCCACTCACCATCCTGATCATAATCCACCGTGTTGGCCAGAGCAAAGAGATCCTGAATCTCCCCATGATAATTCTCCAAGCACTCAATCATCGCTCGGTGCTGCTCATGAAGCAACTCCTCAGTGTGCTGAAGGTCCGAGATTGCAGCATGCTGATTGAAGAGCTCAACAGACATATCGTGATCCTGACGGACAAAATTCACGACAATATGTCAGTAATGTGGCATAGTGAGAGAGGAGAAAATCAATTTAATACTCACGCTGAGCGATCGCAGCTGTGCCAGATCATTGCTCCCATTTGACTGTCCATTCTTGTTCTCATCAGGCACAATGTCCATCTCACCGGCTCCGGTGTCCTTCACCACCAACTCCTTCACGCGATCCGCATAGCGCAGTGTGTTGAGCGTGTGTTCGCACGAGCTCAGTCCGGGCGATATCATGGCGATCATGCAAGTCTTGCTCTTCTCCCCAATAAACGAATCGCGCAGCACTTGCGTGAGTTTGCTCACGCGGAAAGGCAAGTGGGCACTCTGCTTGCCCAGCGCCCTGATGCACTCCTTCAGCGCCAGCAGGGACTTGTTGATCTCCGCACCCTCCATGCGCGTCTGCCGATTGGCCGACGACGTATCAGCACCGCGCTCATTGCCGGCCAAATCAATGAAGGAGAACTTCCCGTGGATCTTGCTCGCTCCTGGCGGCCTCAAGACGATCTGGAACACTGCGTGTGATCGTGAGGAATTGGAATTTGCAGCTGTCTGACCAGCTGTCCGGGCACTGTTGCCATGCTGGATGAGCTTCAACACCTGATCCACACCATCCACCACTTTCTCCGTGAGTCCCACAACCTGCACTTGCTGCTTGCCATCCTCCAGTACTCGCAAGCGCTCCTTGTTCGCCAGCAGATCGAATACCTGACAAAAGAGAGAGAGAACATTTATAGTGACCGAAAGTGTGAGGAAAAGATGGACAGAACATACTTTTCCACTGTATATTTCGAAGAAGCTGGCCGAAACAACTAGTCGCAGGTGACTGTATCGCGGGCTCTTCAGATAGTTGAAGACATCCTTAGCTGCCATCGCGTAGATGCCATTCTTGCAGTCTTGCACCTTTCCGCTGGCATTGAACTCACCGCCCATCGTGTGCGTCTTCCCTGACCCGGTCTGTCCATAGGCAAAGCATGTGGCCATGCCACCCTCAAAGATGGTCTGCACAAGCGGTTTTGCTGTATACTTGTACACAAGCTCATTGTTGCACTTGTCATCAAATGCATAGTCAAAGCGGAACTTGTGATTCTCAAGGAACTTGGTGAGATCCACCTTTGTTTTGGGTTCATGGACAATCATTTGATCTTTCACAGGCACAGTAATCACATCGAGCTCCTTCTTCGCCAGCTCCTTCTTATTCAGCGGCCTCTTTCGCACGCACACAGTGATCTGGTGGTCCTCAATCGCCTGGCCATCGTGAATTGGATTGAAATTGATTGTACTCTGATATTCACGAATCATTGCGGCCGATTCCCAATTGGGATTGCCCGGATCCATGTTCATCAGAGCCGTCTTCTCCTCCTTGAGCTCCGCCTGACGCGCTCGTCGCTTCTCACGATTCTCCTTCAGCTTCTCCACCTCTTTCACCACATAAGACAGTCGTTGCGAGCCAGCCGTGGATGTCGATGACACAGGCACCGGCACTGATGTTGACACCGTGGACATCCTCGTCGTCTGGCCACCAGCCCGTGTTACTCTAGTCCCACTTTGCTGCTGTTGAGCCGGCGGCAGGTTTTCCACTTGCTCAGCCTGTCCGTTCTGCTGGCCGTGATGCGCTGTCGCTGATGAGGACCTCGTTTGTCTCTTGTTGCGCTCTGGAAAAAAACACAGAAAAGGAAGTTTCATATAAGAACTTGGCACAATATTATTATTATTATTCTCATAATGACTTCTTTCTTCTCGCCACATTTTATTAAGAGACATAGAGAAAGAAGAGAGTGAGAGAGAGATGAGAGTTGAAAGCTTTTACGTGATTGATTGCTTCTATGGTTTATCCACTCAATCAACAAACCCACACGAAAGAATCATGTAGATTAACAACACTCACAGAAAACCAAAATTAATTGTGTACTTACAATAATGACTCAATGGGAGATCATCATTGCCATTTTATCGATTTGAAATCCCAAGTAATTTGCTCAAATTGCATGATACTTCAAACTTAAAGTGTAATTATAAATAAAAAACAACAACTCTCGCATGATGAAATGCACCGTAAAATCTCCTTTCACATCACAACTGACAACACAAAAATTGATAAATTGAATTTTGAGGAGAGATTTTGCATCAACGGAACACACTTCATTCACGCTGGACTGACGAAGAGAATATATTCATCGTGCACCCATAAATTGATGGCGAAAGCATTCAAGTGCATTTTTCATCCTGTCTCGTCGTCCGCGCGAGAGAGAAAACTCAACAAAGGGAATTTTCTCTCAATATCAACTCTTATTCACTCCCTTCAGATTATGAATAATGGAAGTTCAACTTTTTGATCATGTCACACACTTAAGAAGTTCGAGAGAAAAAAAACCCTCACCTTTCACTTGATAGTGACAGAATGGGAATAAAAGTGAAAATCTCATAAATAATTTATAGAAGAATTCCTTTTCTTCCTTCCTTTCCTTCCTCGTCACTGCTAATTTTAACTTCAACACAATGGAAAATGACACGGAGACACTGACATTCAGTTGTGTCTGATTTTCACTCTCACCTCAGACTAATTTTTCACAATATTTTCATTCTCCTTCAACCTTGTCCAGTCATTTTCTCTCTCTCTCTCTCTCCCTTTCGCTTGTTCACTTCCCCGTCGAAGGGTGAGGAAGAGATATTAAAAAATAATTTGTGTACTTTACGAGGTGACCGTGGAAACAGAAAATTGTCCAGCAATCACAAAACACCCCCAAAGCACGAGCAAGAAAGAGAGAGAGAGCAAAATATTGTGGGTGGACTGTATTGAGGCAAGTGTGACAGGTGAACACAGAACTGCTCATAATAACTATAAATATATACCATCCACTTTTCCATGGATAATTGCAGTCAATACAGTATAATATGTATATTGTAAAAGGGAAAATTACCAACTCGATGCGATTCATTGGACAGATTACTATTCCTAATGTGTGACGTCAAGGAAAATTTTCCTATTTACTCTCTTCCTCCTCTCCCTCTTTTTTCCAACAACCCCGCGCGCACACAGTAAAGAAATTGAGGCGAACTTATTGATTGATTGAGTCCTGCATTGTAAAGTTACATTATTGTTCAATGTGAGAAAGGAAACTCTCACTCTCAAAATCATTGTTATCAACAAAAACATGCCGTGAAGGAAGAAAATCAATTATTAGAGAGAACCTATTTTTAGGTTCTGCTCAAATCCATATCCGCCTCACTTCTTCCCACCCAAAACAGGCAGAGAAAAGGGTGAAAATTGTAAGGAGAAAGGTTAATCAACTCCCGATGATATTCCAACTGTAATTTCCTCAAACCATCCTGAAATTCTCATTCAAAATTCTACGCCAGTCTCGACCGGGTGTTCTTCTTCTTCCACCACTTCTTCTTCGGGCATTTATACAAATTATCGATTTTTCTCTACCATAATCCCCCATCTATTAATACATATTAAACACTTTGTAGCATTCAGTGTCAAGAATTACCAATTAAAATGCCCACTTTCTCACACCTTCTCTCCCATCATCACACATTCCATTAATCCCATAGCGTTCTCTCACTCTCAATTTCTCCCCCTCATCAAGTGTGTGGCCAAAGCCAATCCCTCTCTCTCCCCCAATGTTAATTGATCATGAAACATTGCTTTTATGATTATTACCGTGAATATTATTGCTAATTCCTAATCGAATTGCGCCCTGTGTGGCATTCTGAAAGAGAAAGGAGAATAAAATATCATTAGAAATCGTCAAATAGACACACAGATAATCTAATTAATAGATACAAAAAAAAAACTCCATCACTTCACCAATCATGCTTTCAACCAACAAAATCATGTATACAAAAGAATTTTACACCAATTTAAATTGTGGAATATAAAAACATCTGGAGTAAAGAAACTGTGCATTGTGCTATACATTTTTTGAGGTGGTCTTGAAAATGTGTTTTTCTTTCTCTTCTTCTCTTTTCACTCTGTTGTCTGTCTCCAGAGGAAAATATCACTCCTAATACCATATGTGTTTGTGTGTGTGTGTTTTTCTTCTTCTTCAAACTTCATCTTCTTGTACAAAAATCAAACCAAAAAAAAAGACAGAACCCTCGAGGAAAAGTCTACAATCTCTCTCCCTTTAAAAAGAAGAAGAACAACGAAAAACAAATAAATCTTCCTTTTTCGTGTGTAGAGGTATATTTGTTTCGACAGAAAAACAACTCGTGTGTGCTTTTTGCAAAAGCGTAAATAAATAAAATGCTGCAAAATACCACAGAGATGATAGAACACCGTGTAGAATAGGCAAAATAAAAAAAAAAATTATAGAGAGGCTAAAACGCAAGAGAGAAACGACAATTTACAGAAGACAAGAGAGACAAATATACAGCAAATGATTATGTTAAATGTACCGATTTATTTCCGGCTACCGGAGTCCGAATAGACAGTGTTCCCCCGGTTGGAACAGAATTGCTCCCATGATTCTGTTGCACAGCACAATTTTCCTCTTCATCCGCCTCATTTGGGAAAACATCATCTTCGACAGATGAATGTGATGATTCCTTTCAAGATCACAAAATCAAAACCACACTTGTAAATTCTTCACGCTATAATTCTCACATCTTTCTTTTACTGTGTCATTTTCGCTGTAACACAAATGGTTTAGAGAAATCAAATCCCCAAAAAAACAACAAACTTACCTCAGGAAATGCGACAAACAGTGTAAACATATCCCAATAAAATCTCTATTGATATTCTATCGCTAATCACGAGACATCCTTGCTATAATTCATATATAAAAGAAGTCTATTACTCTCTACACCGCGATGCAGAAGAGAGAAAACTAACTCCTCTTTCCCAATTCACACTGTGTTTGGGGCGAAAATTGGCGAAATTTAATTTATTACCACACACTCTATATCTCTCCTTCAACCCTCTCTCAGCCAGAGAGGCATTTGATAACTTTTCCACCAATTCATTGACTCCCAAAAAAAAACGGACAATTGCTGTCATAGGCAACGCAGAAAATCCACCCGCGCCTTCATGGAAAACTCCTCTGCATAGACAATTATGTTAGTAACAGCACAAAATAAATATGTAGTTGCCCAAGGCAACCGAGTAAAGTTTTCCTTTCACGAAAAAAAATAATAATACGTGAAAGAAGGAAATATCCCTCCTTGGTTGAAGTTGCAAAATTTGAAACATTTCTCACTTGACAACTTCTGCACAATTGTGCAATTTTCATCAATTTGCACAAACTGTCTTCCACTCTCGTGAGAAATACACGGATTTATCATCACCAACTTCAGTGTTCAGGTGCAATTCTTCCTCATGAATTCACACTGAAATGGAATTAAGTGGCTTAGAAATTGTGACCTGAATTCACAAAGTAAGGAAAAATTCTCATTTACACGTGAAAATGGTCAATGGCTTCAACAAGTTCAACTACAAACTTTTGCCATTATCCTTCTAAATTTCATTCTATGCATCCACAAAACTCTTGCAAAACTTTCAACAGTTTTTTTTTCTTTACCCCGAACAGAAACTCAGGTGTGAAATATTCTATATTGTAAGTTTATTTCTTCAGTCCCAAGACTAGGCAAATATTTCACAAAGTTATGCTTCTTGAGATTTTTCCCATTTTTAAATACCGTTTTCTGGACATGATAAAAAAATCTCAGACTGCGCATAAGACAAGCTCTTATCTATGGCGCTTCTTTTGTAAAATGCCCGCAAATGTGTCTAGCCAAATGATACTGGTAATGTTTCAATTGATTTCCCTGCGACAGCGTGCATAAAAGGTCAGTCCAGCCATAAAATAAAAATTGTTTTCAGTCCAAGTGCGAGTAAACGAGCGTTATGAGTCTACGAAAATATAATCTGTCGCTCAACATAATAATGCTACAATTTTGACGACAACCTTATCAAGCTTGACCGCCGGGTTGTTGTCTCTTCTCTCTTTTTTTTCTATCTGGCCCGTCTCTTTGCGCTTAACAGATTCAGCAAATCAAGAATAGTTCCTCAAACACATCTTTTCAGATGTCCATGAATTTGCAAAAGTCAAACTGGGTCACATAAAATCCATAAAATAGTGCCAAGTAGCGAGAGATTGTGTGGAAGACAGTCTTGATGAAAATCCCTAAACATTTTTCTTCATTCTCCACAGCTGGAAATCTTGAGAAAATGCACAGATGGAGAGAGAGAAAGAAAGAAAGAGCACTCACTCGACTGAGGTTAACCGGCGCTGGTGGTTCCATTCGACACCTGGATTCCTGGTCATTGAGAATGTCGGCATTGAGGGAGAGAATTGTGTCCAATTCCACCTCTTTACCCTTTGTCTCGTTCTCCTCGCACCACTCAACAGTAACAGACCGCGCGACTGGGTTCACCTTTGACACCATGGCTGAATGGATACGACCTAGAAAGAGAGCATGAGACAAAAAACACACCAATTAATCATGTATATTGCGCTTTAGAGTGCATCGAGTGTACACAATACTATATATTTAATTTAGTATAGATAGAAAAAAAACAGTCTGGGAAAGTCAATCATGCGAGAATTAGTTGAGGAGCTTCCATTTCACTTCCTGATCATTTCTCTCCGGCATGCAAATAGCTTTTTCATCAATAAACTGTAATGCGAGAACATCTGATGAACTTGATACAGATTTTCCCCCTTCCTTCTCTTATCAGCCAATTTTCCCATCAATGAGCAAAATGAGGTGATGATGATGAGAGAGAGTGAGATATATAGTGAGTGTGTTATGTAATTACATTCTGGTGCATCATCTTTGAAGAAGAAATATCCATCAGCCACGAATTTGCCATAATCCCTGTAGATATTGATATCTTTTTCACCGCGAAATTGCTTCTTGATGGGACTCAAGTCATTCTTCACCCTCACATTCGTCAATTGAGTCTTCTTCTTCGCCTTCAAACTCTTCTTCTGCTTCAGCCACTCAAATGATTTACGAAGCCACGATGGCATTTTTCTTCTTTCTCTCTGCAACTTGTGCGCTCGCAAAAAACCAACCAATGAATTCCTCCTCTTTCAGACGTCCTCCAGAAGCGTCTCACCAACCAACAATGTTCTTCTTCACTTCCTTTCACACCGTCGCGCGCTCACTTCACAGAGAACAAAAAAAAACACCACAAACGTGTGTGCTCCTTTCGCGAACGCCAACAGAAAACAAGAGAAGAGGCACCGAAGACGAAGGGGAGAAATAGATACGTTCTCAATGTGCCTCTTGTTTTATCAATATTGTCCCGGATTTCGTGATTTGAGAGACGCACACGCCAAATGGGCAGAAAAGAGACACATTCCTTTTTTTCTTTTTTTTTCCTCCAGTGTTATTTTGCAAATGAGAATTTTTTGACCTCGCCTCACATTTGCACGATTAGTATATTAAACTCTCGCGTTTTTTCTCCTCCTCTCTAGTCACAATTATGCCTCATTTTCACTTCTTTCGCCGTTCCAAAAATGGGTAAAATTGACGTAGAGAAGATGCTTGATAAGAGAGTTTGTTGAGTCTATTGGCGGTTCCTTTAGCACTCTCGCTCAACCCTCGTGTTTGTCTCTCTGCTCAAATCACTGTTTTTCAGTGACAAAACGCTTATTTTATTTACCCCTGCTAATCAATCACTTTCAACAGTTCTCACAGATATTTTAACAGCAATTCAATTTTTTTTTATTTGTCTCTCTATTGAAGTCTGTCTTGTCAATAAACAGGAAATTGAACTGCGCAACAATACAACTTGCATCTCTCTAATCTATCCACACAACACAAGAATTGGAACACTTTTTTCGTCCATTCAGCAACATTATTTTATATACACACAACATCAATAAAATAAAATGCGTTCCGTAACTCTTCTCACGGTGAACAACTAATGAATTGTGTATGAAATTGCAAGAGAAATTCAAACTGAAAAGCGCGAGTTTTTGAGAGCAAAAGTTGAAATTAATGCTTTACGAATGAGAAATTGCCATCAACTGAGATGAGACGCTCATTACATATGACTTATTCCCCAATCTCAGACACTCCCCGTCTCTCACGATCCTCCACACACGAGTCTGTCTCTCCTCTCCTCATGTTTGCGATAACTCAATCGCGAACAGACGATTATTACATCAAGCGAATATTGAGAGGAGGAAAAAAAAAGTGTCATTTGACGGGAAAACTATTTTTGAGCCTATCAACCAGACAACTATCATCTCCATTTCTCACTCTCTCTGTCTATCTCCGAGGGATTTGGCTTACACAATCGCCTTATAACCCTTCACATCTCTCCGGACAATTATATATACATAAGACAACACACATTTGCTACGCTTCACGCCCCGCCACACTCTTAAAATGGCAACAGGGCATTTTTCCCAGCTGTGGAAAAACTCTCCTTTCGGAGAATGCCAAGTTCAATTTTTCTGTGTCAAAGTTAATTATTTGCACACGCCACAATTAAACATCACTCTATCGACCACCTGGCAGGAGATTTGTTGCCCAGAGACATCTCAATTTTAACTTATTTATCAATTCTCTCCGCCAAGACACTGAAAATCGCTCTTCAAACACACTTGATGACTCGTGACGTCGTCAAATCAATATAGAAGAAAAATGGGGTAAATTGATTTTTCTCTCTCTCTTAGCCCACAAATGAAGTTCTTCTTATGCCAGTTGTTGAGAAAAACCATCAATCAATGCAGAGGAAATTGATGGAATTTATGTATATTGGAAAAGTTTTAAGTATAGACTGAAAGCATCACGAAACGAAAGGGATTTTGGTGCTCATGACCTCTTGTTGGTTTCCAACTCTTCAACACTCTAATTTGAATCTGATAACACACCATCATCTAACAACTCTATTCGCATTTGCTACTAAAGCGCGAGCACCGAAATACGGCATAATTTTTTGCGTGAAAATGTGTCACACAGCTTTTTTCCGCTCTTCCTCGCTTTTATTGATATTTCAGTGAAGAAGAGGTGCCAGGTTAAAGCAACTCGTAAAGCATTTACACCAGAGGCATTGCCGTTATTTGGGCACAACATCCGCAAACACTCCGCCTCGCCTTTTTCCCAACCGCCAGAAGCAGTTTCCCATTCCTGATCTCAGTTTCTCAAATCCCTTAATTCCACAATAACCCCTTCAATATTTAGGGCGCCTTGGCGAGAGAGCAAGAGATTCATTGCACTGCGTGGCTTTCCTGCATGGTGGGAATGAGCGGTTCTGGAAGGCCGCAGCATTGAGACAATTTGCAAGCTCTCTGGGTTGGTGTGACAAAGACAAGGAGAGCGCGTGTGAGTGAGAGCGGCTTTCGCAAAGTGGCTGTCATACTTCCAAAAAAGGTGCTCCGACGCCCATGCACAATTTCACACCAGAATCCATTGGCTCGCTTGTGTGCCCAGCCACATGAATCACACACGACAGAGATGACAGCATTTGCCCTCCCGGGGCCACACGGCGGCCCTCCCGGAAGCCCCTGCGCCGCGATATTCTTACCGTCTGTGCGCTTGATCTTGATCCGCTGCCCGATCTCCAGACAATTCATCGTGGCACTCATGCTGGCGACTAGGGATGCCTCGAAGTTCAGCTGCCTTCCGGAAGTGTCTGCTGCTCTCTGGAATCGTCAATGCGCTATCTCGGGTGTTCCGCACTCGCGTTGTGGCTGCAACAAGAATCACATCAGTCCCATTGACAGACAATAGAGGAGAGAATTTGAATGCTGAGGCGCCCCAGAGAGGCCCCCTTTTCGCCGTTGTGGCAGATTTTTGAGTGAAACGCCATGACAATTCGAGTGGATTTTTCTCAGGCTTTTTGCGCCTCGCACACACAATCAGCCACACAGAGGACGCAGTCAATTAGTCCCGCTGCCAATTGATCACCGAATCGGCCCCAATTGAGTCATGCACAGTTATCCAGAGTGAGCCCCCAGAGAGCCTTGGCAGCCGCTTGGCCGCCGCCACTGCTGGCGTCCGGAGGCACACTCTTTCCGTGCCATTTTCACCCACAAGCGCCACATGTAGCGCCCCAATTCCATACCCAGCCGCTTCATTACCTTCTCGCGTGGATTTTGGGGGCACTTTTGTGACGACACTGGTTGATTAAATTCACATAAATTCACTTGCAAAATCACTGAAACAATTACACTTCACAGGCGACATGATAAAATCCACTGAGAAATGCGTGAGGGCGCTCATGTCATATCAGGGTTGCCAGCTGCGAACGGTGCTATAAATCAACCGTTCGAATTGGATTCGAATAAAGGAGACAATTTTCACGATTTTCAGGGTATTCCTGCATTTTCCCATCGTAAATTGTGTCTAATTGGAAAGTAGGGTCTGATTTGGTGACATAGAAACCACCTTTTAATATCTCCAAGTGAAGAAAATCTTGAAAAACAGTCAAACGTTTTTTTCTGTCTCTCTTCTTGCCTCTCCCCCTTATCCAACTTTATCCGGACAGCACAAAAAAAACACTGTTTTGGCGGTTAGACGATCGCTACACTTTTGTGTTTTGATCTTCTTGATAATCATTGTAATATTTAATTCAGAATAATTCATATTGTCGGTGTATGATTATATAAAATATCCCGGGACACAAATACGAATATCTACTTGCAAGTATTCCCGTCCTCAGTGTGCAGTCGTCGCTTCTTCTTCTTATGGGCAGTGAGACTCTCTTGGCCACTGTCTGAGGACTTGGATTCGCTGTCGTCCTCTTCACTTGACTCGGAACTCGAGGATGACGAGGAGCTGGAGTTGCTGGAGCTGTCGGAAGCCACGCCAGTGCTCTGCTGCAAGTTCACCTCGGATGCCAACTTGGCCAGTTCGGGCTCCTTCTCCTGCAGCACCTTGTACCACTTCCGGGACAGCTTCGGCCTCCCGCGCACCGTCTTGTGCCACACCACCGGGAAATTCGTTTTGCTGCAGAAATTCTGCGTCACAGCGATCGTGTCGTCGAGATTTAGCACCACATGCCACCAGCCGCCGGGAACGAACACCGTCTCGCCGGGATTCTGGAGAATCTCCACCTGCAAGAGGAGCCACTGAAGTCTGTCTTTTGGCAGTGTGGAGCTGTTACTTACCGGTTTGCAGTCCTGCGGCCAGGAAGGCTCCTTCGTCTTTGGATAGATCACCCGGAACCACGTGATGGCCTCGTCACGCTGCTTCCCGCCGTCGCTGCTCGTGACTTTGAGCAGCTCCTTGGGCGTGTGCGTGGGGAAGAGACACCAGCGCTTGTGTCCCTCCACCAGGGCGTTCCAGGCACTCGTGCCCAGCGGATCAATGTGGATGCCCGTGCCCGAGCGCTCGGGGCCCATCACAAACCACCTGTACGGCGGCCGACGACGCTCGCCGGCGTACTTGAACAGGTCGTCTCGGAAATACTTTGGCACGATGTAGTCCTCCAGCAGCTTCCGGCGACGGTGGTGCTCGCCGAAGCCGCTGTCGAAGATGTACAGCGGGCTGTCGTCTCGAGTGGTGCGCATGTAATCGATGTAGTACTTCATCTTCATTTTCACGCTGTACCCCTCGTTGTCCTCGCCGCACTTGAAGCGCTGGTTCCTGTACTTCTTCGCCAGGCGCTGCATCGTCCACTTCTCCAGCGCCTTCCAGCCCTCCTGCAGGCCCAGCACCACCACGGGCTTGTAGGGCGCCTCGAACTTCCGGATGAACTCTTGGCAATCCACTTCACGTGCCGTGATGCGCTCCACGTTGTCCGTGAATTGATGGAAGGGCTCAAAGTTGTCCGCATACCCCAGCTGGTTCCAAGCACCCTTGTCGTTGAGCTCTGTTGCGCCCCAAATGGTCCGATAAAGGGGAAAACTTTGTTAGAATTTTTCCTTGAGCGTCAATCAAAAGGTGACATATTGACTCCATCGCGATGTCATAAGAGGCTTTTCCACTTTTCACACTATTTACTTACCCGGGCGAGCTTTTCGCTTCGTCTCCCGCACACGCTTCTTCGATCGATGCGTGAGACGGTGCTCTTCAGACATTTTTCCTACTAAAATTGACTAAAATGCGAGGAAAACGAGCAACAAGAACTTCCCAGAATCCACCACTCACCGCACGCCAATGACAGCTGTCATGTGACACTCGGAGATGTGAGCCGACATATTTTCGGAGGATTTTACAACTTGCACTTTTCTTCAAGTTTCCTTGGTTTTTTCTAACCAACATGAGAAGGGAATGTATGAGTATAGATTCTAATGGTAGATTCTGCAAAGCAGTGACTTTCAAATTGGATTTCTGTATTTTGCGCGCAAAATTCATTCGGATTCCTTTGCCTACTGAAGAGACATCTATTGAGTGATTTTCAGTAGGCGGGAATTGTGAGCAATTTCAGAGAGACTATATTTTAAGGGATGAATTATGCGCAAAAATCACCTTTTACTCAGCCCTAAAATGAAAACTTTCATATTCAAAAGCACCTGTTAATTGTACAACAGGTTTTTTGCATTGATAAATTAGTTGAGAATTAAAAGCGATTTATTATTTTAGCACCTCTTAAATAGATTATGCAAATGAGCCGCTTTGGGCTCGAGCGGGCCTTCGTGTGAAATTATTGCAATCGCTTTTTAATTTAATAAATTCATTTACCATTATCAATTCATTTGCACGCAAAGTGCTCCGGCCCAAATCATATTTCCCTGGGTAATATTTCACACGGCAGCCGCTCTGGCTGGGCTCTATCTGTTGAAGAATTTATTTGCACCATTTTCAACTGATATCTGTGTGGAATTCACAGGCAAAATATGCTATCAAGTAGTCTATCGGGCGGTTTAAAATGATAATTGAAAAATATTAGCAATTTTGGGCGGTTTGTGCGCAAAGTGTGAAGCGTGGTTTGGGGGGAAAAAAAACGAGGAACTGAAGGGTTAATGAAGCGACTCGATTGGGTTTTTGATGTTCTCTGTGGAGAATGTGTTCTTCAGCACTATTTCCCTATCAATAGAATATTGTAGTTGACGGAAAATCAAAATAAATCTGCTTGGCTGTCTGCTCATTTTCAGTCGAGATTTATGGCGCAAGATACTCCAATTTGGCGGCAAATTAATTCAATCTGACTGATTTGTTTGCCGAGCGATTGAGTTTGTGGGCTCGACGGATTTCGCGGCCTCGTCAGCAGAAACACGCGCGAGTGTGTGGCCGGGGATTTGCCTTGGTCCTTCGCACACGCCAGGCATCGGCGCGCGGGCGGAGAGAAAAAAGCGCCCATAAAGCATCGTCATTTGTCTCATGACGAATTCATGCTCGCGTGTATGATATTCAGGCATAACTATTGCGCCCTAGATTTCGTCCGGGCGCCCCGTCGCTGTGCGGGGCGCCCGGGCGGAGGGACACAGAGCCCGGGAGATGATATCAAATGGACCGAATGCCATTATCATTAACTTATCTCTATAGGCTCTTGTTTTATTTTTATATCCAATTTTTGTCGTCACTTTTTCTCATGTTCCCAAATTTATCTGCTCTGCTGCTTCTTTCATGTGAATTATGCGAAGGGATGAGCTCTATTTTTTATTGAAAATCAATGATTTCCAGGGGGTTGATTTCGACTATCTCACAATGTTTGACTCCTTGCGCCCCACCCGCCCGCCGCCGCCCCGGGCCGTGGGTGGGAGGAAAAAATTGTGCCATCGAGAGACCGAAGATACGGTGGGTGGCCTGGAGAGCAGAAATCCCTCTATGGGTTGTAAAATAGAGGAGGGAATTATATTCCTCGAAAGTTATTACAGGTAAATCATCGCTGCTCCTGCATAAACGTCGCGCTCTAGAAAATCTTCACACGCCGTGTGGTCGATGATTTAATGGCAGTTGTATTTTCTCCTGCGACTCTCGCCTTGCAAATTTATCTCCGCTGTAATGGCCAAAATAATTTACACACGATATCTGCTGGAGAAATATTATTTCTTTGTGGGTGTCTCCTCGACACTTGTTCCCCAATACGATAGCCCCATGGGAAATTACCCCGAAATCATCAGCAATCGACTCATTTTCCCAAACCGCATTCCGGCAAACTCTTTTCGCCTCCACCCCCGACCGATTAAAGCCGCCCCCTTCTGGCCGCCGCCCGCCGCCCTGCTCAAAAATCCACCCTCCTGTAAGTGATGATTGCTTACGGCAGCTGTGATTCTCTGCCTCACGCCAAACTGCTGTAACATAAGATACGAACATAGGCATTGCAAAATTTGAACTTTGCCTCCCTCAATATCTCTCCCCCACTTGAGGGCGGCGGGAGGTGCTCTGGGGTGGGAAACCATGGAGCACTTATCTTCTCCCCTTACGGAGTTCTCCTATTTTCGTCCAAGACGTGGATTTATCTTTTTAGTGTATATTTAAGATAGAGACTCTCTGAAGGACTGAAAATAGCTGAGAATCCTAATTAGTACTTCATGTGATAACCCAGAATATATACACCTACACTTGTCATGCGTGATAATCATATTTCTGAAGTATTTCCCTAAAATTGAGTGTGAAAATGAAATCTATTTCCGGCACCTGAAGATTTCTAGAACAGTTCTAGTACGCTATTTTTGAATATCTCCGTATAAACCCTCCTTGGACAAACCGATTTATCGTTGGAGCCTCGAGGAAGATGCGGAGAAAGACTACCATTACCATAACCCAGATTTGATCGAACTGTTTGGCCGTGTTCTCTCTGTTTAAGGTCAAGGGTTAAAAAAGTTTTAAAAGCCACATTAGCGATGGCCTCCAGAGCTTTGGCTTTTTCTCAAATTTAGAGGACTTCAGGCTCGGTTTGATTGCGCTGCACCTCCACAATTTGGCCAAAGTCTCCGCATTCTGGTCACGTCTTGAAGATGAAAAGGCCCTCCCTCAAAAGGGAAGACGATTTTGACATCATGTTTGTGTCGTCCTGAATTATGAGGGCACACAGTATTCAATCTTATATGCAAAGTAGAGCCACTGGCTCTCACTTCTTCTTTCTGGCTCTCGCATTGTGCAAAAGCCAGAAAGCTCTGAATACATGTCGTGCGCATTAAAATGATTTTTCCACTCAGAGCACATCAATAACATAGATGAAGAGCATTTAATTTTCAGAACGGTGTAAAAATCACAATCAAAACAGAATGTAGGAGGGCGCAAAAAATAGCCTCCAAATTGCATATATCGAGCTGGTCGGGGCGCGAAGTGCGCAGAGTGGGCTTTGGGGGTGCATATAAATAAAAAGTGCTCGCACACTTCAAATGCAAACCACTGCGTAAATCATTTTAATATCGCGAAATAAAAAATAAATATTGAATTTTTTGACTATCTGGCGGGAGAACTTATCGTGAAAGTAATTTTCCCATATATTCTGCGTGCACGCATCCGCAGCGCGCGAAGGGGCGCCTCGTTCCCCAATAAAACACACACACGAGAAGCTGCGGGAAGGAGAGATGTTTCATGGGCTCTTCCGCCAGTTGTACTCGCCGTATTCGTGTGGAAATGGCGAAATTAAAGGCGACACTTTGGAGAACTGGCAAATATGTTCTCCACATTTTAAATTCAAACCATTTTATTGGGTAGTTGAGCTGTTTATGAAATTTCTCCCACTCAACGCACGGTATTTATGAAAAATTCCAACTTCCTTCACACATTCCTCAACTCTGGACCACTTTCTTCTCATCAGCTGGCACAGTCTTTGATAAGAAATTCAGTATCGTGATTGGATTTGGCATTAGCATTTGATTCTTTGCTTGAGTTGCTAAATAAACAATCCATCGAATTACTGAATCACATCCTTGTTAGAAATTCAATAGAATTTCTTTGAAAAATTCCCTTATCAAACTTAAAGTTGGCGGAGAAGGAAAGGCAAGGAATACTTGTCGAATTCGAGTTCCGCGATAAATTTGCCACAGTTCATCTTTCTTTCAGTGTAGCATCCATAAATTCATGAGTTATTTTTGGAGAAATGTTAAAAGTGGAAGATTCGGGAAATGGCATTACACCTTTTTCATTTCTTTCTTCCTGAACAAGTGCGCGCCCCAGAAAAAGAGACTCTTCCATTAAACTTGGTCGCTTTGAGGAGGACTTTTCAATTCCATAGCCCAAAGAGGAGAGTCGAGGGTGTGAAAAGAGGGACATTTTTGCCCAACAAACACCGTGAAAATTTAATGAAGTATTCGAGTGACCTTCCAACACTGATTTTCCCAACGCCCAGGGCGAGAGTGAGCGAGAGAGTGCTGGGGGAAAAATGTGGAAATTTGTGGATGATAGGAACTTCGCAAGGACTAAGTTGTCGAAGAAATGATTGTCATAGGACTTTCTATTTGGAATACATTACATTCGGAAGGCACATACAAAAGACTGTGAGCATATATGTTATTCTGGGTGCTCGAATGAAAATATGGAAAATTAACATGAAAAGGTAGAAGACACCCTCTCGCATATCATTCAATAAATTTCTGCAGAGGCAAAACTTTCTCTCCAATACAACCCAATTGTTCATCCTCGCTCTCTCCACTTCTGGGCCACCCCTTTAGGCATTTGAGGGTGAAATTCTCTGAGATTTTCCATAAATTTCCAACCTACCAGCGCTGTTTTCCAGGGAGAGTGAGAGAAGGAAAGAGAGAGAGAGAGCGAGGCACTGCAGAATCACGATGTGTGGACGAAAAAAGTTGCCACATGTATTTTTCATGGTAATGCGAATTGTTGGGCACAAAAAGAAGGGGCCGTGGGCGGCGGGGAGGCAGAGTAAATAACACTTTCTACACATGCTTTTTGGAGTTTCATCATGGCAGAAGTTGTATCACCCAAATATATTCACTGATAGACGCACGATGTGCCATACTCTGTTAATTAATGAGGAAAACTTTTGCCTCTCCCACTCTAAATTATTCCCGTTACAATGACAACGATTTTCCCCCTTAGTTTTCCTCATAGACGCAGCTCCGAGGGAAAAAAGTGTGCAGCTACTTTGGCATCACCCCAACCCCCAGTGGACACAAGAAGTGAAAAATCAAAGGTTATTCTTTTTCCTCCGGCGTGAGCGCAGTTCTCTCGACTCAGTCGGTAAAGAGTGTAAATTACATAAATGTTAATTGGAAGTGAAGTTTTAATCTTCCGTGGAAAATGGACGGG